TTTCTAGATCACCAAATGGCTGGTCCCCGAGAATGTACTGGAGCGGTACTCCCCTGGCCCTCTCGCGGCACATTGACCTCAAATAGCTTCTCCATCCCGTCGCTCCGAATCGATTTGTTCGCTGTGAGGATTTCTGCACGGCCCATTCGCGTAACCAGCGTAGTTCATTTTGTGCTGAATCGTGAGTACGGCACTCCCGTAAAAGCAGCGGCAGCAGATGATCCTGCTGGTAAGCTCGCAAAATGGCGGGAATTGGTAGTCGTGGCATGAGAAAGAACAGATAGATAGTGTGGTGAGATCTATGGTACTCCACGAAAGCTTCTGAAAGTACTTAACTAGTTAGTAAGTTACTTGAGTACTTATTATTAAAGCCAATAACTCATTCATATTACTTTCCTATAGATTAAATCAAAGTACATAACCAACTAACTTCAATATTGACTAAGAAAACAATATAAGACAATATTAAAAATATAATCTGCACTATTGAATTCAAGATACGAGTTATAATGATACACGGCCTGTTGCTTTCACGCCTGTTGTCAGGTCACGCAGCTCTTGGCAAGCTTTGCGGTCTTGGCGCGAGGCGCATGCAGTAGAGCCTCTCTCACCTTGACCTCATACGTCTTGTCGCGTCTGTATTGATAGAAGGTCTCTGCTTCCTATTGTTATCAACGGCCTGCTCGTGTCTTCTTCTAGACGCCGTTTGTTGTTTCTTTCAACTTTCCGCTGACCGAGCTTCTCAAATCTCGAACAACCTTGTTATCTACACCAACCTTGGACCATCTACCCAACCTCTTCGACCTGATTTGCCAGCACTCATCTACCACGACATCCAGCAACTCAGTGATCCCAAAGTCATGGAACAGGCTCCACAGGGCACCGGGCAACAACAGAACCGGCCGCAACCTGTATATGATATCAGAAACGGGGGCCATTATGGTTCGCTCTCCGCACTTTCTCTTATCAATGTTTACCCTTGAAATCTGATTAGTCTTACTAACCATCGTTCTTGGTATAATCATAAAGCTAACAATGGTAATGCACAGGGGCGAGCGCGGCGGTACGTTAACCTTTTCCAATTTTCTTGAACATTGACAATAGAATTCCTGGAATCTGTTCGGAGCCTGGTGCTGATGATGCGTCCTTTAGCTGTCAGCGCAAGGATATGCGCCCGTCGCGGAGCTATACACCGGCACTTGGGCAAATGTGAGTTGCTGAGGAATCATGCGCTTTGTCGTCCAGCCTTGTGTGCTTGGAGAGTGGGCGGACGGTTGTCTGACATCGATGGTGGTTATAGGTAAACCAAGGCCTCCAAGGAAATTCTCGCGATATTCTCACTACTTATTGGCAACACACCATCAACCATCTCGAGACAGATAACCATGATTATAAGATACACCAGCTACCTCTGGCGCGCATAAAGAAAGTGATGAAAGCCGATCCAGAGGTGAAGATGATATCTGCAGAGGCTCCTATACTTTTCGCGAAGGGCTGTGACATATTCATTACTGAATTGACCATGCGAGCCTGGATTCATGCCGAGGACAACAAACGACGCACCTTGCAGCGGTCCGACATCGCTGCCGCTCTTTCAAAGTCCGACATGTTCGACTTTCTGATTGACATAGTACCCCGAGAAGAAGCTACTTCGCACACAAAACGGTCAAGTCAGACGGGTGGCACTGCCGCGCCTGCAGCGGCTGCCCCTGCAAGTGCAGCCGGACAACTGCCGCCCTCACAGGGAGTTCAGCATCAACAACACCACATGGGTGCACCAGATTACGGCTCACTTGGCCAGCATGCTCTGCCTCAAGACCAGGAATACCGACACCAGCCAGCAATGTACCCGGGAGCAGTACAGTCAGATCCAGCCGCAGCATACGGACAACCGCAACCACAGATGTTTGAGGGGATGTATGCTGCGTATCCCCACCTTCCACCACAACAGGTACGATTTCTATTCATCGAGCCATAGGCAATATTATAGCCGAAGGCAGGCCAATTATTCGGGTTTACTAATGAGTTGGTTCTGAATCAAGTGATTATTCGCGGATTGTTCGGATAGTGCCATTTCAGTCCGATTATTCTAAAGGACACAGCCCGGTGCGCTTAATGAGAGCAGTACGCCTAATGTGGTGGGGACTGAGAATGATCAATGACTTTGGAATGACCCTATATGCAGAAATTTATTGCGTGCACGTATTCTAGTTTCTATCAGGAAATTTAAGTTGCAAAGTTCTATTTGCGAATATGCTCGTATTCGAGTAAGATAAGTAAGCGTTAAATTGACCACATGAGGCCGTACTGTAATGACAAAGGCTGTAAACATGCCGTTCGGCAGACATTACCGTTTCACTAAGACTTCATACCAAATCTCGAGGAAAGAGCCGAGAATTTATCGGTCTTCGCAGGGCTCTGGACGGTGCGGGTAAGTCTAATCGCTTGTTAGCATATGTCCGAGTCCCAGTCAGAGATCGCGATGCATACTTTTCCAGCAAAACGGGCCCGTTAATCGCATCCACACGTCCGTACTTCTTGTTTCGTGTTGAAATATCATAGAATTCGTCTGTGTTCTCTGCCTGCATCAAATGCACCGTTTGCTGTAACTCGTCAAGATTCTCTCGGAGAATTGGCACGCCGAGACTGTCCACAAATTCGGCGAGATATTCTACATCCTTCGCTAGAGCAGCAACGCCATTTGGATTAATCTTTTTCACCTCTGCTGAAAGGGGCAGTGACTAGAACTCCAGGTCAGTACCCTGAACATCATCGGTAAGCGGAGATTGGAGCTGATACCAGAACCATGTTCGCCGCGTGACTAAGAGCGTCGAAATAGATCAGTTCCTTGATCTCAGTAGGAAGGCCAAGGAGCGTTGAGTTCATTATGTTTGAAAGAAACCGTGTAAGTGTCTGCATGTAATTGCTCGGCTCCGTAGGGGGGGACGGCGCTGTCCAATCGTACTCTGCAGTTTCGATAAGGTCATCAATCTTCGAATTAACGACCTCAAAGATACGCTTTTCTGCTGCTTTCTTATTGCTCCTGAATTTATCAGTCGCCTTTAAAGTGACAACCCCTGCAGTCGAGGTCTGTGCTCGCGCGGCAGCAAGGAGAGTCTCCAATTCCCGACAGGCAGACTCAAAGTGCTCGAGATTAATGAGGATTTGCACTATTTGCCCAAGATACTGCGAGCTAAGACGCTCAACGAGAGTCTCGCACACTTTATCCGACAGAAGTTCGTCCAGCGCCTAGTCAGTTTTGTGAGATTAGAAGCCTGTCCTATATAGGTGATGGTGTCACATTCTTACATCTTTCAAAGTCTCATCGATTACATCTGGATGGGGGAAATCATCACTAGAGAAAAAATAGAATTGATTTAAGAAGTTTCGAATGTCGATACAGCACAACGGATACATCTGCGAGAAGGGTAGGACACACGGGAAACTACTGGTAATTAGCAAGAGCCATGCAACAATCAAAGCGTACTACACTCACGTCTGCTCTTCCTGTGGTTTGTCCGGAGTGTACCAGCTCACATTGAGAACTTTGTCATATTCCTCGGCGTTTTGAATGGGCATCGGCATGTAGTCGTCGGTCGAGACGATCTGACCATCCATGAGCATCGACAGCGGTGTTAGAAGATGAAGTAGGGATATACCTCTTGAAAGTCGTCACTGAATCTCTTCTTGAGTAACTCCGCGTACCTCTCGAAAACGGACAAGAGAAAATTGTCGAAAGCACCGACAGGAAAATTCCATGTCTAATAAGAATCAGAAAATGTTCGAAGAATCACCATGGTTTGAAATAACGAACATCCATCGCCTGCATGAATAATGTAATAAGGTTTTTGATTTTTAGAAGGCTCTCAGCATTGTCGACTTCAGGGAGCGCCTTCGATATCAAACCAACAGCTGCGTGACACATGGACTCCCAGAGTTCGTCAACCTGGAAGTGGTCAAGTATAAGCATGGAGCTTTTCAAGGCGAGGTATTATCTGATTGGATTGGTACACTCACATCCACGGGCGATCGCAAGTTTGGGACTTTCTCCATCGTTGACCGCTCTACTATGGCAAAGCCAGACATTTCCTCTAGGAGTGTGTGCAAACTAGCACCATCTTCGTCTAGGAGAGATATTGAAGTGGGGAGTAAGAGCTCCTTCTGCCGCCGTCGCGTGTTGGCATATTCGACTCTGAATCTATCCATCTGGCCCAACGATTGGTGTATATGGAGACATTCGAAAAGTGGCGTGAAGTCGACTTGCAAGTCATCGTTCTGAAGCAGGTCATACTCCTCATGCTCGTCAGAAACCAATTCAATGGCCGAGTTAAGCTTGAATTGTCCTATATACGGGTTCTTCTCTGCTCGCTCCTTCTGCCTTCTCTTTCGCAAGTCCGTGTGGTAGAGAGATATTTCACCCAAGTATTGTGACATTTCGCGAATGCGATAAAGCCATGTGTTTAGGTCTGACATCACAGCCTCGGCTATGGCTCTTTGGGTCACAGGCACGGATCTTTGGATCATTTCAGCAATTTTGTACTGAGTAACACCCTTGAGATGAACGTTTTGGAGCTCATCGAGGGCTCGCAGCGCCGCATAGTGATTCCTCTTAGCAAGAAGGTCATGAACCTGATTCGCCAGGCGTAAAACCTCGAGGCAGTCCTGCAGCGCTCGGGACGTTTCGTTGATATTTTGGCGGTGCCCTCGGGATTCCACCAGTGCCTTCTTTTGTTCCGCCAACCGTTCTGTGCTGGCCTGAATAGACTGATTAAGGTCTAGGATCTCCGAAGTCAAGCTCACAGTGCCCTCACGGATACGTAAGAGTTGATTGACGGATGTAACGAACTCCTGGTGGTTCGTGTTGCACATGGTCTCTATCTCCGCTTCTTTGTCGCCAGCAAATTTGGAGAGCGACTGCAGCAACTGGGAGGTTCGATTTCCATGGCTGTATTCTCGGATTGAAGGTATTAACTGGTCAAGGTAATCAGAGTCAGAGGGAGAAATGATGATCTAGGTTCCATCACGCAAGTTAGCAGACTCCATTTATTAGGATCAATGAGTAGACACTGACCTGATTGAGCACATGAAGGGGATCTTTGTGGCTAGGCACAGCAGAAGGCATCTTGACATCCACTATAGCTAACCTGCTGTTTATTCTGTCGGCCTGAGTTATGATTGTAATGACAATTAGGATATTGAGCAATTAGCCATCCAATATGCAGGAGCTTGAATGTAAAGCAAAGTGTCTAATTGAACAGCACAGTATATAATAGTGATGTCAGATACTTATGAAAGATACTCACAAAAGAAGTCCATAAAGAGTGAATAGAGTATTTGAGATTCTGGACCCCGTTTGTCGCAGCTCATTGCTAAGGTAGACTAGGGCGACCGATAGGGACAGTTTAGCCGCTTCCGCTCTGTCACGACTCACCGCCCTGGCATTAGATAGAGGGAGATAAGATAACGCTAACCAGGTAGGTAACTACCTTCATAGTATAAGACATCTAGTTAGGTACCTATACTAGCGAGCATAAAATATTGTAAATTCATAGCAACAGGTCTGAAGTTGCTCAACGAGTATCAACAATGATCAGCCGCCTGTTATTACCTACAATGTATGCCTAAGTAGTGCGGCTCTCTGGGAAGTTACGAAAGTACGCATCTTATCGTTAAGTCCTTGGAAATTTCGTCCTTTGGGAGTAATTCGAATCAGGTGTATGTGTATAAGGCCACATGACATCGTTTCTCCTTTTCTCTTTTCTTGTATTCAACAGTGCCACGGTGCCATCTATGGCCGGAGTGTACTCTCTCGCTGCCCCTCTTTCCACTGCTCCTCTTTCCACTGCTTATTACTTGGTTACTTCAGTGGGTAAGCCACGATGAAGCGTAGTGTTCCTCCAAGACTTGCTGATCTCCTTGCTGGGTTGGGTCACATATGCTGTCTTCCTACCACTCTCATTGTCTAGGCTCTATCTGCCCGAGATAGTTTCTCCAGCTCAATAAGTATCGAGTTTTGGGTATATAACATAGGTCGCGGCGCGATTGACCAGACACGAGCGACTCGCAAATTCTATGACCCATGTTATAAAAGTCCAGTCCCAGTTGTCAGTACGAGAGGATTATGTAGAATATTCTCAACGGCGTACTGCATTGGAAATTTCAAACGGACCTGTATGCGTTCTTAAGGTTCAGTCTATAATTCTTTCCTTTGCCTTCCACCACGCAGAATATCACTCACATTGCATCGAATCGTGTCATATGCATTACCTCAGGCTTGCTTATGATCTACAGTCTAGTTACGCTAGATACCCTTTCTATAGATGTACGTTCAAACAGCTGAATATCTACCTATGCCGCCGTAGCTCTTCTGTGGTAAACGCATAGGCCCTGATGCTGCTCTAGGTTGCTGTAATGTGATTGCATAGAACCACCTGTTAGAGTCCATATCCTATGCTTTTGTATGTGGAAATCTTTCTATATCCTCAGAACTGCTATATAACCTCGCAATTTTCTTTCATAACTCTTCAATTGATCAGAAAATATGTTACTTTCTATGCTTTATATTCTCCATAGAGGGAAGTTTTTAAGGCATTCCTATAGGACTTGCAATCAGAGGTTTAGAGAGTGAGAGTGAGAGTGAGAGTCAAAAATAACTTCCCTAGCAACGCAACGTCACAACGTAACCCTGCTGTTTTTCTTCTTTTGTTATCTTTGTTTCCTCACTTTTACTCTTATCACACGTGCTGTCTGCTTCGTCTGATCTCACCCAGGATCTTACACACTTCGTCCCATGTCCATGTGTTTTCTCTACTGCTAAGTCAAAGTTAATAGCTGTGAGTACAGCAGTTTTTGATACTTTAAATACGTGTTTTTTGACTCTAACCCTGTTATTTCCTGCCACCAGTACACTGGAAGACACAGACTCTTCAATTCACGTGGCCCTAGTGTCCATATTTTGTTCCTATCCTGGCTGCAGCTCACTGAGAGCCAGTCTCTAAGATGAGGACAGAAGATTATATGCATCCTAGTAGCAGTCCCCGTACTTCCAATGGTGGCGCTTCTCATCATGATTCCCCTGACACCAAACTCACCACGTATTCTCCGGAGGACCTGCGATCGAAAGGTGTCTCGGGGCCTACAGCCTGCAGTGCATCGAGCGAGGACGAGCTAAGGGAATTCTATGCAGCGTGAGTATCCACAGAGTCAATTAAAATACAGTTTCTGAGCTGTTGGGCTAATAATTATATGTAGACTTGGTCCAGACCCTTTCATCGCTCCCCCCACGGGCCATGGTCGCGTGCAGCTATCTCCTACGGCCTCAAGTTTCACTCCCCTTGGTCCTGCCAGTGGGAATGATCAACCTTCTGCCCGACTGCTCAAGTCCATTGGATCTGGAGTGAGATACCTGGCAGCCAATTCGGAGCCGGACCACGGCCTGCTGCGTAAAGGTAATGAGAGGCTTCCAGATCAGATCATCTCCGACTTTGGTCCTATTGGAAAAGCGAAAACTGGCAATGAGCATAACCATTCTTCGCCCATTATTATTGGTCAGTTTGACCAGGAGAGACGTAGCCGCGCATTCGTTATTGAAGACGTTCCAACTGGCTTGTCTTACTTAACCCTTGCTGGCTTTTTCAGTGTAAGCATGTGTGTTTTCCTTAAGCTAATACTCTTAACTAACTATTACAAGCGTCGTGAATTCAGAACCCTCAAGGGTCCGGTACTCTCAGAGCTACGGTCGAAGGGTAGGATTTCCGTTGCATTCACGGATAGCCGCGAAGCGCAAACCGCGATGAACAAGATACATCATCTCCGGCCTGAGTGGCGTATTCATCCGCTCACTGCGAAGGAGTACGCTCAGCGGCACGAGATGTCTCTTTCGAACCAGGTCTCCGATTTCGAGGGTCAGATCTTCGTCTCTGTGTATTATGATAGCCGAGACCCCAATCTTCATGAGCAGGGTGTCGCTCAATCACTTAAAGATCTGGCTGAGACTTTTGGTGACCTGAAACTATTCCACGCTGTGCCCACAGGCCAGGATAATGTTAGCGACTTCCTCATCGAGTTCTTTGACACACGAGATTCAGAGAACGCAGTGGTGACCCTAAATGGGACATCTGTCAATGTGCGTTACGTTAAGAACCCTCATCATTATCAGAAGACTGACATAGTATCAGAGTTGTTTATTGGAGGTCAAGTTCTACAAACCAGATGTCAACGATAGTTCTAGTCGGAACTCGGTTGCGACCCCAATGAGGCAGATATCTCCCCTTCGAGGGACTGCAGGAAACCACCTGTATCCTTCCAGTACTATGGGCTCCCTTAGCAGAGTATCGCACAGCCCTTACTTCGAATTGAGCCCTACTGGGCGCTCTACAGTACCACGCGGAGAACGAGCTGGTCTGATGGAATGGACCCGATTTGAAGAGCGCAATGTCTATCCTCCCCGGGCCGAGATTTCCCGTTACTCTGACCCTCGTTCTACAAATCAGAACTTTGTTGATGTGGAAAGAATTCGATGTGGACTTGATGTCCGTACAACGGTTGGTAATTCAACTTCCATAACTTGGTATTAGACAACTGACATCAGATAGATCATGCTTCGTAATATCCCCAACAAGATTGACCAGGTAAAACCGGCTTCACACTATTTACTTTTACTGTACAGAAAGATATCTGATAATTTATAGGCTATGTTGAAAGAAATTGTCGACGAAACAAGCCGTGGGAAATATGACTTTATGTATCTACGTATTGGTATGAGTAGGAGTACTTGCACCCGTGGGGAACGTATCACTGACTTACACCTACAGATTTCGCGAATAATTGCAAGTCAGTAACCCACCTTACTGTACGCTCAGTGAGCATATCATAACATCCTTTTAGTGTCGGTTATGCATTCATCAACTTCGAAGATGTGAGTTCTCATATGCACACAAATATCCTCTCTTCTTGTCTCGTTTTCTTTCTCCTTACCCCGCCGAGTTCGTACTATTGCTAACTTGAGTCTAGCCAATTGATATTATTGATGTGAGAATCTCAATGTAATAGACTTCCTAGGAATACTGACTGAGGCACTTAAGTTCGTAAATGCACGATCTGGCCGTAACTGGTACGCACTCACCATGAAAGACTTATATTACTGATCCATGCTAATTTTCTGATTATGAAGGAACTGTTTCAACAGTGATAAAGTTGCGGAGATATCATACGCCAGTAAGTTTCAAGTTTCAATAGAGCCGTGTTATGATCTGCTACTAAACTTTACCTAGCGATCCAAGGCAAAGACTGCTTAGTGCAAAAATTTCGCAATAGCTCCGTGATGCTAGAGCATCCGTCTTTCCGTCCCAAGGCAAGATTACAGTTTTCCGCTGGCAAATAACTTGTTCTCTGATACATCTCAGATCTTCCATACCGGTACTGGCCCTCTCGCTGGGACTGAGGATCGATTCCCGGGACCAGATAACCCTTCGAAGATGCGCCGCAGCGTCGAGAATGCGGAGCATGTCGGTATGTAGTAGCCCGAACAGCTCGATGCATACCTAGCTTGTTCTGCGATTGACATATCTACCAGGTTTATTCGCACCGCGTGTCGGCCAGCAGTATCGTGATGAGCAGCGCCGCCGCCGTTCACAGTATGACCGTGGAACAACTGCCGCTGAACGTGAAATTGTCTATGTTCGGACCTGCACCCCAAGGCGCACCCCTGCGATGATGAGCGGACCAAGGAGCGCTCCCTTAACCCTCCCTGTCTTCAAACCATGGTACGAATCTCAGTCCTCTCCCCGGGGACCTAAGACTTCTTGAAGATCGAGTCACATGTCCATGTACCCTGCAGCGATGTCGCTATTTTTTGCGCCGCTTGTTGAATACTCTAAGTTGTTGAGAAGCCTTGAGGTGTTTCTCCGAGTTACCTTCTACATCCCTTCAGTCCATTCTGTGATGTTTTCTGCAGTCCGTTGGTTTTCGAGGAACCCCTAACCGAAAAAAAGGAAAGAGGAAGAAGCGAAGGAAGAAAAAGGAAAACTTTGTTAGGCCCTTTTTGGAGCTCTGCTGCGGCATCTCCAAGACTCTAGGCGTCATGGATGGACATATCTTGTTTGGGTGTTAAGTAGCTCTTCCTCGGCTCGCGCGCTGTGGAGTATTCCTTCGGTAATAACAGCTGATTTCGATGATTTGTAATGACACATGACAGTAAGCTTATAATTACATGCTGTAGACTCGTATAAATACTGGTATGATTTTTTTTTGAACTGAATATGGTTCTTGGGCACTGTACTTATATATACAAACTCTCGGGAATAGTTACCATATTTCGCTTAGCTTCCATGCGGAACCTACCTTTGCTACGCTTGCAGAGATCTGCACTCCGATCCTTCGGTAACCGCAACTTTGTTCCAACTACACCGTGACAATTATTGCAACTATGAGCAAAAAGCTCTATGCATGTGATGGGGAGGTCTAACGACTGTATTCCAGGCCACGGAATTCCTGGACCTTGCTCCTTCGTGTCAGGTTGAGCTCAGTCGGTAATACGCGCGATTCATCACGATGTCCACCAGATCTCCACTGGCAGGCGATGAAATTCGTACGATCCACTCCATGACCCATATGATTTATCATCGCAACAAAAACCAGCACAGCGGCGCCAAGTGGTGGAAATGGCTTCGTATATTGAAAAGCTCTATCTACAATCTTCTGATGGCACTTGAAGACGACATAACTGGAAATGCTGTTGCAACTTACGAAGACCACCTTCGAAGGCGTCTTATTCCCAGATGTTACCTGTATGTTTAATGCATTTGCGCTTCTCTTATTCGACATGTTACCAGTATTCCATCCGCAGAACTGACTTTATATCGTAACAGGGCCTTTTCTGCAGTTGTCGCAGATACGCAGTTCTCCGCTCTTGGCACGGTTTTATTAGCCATAGTTGCTCGCGTCGCAGGAGTCGTTGGGATACAAGAAGAGAATTTGCAAGAATCACCCGTTGCTTACGATGAAGTCGATAAGCCCTCATACGGCGTGGCTTTGGGCCAACCTCAAGACATAGGGGAACCAGTTCACCGAGCAACTAATGCCCCGGCACTTACTCGTCAGCAAGCGGATGATGAGTTGACTGCCGCAAGAGTACGACGTCCGAAAAGTAAAAGCGCAAGTGACGATCAAACCTCAGCACCGAATCCATCCAAGAGCAAACGACATGAGCCGTCTACTCGCAAGAAGCGAAAGAAGAATGCTATAGATGACCTCTTTAGTAATCTACTTTGATCAGATGAAATCCATGAAGCTTCTATTAACTCAAATATTCTGAGAGCGTCATGTTGCGTTTGTGGGCACCATCGAGTGCCAAAGAGATAGTTTGTTCCATTGGCATTATCATCTAGATTAAAAACACAGTAATGCAAGACTTTCACCTAGCACATTAATCACAATGTGATGTGCTGCAACCCAGGCTGCAGTGTAGAGAAATTTAGGAGAGAAGACTGTCCAGATAAAGAGATGTGTCCTTAGGACTGTGCATGCTGCCATGACAGACAACAGCATCATTGTAGAATGGAAGGTCAGGACTGCCAAGTGGTTTTGCCTGTCTACCTTGCCCCAACGTGGGTGAATAAGGTGTGTCGCGGACACCCACCATACTGGTCCGGCCCAATTACTCATGAATGTTAGGAATCCGACTAGGAGAATGTTGTAGTTGCCAACCCCATTATAGGCGCTGGATAAGTCGACGGAAGATATCGCATTTGATCCACCGAAGGCGAAGAAGCTCACATACTGTGAAATCAGTGATATGATGGTGATCTCTAGTCCAGTGAGGTCCATAGTTTCAAGAATGGATTTCTGGGCTCGGAGGACCAAAAACAACGGGATGTTTGTTGCTCTCGATTGAGTTATCAGAAGTAAACTTAAGGCCTCGTGTAGAATAATCCTTTCACCTGCGGTGCCGGTGTTAGTAATTTCGCGGCCAAGCAAGGTGAAGACGTACGTGTGTTTCCAGGACGGCGCCTCGTCCTCTCAGATACAGTGCATAGTATAACCAATGCGATGCCAAAGAAGACAAGTCTCGCTTGCATTATTAGCGATATCCTGCTCGCAACTGTATCCACAAACTTGCTCATCAGGGGATGGTCAAGGAGCGCTGGCGAATCGGCTGCTGTGAAAGACATCTTGAATGTCAATGCCAGGCATGTTACTATAAGGGATATTGACCTCTTAATGACCGCAAATCTGGATCCAGAAAAGGCAGAGATCATCCGACGGCAAGAGTCAAAATACGTCAGAAGGACAAGAGCCCACAATAATGTCGGATGAGAAGGTAAGAAGTTTCGTGCAATGTCGGGCTCAGCTGAAAACTTTTGCCCCGTCTGATTCCAACGTCTCATTAGTCGATAAGTGAGCATAAGAGCAATGGCATGCATTCTGGGAAATTGTGATTCAGCCGCATCAGATCTCGCCCTGTATTCGAAATCCCGTTAGAAGTGAGAATGCAATCAATACCGTTCCACTTACGACCTGATATGCAGATAGAATATCCACCCAGTGGCGACCCAATACCAGAACTGTTGCTCCTCCTCGACATAGCTGCTTGCAAACATCATTGAGCAATAGCCTGCGATACTAAGAATTAAGAATACGCCAGTACGGCTTGCTTTCGACAGCGGAGTAAAAATCGCGGGAAGAGAGAGTAGGACGGCGATCCCGGAGAACAATAGTCCCTGATAAAGTCTGGAAAGATCATAATTGCTAGCTGCATGGCTCATAAGCTCTTGCGCCATATATGAAAACCGGAACAGGTGGGACTCGATCTCAGCAAGAGTATCATTGCGCCCATCCGACGCCATGAGCATGTCGGAAATTTGATGCCAAGCGCACTCGAGCTCTTCAATATCGGACACCTTGGAGTCACAGCGGTGGAGTGGCGGCGTATTGTCAAACGCCCTGTTCGGAAATGCGGCTTTAACGATTCCTAGCATCTGGCTACAATTCTCCAAGAGAAGCTGGACTCTTTCCGAAACTGGGAAGTATTGATCAGCTTGAGGACTCGGGTTTTAGCACGGTTTCCGGCTATCTCTCACCATCATCCCACATTGTGAGAAGCTCCGGGATGAACACGCCCAAATTGTTTGTAGAGATAGGTATGCCAAGCAATCCTGCCAATGTAGGGGTTATATCTGACTGCTCGACTCTGCGATAGTATTGGAAATCCTCAACAGCTTCCAGGGGTGATGCATTTTCGAACTGCTTCTGCGCAAATTTCGGCGACATGAACACAAGGGCTGCTGATGTCTCACCCGCAGACGAACCGCCATGATTACCAGCGTCATTCATCCCGTGGTCACCACAGAGAACAAGAAGTGTCGACTGAAGATGTTCGTGAGTATCTATTGCGGTATAGATTTCTTTCACAATATCATCCATTTCATGTTGTTTCGGGAGCATATTCGGGCTTCGAGCGTATTAGTTAAGTTGGAGTAAGAGATGAACTCGACTCGTCCCATACCTCTTCGGCCCAGCCTTATGGCCGATATGATCCAGACCGAGATAATGCATGACCAGAGTAGACCAGTCATCCCGCGCAAGTTCGTCGGGAATATGGCGAGTCACATTATTGTCTACCTCAGTGAAATCCTAGCATAAATTACGTGAATTCAGCATTGATATAGACTTTATCACAGAATCTGATTTTACACTGACCGACACAAAAAAGCTCGTAGTTCCATCCGCTCTGTCAAACATTCCTGGGAACAGCTTCAACCAAGTATCATCTCCGTACATGACGAGGCGTCCTTCATATCTAGCCTTAAGCTGTGATAGCCACGTATCTTGATTGGCAAGGGTCGAAGTCGTATCAGACTCGGCTATGTTCAAGATTACGTCCAAGAAGGATGGCACTGAACCGGTGGTGATAGCCTTCAGACGAGGCATAGTCACCGTTGGAGGACTGGCATGAGCAGTGAAAGGAAGAGCGACACCGGATCGGATCAAGCTATACAGTTAGAGCGTTGCCAAGGAATATTATCTAGCTCATGGTAGCCAACCTTTGCGTGAACGAGAAACCCGACGCGTCGGAGTAGACAAAATCACTGTAACTGGGCGTTAGCAGAGTGCAGCGCTCTATAGAAGGGCCAATGGAGTGCTACCTTCTTAAAGCATCGACTACCATGAATATGAGCTTGTTATAGATTTGTGGCGGTCTACGGTATTCCCTTGAGTCGTCAAATGAAGCGTGCCCTTGCAATAACGGCTTGTAGGGAAAGAAGCCAGTCGCGAATATGACCATAGCGATCAGTACCAGCAAATTAGCGACAAGAGTCGCAAGCTTCATAATTGAAGGAGCCATTGCGCCCTGAATCAAACATTGGCGTAATCGGTAGCACCGTCAGCTCAGGGTATATTACAATGCAGATGCTACGATACCAACGCCGTACTTATTCCGCGGCATCTATTAGTTCTACCTGTCAACATGATCTACACCGCCTTCCAAATTCTGCCGAGTCGTTCCAATGCATAAGAGCAATCAACTTGTTCTTGTTAACTACATTCTACGTTTCTTGAATATACACAAAATACAGTAACAAATGTATACTAATGCCGGGAAGTTTGAATATACGATATTATTTAATCTAATATACTTATACTCAGGACGCCCATTGACAACCGGACCAAACATCTGGGACCATTCGTCGGTTCGGAGATTGTGTCGAGGTTGACCTGAGGGGAAAAGGCACGAAGTATTCATGATGATTGCCAATGTCGATGTATCACTTCCAATAACAGCCCAGACGCCAGCGCCTTGTCAACATAATAAAGCAGATCCTTAAAGCTCACCACCCAGATCACTTTCTCTTGGAGGCCCTCTTTTCTTTGTGAGGGTTCCGCGGAAATACAATCGACGAACGGGGCTTCTTGTTGCGACGCTTTTGCACACGACCGTTCTTTTTCGAGGAATGTGTCTTGGTAGTAGATTGATTCACTCCATCGATATCCATTTCTATTTGGCAACCATGTCAGCTGAACTGATCCGGTATCATTCTCGTAGGGGATACTTAGGGGAACAGAAGAGACGAGAAAGGTGCCAAAAATTTTCTTGCTATAGAAATGAAAGCAAAAGGAGTAATGTAATGGCTTACCAGCATCCGAGTTCTGCCCTTTGTGGTTGGCAGCATCTGCATCTTGCTTGTCTGGACCATGATTAGAGGACTCTGGTCTTGTCTAAACTGTTGGGGTGAGACATACCGGTAGTATTGTCCACTTCCATACCAGCTGCATCCGTATCTTTCGGTCGGGGCTGAGCTGCTAACTCCTGCAGCTTCGCAGAGAGCCTTGCCGTGCGGGCGTCCACGGCAGGCCCAAAAACTGTAGCTCTCAGCTTGGCCCTGTTGCGTTTCTGCACGCTGGATCGAATGCTCTTGGCCATTTTTTCGAGGAGGGTACAAAAATCCTCTCAGCCCAGTTAGAAGCGAAGAATAGCGATGCCTGGATTCTGCGTGAAATGAAAGTGAGAGCTTAAATCCGAGGACTTTTTTTTTTCTTGGTCTTCTTTTCCCGCTAGTTTTTGTTCCGCTCGGAGCGGCCTGTGGCGATAATAATTGAACTTGTAGTTAATTAACAAGGTGGGCTGCGTTCCCTGTCTTATGTCATCATATCACCTCAAAGTAGTTAACTGACTGCCTCCAAACCGCCGATACAGTGTATCGCATCTGTTAAGCAGATGTCTGGGATCTAGCTGCCCATCGTTTCGATTCCTGACTATTATTTATGGAGGGAACAGATCTGAAATGTCTCTGCGTCAAACCATCACGAGGAAATCTGCCGTCTCGAGCCACCACCTATCGTGACAAGCCCTGGTGGTCCCCAATCTAGCTACTCAGGACCTTTTGTTCACCCTCTCTTCTTCTCTCGACAATGGCCTCTCCAGGGCAGGCTCCCGATTTCCAGAGCATCACCGCCCTGATCAAGACGCTTACCAATGTTCAACTGAAGGATATCCTCCGAAACGAAGGCCTCACCGTTTCTGGCGTTAAGGTGTCGCTGCAGCTCCGCATTATTGACTGTCAGTTTATCAACCCAACACACCACTCCCCTCGTCCTTGCCTTGAAAACCCCTCTACCTTGTTCCTTCTCAGACTCGATTCCTTCGCTCCAGGCTTACATTTGCCGCTTGCTAACGTGCTGGATAGATATTGAGAGACTCTACCAAGGCGGACATATCGATCGCTATAATCAGCTCAAAAAGTTCATCTATGCCACTGCTCACCGGTCCCTGCCTAGCTCTCTGAGTCTGTCGCCATCAGCACATCCAAATAATCCTAGTTCCACACTCCAGCCCACCTCTGCACAGAGTAGGCAGTCCTCCCTTGGGTCAGGGATGACATCACAACCATTCTCGACAGGTAGGTCTATGCGCCTGCCGTTTTGTTCGCATTAGCTCACTATGCTCCAGGCCGTTTGACTTTCAAAGATAGTCCATTTTATACCATCCTAGAGCCTCTTACCCCGACTATGGAATGCAAAGGTGTGAGCGCATTCTGTTAATCCTTCAAAGAACTGAAGTGCTGATGAAATCTCCAAGTCCGAGAACATACAAGGGATAGTGTCGAACTTAGGGTGGTTCTTAACACGTCTGTTGCTGCAAAACTACAGAATGATCCGAACGTTAGAGTAATGGTCTACTGCGCCGCAGATACTGGTCTCAATCAGTACTCGAAATCAGACATTGCATTTCCTCATCAGGTTGAATTAAAGGCGAATCTCGACGAGGTTAAGGCAAACCTCAGGGGCCTCAAGAACAAACCTGGGTCAACAAGACCAGCTGATGTGACAAACCATATCCGGAAAAAGCCAGGCTATCCTAACCATATTGTCATGACATACGCCCTGACCCAGAAGGCAAGTATTTCCCCCACGGCCAAAAGCAGTATCAACAAGTGTACAGTGGTGTTTTATGCGTGTCATTCTGCTAACCTCCCATACAGAAGTTTTTCGTTCTCGTAAACCTAGTTCAGCGACATCCTGTTGAGGAACTCGTGGCAAAGCTGAAAGCGAGAAAGACCATCTCCAAGGAACAGGTAGTCCGAGAGAGTGCGTTATATTTTCCCCGGAATCATGCTCTTTGCTCTGACCTCTTCTAGTGAGAAGCAGAGCGGAAGACTCAGATATCATCACGACTTCCAGCATTATGTCCTTAAAATGCCCCCTATCGACCCTGAGGATCGAGGTCCCATGCCGATCGGTCATATGTACCCACAACCAATGCTTTGATGCGTCTTCCTTTCTTCAACTACAGGAGCAAGCACCTACCTGGACGTGTCCTGTCTGTAACAAAGCCACGAGCTTTGAATCATTGCAGATTGATCAGTATGTTATCTCTTTTCCCAATTCGAAATGCGTGGTTAGATCTAACAGGCTAGATATGTGGACGATATACTCCGGTCTACTCCCCCAGAAGTCGATCAAGTCATAGTAGAGCCCACTGGCAAATGGTCGAATCCAAAGGACGAAGAATCAACACCACAGGGTGGTGGAGTGACACCCGCCACTGATGACGACGATGACTTAATAGAGATTAAAGAACCCTCCACGGTGCCGTTAAAACAGGAACCCCTTCCAGTGCATATTACACTGCAACGGACACCTGCGCAGTCACGGGAGCCATCGACTACCTCGTCTGCTACGAGACCATCATCCAACAAACGATCAGCCGCCCAAGTGATCGATCTCACAGGCAGTGATGATGAGGAAACTCCACCTAGGCAACCAAAGAGGCAGGCTCTTAGTCTCCCGGGCCAATTGTTCCCTCAACACAGATTGCAGGGCTCTTTTGGCCACACTTCGGGGAACGGGGCGGACTCGAATTTCTCTTACCAAAACGGCTTCTGAGTCCCCCCTTCCCCGGAGGACAGCCACTTACATTACCTCGTGATCTGATACAATTATTCATGGTTATACGGCGCGCATGGTCTTTTATGGCGTTAGATGGTGCCGGAAAACGGATGATCTACGGATATTTTCTTAAGGTACTGATTACCGCTAGGATGGTTGGTGATTGATTTCGGTCAAGCACTGGAGTACTTGTCCCCTTTCAGACATGTTAGCTGCATGTCATTAATCTTCTTTGACGACTGCTAGCGCGGGAGCATAACTGAAGATGGCTGATAAGTCCCGAGTTTCTTTCATGACCTGATGATCAATCGTGCTATATTCTCTGTAGATAAACAATTATACCAAGAACTCTGGTTTTGCAATCGATTTCTGGGCTGTCTCTACTGCAGTAATCTGAATGGAACTAGTACGCTGTCTTTATCTACCTACCTAGGTAGGCACCTAGGTATCTAGATACTAAACTACTGCGGGCAATCTGCCGAGGCCGGGGCTAAAGGCTAAATTCACCTACCCACTCATTCCGGACCCCGTAAGTACCAGTGCCTAGGCGTTAATATTATTTACTAGGCCTAGGTACTACTGATCTCCGCGACATCACCTCAGGTACCTACTACGAACAAGCGCGACAGTGGTGTGTCACAAGGGAACCAGAAGAGAACAATTTTTGTCCGCGCTGCTGTCTGACCTAAATCCAGGCGGGCTTTCCGCCTCATCGATGATCTCGGGGGTAACTCTACCGCCCATTCCACCACCGTCACTCGCGTCTCGCACCATACTACCTCATACCCCAATCCAATGTCTTTCGATACTCCGTTACCTCCATACAGCGCGTCTGATCCTCACGCCCGATTCTTAGGCGCATCATGCCTCGATCTGCTTCTTATAGAGATTGTGCCGATGGCGGAGCGTCTGGTGCGGGAACTATCGACTTCCGAGGACGGCATGGATGACGAAGAGCAAAAGGAAGCGACGTTTTTTCGTCTGGAATCATTAGGATACAGAGTCGGACAAGGTCTTGCTGAGAGGTGAGAGAGAGAGAGGAGAGAGAGAGAGAGCATGTGCTGTCCAATGTTCCTTTGAACATGAACAACACAGCCTGACCCTCCCCCCTCGCGAGACGAGTTGATAAGCAGGACTCAATTCGCAACCTGCGCTTATCGTTCGTATGCTGACTGACTGGTTTCGATTTTTCTTTTCAAAATAGATTCTCTCGAGATCGACCGCGATTCACAGATAACCTCGACGTCATCAAATTCCTATGCAAAGATCTATGGACGATTCTGTTCAGGAAACAAGTGGATAATTTGAAAACGAACCACAGGGTGAGAATGAGCGCCCGGATGATATGACAGAGCTGGAATGTCGAATATACGGGGGCTGACATTGACGTCCAGGGAGTCTTCGTTTTAACTGATAATTCCTTCCGGCCATTCAGCAGGATGAGTATGGCCGTACGGAGTGACGCCGTCGCAAGAGCCCAAGCCGTGAGATCGCCCATCTAAGCAGACCACATTTGAATTGCCAGGCTAACTAACGTTTGCTTAGTATTTATGGTTCCCGTGCGGTGTAATACGCGGCGTGCTGGCCAGCATGAATATAAATGCTACAGTACAAGCAGAAACGTCCGATCTACCGGGGGCGACCTTCCAGATCAAAACCATCCTTCCAAAGCCGTGAGCTGCTGGACAGACTTCTCGCGCGCTTTCATTTACACACTATAGCCTGATGACATATGGAGAGACGAGTGGGAACGATGGAGTTCATGATTTAAAACTCATGCTAGTTTTCTAATTTTCGGCGAGACCCCGCTTAAACACACGTCTCCAGAAGTTTGAGCTGTTAGAAATTACAGATAAGGGAGGGCCTCCCGATTCTGTTCTCTGAATTCAACTATCGGCTGTCTTAAAACGCCTTCGTGACAATTCATTCAATGGTTCATCGTGTCAAGGACCTAATACTCAAAGCCTATCTTCCCAGCGTAGCAGCCATTAGCACGAATCCTCCGAACAGCTTTGGGAAATTCCATTGATGACACTTGATGGGGTTGAATATATGTTATGGTGATACAGGAAACAATGAATCTAGGGAGGATGCACTGAGAGATAGCCAGCGACTGGGAGTGGATATTTACTTTGGGGGAGGGTTGTTGACGAAGTCAATGCCTTTCTCAATGTTGCCCTTGAGGCCCTTGATGGCAGCCTCCAACAGCTTCTTCTCCTGGTCGGAGACGCCCTCGAGGATGTTGACAGCCTTCTCAGCACCGTTGGCCTTTTCAATGGTGTTAGCATTGTGAACCCGAAATCAATGAGCGTCATTGAGGATCTACTTACTCCCAATTCCACGGGGACGGAGAAGAACTCAACGCCAGTCTCCTTGGCAATAGCATCACCGCCAGGGACACCAGGCAGGTAGACGTAAGTAGGCTCTAGGATGTTCTTCTCGCCCTTCTGAGCCTTAATGACACTCTCGGCAAATCTACAAAAACCGTTAGCGAACAGCTCATCATTGACTGGAAAGCTGGGTGTCGCACCTGAAACCAGCATAGGCCATGGAGAGGGTGGCAGAACCAGCACCATCCTTGGCCTTCACGACCTCGTCACCGCCAAACTGGACACCTTGTTCATAGTCAGCTAAATGAATTCTGGAACCTCGCCTTTCAGGTGCACTTACGGTTCACCAGAGCATCGTACTTGTCTGCAGGGATCTGGAAAGAAGGCTTGGCCTTGCTGAAAAGAGGGACAATGGTCTCTCCGGAGTGTCCACCGACAACGGGGATGAAAGTCTGGGATGGGTCTGCCTGACCACTGTACTCCTGAACGAAAGTCTCGGCACGAACAACATCCAGGGTAGTAACACCAAAGAGGCGCTTGGGGTCAAAGACGCCCGCCTTCTTCAGGACCTCTGCGGCAATGGGGACGGTGGAGTTGACAGGGTTGGAAATGATGAGGATGAAGGCCTTGGGAGCAAAGTCTGCGATGCCCTTGACCAGGGTCTGGACAATGCCAGCGTTGACCTTGAAGAGGTCATCACGGGTCATACCCGGCTTTCCTGTACGGAGAAATCAGTCAGAGCTCGAGCTGATACATATACAGCGTCCAATGGAGGGAGACTAACGGGGAATGCCGGCTGGGATGACGACAATATCAGCGCCAGTAAGGGCATTCTTGAGGCCATCATCCTTTGGCAGGAAACCAGAAACCTTCTGTTCAGATGTGAGCGCCATGAGCAAGCAGAAGGAGTGGTGAAGGAATACGTACGGCTCTGGAGGAGATATGAGAGAGATCTGCGGCAACACCAGGAGTGTTCACCACATCGTAAAGACCGAGCTCATCGACCAGAGGGCTGGCTTTCAGGAGCAGAGAAAGAGGCTGTCACGGCGCAAGGTCAATCAGCGGATTATTCAAGAGATTGACAACGGTATAGAGGATCGATTCCTACCTGGCCGATACCACCAGCAGCTCCGAGAACGACTGCGAGTTTGTTATGTTAGCAGCTGCATGGCTACTACAAACTCAGAGAGGGAAAAACCAACCTGCTTTAACCATGATGAAGGAGTCTGAAGGGTTCGTTTATAATCTGGTTGTACGGGTTGGATGTCAGTAGAGGAAGCAGGAGGAAATGATGGATGACAGCAATGTTGACGGGAAACCCGAGGAGCTCGAAAAAGGCGGGGTGGGAGGAGGAGAGGAGGGGCACTGCGGCCAGGGACCAAGGGAGGAAGGCACGCGGCTGATCGGATACGTAGACTAAACGCCGCAACAGAGGACGTACCAAGAGGACAGGCAGCAATTGGGATGGTTAATTATGTCGTGTTGGCTTCTGCTTGACTGCCAACCTTAAATCTGACTTAATATGGTGGGAGGGGACTACGAGTATATATATACCTATATATATATATATATGCATTATTTCCAGGACAAAGGGAAGGCGATCGGGAACGGACAACGTGTGGGGTTGACGGGTGCGGGCGAACGCTCGCTGGACCATACCAATGGTAGATACAGCACAGAGGCAATTGTTACGAGCTTTCATGGAGGCTTGTGTCATCGCGGTCTTGGACCTCTCGCCAATAACGAGGCTGACTCTCTTTCATGACCCATCCTGTCATCGGGTAAAGGCGGATGAGGTTGGCAGTCTACGGGAATGGCACGGAAGAGAGCTTACTAGGGGATTCACAGATATTGGCAAGTCCCGAGGCAGATCAACTCCGTCCATGGCAAGCCGGATGGAGCTCCCGACCTCGGCCAAATACATATGTAATACCATGCTTCAACGGTTGGCCTATTTTCCGTGACGGAAGAACAAAAAAGAAGACACTGGATTTTCGCCCAGACACCGACAATGAGGACCCAACAGGACAATATCTAAGTCACACTGAGACTAGATTCAAGGCATGTCTTGTCGCCTTTCGTTCCATTACACCACCCCTAGAGGGACGTGACCCAGTAACAGCCAGCCTGGTGACTTCCCTGAATATGCCACCCTTCCGCTGGATTTTTTCCTTTTCTCGGATTGTTTTGACGGTCGGTTGAAAATGTGTTTACGCAGACTCCTTCTCGGCGGCTCTGGCCTTGGCTCCCCGGACCTTGGAAGGAGGAGACACCTTCTTGGTGCGCTGGGAGCGACGGATGGCGCTGACACGGGCAACAGCCTCCTCGCGGAGGTCAGCACGGTAGCCGTTCTTGGCAGTGTTGTTGGCGACACCCTTGTAGATCCTAGAAAGAGAGGTATCAGCACTGCCCGCAGCGATGCTGATGGCATGTGTCCTGAGACACCGCACTTACTTGCGGTTGGAGGCGTTAGGGCCCCAAGTGACGGTGTTGATGCTCTGAGCAGGTTGCTGGGGCTTGCCAGAAGTCTTGGAGATGAAGACAACGCCGCCCTTCTCGGTGGGCTGGACACCAACAGCCTATAAAAGAGGTGTAAGTACCCGTATCGTAGGGATTCATAGCTCCAATGTCGGAGGCACGGGCCATACCTTGTTGTTGGAATAACCAGCGTACTAAAATGATGACGAGTTAGCGCTCCAATACTTCGTGATGCCGGAATTCTGGTTTATACCTATCAGGTACATACCTTGAAGGAGTTCTTGTTGATCAGGTTCAGAGGGTCACGAGAGAACTGGACACCACCGGCGCTGGGGCGCTTGACCAGAAAAGCATTCTGGTTGCCTGTACATCCAATGTCGAATTAGTCCTATCTCCTATCCCAATGTAACTGCCGGAACAGGGCGTCCTGGAAAAAAGTGTCGGCACATGCATAACTGCGGAGGCGCAACATTTATCCCGGGTCTCTCAAATAAAGGTGGAACGTACGGGTGATCTGCCAGATCAGGTCGTTGGAGACGTTGGATCTCTCGGTGGCCATTTTGACGGTCGGGATTGTCCTGGTGATGGAAAGGGGACAATAAGGGCGATTAATGTCGTTCTTTCTTGTATCCTTCGACGAGATAATTGTGTGCGCCGGCGCCCAGAACAATAACGGTAACTAACTGGGGCCGCTGCGAGCCCTGTCCAGCTCGCTAATTTAGCCCCTTTTAGTCTAGTGCAACAAGGCATTTACTCATGCCTGAAATTGCAGGCTTCAAGGCCGTGCTCGGAAGTCGGCGGCGTGATCACGAGTAATAATACGACGACGTTGCCTGCTTTTGTATCAGCTCAAACCACCGGCCTCTCTTCCCTAAATACCCCAAGAGCTTATCATGGCAATCGTCCATCTGCACCGCCAGATGCAGATTGTGTATCGTATCACAGCATAGGATATCTGGCATACTCCGCCGCTGTCTGACCTCATTCGCTTGAGATACCTAACTAGTCACGTCACATCTCTCGATTCCTCATTTCCTCACTCTCGTTTTACCCAGCCATCTTACACTATGGGCTACTATTTACTCTATACCCTGACTCTGTCCGTTCTGGTCTTTGGGACTGGTAAGCTTTCTTTCGGCTCTCCGAAGTACGCGTATCTGATGGTGGTCCGAGCTGACGGTTCAAATAGCGCTTTATCTTACTCGGTCCCGATGGATGCCGCTGATTCCAATACCTGATTATCTATACGACCGTCTGCCTGACAGCTTTACCGCTGATATTGAAGCTGGATTTACATCAACCGATTTCGACCTATCTGCCAACGTCGCGGAAGGCGACTCTAGAGCGGGGCTAGACCGGAAGGCGAAACGCGAGATTCGAAGATTGATGAGGAGCAGGCGCGTCAATTTCGACGAGGCTCGTCGGTTATATACAGAGCAGCGATTTGCGAAGAACAACATCGGACCCGATGGTCGGCCCAGGGATCCTAAATTCGTCTCGTTCTCATGATTCGCGAACTTTATGCACAATGCATCTCACATATGGCCTGTTCTGAGCAGACTGTATCCGCGTGACACTGCAATGATATGACCCAAATACCCTTTGGCCTTGGAGACAGAGCGCCTGGGATCCGGTGTCATCCCTCTGACGGCTAAAGCCCTTGACCTGCGGAACTATCAAAAAAATCCCCAGTGCATGACGCATCTTTCCCTTTTTCTTATCTTCCTTCTAAGTTCCCCTTAACAAACAATTCAGTACCCAACGATTCGTACACATTCCGGGCTGCGTCTTTCCACTGCTGTTCCATGCACTCGTTCCACCATTTCAGTCACATGTACTAATCATCGCGTCTGGTTAAAGAGCGAAATAGAAGGTCTTTTCAAGCGCTGATATCCACTGCTGAGTAAACCCCTGTGCGCGGGTTTCTGGGATCAAGAAGATCACCTATCCGACGCGGGGTGAAGAAATTGGCGCAAACCCTTTTTCTGAAGGTAATTGATTTAGCCTCTGCAAGATAGGCAGCTAATTCAGCGACCTCGGCCGTATCCTGGTTGTTGGAAACCGGGTGGTAATGGTGGAGGGTGTCCATGAGCGCCCATTTGCGGTGGGAATCCAGCAGGGCTGCCAAATCCAGGAGGTGGTATAGCCCCCTGGGGTGGAAACCCAGGCTGCTGACCAGCGTTATTGAAGCCGGGAGGTACAAATGCCTGTGGTCCTCCATAACCCGCCCGTGAGGGAGGTGGTCGTGCCGGGAGACCGGGAGGCAAAGCAGCAAGTGGCTGGGGAGGATGTATGGGCTTTTGTTGCTGCGCAGGCATTACGTTCTGGTAGCCAGCATTTGTAGGGGCGCCTCTTCCGACGCCAAAATCGGGGGTTGCACCGTTCGGGGGGCGAGCACCGTCGCTGTTAATTGTACCTGCTGGTATCATAGGAGCCCCTCCACCCACTACCTGTGGGGGAACTGGCTGAATCTGAGGCTGAACGTTATGTTTCCGTGCTTGTGCAGCGAGCATACGCTCTGCTTGATCACCGTGTCGTTCGCCCTTGCCATCTTTCTTATATGCGTACTGAACCGAAACCTCCTTGTTCATCAAATATTGACCGTTCATGTTGGCTATCGCTGCATCGGAGGCCTCGAAATCAGCGAATGATACAAAACCATAACCCTTCGATAGGTTGGCTTCATCGCGAGCGATCTATTGGAAGTTAGCGCATATTCCAGTAATTTTGCAATTAAGTGCGTGAATATTTACTTTTGGTATTGAGATAAGTGTCCCAAAGCGGCTGAAAGTATCGTAGAGCACTTGCTCCGTGACCATCGGAGCCAAGTTGCCAACGAACAGTTCCGCGCCGACCTCGACCGTCTTCTGTTTGTCTGCAGATGCTTTATTCACTCGTATAGGCTTGCCGTACAGGCGGACTCCATTCATTATCCGCGCAGCATATTCTGCATCTTCCTCACTGATAAACTCGACAAATCCGTAGCCCTGGTGCGTTTGGGTGACTCGATCTTTGGGAAGATGAACGTTAACAATGCGACCAGCCTGTAACATCAACTCCCATACGAGACTGTCTGTGACCCGTTCATCCAGATTTCCGATGTACACAGTCGCTTCCTTGTCCTGTTCCCTATTGAATTATCAGCGCTGCCCAAGGACCAGTGTCTTTCTAGTTGGCTTTGAGAATTAAGAGGTGATCGTACCAGTGCCTTCCGCCCGACATGGCGACGATTCAATTGGCACCCTGCCTGAGGTTAACCACACAGACGAGAGAACTCCAAACGTATAAGCACGCGATAGCAGGAAAAAGGTAGCTGTGATTGTGCTGCAGTAAGCTGGTGAACGTGGGGATACCTGCAGAGTGAAAGTTGCAATGCGGGTTGGGAGCTCGGGGCGATCGTTGGTTAAGTGACGGAAGCTTATCCTTGCCTGTGCCTTGCGGCTCTAAAGAAATTTCGGCTCGGCGACTCGACGTATCTTGCTTTTAACTGCGGTCTCCGTCACTACAACTCATCCACATCACCTTTACCCGACGTCTTTTCACGCCATCATAATTCGCTTTTGTTTCTTATAGTCTAGTTCCCTTCCTGAACACTCAAATTTGACCCGCCGTGTTTCTTTTTCGTTCACCAAAACACATTGCCCAAGATGGTTCAGTTCTCAGAGGAAACCAAGGTCAGTGATGCTGTTTATATTCTCGCGAAGGCAAAGTACACTGACTCAAGGGTTTAGGAGCGCATCTCGAAGATCATTGACGTCTCTCGAGTCGCTATCCATTAGTGAGGCTCACAGCAATTCAGGTTTTATGGAAACGTGGACTGACAGACGACCGTGTCTATAGCGGATACCTGCCTCTGATCATGTATCTCGGTATGCTACCTCCTCTGCTATTTCTGAATTTCTTCTCCGCCCTTCATTGTGCCATTACTGACATAGCACAGGCTACACCTACAGCGAGCCCCGACCATCGCTCTTCAAGTACCTATCCCTCCCGTTCACACTCGAGGTCAGCAGCACCTAACCTTCCATCAACAGGCTCTTCTCGCCGCTCGCATAAGATCCGACATGTAAGATAAGGATATGTTGTAATGATTGTCAACCGGGAGCCAGCGGCTTTATAGTGGCAATATGATCGACCTTTGAACTGGAATCTCTCTTCTCAAATGCCGCGTGTTCAGTGGAGGCAATTTCTATGTCTAGGCCACCCCAGCATATGGCTAATTATTTGTACTTTTATCTCATACGAAGCTCTTTCTTTTTTGGTGTCGTTGGTGCTTCGACATGATTTTATCTCCGTACGCGCCCGGCCTACCCAACCACTTCGGGCGCGCGGAAAACAAAATGGAATATATGCACAAGTATCCACTGGAATATATATAATGTTAAAGCTCTAAATAATCCCCTGGATGATTTGTGGGGGCTGAGTCAGTTGCGCTCGTAAACTCCTCTGCCGGCTGGTCCGGGGCTGCGTCAATCTGGAAGCTACTTAACTAAGTAAATGAACTTGAGCTAGTTACTTGCGTAATAACCTTTTTAAGCTTCTACGCGCCCAGATACCTATAGACGTCCCCAGTCGCAAACTTCTTCCACCCCGTTTCAGCAGCACCATCAGCTGAAACTACATGACCATCAAAAACGTGTCATCAAGTCCATGACCGATAAAAATGCATTTTCGCCATCCGTGGTTGAGGCTATAGCGGGGTTTACAGCAGGGGTGATCTCGACCCTTTGCTTCCATCCTCTCGATTTGATCAAGACTCGACTTCAAGGTATGGCATACCATATTCTTACCAATGCACACAATTACCATCTTCGAACAATAATCGCAACGAGAAGAGAACAACTGAACTAACCAGCGTTATTGCAAAACTTCTAGTGGATCGGCAATCGTCGTCTCGAATCGGCAATTCTCTGAGGGTGATCTCATGGATATATCAGAATGAAGGCGGTATTCCTGCCTTCTATCGGGGCCTCAGTCCCAATATTATAGGCAATTCGACCAGTTGGGCGTTCTATTTCCTCTCGTACGGCAAGGTCAAACAGGTGATGCAGACGCTGCGCGATAATGAACAGGATGTCCTCGGCTATTCGGATTATTTCATTGCGTCAGGAACAGCTGGTTAGTTTTGACCGTCGAGGGGGAAATCACCCCAAGGATACCTGAGAGAAATTTGTTAATAGACTTCTTCAGGTCTCTTAACTGCCGTTATTACAAATCCTATATGGGTCATAAAGACGCGCATGTTGTCGACCGGCTCGCATATTCCCGGAGCATATAAGTCTTTTGCATCCGGAGCGAAGGAGATATTACGTACGGAAGGAATTGCGGGTTTCTACCGTGGTTTACTTCCTGCTCTTTTTGGCGTTAGCCATGGGGCGCTGCAGTTTATGGCTTACGAGAAGTTAAAACTGTACCGCCTTGAGACAATATCTCAAAGTACCATAACCACCACCGCAGGATCGGGCGGTATGGCCCAAGGCCTCAGCAATACCGACCTCCTCCTTGTCTCGAGTCTGTCGAAGATATTTGCTGGATGCATTACCTACCCATACCAGGTTCTGCGGGCTCGGTTACAGACTTACGATGCGGCCCTCATGTATCGAGGCGTTGCGGATGCTACCGTGCAGATATGGCGCAGAGAAGGCATCAAAGGGTATTATAAGGGACTCGGTCCTAATCTACTGAGAGTCCTTCCCAGCACGTGGATGACATTCCTTGTATATGAAAACACCAAAGCTTACCTAACGGGTTAACAGTGAATAAAAAGACTACATGCCTACTATACAGCCAGGGACTCAGCCAGAAGAGTAGCCATATCTTACTCCTGGGTGTCCAAGAACAAGGACACTGGTTCATAATGCGCTTCTTGGACGGGTACTCTAGTCATCGTTTAGATGCCTTTTGACAGTTGGGCGCGTCAACCTAGAACCCGACAATGAGTGCTACTCGTATGTAGTCTTTCGATGAAGAATTTGCCTTCCCGTTATCCGTTGCCTTCTGCCCAAATATCAAAGTAATCCGCCAGCACCAGATATGTAGCCAGAGGGATGGTTTGAGAGCTACCCCTGTATGCACGAAATTCCTATCTTCACGCCGTGACCGAAAAGCTGTCTTATGGGGGCAATTATCGTTAGGGACAGAGATATATGCATACGTTGAGCTCCGCAGCAGTGCTGCACTTCCCTGATCTCACAATCATCAAGATTTAAGCCAGAAGCCAAAAGAAGATCATCGGCAAGGACTCGAAAATGGACGTAACTCTGAAGCTGGAGCCAGTCTTTATGTGAGATATATATATCTAGTTAATGAGAATCCATATTCACACCTCTAGGGACAACACAACCCCCGTCGATCCCTCTCCGGTCAGAAAGCGACTCCGCTGGGCCTTTGATCAGGCCATACCGGATCGTATTTGCACATCGTCGTCGCTACTGAATCCTTCATGCGAGGATAGCTCGAACCTATGGTGATGTATGCTGCTGTCGTCGTGACTGATACTTGCCCTCCTGAGCCTGTGTTCCCCATCCACCGGTGAACTTGATTTGGTACCGGAGGAAGAAGAGATCCGACGATCCTTGCCTCTGCCTTTGATACCTTTGTTGCTGTTCTTGTAGAGCTCCGCGAAGTGTTCCCAGAGCTCTCGATCCTTGGGAGTCATCGGGTCCCCTTCACTCATGGAGGAGAATTTTATCGTGAGGTTCCGTATTGTCGCTGCATGGAACTTGTTCTGGTGCGACTGTTGTTGTTCTATAAGCGAATGCTAAATGGTATGGGGAGATGCAGAAGATCCAAACCTTGAGGTTTCCAAGCTGTGTAAACTGCTTTCCGCAATCATCCAGGCGGCAGGTGAAGGGCTTCGCCTGTTCGTGTGTGATTTTATGAGCACGCACATTACCCCGTTGAGCGAATCGCTTCTGGCAGATATCGCAGGAGTAGGGCTTTTCGCCGGTGTGTCGTCTTTCATGGGTCTGCATGATGGAATATCGACGTTAGATCCTTTGACTTGATACTTTCCAAGAGCCACATCACACATACCTTGAGATTTCCTAGCTGCGAGAAGCGTTGGCCGCAAGACGGTTCCTTGCATACCTGTGTGATGAATCCAGATTGTGTGAGTAATTTCATCTTTTATGTTTAGCAGACATACGTCTTCACTCACAAATGGTTTGTCGCCAGTATGAGCTCGCATATGTATATCAAGATGAGTCTTCTGCGAGAAGCTCTTTTTGCAATGGGGCAAGGTGCATTCATACTTGCGTTTTGACTTCTGATTAGTCGGTTTCGAAGTAACTGGGCCTTCCAGCTGTTGGTTCGAATACGGCGGCGTGTAAGTGGCATTTCCAGCGTGAGATAGCTCTTGAAACGATGGCAGTTGGTGAGAGGGCTGATGAGATCCGGCTGGAACGGACTTGGATTGTATCGCTTTCATCAGCATATCGACCTCTGTCGAAAACGCCGGCTCAGTGGCCTTACTTTGCTTTCCCTCATTCGATGTAGGTCCAAAAGCAAGAGTATCCAGTCGAAGGTCGGGGACCTGGTCGGGTCTGAAGGATGATCCCCTGGATTCCCCCGGGAGAATGTTCCTTCCATGACGGATATTCGGGGGCGAATGTGGGTGAGGAGGCTGTGATCTGGGCCCAAACAGCTGTTGGTAATGTCCTGGAAGGGTGTTAAGGATGTTGTGTCCGTATCCATAGGGCGAATGACACGGAGACGCATATGTGACTGGGGAACTGGAATAGAAAGGAAGAGCATGGTCCATGTTTGAAACCATTAGACGCCGGCTCGACAGACCCCCAATATTGTGAGCAGAAAGATCGTATGGAAGGGGAACTCCTGTCTCCATTTTTGGTAGCAGAGAGGGCAGAGCCGCTCGCAACGCTGGCAGGTGTAACGCTTTCCCCAACCAGATCAACGTCGAAAATCAGCCACACCACAAAAGCAGGGTGAAACGAAAAAATACGGCAGGTGATATTTGAGGAAGGTAGGGGAATATGTTTGTGGTCTTCTGTGTCTTTCTCTCCTTTCAGTGGAAACTGAGTGAGGATGAAGAGCGTTCTCAACACACGGAACAGCCACTCCTGAGGACTCTCGAAGACCACAGCGGTGCTTTCCAGTTGCAAATAGCAGTTGCCTCAGATCACACAAGAGAACCTGCTGAGATTTGAGTCCGTGATACCTTGGGAGGGTCGACTTCTCGATGACAGTGTAAGCGCGTATCTGAAGTCCACGGTGGAGATCTACAACTAGATATAGGGAACCAGCGGGCCCCGACAGCGGCAGTCAACAAGTGGGTAGGGGACTACATGGCGGACCAGGCATCTGGGACTCATTAGACAGGTTGGGGCGGTTCGGCATCTCCACAGGCCATCTGTTTTGTCGATGTACATGTATGTATGTACATACATACATACCGAGCGGACCCCAGGGTCTGCGACGGACCGGCATAGGGCAGGAAACAGCCAAGAGCTCATTAAAACGGCGGGTGCCCAAGCAGGTGGACTTCCTAGCGTGCAGATAAGCCGCTTAAGGAACGCCGGCAGACAGGACAAGTGGGTGATTTGCATCGGACCGGGCTGCCATCTCTAGATACAGTGGCTATAACACTGCGTGGAGCGAGCGTTTCTTGGAATGCCAGGCCAATCGCGGAAGACCAGGCTGTTCCCGCTCCTGGAAGTCCAGCCGGGCAGCCAACGCCATGGGATAATCCGTGCAGCATCAAATGAGACTAAGAGGCGTTCTCACCTGTTGTTCGCGCCGGGAGCCTAGGGCACGTCAGCTACTGGCCTTGTCCGGTTTGGGGGCAGCTGGAGAACGAGTCTTTCTTCCATCAGGTCCAAGGAACGAAACCGCAGGCAAAGATGGCGCCCAGGCTATTAGCTCGTTCTCGTGGGGTCCTTCCCTCGGATCGTTGGAGATCAGAGAAGAGAAGCTAAGCTGGAAGGTTTCGACGAAACAAGCTAAAGGATCTCTTCTACGATGTACGGAGTACAGTATATTCAAGGAACGTTCGCTGACTGTGTTACAGGCCCACCATAACATGCTTATCATCAGCGGGCAGCATCGAGATGGCCGAGAGGAATGGAATATTCTATGAATAATAGCAACAGCCAATAGCCAATAGTCCGTTATACAGCACACAAGACCATTCATCGATATGTCTCCGATGTTGAATACAGACTCATATATCTCACACATCTCAGAGCAATAGAATGTCTCGAGTCATCCACCCACTGGACGGATTGGTCTCCTACCATCGCTTCCGCGAGCCATCTAAACTTGGAAGAGCAAGCAATGAACCATTGTTTGGACTCCAACGAAGATCGCTTAGAATGAGAATGACACAGTCGGAAGTCCGATACGCTGCGGTAGGCCCACCGTGTGAGGCGGAAGGAGGTCGAGAAGATTCCTGTCCTGACAGTCGAATCTTCAGACTGGCCGTCTCAGATCATGACAGCGCGAACCAAGCATGGCTGGCGGGGAAGAAACATGCCCACTGTAGGGACTTCCATGATCGACAGGCAGGCGAGCGCCTGCTCAGACGCTAAGGACGGTAAGCGTGGGCGTTCGACTTATGATCTCGCGAGAAAAGAGGGTTACGGACCGCAGTTAGCGCTGCTGATAACTACTGGTTCTCTACCCAGACGGAAATGCCGACGATGCATAGATAGATTCTCTGCTCTAGTTTAAGATCCCCTAAGGTCGGGAAGCGCGGAGGCATGATGATGGAGCAACACTCTGAGTCTGACCTAACTTAGCGGGAAAGGCAAGGATAGTCATAGCTAATCTACCAGCCATGAACATGCGGTACTGTGGGCAAAGACTTACAGCGGCCAACTTGGGGGCTGGAAGACGGTAAAGAGTGGCAGGGGGGCAGACAATTTCAGGAGGTTTGCGGGCTTGCTTGGACAATGAGAATGAGACGGTGAGAAAATGGTCGATGTCAGATCACAGGCAGTGGATCCTGCTGCTGCAACACCTTCGAGATCTTCCCCCCTCTCCCACGCATGACAAAGAGGCAGCAGCCGTCAAGGCTGCGGATTTGCAGTCACGTATTATATTGTTGCGTTTCATTCTCATGGAAGAGTGTCGCTGATTAGACGGACCAGGACTTTTCGACATCATGGCGCATACAGTGCGGGTGAAGAGAGGATAGACTATGGCAACTATTATGCCCTGATGACTCCTCTTCATCTGATGTGATATCCATGTACGGAGTAGTAGCCCTCTACACTCCCTTGCTCCGGATTCTGTTACTGACACAGAGCACTAGTGAACTAAGTTAGCTAACGTTAGCACGATGGGATGTTGTCATCCGGTCCCTGTAACTCGGGCCTCGTATGTTCCTGCAGCCATGCAGGTCGTCTTGCGATAGAGCCGCCAGGAGCTCTGAAGCGCCACGGCTCCAACCGAGCGAGGGCCGTTCTGTAGAGAGCGTCGAGTACTCGCTACATTGAGTAAAAAAACAGAGAAGGCTGTGTGCCGCTCGTGCGAGACACGTTCTAACCGCCGGGCGATTGTTCCACCATCACCACCACCATCACGCTTTCCAACTCGTTTCTGGCAGTTCTCAATTCGACTCCATCCGGGTCACACGAGAACTGGTTCTCGCTGGCAGCAGGACGAGATTGACCGCCGAACCGCAATCTCAGATCTTGCAGATCGATCGCTACGAGCAACCTTATGATAGAACTACTTCAAAGCATCAAGGTCTCGTATTTACGCTAGGGAAGACGCAGGCGGGTCCGTGGGGGATGCTGCGGTGTGAGAAGAAGAATGGACTCTGCGGTTTGGGGAACTTGTCGTCGCCACGTCGCCGTTCTGCGGGCTTGAGAAAATAATCCTTAGCCGCCAATGGCACCAGAAAATTCGAGGCCGAAAACCCATCATTGGAGGAAAATCGCCCTTGCACCAGGTGACCCCCCGACGACAGTGCTAAAACAGAGGCTCTTCAGCCACACCCGGACCATGTATTAGAATGATATTCACCAAGATCCAGCTAAAGATGAAACGCATCTGAACTACTTCGTCACAGTGCTTTTTTCTTTCTTTTCTTTTTCTGAGAGGCATTTCTCCACGAAGTTAAATGGAATTACAGCCGAGCTTCTTCCTCGCCGACTGACCCAGCCGTTCCCCAGTCCGAACATGTTGATACGAGAATATCATCCGGGCGGTTTAAGTAGTGGGTTCTAGCATGCTTCTAACTTCGGAGTCTGAGTCGACTCCGACCTTAGAGTGAAGAGACTATTTCACAACCCCTGTTGGAACATTCGCCGACAAAAAATCACCATTGGTTAACAGAGTCGCACCTCGCGAAACTCCATCCACGGATATGACATGGATAAAATTGTGAACTTTCTCTCTTTTCCTTATTTATCCGTTTCGCGGATATGCCCGCCTTGCCCTGGCCACGCTGGCGTCGATCCTATTCGTATCCCTATAACCGCTCTCCTGGCGCGGTTCCTCGAAAATAAAGAAGACAGAAGAAAAGGTTCTCTTGACATCATATCAGAAACGCAAAGATGCCCTGACGGGTTACCGGAAGACGGAAAGAACTCCGATAATCGGGGTGACATGCTCAGTATGGTACTCAGTACTTACCAGACGACCTTGATTGACATTATTATACTCTAGTGTATGGCAGAGTACACCTAACTGCCTTATATCTGATTGGACATTTATTCTCTTTGCCCCTGCATAACGTTCACATGATCCGCCACAGTTTTTTTTTTTCTTAATTTAATTTATTTTACCGCCTCTCAGCCCAGATTGCAAGGTTAACTGAACAGAACATGTCTCACTAGCGTGGTAGTCACCCAGACTAGATAGAATAATACTATCATAATACACGAAATATCAACATGTTACCCTAGCACTTATTTAACCAGGATCGAATTAGAAATTAGTTAGTTAACTGTAACTATGTAGTACTTAGTTAGTCAGTTGCCTAACTTATTATTATTAGTTATTATTATAGCCCTTGAATAATAAATATAAGACCAAGAGCTTCGGCTTCTTTTCCCGCAGGAACGCTTACATGAAATGCATAGTATAACGCTATTATTATTATTAGTTATTATTATCACTTACTGACTAACTAGGCAACTAGCTTGAAAAATGATAATATCTTATCAATCTATTTATCCTAGGCAGGTAGAGACACTAGTTAGTTAGGTGTTATCCTGAATGACTAATTCGGATATCATTGAAAATCAGTAGCTATGTGTATACAAAAGTTATTACTTCCCAGGACCATCCTACCAAATCTACATGAAGGTACCATGGAATAATCAGCCAGAGTGAAGAATACACAATGGACTTACTGTACTAAGTACGGCTTTTACTCCCATTAGTGGTCTCATCAAGCGCCAGGTACCGCATGTTAGGGACAAGAGCAAGAAATACAAGTTCGTAAAGAAAAAGCCAGAGTTATTCAGAAAAAGTCATACGGAATTCATACGGATTGCTCTTCCCTCTTTTTTGAAGATACCAAGTATTGAAGACAAGCCAGTTCGTAGGATGACTCCAGAGGAGCAACGGACGAGACAAGCTAGAACCAGACCAACCAAGAAGGGCGGCAAAGGCGGACCATTTAAATCGAACATCAACATCATTCCCAGCTTAATCGCCCACTCTCCTTTTGTTGCCCACAGCTCGGTAGAGCTCCGTGAGCAAGGCTGGCCCGAAGAGAGACTACCGAAACGGGGGAGGTTGACCCTTCTCCAAATTCCCCGGACAATGAAAATGCGCGAACCCGAGCAGAATCGAAGCCAAACACTGTGAGAACACATGAAAACACACAAGGAAGAAGAGATCACAGTTGCGCCGCCGGTGTCCCCCAGATAACAAACACATCATCTATCTGCCAGTGTACGAGGAGTATCTGAAGTTGACCAGTTAGCACGGATCATTCCGATTGTACAGGGGATTCGTTTAAGTGTCAGTCTTACGACGGAGGTGCAAGGTATACTAACCTCCAAATCCTTGCACGCATGTCACCACTTCCGGTCGCAAAGAGGTTGTTCGTGGGGCTAGGTGCCACGGAGATCACTGCGCAAAGTGTCAGTTGAGAAGTCTGGTGCAAGAGATGAATGGAAACCCACCAGAGTTCTTGTGACCCTGAAGCATCATCTGGGCTGCTCCGGTTATGGGATCCCAGAACTGGACTCCGCGGTCCTTCGATCCACTCATGACCCAGTGTCCGTCGGGGGTCAGGCAGACACTCAGAACAAAGTCCTGAAAAGCACATGTCAGCATCGTCGCTTCAAACAAACCACTACCGGCCTCAATGAAGCATATCACCCACCTTGTGTCCCTCGAAAGTGCGGACGCATTTGCCGCCCTTGACGCCGCTTCCCGGCAGAAGACCCCGGGGCGCGGTGAGTTCCCACATCTTGATGGTCTTGTCCAAACTACCCGAGACAAGGTCACGGCCGTTGGGTGCGAACGCGACCGAGTAGACACTGTCCTTGTGTCCGTCGGGGCTCTCGAGACGCTCCACCAGGTATCCTGTCGTCGTGTCCCAGACACGAACGCTCTTGTCGAGAGAGCCGGCCGCAACGTAGTGACCGTCGGGAGACATGGCCACAGTGGTAACACCATCCTCAATGCTCAAGGTGTACACAAGCTTGCCGTCCAAAACATCCCAAAGGCGCACAGTCTTGTCACCACTTCCGGAAGCGATGTAGCGGCCGTTACCAGCAAAGTCAAGGGAGTAGATGTCTTGCTCATGTCCGGAAAAGATGTGCTTAATAGAACGAGTGGCAATATCCCAAACCTGTCAGAACAAGAAAAAAAACCCAAGTTAGCAGACTGGCAACAAACAGACAACACTAATTGCAATCAACTTGATGGCATATCCTACCCGAATCTGCTTATCCTCGGCACCAGTGGCCAGGTACTTTCCATCCGGACTGAAGCAAACGCTACGGATGTAAAGGTCACCGTCCTTATCTACGCTTTCATCCTGCAGAGTCGCAACATTCTGGCCGGTGGTAACATCGAAGATCTGAGCCGAACGGTTGCATCCGGTCGCAACGTACTTGCCATCGCGGCTGAATCTCACGCAGCAGACGACGCTGTCATGGACAAGATGGTGCACCAGCTCGACGTCCAGAACTCTCTGCACCTCCGGGTTGAAAACCGCATACCAGTCGGGACCCTCCCTCTTCTGCGACGCAGGCAAGTCGTCAGGGTTCCAGTTGGCGAGACAGTTTCCGGGACGCTCCCGCACGAGAGCCTGACTGGGAGGCGTCGGACGAGGGATCTGAGGCGAAGCTCTAGGATCGGAATAAGCGAGCTGGTGGCTCTGCTGGGGAGTTGCGGGACCTGGAGGGCGTGCTCCTCGCTTTCCGGGACCGGGGGAAGCGGTTGGTGGGGGAGGAGGACCGTAACCTGAAACAAACGACACCGACACCTGTCAGCCACGCAAAGAATCGATCACACACCCAATTGCAACATACCGTTCACAGCAGCACCGGGCTGGTATCCCCCAAAAGAGCTCTGCGGTGGCTGGGGCGGTCCTGGCTGGGCCCCGGGGGCAGGCTGTTGAAGGGTATGCTGGGGCGGCTGCTGATCCTGGGGAGGGGGAGGGGCAAGACCGGGACCACTACCTCCTTGGTTGGCCATGATGCCGCCAAACAGATTACTAGGACCGTGGCCCAAGGCGGGCGGTGGTGCCTGAGAAGGGCCCGCGTGCGGTGGAGGGCCTCCAACATGAGAGGGCACTGTCTGAACACCGCGCGATTCCAGCTCATGTCGCAGAACTCGAATTTCGGCCTCGTAGCTGTAGTTGGGGGAGGGCGATGGTTAGCAACGAGCTTAGCGCGTGGAAGGAGACGAGGTGACATACTCTGCCTTCATCTTGAGTTGGGCCTGTTCTAGCTGATAGACCTTGGATCTGATCATCTCCATCTCCTGAAGCTGTCCGGTCACTATAACGAGACGTCAGTCACTGGAAAAAAAAAGATCCTCTGTCACGCGTCGAACCCATGGAGCTCGTGCGCGTACGATCTCATGGGAGCCGTCGCGCGGGGCAATCGGTGGTCTATGGGGCAAAAGGTGAGAGGCAAACGAAGGGCAGATGCGTACATTGATGCTCGAACTCTCCTGTGCTTCTCGATTGGTTTTCGAACTCCTGGCGCAGCTGGTCCAACAGCTCCGTGAGGCGGCTGTTGGAGGCCGGCACCATTCCACGATGTGCGTTGTACATGGCGGCAGTCACAACAAGCAAGCTGTCAGGTTGATATTATATTATCAGGCGACACGATCTGGTATCGCCGCCGCTCGCGATGAAGTCCAGGCGAAAGGAAACCGGAAAGGGCCTGCGAGGGGATGTCAGTGCTGTCGCATTACCGCGCGGAGGGCCGGTCGGGACCAAACAGGTCGGTCGCTTCTGCGTCGATGACTGGCCAGGGAGAAACGAGAAGACGTAAACTGACCGCGAGAAGGGTTGGGCGTCAGGGCCACGATGGACCGCCCTGATGGGATGCGGCTGATGTTTTGGCGCAAGAAGCGAAAGGCGGGCGGGCAGCCGACCGTTCAGCCTCCAACGAACACCCCGTGCACCGTTCAACCGGCCCGTCCCAGTTGAAGAATTGCGGATGATGGCAGTGCAGCGCAGCGCAGCAGCTCCCAGGATCGGATTGAGGGAGAGCTGGCGGGTTGAGATAGATTGAGAAAGGGTGGGAGCTGGTAGTTGGCAGGATGAGTGGAAGGCGGGCACGACAAGATCAAGACAAGACGAAAGAGAGAAAGATGAAGAGAGCGAAGAAGTGGTTGGCGGCGGTGGTCGGGCGGTGGAGCAAGAGCCGGGGAGTTCAGTTAGTGAGTTGAGCATTTCACTAGAATCACTAAACTAACTGGTTATGGAAGAAGTAGCTGGAGAGCCAGGGGATCCATGGGTTGCTCGACACTAAGTAGTATTATTTTATATATTCAGTGCAGAATTAATTATTATTCTATCTCTCTATGGTATTATGGGTAACTAGCAACGCAGCTGCAGAGCAAGTCACAGTCACAGTTACACCTGCATGCAGGCTAATATCTTCAGGAACCACCAGTAATACTCTTAACTATAGGAATCATTTTTATCCTGAATATATTTAATTTAACCAACTAAATTATGTTCACTCCTAACTGGTTATTTATCCCAGTTATGACGCTGCTGAGATAATCAGTATCCCGCCGGACTGGGGATAGCGTCATCAGCGGACAGCCAATGAAACTCTCGGATAGACGCACAGACCATACTTCCCGTTCCGGGTTCCAGGGTCACGTGGATCGGGGATTATCTCGGATCGGAGTGACACTCAGTAGAGTTAACGAGGGACCCTCCAACACAGCGCCTGCATTCTGTAATTATCACAGATTCATGATCCAGTTGGGACAGACAGGATTACCGCCACCAGTTATGATTATGTTTCAATCCACCAGAGTCATGCTGGGAGGGAGGAGTGGACAACTGCGAATGTCACATACAACGATGGTGCTTCGGATGCCAGCCCGTATGGTTAAACAGTTCCTGTCAAAAGCATCAATATCACGAATGTGCAGGATATATATATATATTACTATTGTCCCTCCTTAATACTTAAGTTAACTATATATTCTGATCAACACAGCAGTACAATCAAGACTGTCGAATGAGACGCGGGGAATCGTCTCGGAGCCCGAGGAACGCGACATTCCGTCCACGCCAGCCGGATGGGATACGGTAGACCTCCACAGCTTCGATGGATTGACGTCTCCTGGTCGTTTTGGTTCGAGACAGAGAGATGGATGGATGAATCAACGGACAGCTGGTCATCCACGGCCATGGGCTGCCCAGGGACATTCTATGATAGCATTATTATCGATATTGCAGCAATCTACAGTAAAGAGATACCGAGAATCATAGAATCGAGCCATAGATACCCCGCATTCAAGAGACAGTTGCGATCTGGGACAAAGATAGATGATAACTAGTTGTCAGGATCATAATAATTAATCAATCATCCCCCACAAAACATTCACCATCACATCACATCACAACAACAATAATACATAACAATGAATATCATTATTATCGGAAAGAAAGGCGATGTCTCCTTTTCCCACCCGGCTTCTCGCTTTCCGCCCTGGTGTGACGCCCGCCCGCGCTCCGAGGGCTCCATGCGCATCAGGATTGGCTGTCCCAGCATTATTAGTTAAGCTCGCCTTCAAGGCGCCAGAGATCTGATAATAATAATAATAACTGTCCTTTCTCCAGTCCATCAGTCTTCTTTCTCTCATTGTCGCCGTCCATTTCATGCCTCAATTATTACTCTGGACGTGAGACATTGAACGCGCCAACTCTTGTCTTTTTTCTTTTCGTTTTTAAACCCTCCCGCACTACCATCCCCCTCCGGGTCTTCTCTCGACCACCGGCGCAGCCATGGATATCGTTCTCGAGGTCTGGGATACCTTCATCGGGGATCGCATGTACTCGGCCCTCCTTCCAGCATCGTTGTCGTCCACGGTTTCGTTGCCTGCCGCGTTCAATGGCGCCAACAATACCCTCGCCTTGTTCGGGGAGCCCGACTCCTATGTCTATGAGCCGGCCACCCAATTCTTCCGCCTCGAGCCCTCCAAGTACGCATACATGAGCGCCTGGCCAAGAGACAATATCTACCGTCAATCAGTCAGCTTCTTTTTGATCACATGGTAAGTCGCCATGGTGCGCCGCGCCCCTGACGTGCGGCACCCACTAACCGCTGGTTCCGTTAGGATCTTTGGCATCATTGTCTACTTCATCTGCGCATCTCTATCGTACATGTTTATCTGGGATAAAACAACTGTCAAGCACCCCAAGTACCTCAAGAACCAGATTCGCAAGGAGATCAGACAGACCATGGAGTCCATGCCCTTCATGTCCCTCCTGACCGTCCCTTTCTTTGTCGCGGAAGTCAGGGGCTACGCCAAACTCTACGACAGCGTCGCCGAGGAACCCTTCCCATTCTACAGCATCCTGCAGTTCCCTCTCTTCATCGCTTTCACCGACTTCTTCATCTACTGGATCCACAGAGGCCTGCACCACCCGCTCGTCTACAAGAGACTCCACAAGCCTCATCACAAGTGGATCATGCCCAGTCCATTCGCCTCCCACGCATTCCACCCGCTGGATGGCTGGTCCCAGAGTGTCCCGTACCACGTCTTCCCCTTCGTCTTCCCGCTTCAAAAGGTCGCCTATGTCGTTCTCTTCGGCTTCATCAACTTCTGGACTGTCATGATCCATGATGGCGAGTATGTCGCCAACAGCCCGGTCATCAACGGTGCTGCGTGCCACACCATGCACCACCTGTACTTCAACTACAATTACGGACAGTTCACCACGCTGTGGGACCGCCTGGGAGGCAGCTACCGCAAGCCCAATGAAGAGCTCTTCCGTCGGGAGACCAAGATGGCCAAGGAGGAGTGGGAGCGACAGACCAAGGAGATGGAGACCATCCTGAAGACGGTCGAGGGCTCCGACGACCGCCAGTATTCGGCGGACGCAGACACGAAGAAGACCCTGTGATATCAGACTCGATCTCCATGCATTGGTGGCGGGGCGGAGAGCACAAAAAAAGAAAACGGGGATGGAATGAGTTCCCGTGGCCACCACCCAAAGCGCTTATGATGCCTGCGCTTTGCAGCAGCCAAGACGCGCAATTGGCGGTTTTGAGCTTTGTTACGAGCCTTATGTCGACTTTCCGTTTTATTATTTTTGTATCATAACCATTACTCGATTTGTAATTAGATTAGATTATTCCACCTCGGCGCATATCGTCGCTGGATAGCTCACCGTGCTGATACGGTCACTTGGGACCAACGGAACAAAATATAAAACCCACTTAATAATATGCTACTACAGTTGCCTGCATTATGAAGACTCGTAGAACACATCCTTAATTGGTAAATTGGTATATAAATCTCATAAAAATCTATCCTAACGCGATGCCCAACAAACGGCTACTACTAGGTACATGTGAATAGTAGCTCATAGCTTCTGAACTCTCTCAGTGCGGTTATTGAGCTTCAAGAACCAATCCAGATACTTCTCCTGCAGAGCGGGCGCCATGCCCGTGTCAGCGTAAGTAGGCGGCTTTCCACCATTGAGATAAGTCGCGATGGCAGTGTCGGCGTGAGCCTCAGCATCATAGCCGTAAACCTCCAGCACCGTCTGGGGATCACCGTAGAGGTTGCTGCTGCGGACGTAGTATTTGCCTTCGAGTTCAGGAGCCATGACGGCATCACGGGCCTGCTGCTGAGGGCCGTCGGGCAGATGCCAGATGGCGCCGTTGAGGAAAGAGACCTGCTGCTTCTCAAAGGCCTTGGGCATGCGCTCCTTTTCGTACAGGTTGACTGCCTCGCGGAGACTGAGCTTGCCGTCGACCACGGCGCCAATGCACTTACCCAGGAACGCGCCGTCTTCCATCGAAGTGGCGGCTCCCTGGGCCATGTGGTTCACCATGGAGTGAGCGGCGTCGCCCATCAGGACGACGTTCTTCTGGGGAGATGACCAGGACTCGAGAGGGCCAGTTACCATCAATGGCCATCGGGACTATAGAAACAAAAAACAGTCAGCATAACGTGTTTAACATAGACATATATATATGTATATATATATATAGTCAAAGATGATGCTTCTCGGCCACACTCACAGTGTTAGGAATCATATCCACGATGCGCTTGATACGAGGATCAAAGTCCTTGTACTCATTGCGCATCTCTTCAATAGGAACATCCAACTGCGTAGCACGCAGCTTCTCAGGACGGTGATGAGACAAGACCAGGTTGAAGTCCTTGCCCGCGGAGATAGGATAAGTGATAATGTATGCATTGTGAGCCATCCAGACTTCCATAGTCAACTTTTCGATGAGCTCCTTGGCCACGGGGTCCTTTCGGATCTGCTCATACGGCACAATGGCACGGTACGCGCAGTTAGTCGTCGGGGGCTCCGGACGGACATCAGGGAAGAGCGTCCTGCGCACGACACTGTTGATTCCATCTGCGCCGATAGCCAGGTCGAATGTGTATTTGGCGCCCTTCTCGGTTTCCACGTTCACGGCACCATTTGCGGTCTGGTACTCCACGCGGCTGACTCGGGAGTCGATATAGATCTCCGCACCGAGCTTCCTTGCAACGGCAGCCAGACCGTCGTGGAGGTGAGCGCGGTGAACAACCCACCATGGCCGGGAGAGAGTCTGTTCCAGGGTTGCGATCTTGGTGTGGCCGACGAGGGTACCGTCTTTGCGGCGCATGTTCAGCTCTTCGAATTGTACAAGGTTGTCTCCGATGACCTCGGCGACGTTCCATCGTTGAAGGAGGACAGAGACATTGGGTGTCATTTGGATACCGGCACCGATCTAATTGTTGATGACCTTCCTGTTAGCCAATACGCTCGTATATGTATACATATATATATTATACACCGGTGGGCGCATACTTCACCGAGTTGCTCTGCGGCCTCCAGGACCGTTACTCGTGCACCAGCACGTCGAAGGGAAATGGCTGCGGCGAGACCACCAATTCCTGCGCCTATCAGGCCAACATGAACTTCGCGGGGTGCCTGTCTCTAGTAGTCAGAACGAAAGTCCGCACACGTTGGAAACTGCTGGGATAACTCACCATGATTGAGTTCTATAAACTTGATCCGGAGTGCGTGAGGGAGGTAAACAAGTACTGTACAATGGAACAACGACGAGCTTTTGCACTTGTCGAATTCTTTGCTTGCTGGTCTTGAAGCTGCTCTTTAAAACATTCGCCGACCATGCTATTTATTCCGCAGCTTATCTGGTGAGCTGGTATTCGGACGATCGGGGAAACCGGTTAGTCGGGGAGTTAGGGAACGGGGGGGTTCTTTTCCCCTCTCTCTACCAGGAGATCCTGTCGAATCTCGATGGAGTCGATTGCGAAATACCGAGGATATTCCTAGTCTCGGACATAAGAGGCGGCATATTTAGTTTTGAGTACAAGCTCCCTGTTTTGCCCCAGATTGTCATTATCCCACATCCGATCTATCCATTCTCGGCCGTCAGACAAAAGACCAGGGGTATCATATCATTATCTACTACTATCTACACTTGCAAAACAAAATCGTCGAAATGGTTCCACCCAGAAAGACGCTTACTGTGCCTCACTTGGGAGGGACCAGTGTAGGCTATCGGCTCTCTTCAGCTGTTCCTTCTAAGCCTACACTGGTGCTTGTAATCCCATTTACCACGACGGTCGACTACTACATTCCCGAGTTTGAGAACGCCGAGCTTACATCCAAGTTGAACTTGCTTGCTGTTGAGCCTCTTGGACATGGCGAAACCCGGACGAAGAGTGAGACCTTCACTTACTGGGACACGGCCCATGTGATTCTCCAGCTGCTGAATGCGCTTGGAATCGAAAAGGCTTTTGCCTTGGGTACATCCCAGGGTGGTTGGATTGCCGCTCGAATGGCCCTTTTGGCACCCGAAAAGGTTCTCTCCTCTAATATATATATATATATATATACATACATATTATCAATAACGTACTAACTGCCTTATACAGATCCAAGGGATCATCCTCGTTGGCACGAGCATGGATGGCGAAACACCCCGGACCCGCGACTTGGGATGCTGGGACGGCGCCGCTGCCACATCTGGCCTGGTCACATTGGGCGGGAACCTCGCTCCTGCGCATGACTTTGAACCTGGCGATGCGTACTACGACTTCCTCATGGAAATCGGCTATGGCAAGACGGTTCCTCGCCAGACCAGAGACTTCTGGGCCGAGACGATCAAGAAGATCTACCAGGGCGACGACGGCAAGAGGAGAATCTGCCAGGCTGCGACTAACCTTGCGACGAGGGATAGTCTGCATGCACGGTTGCCGTATATCAGATGTCCTGTGCTTTGGCTGCAGGTGAGTGGACTCTGTTATTTATTAAATATATTGCATTCTATAGGGAGTATCCGGCTAATTCGGCATTCATTCTGAAACTACCAGGGCACCGGCGACGTTGTCTTCAGCGCCGCGAACGCGCAGGAAGAAATCAAGCTATTTACGAACTCGAAAGAAGCGAAGCTCATCACGTTGAAAGACGGTGTTCACTTCCTCAGCTACACGCATGGGAAGGAATTGCATCAGAACATCCTTGACTTTACTAGCAAGTGGCAGGGTGCGGATCCAGCGAAGCTGTAAATGATTGATTTTGAGAAAAACTTCAACTAGGTAGTCAGCATTTCCAGTGCGACTTTGTGTGGATAGGACAGTGATTATTATTATTATTGATATCCCCCACGGTACTACTACTATGCAGTGATGAATGAAATAAATTTTTTTTTCAGTGAATTAGTCATATATGCATGAAATAAAAAAAAATAAAAATAATAATAGTTAGTAGTTGTATGTATGTAGAAGGACGATGTCGGCGGCACTGAGAAGCCGTCGGGCCTCGGGCCGACGGGTGTAGGGGAAGCTGTAAGTTACAGCTGTAATTATTCATTAATATTATTATTCATTATTATTCATGATTGATATTTATTACTCCAGTTGGGAAGTTCACAAACCGGCGGGTCTCTCCGGATGAGTTCGAGCTTAGAAGTGGGAACTGTACTATAGATAATGATGCAAAGCATCGATCCGATCGACAAGATGCAAAACTTGAAGCGTCACGCGGTGTTGTCAGTTAGTTACCTAGGTAGCTAGTTATCTATTTAACTAGTAGTTATTGTCGCCCATGGTTGTTATTACTTCCAATACTAGGTAAATAATATCCAGCTCTTCGACACTTTCCGTAACCTACTTAGTTAGCTCTTATTCTTAATAATGAATCCCAGACTGCGGGGTGAAACGGGGATGCGGGGAAAGGTTTTAGTCGCCTTACTTAATAATACAGAATAATAATAGTTAGTTAACTAACTAGTTCATCACTTTTTTTGCGGAGAAGAGCTTTTTCCGCCAGCGCGTCATATAAAACAAAAAACCAACTCCAAAAAACCAGCCCAATACAAAGACGAACCGTTCCCCTTCCCGTCTCTCCCCGTCCACCCCCGAAACAATCCAAAACGAATGCGCCAATTCCCCGCAAATACTACTTTCCCCAGATTATTGCTTCCATCCCGGAGACTTTTTTTTCCCTCTATCGTGCCTGATTTGATTGATGGGTCATGATTCCATCGTCGTCTGCGAAGCGGGACAACAGCGACAGCCCTAGCCCGGGCAGACAGGAAACATCCCCTGGTTTCCGACATCCCCAGCCCGATCGCAGCAGCAGCACCACCAGCTCAGCCCATCCCAGCAAGAGGAGGAGAGTCGCGTTGGCCTGCAGCACGTGTCGCAATCGCAAGTCACGTGTATGTATGTATCTTCTCTGGTGAGATCAGTTCGTTGTTGACCATTATTGTCATCTAGTGCGATGGCAGCCGTCCCAAGTGTTCGTTGTGCAGCGAGCTGGGGTGCGATTGTGTCTATCAGCAGGTCGGGTCTTCGTCTAACCTGACCGTCGGGAAAGAGTATGAATACCTACTTATATATATATATCCTTGTTTCCCTTGTTTCCTTTCCTCTCTTCTTCTTGTTCCTGCTTATACTTTGATCAAGAGCTGGCTCATCTAATCCGCCTTCCTGCCAGTTACGTCGCGCAATTGGAACATCGAATCGAGAGCATCGAGGAATTCATCCGACCCTTGCGCCAGGCTCGCGCCGCCAATGAGCCTGACAAGGCTTATTCCGTGCAAAATGGGGCAAGCTACACGCCAGATGACACCAGCCACTGTACGAGGGAAAGTGATTCCGTCGCGCATGTCACCTCCCAATCGGTCAATCCTAATGCAGGTGAGATGGGGGAGGTGGATGTTTCTGAGAACTCGATAGATGGCATGGGTGCGATCAAGTTCACCGATGAGGAAGACTGCGGTTTCTTTGGTAAGATATAACACTTGTCTGGACTGGCCAGCTTGAGCTAGTCGAAGAGACCTTTCGAGATGCGCGCTAACGACCGACCAGGCCCATCTTCCAATATCGCTTTCATGCGTCACATCTCACGGGCCATAGCTCGAGGGAACACGAGGAATCCCTATGGCCCTGCACTATCGCCCTACGACAGATTCGGCGGCGGCATGATGAGCGTCTCACGCGCGCAACCAACGACGGACAATCTCGGCAGAAGACGCAGCGGCAACGCTGCCGAGGGAGTGAATATCTACGCCTTACCCCCCGAGGCCCGCACGTGGAATCTGATCAGGAAATATTTCCTGAAGACCGGGCAGCTGTTGCCGTTCATTCACGAGCAATCATTCTGTGAGACGTACTTTCAGATGAAGAGAGATAATTTTACCAAAGTCCGCAGGACGTGGCTTGGCCTGCTGAATATCATCTTGGCCATAGCGACGAGTCTTTCCACGGAAGGCGACCTGCCGGCTGAGAAGAGGATCGAGGAGTCAGACATCTATTACCAGAGAGCCAATGGACTCTGTGATAGGGAATCCCGACGGAATACGAGTCTTGAGATGGGTAAGTGAATTGCTGGAATAGTCTATTCTTGATCTCACTAATTGATCCTCTACCAGTACAATACCTCCTTATATTAGGACAGTATCTGCAAGGAACGCAGAAATCGGTACAAGCGTGGACCACCCATGGACTCGCGGTTATCGCTGCCTTTCAGCTTGGTCTTCATTCTCCGGATGCCAATCAGGGCTTCTCCTCGCTGGAACGAGAGATAAGGAAGCGGACCTGGTTTGGCTGTATTATGCTTGATCGGTACGCTCCGATATTCCATCTGGACCACGGCACGCTTCCACAGGCTAACGTCAGATTAGAACTCTTAGTATGACATTTGGTCGACCCTGCATGATCCCCGAATCCTACGTCAAGTTGGGTATGCCAGTCAAGGATATGCAAATGCTGGGCCCTACACTGCAGATCGAACCAGGTCCGCAGAGAGACGCCTATTTCTTCACTGCTGCCATGTATGCCCCTGCTGAGATCTAGTATACGCAAGACCAAACCGCTAAATGATATCTACAGAAAACTTTACGTCGTCATGTATAACGTCATTGACAAATGCTACGGACAGAACTTGGGATTCGAGCATGCTCCGACAACCGTTCATGTGGTATCTCAAGTTCTCGAAGGCGAGCATCAATTGGAAGAGTGGCGAATACAGCTACTGCCCACGTTAGGACTGAAAATCTCACACAAGCCGTTCACGCCAGAAGATGCCGAAAGGATGGATCCAAACAACGTCATCGCGGAGCGATTCAACATTGTCTTGTTGCTGCGCTATCACAACCTCCGCATTCTGCTCCACCGGAAGTTCCTGGAGAAATTCCTCGACGCCTACGGAGCAAGCGACAGCGGAAACGAGGAGAAGAAACTCCTACAACAGGTAGGAATCAGCAGCGTGCACAACTGCGTTGAATCCGCTATCATGATAATATCGACCGTTCATACCCTCGCGTCATCACCAGGATGGAAGAGGGAACTGTTAGGAGCGTGGAACTATTCTCTATACTACAGTACGTCGAGACCCCTCTCTTCTCTATTCTCTCCCTCAGACTCACAAGAGTTAGCATTCAATGCCGGACTCGTCATCTTCGGAGCGCTACTCGTCTCCTCCAAAGAAAGTATCCACGACCCGTCTCAATGGAGCATCGTCGACCGAGCTCGCCCTTATCTAGACATAGCTGTCGATGCGCTGAAGCGGCTCGACAGCGGAAACCGCGTCATCGAGCGCTGCGTCGAATACCTCTCTCAAATTTCAGTCGTACTGATGGCTCTGAGTAAGTTTATATTCCTCAACCTCGATCCTTTAACTCCTCGTTGAGATAAAAAAAAAAAACACCTTTCTGACATCCATCTACCAATAGCTTCCAACGGCCCAATCCCCAACACCAGTTCGGGCATGTACCCTCCCAGCTACGGCCCCAATCTAGGCGCCACACCCACTTCTCAAAGCATGTCAAATATGCCGGGCCGATATAATTTCAACAACCAATCCCCCGTGGGCGTAGACCTCGGAGAATTCATGATCGATTCCGACTTGGATTTCCTAGGGAAGTTGTTTGATTTGAACCGAAATGTCGTGGATGCGCATGGTTTAGATAGTGCCGAGCCAACGGATGCGCAGAGGGGTTCTTTCAGTGTTGGATAAGGGTAAACATGTTTCTTTCTTCTTTCTTTCTACATGTTCATATTGATTACTTATTCGACGCGAATTAAAAGGGAAAGAGAAGGAATTTCAAGGGCAAAGGAGAAGGGAGTTCACGAGGTCTATTTCAATCCATTCATCGACGAAGTCATATATATTTCCTTCTTACCCTCGAAGATCCCCAATGCACATTATCAAGTAAAAATGAGGAACAAAAACACCGACAGATAGATCATTAAGCATATAAATAACAAGCCCCAAACCGTCCAAACTCACCATTTTTCTTCGTCTTCTTGCATTTTTTCGCTCCGTAGCGGTTTACCATTCTCGTTCACATAAGTGTATTGCTTTGTAGATAGATGTATTAGCGCGGAGCAGAACTATGTCCCTTGTTATTTAACAGGTGACGCATCGGGATCGTTATAAACGGGGTCTTTCGGACCAGGGTTTTCGTGGATCCAAACTGTCTGGATGGCGATAGACTTGGTCTCCGGAGTCCGTGGTAAGCCTAAGTAGCCTTGAGAGTTGCGATTTCCGCCCGCGCCGCAGTCAACTTCTCTCTGAGCTGAATTAAGGCGAGCCGAAGCTGCCTGTTCATGGTGACATCCGCGGTAGAGCCCATCCTGCTGTCGCTTGCTGAAGATGTCACTGACTGGTGCGACGCTGAAAATGCTGTAGAGCCTCGTCGAAGTTCATGTGGGGTAAAGTAACTAGCGATAGGAATGAATAATAATAAAAGTCAAGGTAAAACCGATGGTGGCATTTGGACCCATTTTCCTCGGCGGTGATGAGGGTGACTACTTATGGTAGGTACTTAACGAGGGTGGTGGAATAATAATAATTTCTCGACCGTTAACTCGATTCCATCCTTTGTTTCCCACGAGACTTGATCCCGCTCCACTCTTTCTCCTCCTAAACCGAAGATTTTTTAAAATGCGTGCATATATCTGTCCTTGGGCATTGAATTCGTAGGGCCATTTCGCCGCCCAGGCACACGGACACTATTTTCACCATGACGTACACCCACGCATTATATAAGTAGTTAGCTTGATATGCTGTGTTGGGGTGGGATGGGTAGCTGTAGATTTCTGGGTCTCATAGCGTGTTGACGAGTTTCCAAGAGTTAAACGAGACAATATCACGGCGTAGGATGCGGTTCTTTACCAGGACCATCGTCGAACTGCCATACTGAGATATATCAAGATGACAATCTTGCTGTTTCGCTAATTGGCATAGTGGTACTTAAGACAGGAGTGAGAGGTCTGGTACTTAAAAGACAGAAGAGCAACCCGAAGTAGGTAGGATACCATTTTGAGGGGAATTGACTCCCTGGCGGATAGTTGTGCGTGAATTAGCTGGGGCAATATCCAGACAGACATAACATGGTCAATAATCCCAATAAACTCTTCTGTAGAAAGAAAAAAAAAGGAAAGAACAATATCCTACCCATCCCCTCCGACACGAAAGGTCGACCAAACAGCGCATGGAATGGCAGCACCAATTAGTTTTGACCCTGTCGTCGTGACGGCAATCTCCTGAATGCAATACAATATGCACGCTAGGTTGGTCCTCGAAAGACCCAGGATTGACATAGGCCTCTCTCTCAAGGTTTAAAGCTGTCCTCTCTGAAATAGTATCTGAGGATATTCAGCCAGGCATGGTCGACTTGTTCCTCGTACACGCCCGGTGTTAAACCAGCAAGACGTGTCCTCATAGGAGCGTTTCTCATGTAATCTGATGGCCGTCCCATTCGCGGTCTTCAACAGCTTCTTCTTTGGTAACAAGACAGGCTCTGGCTGTGTCTGTGCCCTTTGGCCACAGTACATTTGTCCGCTCACGGTTTGCTAGTAAAAGCTGCCATTCCCAGTCCTGTGAGACATATTGATAATCCCGGAGGACCAGATTCAGCATGGGAAAATCCCATCAATGATATCCCGAATCAATTTGGGCGTGTTTGTTTAGGGGGCCAGTTGAGGCGCGCAAGCTGCAATTTCTCGATATCGATACTTATCGATATCGATATAAGTATCCGTTCCCGGGTTCTTACTGTAAATTTCATCAAAACGACAAGCCAACATCTTGAACGTCTCCCTGCGAAATTATTGAACCACCACCACAAAGCATCCTGGGTGATAATTTAGGGATCGAAGCTTGAAATCATCCAATCTCTCAAATAACTAGATCTGGGTGAGACACCCGAATCTTGAAGGCGGGTAAGAGGACCTCTGCCCGGCCGGATCCCTGGGATCACAGTCCCAGATGATCAAGTTCTTGCCGGTCCCAACTTCGGAGCGAATCACCGCAACACCCCAAACATGCCAGCACTTCGTATCCCAATGCGGATCAGCGACCCAGTTTTTGCTGGGAGTGCTGCAGACGGCGAACCAGGCCTGCTTTCCCCCTTTCGGGGCTTTCCAAAAGAACGAGTATATATCGCGGACATTGATATCCGGCAACAAGTTGCATTAGTTGGTCTTTATTTTACCGTCTGGTAAGGAGAGCACGTGTGGATACATATAAGGGCCATCAGGGACCGTGTTGAAGTCAGACAGGAAGTCAGCAATGGTATCGGCTGAAGATTGAGGATCTCTGTCGGCGGGATAGCGGCCGTTTGGGGTGCAGCTTCAGACTCCATCGGAGGGTCTGAAGCCGGAACAGACAGAGTAGAGGCCATGGAGGACTGACTGATCGGTCAGGTACAGGTACATACATTCTTTTGCCCTTTTGCTTTGACCACGCTTTGGTCAAGGGTGACATCTCTATTCACCCGGGGAAGGCTTATAGATGCAAATTTCAGAATTATATAAATAAATAGCTGATAAGCGTATTCAATGGTCCCCCAGACAGTACTTTGAGAATAGATGTATATCAATAATCATTGTGAAATTTCAGGCTACTTCGATATCAAGGACTAGTATACGGATCGTCTTCGGATCTCTTCATTGCATGGTATGGCTTGAGAGAGAAAAAACGATAGTCAATAGTAAATCTGCTGGAAATGCAGAAAAAAGCATCATAAGCAGTAACTGGAAGTGGGCAAACATGCGTCATAACCATAACCTGTTGTTCAGACTGTTTATGATAATTCGAATGTAAATACGGGGTTTACCTCGCGTCTATATATAGAGAGAGAGAGAGAGAGTCAAGTAGACAACTACCACCTCCACTAGCCTACTAATTACATTAAATACAACAACCATTCACTTCCGCACCCCTTTAGGTTGTGATCAAGGGAAGATATCAAAGAAAGAAAACAAATCCCCAAGCAAAACTCCAAGCCGAGTATTTATTCATAAGCATAAGTGACAAACAGAAGACAAGATACAGTGTATTCAATAATCGCCCAAAGGGAATGAATGAATGCCTACCTCGCTAGGGAGGTGCTGGAATTCTCCTATGCCCTGCCTTCTCAGCATGCTTCACTCATGGGGATGGGATGAATACTTAGCCTAAGCTAATTTACTGGGGTCCAAGCATGAGGAGGTAAGGAGCCTCAGCGTTGTCAAGGTCAGGAAGTTAGTTATATTATTCATCATGCGGGCCAGTTCCATGTTTTGCTGCCTAGAGCATGCCTCTATCCCGACTTGGTTGTTCATGAAGAAAAGGAAATATACAAGGTCCATTTCACCAATGACAGAATATTTAAAGAGGATTTCCATTTCTGTCTGTCCCTCTCGAACCTTTCCTGATTTACGCTATCAAAGTACTGTAAAACAAAGAAAGAAACACAGACACAAGCTCAGGAGTAGCAGGTATGAAACCTTCAAAACTCGCAAATTCTTCTTCTCTTCTAGAAGAATGAAACATCAAGAGGAATCTTCCAAAGCACAGAGACAACGACAATATGAATACATTTTCGAGAGAACTGGAAAAGAAAATACAACCGATGCGTACAGAGAAATACAATGTAGACAGACGTCTCTCCTCATGTGAACTATGTTTTCCTTTTTCTGTCCCTTTCCTCTTCTAATGGCCAACACATTCCATGTCCCATGCTCAACTACGAGATTTCATCCGTGCCATCGGCTGCAGCGTCGGGCAGTTCCTCTTCTTTAGACTCCGGGGCGGGCTCAGTAGGAGCTGGCGCAGTTGTACCGAGAGGCTTTGCGTTAGCCATGGCTTCAGAGATGAATGATTCCTCGACAGCTGCTTTTCGTCTGAATACTCGCAACCACCGACGGCCCCACTGGCGAATGAGCTCGTCCTCTGGCAGGGTGCCACTTCCATCGCCTCTCTCCATGAGCTGGTCATTGTTACCGCCCGCGACTGAGACCAACGAGTCCTCCAGCAGCTTGAACAAGGTCTGCATATCGGCCTTTTCGCGGTTCAAAGTCTCGTCCACAACGCTGAGCTGCGGCTCGTAGAGGCCGGGCTGGATACGAGCGATGACGATCTGGCGAATGCGGTTGGTGACCTTTCGAATCGTGGCAGCGACCACCTCGTAGATGTGGCACTGGGCAAGGATCGTGCCTGCGGCCAGTCTGTCAAGAAGCGCCCACTCAATGACGGATAAAGGAGTCAAGATGGTATAGTTGAGGAGCTTGTCGACTATGTTGATGGCAATGCCGGGCTGGTCGGCCCAGTATTCCATAACTGAGGTGATGATCTGACGACGCGCAATAGGTGATCGGGGTCCAATCGCAAGAAGGCGTTCCTTGTTGCGTTCAATGCACGAGAGCACGTGAGACAGAGACTTGGCTCCGACAAAGCAGATCGACGTGACGAAAGCATCTGTCGAAGGAATCATAGGATCCTCCACTCCGTGTTCTTTCGCCTGCTGTTCAATTGCCTCGATGACCGGCTGTATTTCCTCATCGGATGCCTTCTGTCTGATAAGCTGCATAAGTTCCCTGCCCTCCTTGGCATAGGGTGTTGCTGAAGACTTTAGCATATACTCTGGCACAGCCTCCTAGTTGATGACTTACTGTCTACTGCGTATTTGAAGTCTGGTGTATCCTTCTCCTTGCCTTCCGTTATAAGTGAATGGTAAGGTTCCGGGAGCGTTCCCTTGATACGCTGCGCAAAACTCAAACGGATCTCCTTGTCAAGCGCGCCGTTAATAAAGGCCATCTTGGGATGGACAGCAGGAAGGTCAAGATCGTCAATCCTGTTCAAAGTTAGTATACGCTAGCAATGGAAGGGAAATCATGCGTCAGAACTCACCATTCTGTCCACTTCCATGTGAACCCAAAGTTACTCAGGTGATGAGCGAACCAATCAAGGAAGCGGTGGCATAACTCCAAGTCTATCGTCTCGATGTTACGATACATATAGCGAATAGCACGTCCCAGACTGGGCGCAATGGCAGCCGGTGCAACCTTGCAGCACTCCGTGAGAACAGAGTGGTAGTAGACGAGCTTATGTTCTGGGTTAGGAAGCTGGAATAGCTGAGAGAAGACAGCATCGACTGCCACATCTTCGGGTTTCCACGTCGTACGGTCTCCAGCGACCTCGCGCAATCTGTCAAACGGAGTGGCACGCTTGACAAAGATGTGGGGTGTGAAGTAGCAATCAATATCGATCAAGAACTTGGCCACCGCAATGCGATTGAAGTCCAGGATATTGATTGTGTCAACCAGTGCATCTCTCAAAAGAGTGGACGCAATATCCGCTCTCGTGGGGACAGTCACAAGATCCTGGCTGTCATAAACAGAGAAGTAGATTTCGGGGAAGATAGGCCTTGGGCCAGGCTTGACTGGATTCGGCACAGTGATCTCAGGGAAAGCATGCTTGGCTGCAGACTGCAGAGGATCGGGGCCATCGCTTTCTCCTTCAAGCGCGATCTTCCAGGGACGGGGAAGACATGCGAGTTCCCAGGCGTTTTTAGATTGTTCCTGGAGCTGGTTCTGCAGCAGACTTATGATGGTCTGCGGTTCATGTCCACCTTCTTCCGGCTGAGCGAAAGAGTCGACCAAAGCAACCAAAGTGTGAGGAGTTGAGGCAATGATATCCGTTTTCTCGAGGAGAGCAGAGGCGTGTGATTCAAAACCAGTGGCAGACGACGCCATCACGTACGGAATAGTGAAGAGGATGATCTTGACTAGCTCAAGACCCAGAGACTATAGAAGCGGTTAGTTACGTAGCTCGTAGATTTAAGGGGAGAAGAACCACTCACGTCTTCCGAAGAAGCAGTCTGTAGATCAACGGCACGTGCGAACAATTCCTCCAGAATGGGGAAAACTCCGTCTCCTTCATAGAGACCTTGGAGACAACCAAGAAACCTCAGGATCAGCTTGACTTCACGCCAAGCTCCAATGTTGATATATTTCTGCGCCGCCTCACGCGCCTTCTCGAGCACTTCCGTGGCCAGGGCGGAATTCTTCGAATTAGCAACCAAGATGATTGCTGCGACGAACGGGATCTTGAATGGTTGTTCCAAAACACTAAAGCCATCACATATCAGCACCAGCATAACCCCAGAAAGTCATCCTAGACACCCCATGCACTCACAGTTGAATCGAAAGTTCGAGGAAGCTGCTCTTCACTTCTTCATCTTCAAAGTTCTCCGTGACCATCTTCGCGATGCTCGCGACATCATCCTCAGCTCTTCTAGCGGCCTATTTATATCGCGCAACATTGTTAGCGCCTTCAGTCTCTCTCTCTCCAGCAGAACAATGGACGATTTCGTACCGATTCAGCAATTGTCAATAACTGTCTCCGAACTTTGGCAACCAGGGGCTCCTCATATCTGCGTCTCTGCTGACGACGGTCGAAATCATCATCGTCTGAAAGCGAATGTCAGCGATTGAAGAGTATTTTCCTCTTGTCGATTTCTCATAAGCGCCGGAGCTGACCTCTGTAACGTCTCTTGCGACCACCACCACCACGGCCGCCGTGGTTCCGGCGCTCGTATTCAGCCATATGAACCGTACCACCGCTTTTAACGCGACAGCTGGACTTGGGATATGTAGTTTATGCGACGCTGCAAACTCAGGTATAATGTAAACAGGGCGCTGGTAGCAGTATCCGTCCCGGATGCTTGCTCGAGACCTAGAAATCACGTCATATTAGAACGGGAATTCTGAACCCAGCTTTTAAGAACGTGCCAAAACTTACTAACCCTTGCACAATTTGCACTGATCACTGAGCTCCAATTCAAAGAAAGACGTATAATTTATGTGCTAGAGGCGATTCGAGGAGCAAACACGCTTAGCCCCGTCTGCTCGGATGTGGTCTCGTAGACGACAAAGGAAGCTGGCAGCAGGCCGGATCGTTAAAGAAAAAGCGCGCCTCCTGTACCCCGGCGACTCAATGTATAGTCCTCAATGCCTGGTGAGCACCACAAGGAATGAGTGTCGCCAATCCAAATAGTTACGCGCCAGTTCGAGCAGTTACAAGATCGGCGTTTTATATGACCCGTTCCGACACTGTCATAACAAAGCACGTGACATGAACTGTTGTTGTACAGGAAGTGTCCTCTTAATGCTATTACTATTATCGCCAAGGGTGCTTGGTAACTACTGCAAGACAGAAGATGCCAAGATTCAGCCATCAAGATCCAATAGACTAGAATGTCCTCGCATTTGCACCAGTCGCGTACTAGAAGCATCATCATACGGAAGCAGGTCAACGGCAACTGGTTATTCTTGATTTACCTCGCTATCACATCTTACACAAAGGGGAAATGCGATCAGGCAGCATTTTTGAAGTTCTGAACCTGCTCAAGTGAGACGAAATTCTGGAGAATAAGGCTATCCAGGATTTTAAAAGCCGCGGACAAACATTAATGCATATATGGATCGAGTCGAGGCAACGCAAATCATAGCAGTAGAAGTGGAACCGGTGATCATACATGTCTGAATGAGAGACCCGTTGGATAAGTTCTTCGGAGTCTCTAAATTGAAAAGGTAGCCGCTTTGGGAATTACATAACGTGCAAACGCCCCAATCAATAATGGCCTCCGGCCAAGCCAAGCCAAACGAATGAGGTTCAGGACAATAAAGGCATGAGAAAAAGGCAAACAAAGGAGAAATAGCGCTGCAAGGCCAGGGATCTCCAGATTACTGGCGCTTATATCCTGGCACATTCACAAACCGTGGCAAATATATTCGGGCCATGTTCCATATGACGAAATGCTCCGTGGGAAACTAAGTCCCCGTCCTCCACCCTGGAGGATCCTCATGCATTGTCCTCTGATGAACCCTGATGATCCGGATATGAAGCTAAGCAGACCTAAAACCCCGTAGGCAGACTTGCGCGGAAGGGGTATCACTTTTTCCTCCCAAAGGCCACTCCTCAAAGACACCTCGGAAACTCCACGCTATCACGTCACATCCCCCTCTGCATGAAGCTATAACGATTCGTTGCCCAAATTCCCGTCATGACATGGATGGTACTTTTTGCTCTTTTTCTTTCCTTCTCCCAGGGAATCGATTCCCAGTGGTACGCCAATTATGAGGCCTAAGCACATCTGAAGACTCGTTTCGAATCGAAAGACCGCCCGATGCATGAATGTGGGAACTCCGCGTGGCATGAAATCAGAGATGATTGCGCACCGTATAAGAGACAGCACTCCGAACAGGCGTGTACTTCGTTACGTCGACGCGTCTTGAATCAGTCGAGACGGGCCATCATTTCTTCCTTCGTAAGAGGCGTAAAGTTATCGATGTCGAGCCCGCGAGCCTCGAGGGCGGGGCGTGCGTGAGGAGGAACCAGCCGGCTATTCAGTGCCGGTGCAATGGAGAGTTCTAGGAGAGCAGTTAGTGACAGCTGATATTTGCACATGGAACAGAGATATATATACCGTGACGAGAGAAATCAAACAGCTTAGGGAGTTCCCTAGGCGGGTTGTTGGGGTGACGTGAGTCAGGCAAGCGCGTGTTTGGATCCCGCAGCTCGTCGAAGAAGGGATGGCACATGGCCTCGATCGCAGACAAACGCTGAGTTGGCGTGTATTCCAAAAGCGCCGAGATGAGATCGATGGCTTCGGGAGAAGCTCTGCGGAAAACCTTTGGAAGTCTCAGTCAGTACCTCAATGGGACTACGCAAATACGTATTAGAGCCTACCTTATTGAAGGGATGTGGCTTGATTTGAGGGAACTTGTGCTCCATGTAATTGGGGTTCATGGTCCGAATCTGCTCGCGAGTGGGAGTACCAAGAACCTTGATGATCTCCACAAGTTGATCGATACCGGATTCACCAGGGAAGAGTGGCTGGCCCAGCATCAATTCTGCCATGACACATCCAGTAGACCACACATCTATTTCCCGTTAATACGTCTGACCCTATCTCCTAAAAGTGGATACGTGGTAATTACCGATTTTTGTGGTGTAGTTAGTGGCACCGAAGATCAATTCTGGCGCCCGGTAGTAACGTGAACAGATGTAAGACACGTTGGGCTCATTCTCGACAAGGATCTTGGCTGATCCGAAGTCGCAGAGCTTCAGGATACCGGTATTAGGGTCTAGCAGCAGGTTCTGGGGCTTGATGTCTCGATGGCAGATTCCCTGCGAGTGAATGTATGCCAGAGACCGGAAGAGTTGGTAGATGTAAAGCTTCACTTCGAGAGTCGGCATGGTAGTCTTCATCTTGTTGAAGTACCTCGAGGCACGGTATACGGTCTCTGGGACATACTCCAGCACCAGGTTCAGATACACCTCGTCCTTCTGCAAGATACCCACGAAACGTTTGGTTAGCAACTCCATGGCCGGAACGACAAAAAGACATTGGCTCACATACCCTTTCCCCATTGGAGTAGTAGAAGGCTTTGAGCTCCACGATGTTGGGATGGCGCACGATCCTCATGATCTGCAACTCACGGTTCTATGGAGAAAGGCGTCAGTTCGGTTCAGAGCGTAGGGGGGTTATGCATTGTAGCTGCGGTATGAATCATTTGTTAGTCCTTACCTTGAACCGCTTGTCCTGGAGCACTCGCTTGATGGCGGCATCCTCACCACTTGGGGTCAGTTTGGTCTGAAAGACAACACCAAACGAGCCATTGCCGACGATCTTGCATTGTGTATATTGCATCTCCTTCGTCTCTCCGGTCAGTCCGTCTTGGACCTTTTCGCGTATGACCTCTGGTAGATCATCACAGGTATTGTCAGCGGAGGAGCTTCCTTAACAAGATGAGAGGGGGGGGAGGCATGTCAATTGCGAGAGAAAGGGATCCAATTCTTACCCCCCATGCGCAGGCTCGAGAATACCCCAGGCCGAATTTGTGACATCACGTGGGGTCTCGAGAGAGTTGGCGACAGATACCAAGGAGTGTTCTATATCGACAGGGCGGAGGACTGCACTTTGAGGGTCGAAGACGAGTCGAGGAAACACCAACGGTAGTTGAGCGATCCGTTTTGGGCAGATTGGAGGCGGTGGAGAAAGCAGCTCAGGTTGCCCTTTGGGTAGTTGAGCGTTCGCAGGTGGATGTTCAGGTGGAGGTGAAGGTGAGATGAAGGTTGGAAAGCGGGCTCGTGGGCGGACGAATTGCGGAATGGAAGGCTCAGACCAAAGACCCAGCAGTGTCAGGCTGGAGGACGCCAAGAGTGTAGCCACACGACTGCCCAAGGGATCCAATACCAGTGAATCGCACGGGATTGCGCACTCGCCTGGGCTGCGAGAGACGATCGGGGACGCAGAGGACTGTCGAGACGCGCTGCGTGGAGGTTTTGCTCACGACGAGCTTTGGTGGTGCAGTGTTCAAGCCGTTGGGACCTGAGAGGAGGGGATGATGGGTCTGGGTTGAAGAGAGAGGGCGAGCGAGCAGGAGGGCAGGTGACGTTGATGCAGCGACGAAGCCCAACACGGTAAGGCTGCAGGAACGCGGGAATCAGAGTGCCCCGTGGGAGCAGGAAGAGGGGGGGGGAAGAGAGCAAGTTGATCAGAGGTAGAACTGAGAAAGAAGAAGAAGAATGAGAAGCAGGTCAGGTCGGGACCAGGTAAGTGAAGTGCAGACAGACGAGCTGTGAGCAGTCGTAGAGTGAGTTGAACTACTATTCTGCCAGATGGGGTGTGTACTGTACGAGTAGGAACCGACGGTTTGGGGGGCGCGCGGGAGCGACTCTCGGTGGGTGGTGCGGGCAAAAGAAGAAGAACTGCTGTGGCAGTGCGGGTGGTGGAGATTGAATGTCAGGACGCAGTGAAGCAGACTTTCTGTTTACGGAATCTGGCAGTCACTAAGGAAGCCAAAATGATGGAGAGAGGATAGGGAAATTCGATGACGGTGTTTTTTTTTTGTGTGTGCGTGTGTGTGTGTTTGTTCCTTGTCGTATTATTATCGACGACCAACAACCGGGGGAAGCATGATGGCATTACAGTCACTTCGTCCGGAGGGGAGGCCAAAAAGAGGGGACGTGGAGTGGTGTCTCCTGTCCGGTACAATACCGTACCTGTAATTCATTACCAGCGGATGTTCTGCGGGAGAGCAAGGACCGGCCACAAGGGCGGAGGAGCCGGGGGAGGCGAAAACACGCAGAGGGGAGAAAACGGGGTAAAAAGTGAGTCTTTCGCAGCGCAGATTCAGAAATGACGGCGGTTCTGGTGGAGACCAACTTCGGGATCTGGAGTGCCTGAAGCAAGAGGCTTTTCTTTTCTTCTTCTTCTTTTATTATTATTTGTATTACCATATTACACTAGTTCTCCTGCCTTCCTGGGGGAAATCATTCAATCGCTACGGGTGGGAAATTCAAGGAAGAAATGACAACGTTTGTATGTACTTATGGTCCTCCCATGTTTTCCCTATTTCCCGGTCAGGCCAGAGCCGAATGCTGGAAGGAAAAACGCCGCTGATGACAGATGGACGGCCGGAATTAGTATTTACCATCATAACAAATAAGTAGTAAGTATGGTAAATCATCCCAAATCATCTGGAGAAGATCCCTGGAGAGGATCGGCCAGCTGCCGGTCACCGACGATGCGGCGGCCTGTGGGAAGCAGAGAAAAGAGGGGTTGACAGGCGACGTGCCCCCTGGTCAAGCGATATCAAGGGCAAACCAAACATAGTATCTAGTGTAGTAGTGGCAGCTAAGGATGCAAGTCGTGTGCGCTTGGATATGCCGTTCGCTCGTCTGGGCCAGTGCCGCCAGGAGAGCCCGGCTGCCTCCGTCGCAAAAAGCGCGCGTCCGTGCTGCGCGGCGACTGGCCCAGCCGGCTCCAGCAAACCGATCATCTATGGTAGGACGTTTCTATTACGGAGGGCCGTGGATATATTAATATTAATCTTGAGCGTTTCTCCGCTTCATGTCGGGTGACCAATTGCTGTGTCCACCACATCCACTCCCGCTATTGGCAAGCGTTGCGTCCTGTATCTGCTGTGTACCATCCAGGGCACGTAATAAATCATATACTCTAGTAGTAGTAGCTCCACGGGTCCGTGTTCCGTCAAGGAACACGTTGGAAACAGGCGCACACAACAATTGCGCCTCTGATTGAATTGGATCCCGCGGAGCTCCCTGGGCGGAACCTCGGGGCGGACCTACGCTGAAACAATTCCTGCTCAGGAGGTCCGGTTCGAAACTAGATAATAATAATAGGCGATACGGATGGACCAATCCTGTTGGGATCTGGCTATTGTATTTTATTATTTACTGCTGGTCCAGACGGTTCCAGCATTCGAGCTCTCCATATGCCCGGACCCTCAGGGACAATGGCACGCGACTTGTCACCGCCTACCATCTTACTACTATTTTGGAATAATACGTCTATTGACCCTATTCTTTTTTCGTTACCTAAACAAGGTCCTCCTAGTATAGAGCTATATCGCTAATTCGTACTACGGTAGATGTTTTGGAACCCACTATGGTAGCTCGTGTCAACAGAAGAATAGCCGTTGCGAGAGCTAAAATATATACTCTATCTATCTATATCCAGTCCCATTGAGGACTCTTCACGCAGACGGTCAACTGACTCACCTTAGTCCTCAGCATGAGACGTGGCGTTCAAACGCCTAACGGCGGGTATGTATTTATTCTTTTCTCGCTCGAGAACCATGGCGTCCGAGCAGTCGAGTTATAACGAGAAAGGCAACTGCTGAAAACCGGGCATTGCTATCGACAAATTGCTCCTCAAAAAGTGGCTGGTTGCTCACATAACCAAGGGAGATATCTTCATTGTGGCGGTTTCCTGATCGAATTCCGTATACGAGCAGCAAGAAGGTAGAGGCATTGCCAACAGTGGCACGGATAAGCTATATTTGCCCGCAATATTCTGGAACTGCACGTGAGTTATTATTTTTCCAGAAAAGGACAGAAACGAGGGATCACGTATACAGAAAATTTGCTGGTGATGCTTTGAAGTTCTAGCGCCGTGGCTGAAGAGTCTGGGCTTCTATCGTCCACCGTTCCCCACGGGACCGTGGAGGCATCTTAGTAGGCCTGGAGAAAGGGCGAGACTCCTTTGGACCCTGCACCATGGTATGCATGGACATTGGACAGTGACCTATCGATACACAGTAGAGTACTCACGGGGAGCTTGCGGAAAATCTCTATTGCTCATGAATCGAAATATTCCCTCGTGCTCGAGGTCATTTTTTCCGTTTTGAGGCAAAATCTTCTGGCCGTCAGCTCTGTTGATCATTTGCGTCCCTGCACTCTTGCTTTTTTTTGGAAGGCGAAAGTGTTTCAGCCAGAAGGAATTCCAATAGAAAATATTTGTCTATCGATGTAGGTAAAAAGTGGCGTGTCAAGAGGTAAATAGGGGTAGATAGGTGTGGCACGGACATCTCTGCAGAGATGCCCACTATCCCAAAAAAGACTGAGAATAGCTATGACTGTGACGATTCTAACATCACCACCATGCGGTGAATCACTGGACGGGCCGGTCCAGCAAACTTTTGATCTAACGATGCCTGGGGCATGCATCTATCCCAGTCGAGTTGTTCGGGGGTAGGGGGTCTGAATCCACGAGACAATTCCATTATTCTTGAAGACTGCTGTTCCTGGGCTTTGACCGCTAGAATGATCAGGCCAGCTTTTTACTACTCGCACCAACCAACACCAACCAACGTTCAACAACCTAACTATGGTATGTATGAGACAGGCAGAAGGCGTCTGTCGAATGCGTCTATCGGCACCCAACATCTCGGGGATGGCCAGTCTCATGAGATTCGATTCGCAGAGGCAATAACCCCTGCAAATCATCGGTGTCGATTTCCTTGTGGATGAGAGCAGTGAGAACCAAGATCTTTAGATCCAATATTACCTACTGTACACATGGTGCACCGTGCTTTCCCGGTAACGAAGCATACAATACCTGTACGGAAAAGCGATTACGGTACCGGAGGACGGAATCTGATAGGCTTCCGGGGGATCATGATGCATTCATCTGCAGGTCATGTGAACGGTGGACCCGCCACCCTGGCCCCAATCCATCCTGGCCCCAAGGAACGGGCAGCAGTAAAGTTATAAAGAGTATGAAGCAATTTGAGAATAATGGAGCACGGTGGAAAGCATAAATTTTCAATATGGATACGTACAAGAGTCCCTGCAGCAGGCCCTAACGGCAGTTTCATAGGGTAAACGATAGTCGACCGTTCTTTTGCTCCGGACGAAGGAGATGACTCTCTTCAGTGGCACGAACCACGTTCGACAAACCGTGAGATTGACGTCGATATAATAGCTAATTAATTGGCCGCTCCGGGCTCTCTCAGGGCCCAACTTTGGTTCAAACGGGGCCTGTATGCCATTCGGGCCTCGTGATCGCCGCGCCGAGGAGAAGTCAGCAGATCACTGGACATTTTCCGTTGAAAAAGCCTCTCTCAGGTGACCGACTGGTCTGGCGTGCTCAATTGGTAATCCCCCATGGCAACTTGATAAGTTAGAATTCCTGGATGAATATAGGTGAACTTGCATCTCCACTCTCCGCTCTCGTCGGGGGCTTTCTTTTTAGGAGGACAGTCGAGCGTCTCAACCTCAACATAATGCTAATGGCGGACAACGTCACGTTTCCGGGCAATGTGCTGGGCGAGCGGAAAACAGACTCGGATTGGCCAGGTCTCCACTCAGCACATGCCGACCCAGCAGTAGTAGGAGGGCTATAGCACATCCGCTAAGGGGCGCACTATCTCTGTCCGTTGACTCCGTTTACTTTGCTCTACTTTGCGGTGGAGCGCGCAGAACTGGCGGTTTGTAACGAAGCAATGATCATGAACGCTATCAGATCGTGCTGGACGTTAACATTCCTAGTCCGGAGTAGTATGAGAAATCTGCTGGAGACTGGAGTGGCTGCTAGATACTCTAGTTATCATTAACTACTCAAGCTCCAAAGCATCATTTGCACGAGATCCCTTGCGGTGATGATACTGGATACTCGAGTCTTTTTATTCTTATATAGTCCTCTCTCTCTCTCTTTTTTTTCCCTGCTCTTATATTCTCCAATCTTCAAAAGAACGCCCTACTCTATGGCAATGGACGTTCCCAGCACAAGAACTAATTAATCCATAGTTACCCAGAATGCTCGTCCGTCTATATAAGCACGGACTTAACTTACTTATCTCCCCTGACCCAAAGCGGCATCAGGATAATCTTCAACTCTATCAACTCGAAGTCCCTTTCCAGTCCCCACCAGCAGTTCTTTCCTGACACCGTCATCGAACCAATAAGCATAAGTTCTCTGTGTTGAGCGGATGCATCACGCGCCCATCACTCCTCGAAACATATCCACGCAGAGGAGACGGACCAACCTTCATCGTTGTTCTTGCTTCTTTTTCCCTTCACCGTTTCACCCTCTCATAGAGAGCTTTTCCAGCAGTAACAGATTGAACATGGATCCCTTGAATTTCCCTGTCCACCCAATACAACACAAATGGGATATGATGTCAGTGTGGGGGGAAGGAGAAAATGCCTAACCTGAATAGACTATTCCTGCCAAAATACCATCCTTTTCTCTAGTTACACCCATATCGCCACCACCACCGCCATATCGTTTACCATACTTGATTCGAGTGAAACCCAACTACCTAGGCATATGTCACTCAGAGTATGCTGGCTGGGCATCAAACGATGCAGGGACAATGCATCTAGTCTGAAGGAAAGTAAATTTATCCTTGTACATTATCTATTGGAGATGGTTGCCCTACGATACCTTATGGCTATGAGGTAGCATATGTATCGTTGGGCCATCTATCATATGTATGTATGTATGTACCTGAGAAGCAGGTCAAATACCCAACGAGTGATGACGAAGTATCAAGTAGTTCTTTTCATACAATATTCTGGACCAGGATCATATCATACGGCTAGCTAGCTAGCTATTGAATATAATATTTCCCTTTCATTCATGAGCTAGAGTACCCCCCGGCCTCAATTCTGTTTTCGTCGCTTACCATAACTTGCCAAGGAAAGACCTGGGCAAAAAGAGAAAAAAAAGCCGCCTTGCTACTTATTATGGTATATCCATCATCTATCTACCTTTCTTAGACTAAACTACAAGTAGCAATCTATATATCTCTTCTTTTGCTAGACATGAGATAATTACAATCATATCAAACCACAATCTCAACCCCTAATTAAGTAGTTAATCCTACCTGCCTACCTAGATTAGTCTGCATATTCATGTGAAGCAGGATATCTAGATGCATGTGCATATTAACCGTCAGTTCACCATTAATCCATATATAGATAGATAGATAGGTCAGTTATATGACGTATACACATCGTAGATGATGCCATTTAATTGAACTGAACCAGGTCCACTTTATCTTAGGTAACTTAGCAGTGGTCAATTCCCCATGCTATTTCATCTATCAAAAAAAACTATACGCGTATGCATCAGTCTACTGGAAATCCGCCAATATCTTATCTTTCCCCAGCCTTTTGCCCTGACACTCAGTAACCGAGAATAGCTAGATTGGAAATCTTAGATCTTGGTTTCTCCCATGCAGGTCCTCTACCTAGCTACCTAGCTGATGGGATGGATGGATCCTAATGCAGGCTAGCTAGGTGTTCTGCCGGATTTCATGCTGCTAGGCGATTCTAATTTCGACGCTGCCGGAATATGATAAGGGCTGATGTTTACTAGGCAAAAGAACAATTCAGATAAATGTGCTTAAATCATCTTCGTGGACTCAGTCACTTTTCTCGTACTACGGAGGATTTATTTTACATTGCCCCATCTATGATGCCAATAAACAGCTCGGTGGAATCCCTCCATGCATCCCGCCAGGCCAACCCCATCCATCAGACGAGAACAGATAGGAAAACTTGAGGACATGATGACATTCCACGGCCGTCGAGAAAGTAAGGGAATTCAAAAAATAGGGGGAGGAATTAACAACGCAAAGCACAAACATGTCTATACAAGAGACGGTTCCATGGCGCCAGATGACCGCATGGTGCACCAGCAAACCTCATTCAAAGAGACCAGCCGAAGAAGCTGCGTTTCGTGCTTCCAAAGACACATGCAGGAGAGTGAAGAGGTACTAAAACAGAGTGTGAAAGAGTCGTCACAGGAAAAGTAGAGTGGGCAGAAACATCCCGGTCGCGGGGGATATTCTCTGCTACCGAATCAGGTATCTAGAGGCCATCCTCTAGAAGGGCGGCGGGATGGCGTTCTGAGCCTGAGCCTCCAGCTTATCCTGCTGCTCCATCAACTCCTCTCCAGCAATCTCGAGCGAAACGGCGAGACCGAGCTTAGCTTGTTGCTGCAGGGGAGAAAGCCAGTTAGTACTGGCTCAACTTATTTGGGATGAAAACGTAGATCTCTGACTCACCTTAACCTGGTCAATCTCTCCAGCAAATGTCAGAGAGATGGGCATCGCTATCCGCTTCTCGAGCAGGCAGCTCAGCTTTCCGGTGCTGTCAATCTGGGCACGGAAGGTAGAGGCACGGAAATCGTATTTGGCACCAATGGTGGCCGTGCCGTCCCGGCGAGGACCACCCATCAGGGCAGCAGCAGCGCTAGGCGCGAACTGCAGGTTCATATCAACACCGGCCTCGACTCTCTCCGACAGCTTCTTCCAGTAGGACGCGGCAATAACACCCTGGGCCTGCAACTGTGCAGTCGCGATCCAGTCCTGACCCTTGTACTTCGCGCAGTAAGAGAAAGCAGCCTCTGGACGAGTGTTAAGACCCTGTCTCTGCCACATAGTCTCGAAACCAAGAGCGAGACTGGGGGTAATGGACTGGAGGTAGCTTCCGACGAAAATTCCCGTAAGGCCACCTTCCAGGATGGACGGGTTGAAGGCCTTGAGAGACGCGGAGAAGTCGGATCCGGTGTAGTCGTGATCGACCTGGAGGAGACCTTGTTGTGCACCGGCCATGATCTGAGCATTGGTCTTGGTGACCAGGGCGCTGTTCCAGCGGTAGTTTCCTACCGCGGCGAGGGCGCCATCACTTCCAATGTTGCCTTGCATGAAAACCTTTTGAGACGATCAATTAGCCTCAAAACATGTCCTTTCGACTGTCTCGAACCGACAAGACACCCAAGCTGGAAGTAATACAACTTACCTTGGGGCTTCCGTACATGGCAGAGAATGCGTACGGGGGCATATTGCCCTGCGATCCCATAGCAAAGGCATGGGATACACGGAACAAAGGCGCCATGCAGAAGACCTTGGTCAAATCCGCGCGGAGACCCGTAAATATGTAATTGGACAGCAGAACTTCCTTCTGCACCTCTCTGGCGATGTTATCCACCGTTCCTGGGTTGGACAGTCCGAGAGCCGCCCGGCGCTCTGAGAACGCCCTGTATGCATCTTGAATGGTGGCAGCAACCGTATTGTCCGTGAGGAAGGACAATGGCGATGAAGCGTCCGCCATGATGTGTGATTAGAGAAGATGTGATGTGTCGGTGGTGAAGGGATTGAGATCCTCGGATCGACGCGAGGACACACGCAGGAACGAGAGATTGACCAGATAGCAAGGCCAAAAAGGGAGCAGTGCGACCCTGTCTAGCTGATGGCAACGCCTGGGAAGTATTGGCCGGCCTGCTCTTAGACTGGGGGGGAGGTCGAAAAGAGCCGTGAAGGATGGGGAAGCTGGAGAGCTGCTGGCAGCAAAAAAGTTCGGTTTTCCGCAGCGACGGTCTTGCCAAGAGCCGACCTGCCTCTTTGTCGCATCTCGGCCGCTGGACTTGTTCGTCATGGCTTATTCAAGTAACTTAACTTAGTTAAACTCACTAACTGAACTAGTTCAGTTCAGTTATTGTTATTGTGCTGCTCTATTACTACCGTTAAGCCGTCTCGGGCCTTTTCGGCCCTATCTAGTTCGTTCATCGGCCACTCTCTTGCTGCTTAATTATCTATCTACCCCGAAAGCCTAGGCAGGACAATGATTTCATCGAGTACTATTATTTGACCCCAAACTTGCCTTCTCCGCGCTTCCTGACCGTGGTCTTTCTTTGTTTGTGCCTTTCTTTTTCCTTTTCAGAGGGATCGCCTCTTATTGTCCTAAAGATTCGACTTCCCTGTCGCAGTGTGGTGACGCTATTGAGATAATACCATTATCACCTACTTGGCACCTCCACACCGCCCGCCCCTCCGTTGAGGAGGTAATACTTGTGTCCAGTCAACGAGCCTTTGTGTGTTTGAGTGCTGAGTACGGTGCTGAGTGCTTAGTGCTTAGTGCTTAGTTTTTTCGTCTGTTCTGATCGGATACTTCTGTGACATTGGTTGTCAACCAGCGATTCCACCATGGATACACTCTTGTAAGCTTCCCTCAACTACCTAACGATCTCAGCGATCTTACTACACTACTTTAACTGCTAGCCGGGCACGTCTTATGTCGCGAGGTCCCAAACTCGTCACTGTGCCTGGATTCAGGCACGGCTATTTGAAGAATATGGCGTCTAACTAGTTTGATCAGGACGGCAGATGTTGTTGCGAACTCGCCTCGTTTCCGCCGGAAGTCGAGCACCTACGTGGATGCTATCCACGATCTCCCCGAAAAGGTCGAACTGGCACCGGCCCAATTATACAGTACAGAATCAGGGCGTCTCTTTCATTCTGGCCGGATTGTGATTATTACTGTCGGGTTACCGGCCAGGGGCAAAACGTTAGTCCAGAGCCCTGCCTGGTTCTAGCAACATGCTGCTGACAATGCCGGTTCTGATAGGCACATCTCCGTAGCACTCGCGCGTTATCTCCGATGGTTAGTCCCAGCGCACCCTGCCGTCCTCGATCCATCGCTCATTGCACTTTAGGTTGGGAGTGAAGACGAGGATCTTCCATCTTGGAGACTACAGACGAGCCACTATCGGTCCTGGACAAGATGTGCCGGATGATTATTTCTTCGTAAACGGTACGTGACAAGCGATCTGAGCTGATTCGCCGGATGTTGTATATCTAGCTGTTGTTATTGTGCGGACCATGCTGACGAAGAGCTACAGCTTCTGCGTCGTCCGTGCTGCTTAGACAGAAGATCGTGAAGAAGTGCAGGGAGGATATATATCATTTCCTCAATCACGAAAATGGGCAGATAGCAATATATGATGCTGTAAACCCTATAGCGGCTGGTCGCCGATCTCTGGCCAAGGAATTTGCCAAACACGACATCGAGGTAATCATCCAATCACCACTACGACTATGTAGACAGTGACCTAACTCACCCTCGCAGACGCTTTTTATAGAGTCCTGGTGTGATGACGAGCGCATCATTGAGGAAAATGTGCGAAGAGTCAAGATAGGATCACCTGACGTAAGTTTTACCGGATTCATGTGTATACATGATCGCTGAGCTTCGAGCAGTATAAAGGGTGGAACTCGGATGACGCTGTCAAACATTATCTATCTCGTATCTCGGCTAGGATCCCCCAATTTCCAGACGATGGAGGAAAAGGATCTCAATTTCATCAAGGTTAGGAAGTTAGCTTTCTACGCGTTTCTCGGACGGAGTGCTGACTGCGGCCTAGATGATAAATGCCGGCCAGAGACTAATCGTCAACAACTGCAGCTTCGGCTATCTCTCTCATCGGATCGTCTTTTACCTGCTTAATCTGCATATAAAATCAAGACACACCTATTTTGCCCGCGTATGTGAACCAACAGTTGTCTCATCGAGCGTTTTACTGACCTGCCACAGGCTGGTGTCTCAAAGGAGGCCGATTCATACAAGGCAGATGCTTCATTGTCAGAGAAGGGGGAAGACTACGCACGAAAGATGACAGAGTGCCTCCTTAAGCACAGAGGGTCAGAAAGACAAGCCATGGAGGAGCAGGGAGAGGAGAAGGCTCAACTGAAACCTCTCACGGTCTGGACCTCTACGCGCCGTAGAACTGTCGAAACCGCTAAATATCTCCACGAGAAGGGTTACAAGGTCCGTCAGCGGTCTCAGATGAGCCAACTGAACCCAGGAGTATGCGAGAAAATGTCCGAGAGGAGAATTCGGGAAGAATATCCTGATGAGGTCGCAAAACATGAGATGGACCCGTATCACCACCGATACCCCCGTGCTGAGGTAAGGTCTTGGACTTAGGTGAAGGAGTAGTCCGGTACTAACAGTTGTTATAGTCGTACCATGACCTTGCCGTCCGTCTGGAGCCAATCATCCTGGAGCTGGAACGCGAGCAGAACGACCTGCTTATAATAGCCCACGAGAGCGTACTGCGAGTTCTATATGGATATCTAATGGCATGTAATGCAGCAGATATACCATTTCTGTCGTTCCCTCGAAATGAGATCATTGAGGCAAGTTTAACGTCAACTGTGCCTGTGTACATGAAAACTGACCCCGTCATTAGATTATCCCAGCCAGTTATCAGAATGAAGCAAGAAGGATACAGATCCCTGATCTTCCCGAAGAGATCATCCCTGCTTCACCGGAAGACATAAAGATCCCTGTCCCGCCTAGTGGCGTTGCTTCTCCTATGCCTGGAGGGATCGGAAGTCCACAGGATGGGCTATCGTCACCGGCAAGTGGACTTCGGACCCCTCGGGAGCCCGAAAGGATCTCTCAGCAACAGGTGGAAGACGTTGTATAGCCATAGCGCCCAATTGGATCAAACGAATTATTCGGTAGAGCTTTGATATCATAGCATGGCCATCATGTAATGCTCATAATATATAGGAATGCAAAGGGTGACTAGTATCAGCCACCGTGCAAAGTAGACACGAACAAGATATTGTCCCCTGGTTGTAACTCATAACTCTCTTCACCTTCCAGTTCCCAGTCGGCATCATTGATAAGGACCAAGATTCCCGGTCGTCTACCCTCCATAGTTAGCCTCCCGGCGCGCAGAGGCTGTTTATGCTTCGTACTCACACGTTGTTATCCACGACGAAGAGTTCCTTCCTCTGGTCCTTCATGACATTCTTGACGAGATATTCGATGAGGTAACTAATCGTCGGCTTTTTACCATCGTCAACTGTGGCAGGTAGCGTGAGACTGTGCTTGCGTTCATTTGCGAAAAGCATCTCGAGGCCTCCACTGTGCGAAAAGCAGTCAGTCGTTATGCACTCGACTATCAGCAAAGAGGGGTCGGGAGTCAGACGTGAACTCAACAGTGATGGATATGCTTCCACCCTTAGGGTCCTGAGACCCAGGATCAGCTCCCATTTCAGGCAAAAGAGTAGACCCAAGTACTCAGATCAAGTCTGGCAGACAAAGAAGCGGCATGAGGAACTTCGCAAGACGAAAGACCTGCCACTTTGGTTGGGCGGCTTATCGATAACCTTAAATTTCTAATACCGTCTGAAACGCGAAAAAGACCTCCCCGCACCCAACTTGCACAGGCGCATTCTGAACGGTAGAGACCGCCTCATAGCTGGGATCGTGCCAGGAGACGGTCCTTGAAATCAGCATTCATGGTGTCGATTACGACTGAGTACATCAGCGCTGGTGGGAACAGGCACCCAGCCGCTGCAGACTGGGATTCTCAGTCTGGCGTGCTTGCCTTTGGCGCCGACAATAATATAGCGCTATGGAATCCTGCTGTATGACTTCCTCCAAAATAAAATATATCTCGAAGAGTTACTGATCATACTGATAAGCAAATAGGATAACACTCGCTGCGGGATCTATTCGTTACTCGTCGGGCACACTGACAAAGTCACGGCCGTCCGATTCTACACATGCTCATCGACTGGGAAGAAGCTGATACTTTCAGGTTCGGTTGACCGGACAATCCGAATATGGCAAGATGAACCCGCGTATCCATACTTTTCCTGCGTGGGCCATCTGGAAGGGCATGAAGGCTCGATCAATACTATCGCCGTGGCCGAGGGTTCGAACATTGTCGCATCCGGCGCAGCAGATGGCACAGTCAAGCTCTGGAGGATCGATGAACAGTTAAATGGGACGCTAGTGAATACGATATCTCTGAAACCACGGTATTTCTCACTGACATTGGCATTGAGAGTTTTGGAGGCCGATGTGTCTGCGAAACCGATGGTGTTGGCAGTTGCGGGAACGAGGAATACGGTACAGATCTACGTTGCGCAGGACACTTCTGGCGAGCCCGACTTCCAGCTCTGCGCTACGCTTAGCGGTCATGAAGCGTGGGTGAGGTCCCTTGCTTTCCAAAGTGATATACAGAGCAGCTCAGGGGACTTTCTACTGGCGTCTGCAAGCCAGGACAAGTACATTCGTCTCTGGAGGGTACAACGCGGAGAGGTAGCTCCTGTTGTGCCGAGAGACTCAGATGATCCTATGATTGGTGGTTTTGAACAGACGTTATCAAACAAGGCTCACACATTCGACGCTGTCGGCTCAAAGTACTCAATCACATTTGAAGCCCTCCTTTTTGGTCACGAAGATTGGATCTATACAGTCGCATGGAACCCTGACCCCAAGCAAATGCAACTTGTCTCTTCCTCTGCAGACAACTCGCTCATAATATGGGAACCGGATCCAGTCTCAGGCGTTTGGATTTCGAAGGAGAGAATGGGAGAGATAAGCGTCCAGAAGGGGTCAACATCTGCCACGGGAAGCACGGGCGGCTTCTGGATAGGTCTCTGGGCGCCGGGTAGAAAGGAAGTTGTCAGTCTGGGGAGAACAGGTAGTTGGAGGAGGTGGCAATACCTGAGTGAAGTCGATCACTGGGTGCAGACGCTAGGCATCAGCGGCCATGTACGGTCTGTGAGTGATATCGAGTGGGAACCAAAGGGTGGCTACCTTCTCTCCACTAGTTCAGACCAAACTACAAGAGTCCATGCAGAATGGAAGAGAGACGGTGCTAAATCATGGCATGAATTCTCAAGAGCCCAGATCCACGGTTATGACCTCAACTGTATCGATTCTTTGGGTCCTACACGGTTTATCTCCGGAGCCGATGAGAAGCTCCTGCGTGTCTTCAATGAACCAAAGGCAGTTGCTCAGCTGTTGAATAAGCTCTCTGGCTTTCAGCAGCTGGCTGTGGAGGAGATGCCGGATACTGCAAATATTCCCGTACTAGGCCTCTCGAACAAGGCCGCTGGAGACGAAGTCCCACTGGGCGAGGACATGAACGGCCTTAGTGATGAACAACCGTCAGCTCTTCCCGTGTCGCTTGATATGGACCATCCACCCTTTGAGGACCATCTCGCCCGTTACACACTATGGCCTGAACACGAGAAGTTGTATGGTCATGGCTATGAGATATCGGCTGTGGCAGTAAGCAATGACCGATCTATCATTGCCACTGCGTGTAAGGCGAGCTCTATTGATCACGCCGTTATCCGTCTATATGACGCAGCCGATTGGCATGAAATCAGACCTCCCCTGACAGCGCACTCTTTAACCGTCACTAGTCTGAGCTTCTCTTCTGATGACCGTTATCTCTTGAGTGTCGGCCGAGATAGACAATGGGCTGTCTTTGAAAGACACGCAGACGAGCCGTCCCGTTTTAGCCTATTGAAATCGAACCCGAAGGGTCATAGCCGAATGATCTTGGGAGCAGCATGGGCGCCTTTATCCAACCCGCCTGCCTTTGCAACTGCCGGAAGAGACAAGACAGTGAAGCTGTGGCAAATGACGGATGGAGAATTCGTTTGCAAGTCGACCATTTCAGTCAAAGATCCCGTCACTGCACTCTCATTTCTTCCAACACCGCGTGGGAATTCATTCTATCTGGCCGTTGGTGAAGACAGCGGGGCAGTTTCTCTCCATAAGGTTGCTACTGATAGCCTTGAAACAGACCAGATCACATCCTTTGACAAGCTCCTTTCGCCTTCTAGGAGTATAACTTATCTGTCATGGCGTCCTAACCCAGACAATATGGTCGATAGTGAGCAGAAGGAAGGGAGCAAGTATGAACTTGCCGTTGCAAGTGAGGACACGTCTCTGCGCATATATGCTATCTCGGATATTCCTTTCTAGAGAGTGTCACAAGAAGGGGACTCGCAAAAGTTGTTTTGCATTTCACGGTCGTACGGCGTCTTGCTGAGACACCTATATCTATCTATCTTATTACCATTAGTTCTAGTTGAATAGATTATATGGGTATTGTTGAATATAGCGTAATTGAACCATGCGATTTAGATCATTTGACTTTCTCATTTCCGTATCCTCCTTTTCCTTCAAGGGACTCGTACGTCTTCCCTTGTCCCGGTCGCCCGTTTCGCGGCCCTCTGTGCGCCAGGTCCTCTTTGAGCCATTGAAGGACCAATTCTCCGAGTTGGCTATTCTCAGCTGCCTTTTGCGGAACTTCGACATTGAAACTTTCTATCGGACCCCGTTGCTTCACTTGACCAAGGTGCATGTGGACCAGATGAGTCGGCCACTGCGCCAGGTTATCTAGAATGTGTGTCGCGTAGACAATAGTGCAAGGTCTCGTCTCTGTCTCGCGCTTCAAGAAAGACAGGAAATTGCTGCGGGATAGCAGATCCAGGTCGACTGTGATCTCATCGAGGAGAAGAACCTGCCATGGCCGGAGCAAACCCATGGCCAGCTGGACACGCCGCCGCTCACCGTCTGAAACGGCATGCATTCTCCAGGTCAAGTCAATGTCGAGGATGTCGATCAGCTCATCTCTTCGTTCTGGGTAGGCGTTTCCTCCTACCGACGCGAGGAGCGTCGGGACGTCGATATCAGTTCTCACGATGCTGTTAAGAACCCACTCGACTCCCAGATAAGTCACCCCCTCAAGACCATCTTGGAAAGGGTCAACGCCTCCCACAGAGACGGTACCGTGAGGAGCAAGACGCTTCCCCGCCAGGAGACGAAGAAGCGTCGTCTTTCCAGCTCCGTTTGCTGCCTCAGCATGTCAGCATATTTCTACGGATGCAGGGATTCCGCTGGGAGGTGGTCAATTAATGTCCATACCGCCAATGAGAAGAGTCCTACTACCGCCTGGAAGATTCAGACTGACGTTTTGAAGGCCCGGAGATCCATCCTGGAAGTTGTAGGAGAGTCCTTTGACTTCAATGGACGGCGCTTCAGCGTTGTGCTTGTTGGTCTCACCCATGACGCGATTCTGCTTCTTGGTGATATTTTTCTTTCGATTATATATAAGCAATGCCCAAGCGCAATATTAGCCTTCAAAGATCTATAGGACCAAACGAGTCACTAGCCCAGCTTAAATTGTTGTCGTATTTATCATCGGGACCGCGATAACATCGCTGCCGAGGCCGATGAGGTAATGACGGGAAAGTTACATCTAAAATTGTTCCATTCCCCGCCTACAATAATAATACTCGAATATCTTCCATGTCGTATCGCATTAACTTCGACATGCGAGGAAGAGCAAGATGATGACTTGGAGATTGCAGCTCCGTCATTATGCTCAGTCTGCTTCGACTTTTACCTGCATCGAGACCGGCTGTCATGGCCCCCCTCATCACCGTCGTCGGTGCCACTGGCACCGGCAAGTCTAAGGCATGTAGCTCGATATTCCTCGTTCTGGTATTGAGACATTGTTCTAACTGCTGTAGATAGCTTGCTGTAGATCTAGCGACCCGTTTCAACGGTGAAATCATCAATGGCGACGCAATGCAGATGTATCGTGGTCTGCCGATCATCACGAACCAGATTCCTGTCGAAGAGAGAAACGGCATTCCACACCACCTGATCAGCTGTATAGGGCTGGAGGAGGAACCTTGGCGGGTTGGCACATTTAGGAAGGAGAGCCTTCGACTTATCAAGGAGATACAGTCGAGAGGCAAGCTTCCCATTCTCGTCGGCGGGACACATTACTACACCCAGTCGGTGCTCTTCAATGATGCGCTCGTTGGGAACGGATCAGGCGATGAGGATTTTGTTTCCGAAAAGGAATACACCTCGGCCTCCCAGGCATGGCCGATCCTTGATGCTCCTGCGGAGGTAATGCTGGAGAAACTGAGGGAGGTAGATCCCGTCATGGCAGAGCGATGGCATCCGAACGAAACACGCAAAATCCGTCGGTCACTCGAGATATATTTTCAAACAGGCAAGCCAGCCTCGGAGATTTACGCGGAGCAGAAGCGTCAAAGACAAGCCTCGTTGCTTGCTGGGAATGAAATTGCAGGGATTGGTGGGGAAGACAGGCTCGACGCTCAGCTCAGCGCCGCCGGACAGATGCGATACGACACTCTGATATTCTGGGTTCATTCAGATAGGGAGAAACTGCGGCCTCGACTGGATGCGAGAGTTGATTCGATGATCGAAAACGGGTTGATGTCGGAAGCTCAGACCATGTCCGATTATCTTCAAGAGAAGGCATCGCAAGGCATTGCTGTCGACAAAACACGAGGAGTATGGGTCTCAATTGGTTTTAAGGAACTGCAGCCTTACTTCGATGCTCTGCTTGAGGGAACTATGAGTGAGCAGGAGCTTGATTCCCTCAAAAGAACTTGCATTGATTCTGTCAAATCGAGCACACGCCAGTATGCCGTCTCCCAGATCAAGTGGATCCGAAACAAATTATGGAACGCCCTCGCGGAAGCAGGAATGTCACATAGGCTCTATGTACTCGACGCTAGCGACGTGGATAACTGGAGGAAATGCGTCACTGAGCCCTCGGAAAAAGTCACAATGTCATTCCTTGGTCATGAACGCTGTCCCGATCCCAAGTCGCTCTCAGAATTGGCGAGAGCCACACTGAGCGCGAAAGAGCAAGCATCAACGCCGGTTGAAGTCACAATGAAATGCATGACGTGCGAGGTGTGCCAGAAGACGATGATAAACGAAGAGCAATGGAATGTACATATCCAGGGACATGCTCATAGGAGAGCTCTCAAATACGCTGCCAGGAGAGCTCAGAAGGAAGAGTATTTCAAACAGCGAGAATTGATCAAGGAAAATGGAGTCAAGGCAGAAGAGTAAGGCACTGGATGTTTCCTTCCTCTTTTATCATCCTGCCGCGTGAGACTCTGAAATACACCTCGTGGCCACTATTGATATTGTCTATAGTCTTTTTTGCACCATAAAATTCTCAACATTGAAAACTATAATATAATAATAGCAGAGATACTTCTATTTATGTCAAATAGTCACTGCTTGCTCCGATTCAATATTTGACTATACTTTCTGTGTCCTCCCTGTGATTAGAACATACGTGATTACTGGATTCTATTATCTAATTGTATCATAGTTGGGGTAATCCGCAATGCTAAGAGATACATCGATTCGGAGTTGTCTTGGATGCCGAAGGGCGAACTTTATAATCCAGTACGATCGTCGTCCCGATGGTACTAGCCGAGGGATATCTGGTTGATATTGAAGACAACTGGCATCCTTGTTTACATGCCTCTTGACAAACAGCAATATGAAGCTGAGCCCTTGCCCTCGTCTTAGAACGATTTGAGTAACTGAAGCTATAAATAATTGTCTCCCGGAACATGGTGATGCGAAAATGCGACATTAAAAGATTAGAAAATGATGAAAACCCCATTTCTAGTTTCTGTTATATCCTTTTTTGGGGTCCACATCGACAACGAGAGACAATATGATGCTAAAGTATGTCTCTAAATAAGATATCCTGGAATAGATCCATTGGTGACGGGATCTCGTCACCCTCTAAAGAAACCATGCATGGACCGGGCTCATTATCGTTCGGAATACAATCATGAGAAGATACCTTAAATGACCCTAGGGGCTGGATACTTGCCCCAAGCACGTCTGGTGTGTTAGGCTCGCAGCAGCCGTGAATTACAGATGCCCGCTCCATAAGCCGGGAAATAGGCTTCAATATCATGACGCCTTTTTGGAAGTCCTTCTGTGACCACCGGCGTATGGCTCTGTCCACTACACTCCATGCTCGATGGGCCTCTGGAGAGCATTGTCGATCACATAGCTCAGCCAGGATGAAGGCCGCAGCATGCCACTGCATATAGGCCTCGAAGAACCAAGACCATTTCACGGTCCTGTCATCGGTTTCGAGAAGATAAGCCAACTCTACCACTTCAATGGCTGTCTGGAACATCTGTTCTCGTACGGAGGAATCGAGAGGGATTTCGTTGGAGATCCATTGGGAAAAATGAGCAACCAACCATGAGCGCGCGAAAACCATCCGGACGACGGTGTCTGTTACCCACTGAATTGGTACTGATAGTTCGCAGAAGCGGAGATACTTTTCCTGCAAATGGACTTGGATCTTTGCCAATTCGTATATATGCTCCTCTAATGCTAGCATGACGGGCCCCTTGGCGGATGTGACATGCGGCAGGCGGCAATGGGCGACAGTCATCTCACATCGTAGTAGGCAAAATGTCATCTCCGTAAATCCATTGTGCTCCTCTGGCATTTCCATAGTCTCAGGTGATAGATCCGAGTCATTGATATTCAATGGTAACTTGGTATCGTAGCTACCTTCTTTGATCTGACTTCCGATGGCATGATACTCAGCCGTCTGCCAATCCAGTAAGTAGATGTGCCACCAGAGTCGCCGACGTATTTCTGTTTCGAAGGGGTTCAACCCAAAAGCACTCCCGTCACGATGCAACCCGAGCCCCTGAGCCATCCGATATATTGCAGCAGTCATGGTCCATACAAATTCGGCATCTCCTGGTTGGCGAAGACATGTCAAAAAGAGGACAGATGCCTGTAACAGAGGCAGGTTACGGGATTGAAGAAAGCCAGCCCTCGCCAATGCTTGCTGAGTGGCAAAGCGATAGCGTTGAAGGGCTGACTGGTGATCTTCGCCCAAGGAACGCTGACGTTCTTCGGGACCCATGCTGGCAACTGAGGCGAAATAGACTGCAAAAATAACCGCTTCAGAAGTCCTGTCTAGGATGTCAGGCTTAGTGGACGCCTTGCGTATGAGCGTCTCAAGAGTAGGCTTGTGGAAGATCATAATCACCGGCGCCACATTCTGTTGGTAGATCTCCCATAGGAGCTGACTTTGTGCTATGCTAGGATGGAAATCGCAAAGAGAGTCTGCGAAGCACGAATAGCCAAAGAGGAAAAAAGTATCATTATGCATATACTCTTTTCCCAAATCACCACATTCATCAGAGTCTTCCGAACGGTTGTTGGGTGATCCAACGAGATCCTGAAGCTCTTTGATCTTTCCACCAAGAAGGGCAACCGTGTTAGCCACAGAGACTAAAAAAAAATAGACTAAATGTTCCCGTGTATGGTGCAAGTTTATAATCACTCACCTGATCGCCCAGGCTAACTAATGCTTCATGGGTGATATACCGACTGAACTTTCTGTCCACAACCAGCCTCCCCTTTTCGTTCTCCGAGGGACCGACCGAGCACCGTCGATAATGTTCCTGGGGTTGATGCGTCCCAATTGGACGCTCCTTTTTCTTAGGAGACTCTTCTGCAGCGGAAGGACCTATTGCAGAAGCGTCTCTTTGGAGGAGCTGGGTTTGTGCAACATTTAGCTCCCCCGTAAGCCCTTTGATCTTCTCCTCTAACTTGTCCAAGCGGGCCACAAGCTCGGCCTTCAAGGGTCTTTTCTTTCTCCGAGGCGCACGACCTGGGCCGGGGAAGACACAATCCGTTTTGGACTTAACACAATTAGTACATGGCTGGCTTCTGCTACATCGGACCTTCCTCCGGTTGCACATCTGACAACTACGCGAGTACATTTGTCCATTGGCACTAGGCCCTGACTGAGGACTCTTTCTGAACTGTATATCGGCCATTTCTCAAGAGGCCAGCGCGACGAATATGCAACTTGGTCAGGAAATCAGGTCAACACCATAGAGGGTCTATTGTTTCGGAGAGGAGATGGGAGGAGTACTGTATGCACAGTCAAAAACATAGATCACAGAAAAGGAAGTCTAAATACCAGCCAGAAAGGCGAAGAACTATGCCCTTCCACGATAATCATTCTCTCAATAATACGAAAGCTAAGATAAAACTGCTAGGTGTGTCTATACAAAAGCCTCATACTGTCCGAGATCCCTCGGTGTCAAAATAAAGCCCGAGATAGAGTCTCTTTAGTCATCATCGCGGGGTGGGGCCCGACCAGTTTCAACTCGTCCTGTTATATCGACCATGTGGGCTTATATACAGCAGTTCATGTGTCACTATGACCGTACCTTACCCATGTATAGTGTGAAGTCCTTCTCCTGTTAAGGTTTCTTGGAGAATAATCTAACTGGATGGAAGCTGTTCGGGACTCGAATAGAGTCCGAAAGCCCGAGATGATGTAACGAGCAGCAAGTCTGATCAGCAATCTACCTATACTAACTAGTAAAGATGGAAGTAACTATATGGTTTCTCTTTTTCATATTTCGCAGCTATAAGTCAACATATATACGTACATGAAAGAAAGTGAACATCCTCAGCTCGCATACCCATACTATACATCTGTGACATCATCTTGTCAAGATCCTTACCAAGAACGCAGATATCCCGAACAGACTATCACCAATCTTAAAAAAGATCTTTGACCATGACCGCAGTTCTAATCACAGGCGCAACAGGCAAACAAGGAGGGTCTGTCATTAAGAATCTCGTCGCCCGCAATGCTCCCTTTGAGATCTTGGCTTTGACGCGAAATTCCGCATCCCCATCGTCTCAGCGACTCGCCAAGCTGTCTTCCAGGATCATATTAATCGAAGGGAACTTAGACAATCCCGCGGAGATCTTCCAAAGTGCTCGTCTCTTGACCACATCTCGTATATGGGGAGTTTTCAGCGTCCTGGTTAGTACCGACTGCTTCATGCTGATACTGGAGAACCACAGAGTAACCAGATGAACCACAGGTGGCAATTGGCAACACTTCCAACGAAGAACAGCAAGGAAAGGGTCTCATTGACGAGTCCCTCAGACAAGGTGTCCAGTTCTTCATATATAGCTCTGTCGACCGCGGTGGTGAAGAAGCCTCGTTCAATAATCCGACCAATGTCCCGCACTTTATCCACAAGCATAACATCGAGCACCATCTTGTGGATAGGGCCGAGGATAGCAACATGGACTGGACAATTTTACGCCCAACGGCGTTCTTTGACAATTTAGTTCCAGGATTTTACGGTAAGGCGTTTGCAACCAGCTGGCAGGTCTCTTTGAAGGACAAGCCCCTCCAGCTAGTCGCGACTAGTGATATTGGATATTTTGGCGCAGACGCCTTCCTCAAACCGGAAGAATACAAGGGGAAAGGCGTCTCGTTGGCTGGCGATGAATTGACTTATGACGAGATGGCTCATATCTTCCAGGAGAAGACTGGACAACCTGTGCCCACGACCTTCCGCTTTTTGTGTTCTATTTTCCTGGCTTCGATGAAGGATTTTGGCTATATGTTCAAGTGGTTCCACGATGAAGGCTACAAGGCCAACATTCCCAAACTCAGAGAGACATATCCGGAATTGAAAGACTTTGGATCCTGGCTTGAGAAGGAAAGCCAGTTTATGAAGCGCTAGGAGGGAACAAGGCGTACGCATTTTGTGTCCGTATCAGTGTTTTATTACTAGGAAGGCTAATGAGCAGCGTATCATTATTAATGGATGAAATATATATTGGATAAATACACATAGCTTACAGATTAGTTGATTGCCCTTGATTGTGCCAGGTTGACAGTGAGCAGCAGCTTGCTATATATAACCCGCCGTGCCAGCAATGATCTAGGAGGGCCCAAAGAGGTCGGGCCACGTCCTCTGGAGAAACATGTCCACGCAAATGTTACCCATGCGTCGGAAACGGCGTATCGTCTTGCGGTAATAGGCTTCGAGCCCATTCAAGAGAAGATACGCAAGGCGATCTTCCTCAATACGCATGTCGCGTGGCGCATGGCGCTGAACTGTGCCACGTTCTGTCCTGATAGACCTTAGGACTCCATGGCTAAGGAAAAGAGAGTTATGATGAATGCTGAAGGCGTCATAGACCCGGGGTCAGCAACTAAGAGCCTGGCATCTCCGTACGCCACGCCATGAAGGCAGGAGAAATGATATCGCCATGCCCGCCTTCTTCAACTTTGAACAGTTCGATAACCGGAGACTTTTCACGCTTTCGAATTCTCCACAGGCCTTGCCCTTGAACTTTCATCTTAAGCCCTGCAGTAACACATGAGTTTTCGGTTGTTTTCGGTTAATTCGACCTGAAGGTATTGTAGGTGTTACTCACATTCTAGGAACCCAGCAGTAAAATTGATGCATATGTTTCCATCCCATGTACCTTTCCCAACCCGCTTCACTTTTCCGGGTATCGCGTGAGTCTCGAGCTCTTCCAAACGCTGCAAAATGCCATCCTGGTTACGGAATCCGACAATAATCTTCGGGACACCGAGCAAGAACGACTGAGCCCAGAATTTGAGCAATTTTCGCTCGTACTTGAGCATGTCTCGATCATTTCTTATCTCGGCCGATGTCTTCAATTCCACCCAATTGATCGGATCTTCCTTTCTTTCAGGTTTGCAATCCCACACTGATAACAGATTAGTGGCTGCTATATTACCCTTCTTCGAGTTCCGGAGATCACATACCAGCATCGACCTCGCCTCCGATGATCATCTTTGCTTTCCCTATCCCAGTACGGACAACGGAACAATATTGGGCCTTATTATTCACGATCTGATCGGCGCGGCCTTCGATTTCCTCTCGAGGTGTGGGGTCCCATGGTTTGGAGAGTACCGATAAGGTCTCGAATTTGTAGCCTGGAAAGGATTGTTAGTATTCCATTTTGATCTATGCGAAATGAAGCTACACACCCCAGAAAGACATCATGTCTTGCGACGGCATTCCTGGGGGCATCCTCTGGTTCCGCTGTGCTCGCTTCTGTTCGTTTTTATACGCGTTGTTTTCTTCAATGAAGCTGGATCAATCAGCGAAACAAGGTCTTCGATATCTTTGTCGGACTTACGTACATTGTACCCTTCGCGAAGATTAATGTTAGGGCAGAATTCTTGGACCGCTGCTATATGCGATGTCACTCACTTGGAAATTCGTCACATTCATTTCGAACCTGGGACATATCAATAATCGGTACCCTTAAATATCGATTGTAAGAGACGCACCCATTCATAATATCGAAAGGAGCGGTCATGATCTGTCCACCACCATTAGTCTGAGTTGGTGATCCCTTGATGCTGTTGTATTTCCCCTACCTTTGTCATCATGCCTCTCCAGGTTATGACATCGGCCTCACATTTCGACCCCGTACTCTTTTCATGCGCCATTATTGTTTCCAAGAGGGCATCCAAGTGTTCGTCTCCAGAGTCGTCTAGCTGCTGGAACGTATCGAAACCACGACTCAAGTCTGCAGGCAGATCCGGAGGGTAATAATAGCGGAGGGAGGAGTCGTCGAGATGGAAGCGATGCTCATCATCATAGGAAAAGCAAGCGATCTCCTATCGATACATTAGCATTTCTACGACAGCGAGAGAAGTATGCAAAGAAGAATGAACGGCTTACCCTGGGACGTCTTATGGTCGCATCGGAGCCCTGGAACCGCTCCAGCGGGAAAATATCAAAAGCCTGAGAGTTCATATTTTTTTTAATGAATGGAAACCTCTGCACAGGAAGGAGGAGATGAGGAATTGCAAGAGCAAGATCGCATATGTCGAGAATGCGCTTAGATGAGAGTCGCGTCGCAGTTGTCTCCGACTCTTATGTCGGACATGCAAACCGCAAGCGATTACCCGTAGGAGCAGGATATGATAAATCAACGTTCAATGATCGTTTATGTAGACTGTCGCAGTTCCATGTACAAAAGCAGAATGAGTGATAGGTTCGCCATGGTAGCTTGATGCCTAGATAAACGGGAGATTGTCATTCTCCGCGGGTTCCATCGATTCCATCGTCCCCACGACTTCAGAGCTCCCGCCAAGTCCCACCGTGGGCAGCAACTTCCAGCTCCAGCATCGTCTACAACTTCCACTCACTTTTCGCACCTTGACGGACAAGCAAGCGCATCTTTCAAGGTAGAGTACCCTCCGGAAAGCAACATCTGGAGACGACAAGTGCGTTACAGCCTGCTAATCGTGAAAGCGTGCAGTCGCGGGGCACCGCAACTCAGACATGACTTCGAAAATCGAGAAGACGATTGCGCGACAGCAGGAAAAGTACTATTCCACCGATCTTAGCTGCTTACTTTCGCTGCACAGAGCTGACCTGGGTATTGCTTTCCTCTAGAATTGCCTCGGGCGCTTACTATGAAGCGCACCAGCAGCTCCGTGTCATCGCCGCACGTTACGTCAAACAATCCAACTACGATGCTGCCGCCGACATTTTGGCCGGAGGCGCGATAGCCCTGCTCAAAGCTGGTTCCCAGCAGGGTGCTTCCGCCAGTGGTGGTGACCTGGCTATTATGCTGCTCGTGGAAGTTTATAACAAGGCGGGTTGGGAGATCGAGGACAACGGTGAGAGTGCGCGCAGGAAAAGTAAGTCCTAATATGGCCCCGACCTTGTCTGTGCCTGAATCATGCTTCGTGTGGTTCAATAAGGATATTGCAATGCAATACAGCAGCCTTTCTATGGTAGAAATAAGCTTGCTTTCGTTGCTAACAGGAGCTGTTTCAACAGAGCGACTAATTGAGATCCTGCGCGAATTCCCGCCGGAGGAACCTACGAGAAAGAGATACATTCAGGAGATGATTAGCTGGAGCAGCAAGTTCGGTCCTATTGAGCGAGGAGATCCAGAGCTACATCATGCTGCTGGATCGGTTTATGCTGAAGGTAGGGCGAGGTGTCCCCTTCTCCGTCAGATTGCAGGATGGGCCTATCTGACAATTTAGAAAACGAACCATACGACGCAGAGAAGCATCTGATCCTCGGTACACCAGAGTCGGCGGAAACCCTTGCGAGACTCGAGTATGAGTGGTATACAAATGATGACGCGCATACCGCGGCCATCTACGCCTCTCGGGCAGTCTTCCCCTATCTCCTGACCGGAAATATCCGCAGCGCGAACAAGGCCTTTTTGATCTTCACGTCGCGGCTTTCGTCGTCCAACCCGTCCCTCGGAGCGCAGGCAGTGAGCAGTGCCAGTTCCGACATGAGAGTCTATCCTTCGCTCCCACTCTTAAACTTCATCAGCCTCCTTCTCCTTGCCATCCAACGCGGAACCCCGGAACTATTCAGACAGCTCACTACGCATTATGCGTCTCATATCCAAGAGGTGGGCATTTGGGATGACTTCTTGGCACAGTTTGGTGAGATGTACTTCGGTATAAGGGTTCCACGGCAAGGCAACCCGCTGCTGGACATGATGGGCAGTATGCTCTTCGGCGGACAGGGAGGTGGCAGCTCAAGACCCGGACAAGGAAGAGGATCGTCAAAGAAAGTGGAAGCAGCACCGCCAACAATGGAGCTCGATTGATCGTCCGGGAATAGCGGAATGGGCGAAGACATGCGGAGGAGTAGGTTCGAGATGACTGGCCATTTAGCACAATCATCGGCACAACGCTTCAGGTCATATTGGCGCCAGATCTTGTCGATAGTAGGGACCGAGATACTTATATTTGTCTCTCATCTTCTGGCTCATACATCCAATTGTCGTCGTCCAGAGCCGCGACCTTGTTCCGGAGACTCTGATGGATGAGATTGAGAATTTCTGTTCATAATTAGCTGGGCCATTATTGTAGATCGAATGAGAATACAGTAACTCACCGGCAGGTTCACCGCTGATCTGCCGGCTCCGATTTCGATACATCATTTCGACCAGACTGGCTTCAATCTCTAGCAGGGGGAAATCTTAGTAACTATTCAAGCTCGCGCAGACCATATGCGACATACTTTCTTTCTCCCGGCCGCTGATATCCGCATCGCCAACTGAGCTGACGCCAGTGCCACCGGACCCTCCACTAGGTCTCCCTTCTTCCACTCCCTCCATTGGGACTTCGTCGCCGTCCTCGCCGGTCATCGTCGGCGAGAGGACGGGTATATCAAGTCTGTAGCCACCGTTCTTGTCCTTGACCACGATGTCTCCATTGTCCACAGGCCCTGCACCCAAAGAAGACGATCCTGCCAATTCGACCGTCGAAGCTGTTCTTGTCACATGTGGCCTTCCGGTGACCTCGTGCCCTTCTTCTATCGGTGGAGCTGACGCCGTAGACGCTGGTCGTCGACTGAGATGATGGTGGAAAAGGTTTCGACGAACAGAGGTCGGGCCCATCTTGGACTTCGCCGAATGTTGAATCGGAGCTGGAGCGCGCGGCACTACTGCTTCTGGAGGTGGATTGAAAGTAGTATTATGCGCCGCAACCGTCGTCGCCGTCGAGGTGCTGCTCACTGAATGGGCACGCGCCGTGTGATGATATCGCGAGGTCATCGTCTGCCTCGTGGGCATGAAGTGGGCCGAATGGTTCTCAAAATGGATAGGCGGAAATGGGGAGGAATGCAATGCAGTAAGGTAAAGAGTGCGAGACTAGAACATAGGTAATGATAAGAATACAGCGCGCAGATCCCGTCCCATCTTGACGGAATGGAAGTGCTGAGGAGACGGTTGATGTGTTTTCGGGGTCGATGGCCTAGTAAGTACTTAAGTAGTATGTGTTCTTGCAGATGCGGATCGGTGTTAATACTACTAAGTAGGGCCCGGCCATAGTATTGATCAGAACTGCCCCTCCAAGCTCTAATATGCGGGTAGTTTTTGGATTAATTGGTCTATGAGAATATGGATCAATTTTATATATATTTTAGGTCTCTTTTGAGCCTTGATATCGTAGGTAAAATTGAAATTGTGCCTGGAGCCCCTCTCATGGAGCTTCTTGCGAAAGCCAGACATGGTTAATAACGCAAACACAGGATACATTTGGAAGTTTGTAGAGTCAGCTACTATAAATTATTCCTGCCAATACTTGATTCACCCCAATATTGAGCTGGTGCCGGTGAATTCCTCTCATAAATATTGAGCTACGGAGTGGAAGACGAGCTAGATGTGCACAGACCAACCGGATGAGCTGCGGGGAGCGACGCGTGAAATCCCATTAAAGATTCACGCGTTTGACCGCGGATGAGCTGCTTGGATGCCAGACCTGAGCTTCGTCGATTGAATTGGAGATATACCAGACACAATGGTACAGGCAGAGTCTTCCTCCGCTGCTGCAAAGAACGGCTTACGAGCCACCGCTGCAGGGGCTCCTCCAGACTACGAATTGCCCTGGTAAGTGGTGCCTGTCACGTTCTCATACTCGATATCGCCAGATGAGATGAGATCTAGCCGGTAGATCAAGAAGCTGACGCAGCGTGGCACCTTCTAGGGTCGAGAAATACAGACCTGTGCTCCTTGACGATATCGTTGGAAATACAGAGACGATAGAACGATTGAAGATAATCGCCAAAGATGGGAACATGCCTCATGTCATTATCTCCGGCATGCCTGGTATCGGAAAGACGACTTCGATATTGTGTCTAGCAAGGCAGTTGTTGGGGGATTCATACAAGGAGGCTGTTTTGGAGCTTAATGCTAGTGATGAAAGAGGTGCGCTGCTCATTTAGATACTAGTAATGAGCAGATTGTGCTGAGACAAGCGTATAGGTATCGATGTTGTGCGGAACCGGATAAAGGGATTCGCGCAGAAGAAGGTCACACTACCGCCTGGCCGACACAAGATTGTGATCCTTGATGAAGCTGATAGGTATGTACTCAGGTATAATGCGCCTTCTATGCTCTGCTGACTTCTCCTAGCATGACCCCCGGCGCTCAGCAGGCCCTGCGTCGGACTATGGAAATATACTCCGCAACGACCCGTTTCGCCTTTGCTTGCAACCAGTCGAACAAGATCATCGAGCCATTGCAGTCGCGATGCGCTATCCTTCGCTACGCTCGTCTGACGGATGCGCAAGTGGTGAAACGACTAATGCAGATCTGCGAAGCTGAGAAGGTGGAATACTCTGAGGATGGAATTGCTGCATTAGTCTTTAGTGCCGAGGGAGATATGCGTCAAGCCATCAACAACCTCCAGAGTACCTGGGCGGGTTTTGGCTTCGTCAGTGGAGACAATGTTTTCAAAGTCGTGGATAGCCCGCACCCGATCAAGGTTCAGGCCATGATTAAAGCTTGCTGGGAGTGCAAGGTAGACGTCGCTCTGGAAGCTCTCAACGAGCTATGGTATGTACTATCCATTAAATCACACAGCGCACATACTGATGTTGTATCAGGAACCTTGGCTACTCGTCGCATGATATCATAAGCACCATGTTCCGTGTCACGAAGACGATACCGACCCTCTCGGAACACTCAAGGCTGGAGTTTATCAAGGAGATTGGATTCACACATATGCGCATCCTAGAGGGCGTGCAGACGCTGCTTCAGCTGAGCGGATGCATCGCCAAGCTTTGCAGGATCAACATGAAACCACAGTTATTTGAGCCTAAAAACACGTCAGATTAGCCGTATAGGCCCATACGCTGACTTGGCATTATCTATGGAGTTGAGGCGTATTGTTAAGGATGATGTTAGCAGGTCCATTTTCTGCTAAAGGTGAACCACAAGGAATGGAATTAGCTATGTGGCTTTGATAGCAGATTCACAACATGATGCTGGAGCATCTAACTTGAGACTATTCAATTAAATACGAAGGGTGCTGTTTGCATAATTGGCGTTCAGTATGAATTCTTCCTAGGGTAGCATGGACGAAGCCGCCTGCTTTTTCGTAGACTAAACCGTGGGATTGTTCTAGCTTATTAGGGACAAGGCGTAGGTCCGATTGCGACAAATATGTTGGAGACGGTAATATTATTTATTTGCTGTTTTCGTGTTCAAGGCTTCATCTTCATCATCGACCCCTAAAGAGTGTTGTTTCTCGCACGTGGGCTACTTACCAGCGTGCCGAACCTCCAACATACGCTCAAAGTAACTTACCTTGGTCTCGACCATGTTGTTGGATTGGAAAAATATATGAACCCCAGCTGTTCGCAGGATGCTGGGGATTCTACTCCACAAAAGAGGTCGCTTACTTTCTGCGCTTGTTTTCCTTTCAGCGGTGATTATCTGGGTCTTTTCGTGGTATTTGAATATCATGGGCGTGGCCCCTTCGGTTGCCATCCGCACGGCATGCGCGACAACCTTAATGACGGCCACAGCCGCCGTAGCAATTGATACGAATTGGCATCCTCCTAAATCGACAGCTGTTAATAACTTGGATACAGCTCTCAATAGCACAGGTGTTTATGGCTTCATATTCAATTCATCCGAGACGCCCGCCAAGCTCTATGGCCGCTATAATTGGTGCAATATGCCCCATGTCAGAAAGGAGGAATATATCCAAGCTCCAAAAGAGTACGAGCTGGCGTACGTCGAGGTGGTAGGTCTTCGCGTTGATACTCTCTGATAGCCACATACTCATTCGAGATTCAAGATCCATCGTCACCACAAAAGAACTCCATATCAGTCTAACACGTTCCCGGTGGAATCGTACCCCTGGAGTTGCGACGATGCAAGTCTGTTCTATTACGGGGATCCGAGCCCCGGACATGATGCAGCGTTCACTTACTGGAAGATCTACGAGACTTCGTTGAATCCCTTCAGCGTTTCAGGATTCAATGGCACTTGCTCCTTCCCGCAGATCACCAACGGTGGCCTGGCAGACTCATGGCAGCATGGTCGAGATCTTTATGAAGTGTATCATGACGTTCTGCACTTTCTTCCATCCCATTTCGACGAGGAAAGTGTCTCGTTCAGAGTAACCACAAATCAGATCACAAGCCAGGTCGCGGGTATGGTAACTAGCGCAATGTATGGAGCGGGCAAATCGATTCCTCTTCTCGTCCAGGTTTGTTACCAGTTCTTTATATATTTTCTGATAGATCTACGATTGCTGACCCTGCTTACCCCAAGAGAGATTCTATCGACTCCCTTGAACCTGCGTATTCCTGTTCCGCTGCAGATACTCTGTACTCAGATGCGCAAAACCAGCCCAACTCGACATGGGCTGCGCATCTGAATCGGACCCAGTCGCTTTTCAACACTCTCGATAGTATCTCTGGAGTTTCACCTACCGCTAGTGACTGGCACGTAAGCTACGATCATTACTTCGACAACCTCTCCGCACGCTTATGTCACAATAAACCTTTACCGTGCAATATCGACGACCCTTCCAAATGCGTCACGGAAGCTGAAGCAAACGAAGTATTCCGTCTGGGCGAGTTTGAATACTCGTACCAATACCGTGATTCAGCGACCTCTCTAGCTGCCAGTACGGCTTCCTTCGGTGTATGGATAGGTGAACTGGCACAGCATTTCCGAGACCGCGTGAGTGGTCAGAATGCTAAAATGAAATATCGCCATAATGTCGCGCATGATGGGAGCTTATCCAGATTGCTATCTATCCTACAAGTTGAGACGATGGTTTGGCCAGGTATGGGTGCCGAAGTGGTTTTCGAACTCTACAAGAAAGACGTCTCTGAAGGAGAGACTGGGTACTTTGTCAGAGTCCTCTGGGGCGGGCTGGTTCTGCGTAGCTCGAATCCTGACTTGGGAACTTTGGATATGATCCCAGTGGAGACTCTTTTGGCTTATTTTGACGCTTTGGTTGGTCCGAAGGCGCAGAAAGTGCCTGGTTTGTGTGAGTAATGATGATATGAGCACTTTGCTTGGTTTTCACACTCTGTACTTAGTTAAGGGTTATGATTATCCGACATATATACATTTGCAACATAGCAAAGGATGGAACATGGCCTATTTGTGGTCGATGTATACTGTGCTTGCTCATTCCATCTCTTCAATCTTACATTACAATCCTATCACTCAACACAGTAGTTACAAATCAAAGCCATTATTAACTAGGTAACTACATAACTAACCGCAAACACACTAACTAGTTACAACTCTACACATTATTATTGAAAAAAACAGCCCGATCCAAAAGTGGGGTTTCCAAACATGGCTCAAGCCTCAAGTCAACACTTTCGTGGTATTTAACACTATGTAACACCACATCCATCCACGCACATCACGGGCCCCGCTTGAGCTAATTACCCTATTTGGTAAGTCTTATGAAGCTTTCTTCATTATCGTTTCTCCCCCGCTTTTCTCTCGGGGAGAAGGGCGATATCGGATTTCCGAGGAGCGGGGTTTTATGTGACATAATGGAAATAAACACTGTTCATCAGGTTGTGGTGCTTGGGCTCTTCTTTACTATGCGGGAATAGATAGATTGCGCTTCAAGATCGTTCAATCAATGATCATGAATATGATCCGACAATGTCCCATTCAAGTAATAGGCATACAGAATGTTGATTATCATTAAAGACAGAATGATCATTTCTTGAGAATAGCACCCGGAGCAGCTGGCATCAAAGCGCCCGCAGGAGGCTTGTTCTTGCTCTTGAAGTCATCACACATCTGCTCCATTGTAACCCATTCGACTCCCTCGTGAGAGTTGATGTATTCGATAATTCTGCAGTGGTGGGGGATCATAATTAGTCTCTGACATTACTGGGACAAGACGAAGGAAATGAATGACTAAGTAGGTACATACCTCTCATGCATCAGGAGGACATGTGGACGACCAGATACGTCTGGGTGAATGGTCATAGGGAAGATGAACTCGTCGTATTCACGGTAGAAATAGTCGAAGTGGTCCTATTGCGATTGATGTCCGTTAGTATAACACCGTCATGGTAATTATCAGGTTTAGAAAACAGTAATACTGACCTTCCATATAGCTTCCACATCTCTCGGATTCACCCAACCATGACTGTTGGCCGAGGCTTTGATGAACATCATCGGAGGCAGGTCGTCAATGTACCAACTTCCTGGAATCTCAACGAGACCAGTCTCCTGCCCTCTCTCTAGAGGCTTCATCCATTCTTCTGCCGTCTTTTTATAATCGATCTTGGTCCACGTGTCGCCTGTTCGCAGCCAGTACATCTGGCAATCATGATGCGACATGGAATGATCGTATTCGATTCCATACGATAAGAGCAGCTCTGTAGCCTCCTTGCTTGTCTCCCACCAAGGAGCTACGCTGCCGCGGGGCGGCTTTCCGCAAAAGTCCGTGAGCAAGCGGTATGTCTTGTCGAGCACATCACGCTGTTGCTCGAAGGTCATGTCAGAGGGATTCTCATGGCTGTATCCGTGCAGACCGATCTCATGGCCTGCATCGCGAACCATGGCACACTCTTCGGGGAATGTCTCGAGGGAGTGGCCTGGGATGAACCATGTGGCCTTGATATTGTACTTTTCAAATAGCTTCAGTAGACGCGTCGTTCCGATATGACCGGCCCATAGACCTGTTATTCTTTGTCAGACTGCTCAAGCTGACGGGAGTTCGTGCTAATACGAACCTCTGCTGATGTCGTTTGTGCTATCCTCTCCACCGTAGGAACCCAACCACCCCGCGACAGCGTCGATGTCGACGCCGTAGCTGACTAGAACCCGCTTCTTGCCCATGTTTACGTCGGTTATGGTATGGTATCGATTGGATCTGGTTTCAAAAGCCCCCTCAAGACGCTCTCTTTGGAGGATGTCTCCTGAGTATTGTGGAAGATGATGATCAAAGACGACGAAAAGACAGTACCACTCTCAAACCAATTCTTACCCCTCTCGAGATAAATATGGGCTATAACTACCGGAGAGTAATCGGACGGGGTATCCCGCTGTAATTAAGTAACATTAACTATCGTAATAGTCCGATTGGAACCCCGAAAGTACCAAAGCTAGCGCATAGCAATTATGGCCTCTAGCTTAAGCAATACGATAGAAATGTAGTAATAATAGTGGGCAGATAGAAACCAGTCGGGAGATAGAAATGCCTGCCTATCTGATCACTGCCGAGGCGTTATTGAGTTTACGATATGCCGCGAGGAGGGGCAGCCGATAAGGGGCGGGGAAGTTCATGAATTTCCCAGCCTTTAGCGCCAAATTATACTCAGCAAGTAGTAATGAAACGTTTGTCTCGCCCCTTTTTTATGACACTCTTTATCTTTATGTTAAGTTAATATGTCTTTCGGTCCGTCGTTAGGGCTCGGGGATAGGGTTTAAGGTCTGCGCGGCGTTGATTGAGGAGTGGGGGTTGGGAAGACGGTAGACACAGACGTTGGTAAACGAAAATGGATAGAGATGATTATGTGGATAGATGATTTGGTCTCCTTGTGACTAATTGACATGATCAATGGACTGAGTATTCCCAGCGACGATCTGGCGTTGATACGTTGCGCAAATTGGTCCGATTTGTTGTCTGTCAAGCTCCATTCTTGGGAAAGCTCTCTCTTTAAGAACGCGCAATTTCTGCCAGATGGGATAGTGTCTTTACACTATTGATCGAGCAGAAAAGGGATCTCAACTTTGGATTATATTATTTGTATTATTCGTGAGTAAACACAACAAGATGTCAAGAGTAAGAACTCTCAACCCTTTGTGATGCAATCTGCCACGGTATGACTGGAGGAGTCTGACAGTTTGTACGCAGTTCGATCTCAAAGGACGAACGGCCCTGGTCACCGGAGGAGCGCGCGGCTGCGGTCTGTCATTTGCTCAAGGACTAGCAGAAGGAGGCGCAGACGTAGCGATTTTCGATGTCATCGATCCAGCCCCGGAATTCTACGAGATCGAGAAGAAGTACGGCGTGAAAACGGCCTATTACAAGTGAGAAACCGCCGGAAACTCCACGAATGAAGTTGTTGGTCTCTAATAATATCCTGCGTCGTGCATCAGAGTCGATGTGAGCTCCAAAGATAGTCTAAAAGAAGGCTTCGATAAATTCAGCAAAGACTTCAATAACGCTCTCGATATCTGCGTACCCTGTGCTGGAATTAACCGACACATCCCCTTCCTCGAGTTCACCTATGAAACTCATGAGGAACTACTTGGCGTTAACGTGAAGGGTGCGTATTTCACAGCTCAGCTGGCAGCGAAGCAGATGATCGCCAATGGCACCAAGCATGGGAGTATCGTGTTCGTCGCGAGTATCGCTAGCTACATGGCCATCCGCAGCCAGCTGAGTAGTTCATACTGCGCCAGTAAGGGAGCTGTGCGAGCGATGGTTCCTGCTATTGCTAAAGAGCTTGTTCCTTATGTGAGTCAAAATAAGCACAGCTTCGTTTGGGGATAAGAGTTAATTGTCCCACTAGGGAATCCGGGTGAACTCCGTATCCCCAGGTTATGTCCGAACAGAGATGACTGCCTCGGTAAGTCCAAGACAACATAATGTGCTGATAGTATTGGAGGGCCTTTCGAACTAACTATGGGATTTTTGCAGTTCCCACACCTCTTGGAAAGTTGGAAGGACGAGATAATGAACGGCCGTGTGGCAGAACCGGACGATATTCGCGGCGCCTGCATCTTCCTTGCTAGCGATGCAAGCTCGTACATGACCGGCCAGGATATTCGTGTTGACGGTGGTGTTACTATGTGGTAGATTCCAGGTTGTTTCTGGTTCCCCCTTTAGCTGTACATAATGATCTAGGATGTCATGTATTGGAATTATAGATTACCTTTGCAGTAACTCTGGAACGAAGCTCGCTGAGCTTGAATTCTCTAGCAACTAGCTTGGCCTATTTAACTCTTTTGGTGGATCTAGAAAGGCGTGGGAGAAACCCGACAGGAGGGAGGCCTGCATACAGTATAGGCAGGCTCGGATAGTAACCTTCTCTAATAGCGATCTACATCTTTGACTTCGTGATATCTAAGACCTCCAAATCTTCTCAATCAGCGTAGCAGCACCCAAGGCCTTCTCTTCCTCCAGCTTTCTAGCAACAACTTGCACATTCACCGGGTGGCCAGCCATACTATTCACGTCATACAGACCCCAATTCCACGCATCTAATTGATTCCGCGGCTGGTAAGGCGTCTCCGGCAAGGCATCCTTATCGGGTCGTACTTTGTCGACGGGGAAGGTAACGGCAGAATAATCAAGGACATTCCAGATCTTCGTATATCCCACCCAGCGACAACCTTTGTGCGGAACGGCTGTGTGAGGCATAGTGGGCGTGAGAAGAACATCGATCGGCTTGCCAGACGGGGAACGAGCGGCATTCCACTTATCCATATACCGCTTCTGGGCTGTCGTTCTCCGTCTGTTCAATTGCCAATATTCATACACAGATATGGCTTTCCCCTTGTTGACCAGCGCCTCGACATGGGGAATGAAAGGTTCCCCTGCAACGGCAACATCTCGACGGATGTCCTCGCCTCCATCAGCAGTGTAATAGAGATCCATGATCTCTATACACTCCTTATGATCCGCGGTATCCCAAGCGACTATCTCGTGGCCGTAAGATTCTAACTTTGCGGCTAGTTCCTTAAGAGCTCGTTCAATCGGGGGATGGACTTTCACAGCGCCATCGTCAATTATCAACCCGATGGTTAGCGGCCTTGACTGAATATCGCGGAATGCTGCATCGTCCCACGGGACTGGGCTGCACCTGGGATCCAAAGTCCAAGGCTTGCTTTCCGCAACTAGCCGACTTATATAGTAGAGAGAATCCATACACCGTGCCATTGGACCTACGGATGAAGGGACGTGTTCCTGTCCTTCGGTAGAAACAGGGACACCGTAGTAGGGCATTCTGCTACTCTAATCACGAATGAGAATTTATGACAATATTGTCGAATTGCATCCAAGAATTCACTTACGGTTGGCTTTAATGAGTATAAACCCATCATATTTTGTGGAATTCGGACGCTTCCTCCGATGTCTGTTCCAAAGCCCAGAATCGAACCATGAAGCGCCAGGAGCGCACTCTCTCCACCAGTCGAGCCGCCGGGGGTGAATTCGGGGTTACGAGGATTGACAGTAAGTCCCCAGAGCGGGTTATCTGTCTCACACCACTGCAGCAACGTTTCAGTTGACAATTGCAAGTTTCAAGAGCGAGAGGCGAATCTTACCATAATACTCTGAGGAAGATTTGTCTTGGCGATAATCACAGCTCCCAGATTCCTCAGTATCTGCACAAGAACCGCGTCCTCTGCTGCGGGCTTAAAGGAGCGGCCGACATAGCCAATCGTACTATCATATCCTTTCACGTCGAACTGGTCCTTAAGCGTAATGGGAACGCCATGAAGAGGCCCCTTGAGCTTCCCTGTCTCCTTGAACTTTGCATCCAGAGCTCGGGCGTCTTTCAATGCATCTTCGAAGAGTACTTCAGTCAGGGCGTTGGTCTGATAGCTAAGTTCAGTACGGTACGAGTCTGTTGGTTTACATGGTAGCTCACCAGTTGATGCGCAACAGTTGCCCTGAGCACCGAAAATGTTAGCTTTATGCTAGACCCCGCACAAGATTCCATTGAAGTATCTGACCTTTTAATATATGCCAGAGTCACATCTTCCGCTGTAAATTCACCTTTCTTCAATTGCTGATGCAGCTCTGCCACGCTGTCTATATCTGTTATTTGCTGAACAGAAGGATCGGAGTCGATGCGAGAGCGAGCAGCGACATCATCGATGCGGGGAGGGCGTTTGTCTAGATCATCCACCAGATATGGTTTCAGAGCCTGATCTCTCAGCGATCGCTTCTTCGCGACGATCTCCTGCCACGACTCGGTGCTTCCCATGTTTTCCTTTGTTGGAGATAGATTTCAAAACAATAATCGGTTATGTCTGCTGCTACCTGCAACCTAGGAAGGAAAACATCAGTTGCTTCTTACGCATACGAAGATCATGATTCTATGTACAGTAAGTATATCGGTCGGCTTATCCGCCGCTGTCGCACCAGGCGTCAGATAGTTTATTCCTAGTCTTTATTTTACGATATCTCCGTGGCAGATTGACTGACTAGTTCATTCCGTTAAACCATTTTCTATTTGGAGTTTGTAATCGGCGCGGGGTGGAGCCATCACGAACGATAATGAAGCGGAGGACAAGAGTGGGATGAAATACTGTAAGTACAGCCACCGTCTATCTCCTTCTCTCCACGCCACTCTAAACCCCCATCAACGCAGATCGCCAACCACACGTCGGAATTGGAAAGCTGTCTCGACCCGAGCCAAACGCTTGACTCCAGCAGATAATCGTACGTTCTTCGTTCCGACGGCAAATGAATCCAGAAAAAGTTGGGGATAGTCTAATAGTACATTAAGAACCTCTCTTAGACCTACTTAGCAGTTCACCATAAATACTACCTAGGAGGGGGGCATTATTTATCTCCATAGACTTCTCAGGAGCATGAAACGGACTTTATCACAGGCTCAGTTAGAAAGGAACAACATGGCCCCCGGCGCTGACGATGAGGGCTTTATAGCCGTTAATAATTCATCCGCAACCGAGCAATCAACCAATGTCACGGTCGTGGGAGCTGGGCCGTCAGGCTTGATGCTAGCGTAGGTGCTATCCTTACTGGTTTTCTGCTGTTTCTCAAAATAATATGAAGTTTTATGTTGTCTAACTGCCGGATATAGAAATAATCTCGCTCGATATGGAGTCAAGACTACAATTCTGGATGATCGACCTGATCGAACATCGACTGGTAAGGCAGATGGCATGCAACCTAAGACCATCGAGACCTTTCGACAGCTGAGAATGGTGGAACCCCTTCTCAAGCAGAGCTGTAAGGTCTATGATATTTGCTTTTGGGTGAGTTCCTCATAAGGAGATGTGTCCTGCAAAAAAAAAAAAAAAAAAAAAAAAAAAAAAACAATAAAAAGAACCTGCTCCTCTTTATAAACGTTACTAACATTACAAAAAGGAAAATACACCAACAACTCCACTGAGGAGGACGGGAAGAAAAATCCACTATCCCGATCACGTCGGGGCATCAGATCCCTATATCCTCCTAGCTCACCAGGGCATTCTGGAAGATGTACTCATTAAAGACATGGAACAGCGCGGCCTAGAGGTGACAAGAAACAGTCCCTTTGTCGACTGTTCCAGGGACGCTGAGGGCTCGAAACTGGACATTGTCTATGAAGACCTCAATGACAGAACAAAGAAGATCATCAAGTCAGACTTTCTTGTAGGCTGCGATGGCGCCAGATCGAAAGTGAGACCAGTCATTCCTGGTGCTAAGCTCGAGGGAGAAATGACCAACGCTTCATGGGGTGTTCTGGACGGTAAGGCAATGGCAAAGGGATATATCCTAGATTAAAACACTTAAAATACTAACACATCTACAGGTGTCATTGAAACTGATTTCCCGGATCTATGGAGCAAGACGGCAGTCCGATCACACGATGGCTTCTCTATCCTCTTTATTCCTCGTGAACGTAACTTGACCCGTCTTTATGTAGAGCTCAGCGCTACGGATGGTGAGCGAATTGACAAGTCACTTGCAACTCCAGAGTATGTCATGAATAAGGCCAGAGAGATCATGGCCCCATTCAAGATGGAATGGAAGAGTATTGGTATGCTTTCAAATATCGAAAATTTTCCCACCCACGTTCGCAGCTAACAGTATAAAAACCAGAGTGGTTTGGAAACTATGTCGTCAGCCAGCGTGTTGCGAACCATTTTTCCGATCCTGAGCTGCAAATGTTCATCGCTGGAGATGTAAGTATATCTACACATTCTGCATGAAGGATTCCTTTTTCGAAACTGACACCACTTACATAGGCTGGTCACACTCACTCCGCTCTCGCCGCCCAAGGTGCCAACACCAGTATGCACGACAGTTTCAACCTAGCTTGGAAATTGAACCTTGTCATCCGAGACGTAGCCGAGAGATCTCTACTCACAACATACGAGCACGAGAGACGCAAGATCGCTCAAGACCTCATAAACTTCGACGCAGAGCACGTCAAGGCCTTCGCCGACAGCGACGAAGCCCTAGCACGCAATTTCGACGAGAACATCCGATTCATCTCCGGCGTAGGCGCTGAATATTCCAACAACGTTCTGAACCTCTTCTCCCCGGGCCAAACGTTCAATGGATCTCTGAAACCCGGCGCTTTGGTCAGTCCGCCAACGCGAGTGAGTCGATACGTGGACGCGAACCCGGTGGATTTCCAACTGGATATTCCCATGTTAGGCCAGTTCCGGATCTACATCTTCGCTCCGGACGTGCATGCCTCAAAGACTTTCATTTCCTCTATCTGCGCATCCCTCTCTTCTCCTACCTCCATCCTCTCTCGCGCCAGTGCCCGAGCAGAGAAATCGTATGCTGCCCAACCGCCCATTGCCTCTCCCGAGGACGCATTCGTTGTTCCAGAACGCTACACGGCAGTCTCTAAACTCTTCACATATGCGCTCGTCACGCAGACCCCGAAACAACAAGTCGAGATCGCAGATCTTCCTCCCCTGCTACAGGCTAGCCAGTGGACATTCTACACTGATGACTTGACATCTCCCAGTTGCACAGAGACATACCTTGGTGCATTGGGCACCGATCAAGTGGCTATTGTGAACGTCCGTCCGGACGGATATGTGGGCAGTTTGAATGTCTGGGATAATTCTGTTACAGGAGCAGGCGAAGAGGCGGCTAAGTGGGTGCAGGGTTATTATGAGGGATTCTTGAAGCGTTGAATGAACGGTTGTTAGGTATATTATCATCTTTGGAAGCATATGTATTTATTTTTTTGGCTTTTCTTTGAGAGTGAGGTCTGTAGATGCTTCAGTCAACTTCTTGTCCTGGATATGTGTCTCAGTAACACCTATATATACAGGCACTGGTTGTAAGTGTACAGGAATAATCTCTAAAAGATAGGTCTACGACAATAGGACTACATTGAAAGAGAAAAATATATTTCGTACTTGTCTTGAATTATCCATATGCCCCGAGAATCTCTTACAGATCTTGTATTAACTAACCACTACATGGCATATCCAAAATAGATGAAATTCCCTTTGACATCATACCTCCATAGACAAATTCCAAACTCGCCCATCAAGACACAGCAACGAAGAACGGCTTCTCCCCCTCTTTTGGAACAACATTCGCCATCTTAACCAGATCATCGCCCACAGCCAATCTCAACCTTTCCACCGTAGCGGGCGAATCGAGCATCAAGGGCTCAACGACACCATTCTGCTTCCTAGCCTGCACCAACGCATCGCGCAGAGCGAAGAGGACAGTCGAGCCAAGAAAAAGCGGCGGTTCACCAATTCCTTTACTACTCTGTATAGAACGGAGACTCTGCCAGGAGACGCCTTTTAGAAAACTGACGTTGAACTCTTGCGGGATGTCGCTGAATCCTGGGATCTTGTACGTGCCAGGGCCGCGGGTCACTAATTGGCCACTGCCGTCGTTGGCCCAGAGGGATTCCTCGATGGTGAATAGGCCCTGGCCTTGGACGAAGGCGCCTTCGACTTGGCCGTAGTCGATGGCAGGGTTGATGGATCGACCCACGTCCATTTTGATATCTGTGCGAAGGACGGTGTGGTCGCCGGTGAGAAGGTCTAGTTCGACTTCTGTACATGCGGCTCCCTATTCATATCTCGTAAGTACGTATTCATATGCGGAAAGAAAGATAAGGAAAATAAAGCACTTGAGACTGACCTGCGTGAAATAGTAATACATCGGCTTAACTGTTTCGGGATCGAAGTTTCCAAACTGATACCCAATGCGAGGCATGCTCCAGTGGCCGGTAGCTGCCAAATTGACACGATCCCGGTAGGCCGCGTTGGCTATGGTCTTGAAGTCCGCATCTTGGCCAAACTTCTCCCAATATGGCTTGAGACGCGCATTGAGTTGATCACAAGCGTTCTTGATAGCCATTCCATTCAGATCACTTCCAGAGGACGCGGCTGTAGGCGAGGCATTGGGGACCTGGTATGTCGAAGTGTCTGCCGTGTAGACGTTTTCAATTGGCACGTTCAGCTCTTGGGCGGCCACTTGGCACATTTTGGTGTACAATCCCTGACCCATTTCAGTACCACCATGGCTGAGAAGGACAGAGCCATCTGTGTATATCTTCACTGAAGCAGCACCCTGATTCAGATGAATGGCGGTAGCAAAAGACAAGCCGAATTTTGTGGGTACGAGACAGATACCACGCTTCTTCCACTTGCTCTTCGAGTTAAACTTTGCTATCTGGGCTTTTCTGTCATCATACGAGGCCTCCTTCCGCAGTTGCTCCAATAGCATGGGTACGTGCCAGTCTTCGTCGATCTTCTGCAAGAAAGGCGTGCGGTTCCCTTGTTTATACAGGTTCTTCCACCGCAGCTCGTCAATATTCATCTTCAGTCCCTCAGCGACGGCGTGCATGTAGGTCTCAGCAAAGAACATGGCTTGTGGAGCTCCAAACCCACGGAAGGCAGTATTACTGTGGATGTTGGTCTTGCAGACATATCCACGGATGTGGACGTTCGGAATCTCGTAGCAATTGTCAAGGTGTGTCATGCATCGATCCATAACAGATGCACTCATGTCCAGGGACCAACCGCCATTGTTATAGCAATGGGCCTGGAGAGCTTTGAGGGTGCCGTCGTGCATCACGCCCACTTTCCACACGCACTTGAAAGGATGTCTTTGACCGCTCGTCATCATATCCTCGTCACGATTCAGCATTGCTCTCATCGGTCGACGTTCCTTTACTGCAGCAATAGCAAGAAGTCCCGCAAGTTGAATGCTCCTGGACTCTTTGCCTCCGAAGCCTCCACCCATACGCTTGACCCTAGCATTGATACGGTTGCTCGGAATCCCAGTGACTCTGCTTATTAACTCTTGTGTTTCCATTCTAACATGTTGTTAGCTTAGTCCATACTGCCGTAATGATGGCCACTCACGTATGCTGGGTAGAAGACCAGACATCCATGGAGTTATCTTCCGCGTGTGGAATCACCATGGCAGCATTAGTCTCGAGATAGAAGTGCTCCTGGCCGCCCATTCGAGTGATACCCTCGAAAACGCGATCGCACTCTGAGAATACCTTCTCCATCTGTTCCGGAGGTGCACCTTTGCGCAACTCCTTGCTGTAATCATAGAAGCTCTTCGCCTCAATAGCTTCGTCTATTGTCAAAATCGGTTTCAGCTCCTCGTACTCGACCCTGACCGCACGCGCAGCGGCTTGAGCCTGTAATGCTGTCTCTGCGTAGACCATGCCAATGGGTTGACCGTGAGAGTACACCTTGTCTTCTGCGAACCAAGGCTCGTCTTTGACAATAGAACCCCATGCATTCTTTGACAGATCAATACTGTTCTTGTCGATATATCCGAGAGCCAGACCCGGCTTCAGAGCAGGAGTCCAGTCCACTGACTTGATGATAGCATGCGCTTTCTGGGACAAAACCAACGCACAGTACAACTCGCGGTCGTGATGCGGCATGTCATCCAAGTATTCCGCCTCACCGGTTGTGTGTTTCAAGCCCGAGAGATGGGGAATCTGCTTTCCTACAACACGCTGCTCGTACGGGTTGGTGTTATCTCTGCTTCCGAATGAGACCTGCCGGTGGATTTCTTCAACTAGCTCAGGGTCAACTTCACCCAGTTTCAGTTCTGCAACGACCTCATGCCAGAAACGGAAGAACATAGATAGAGCAAGCGTCCTTCTATAAGTTGCCATGCCGCCTGGGACTCCATACGGAAGCTGGAACGAGCTCTTCAAGCTGTCAAGTGCGCCACTCAGAGTCTGTGGACAATACCATTTCTTTCCTTTCAAAAAGGTCGAAGTACTCGTAGCCATAACGGTCATAGGCGCCATTCCACCGTACGCTAGAGCGACGTCTTCCACAATTCCCCGTTTATCCAGCCTAACGCGGAATCCTGCCGTGACGATGGCAATGTCATCATCCTTTCTCTTGGCCTGTTTATATGATTTAGTCAACTCTATCTCATCAGGTGGCGGAACTGGTACTCGGATTCGGACTATCACGCTTCCAGGAGGAAGAGCTGTCCTGCGGTACCCCAGGAACATAGACGACATAGGTATGGTGGCTTCTCCCTTACTGCTGACTGCAACAACGCTAGCATTCGCCACCATGAGAACAGGGTTCATGTCTGAGATAGGCGAAGCGGTCGCTATGTTACCCGCCAGCGAAGCAGCGTTACGTATCTGACGCCCAGCGAAGTATCTCAGTACTTTCGCCATAGCGCCAAATACGGACCCTTGTTGTCCAAGCTTGGACGCGAGTCCATAACAAGCAGATTCCACATCACTGAGAGGAGTGTTCCCTCCAATGACGAGCTCCTTCATGCTTGAAACATCCTCTGGGACATCCATCCGCTTCAATTCTTCGATATCAGATACGAATACCGAAACAGCATATTTAGCATTCTTGAAGCGAACTTCAATCTGAGTTTCGCTGGCCCCGCTAATGAGCTTCGCAGATGGATATATAGAGAGTAACTCGACAAGCTGCGCCAGGTTCACCGGTCGTAGCCAGACTTTAGTCTCATCGCCATAACAGATCGGTCGGTTGATATGTTTCCGTAGACCAGGAGGATAGATGAGTTCTGTAGATGGCACGTACGGTTTGAAATCAAATTGTGGAATCGAGCTCTTTCTTGCAGATTCACCGCTATCTGTCGACAAACTCGTAGCGGAGCTCGTCTCATCCGTTGGCGACGACCCAGACGATGATCGAGAAGGGCTTGATCCGCAACCCTTGATAGACGGGTTGTCCCGACAGCAACCTCCAGGTCTACCGCAAGAACCATTCGATTTCGACGAACCAGGATACGAACCCTCCACATAAGAGCCATCATCCTCCCGAGAACTTGGCGTTAGATCCAACTCTCGCGATCGAGAAACATCATCAGCGAGCTCTCCCCGGAGATCCTCCGTAATAAAAGTCTTTGCCGCTTGAAGAATTGGTTTATACCCAGTGCAGCGGCACAGATTCCCATCCAAATGTCCCCTCATCTCTATATCGTCTTCGGAGAGGCTAAATTTCCCTGTCTGCGCGTCATATGCATTTCTGATTATGGCGTATAAGGACATGACAATTCCCGGTGTGCAGAAACCGCATCTGGTACTGTCAGTGCGCGATCTCTCGATTGAAAACATATTCGATGTTCATACTGGGATCCGTGCAGCTTCCCCAATCGTTCTTGTAGAGGATGTGGATGATCCACATTCCCCAAACCTTCTACTGTGATAACATGCTTCCCCACAACTGTACCGGGACGTGTCAGTATATATATCTATTCCACGTCTTCGTAGAGGGAAGAACATCGTACCTCCGACCAGTGGATACAAGCAAGCATTAATAGCCTGATGCCATATTCTCCCACCACGCATTGAATCGACAACCTGCAGCACGACCGTACAGGCACCACATCCTCCTTCACCGCATCCCAGCTTCGTGCCCTTCAGGCCATGCTGTGAACGGATGAAATCAAGCAGCGTCCAATGCGGATTAGGGTTGCGTAACTCGATTTTGCTGCCATTCAGATAAAACTCGAGCGTAGACGTCGTATATGTCGACGTGACCAGCTTCTGGAGGTTGTCTGTCTCCTCCGCGGAGGGGAGATTGATGGGCTCAGGCTTCACCAATGGTACTGGGAGCACCATCCTTCTGGCTTCCTCTTCCCAACCACTCTCACGACGTATAGTATAGGAAGGCGGAGACGTTCTCTTCCCAGGCTCTCAGCTCGCTGATAACCAAAAGTAACAACAATTTAACCCAAGACAGAGGTATCTCATCCACACAAAACGAAGCAGTTTCCAAGAGAATAGTAATCTACGACGAAGAAGGTACGAAGCACCAGGAAGCGGGAAACCAGCCCCAATACATTGATTGCGATCTGAACTGGCATTCCCAGCTCGTGTTCTATCTGCATTTCGAGAGCGTAATCTGACGAACCTATGGAAAGCGTCCGTGTCCAGGATCAAGATAGGTTGTGTGGCTTGAGATTGGCCGTAATCGCGAACAGTGATGTATATCAAATGCACCCCGCGTCGGCACGTCCGCTTTCTATTCGTATTAGGGGTTATTGGCGATTGCCACCTCATCTCTGCTTGGATCAGACAGGATTGATTAATTGATTGATTGATCCAAAGAGCACAATCGTCTATTATCAGGCAGGGTATCGAGTAGATCAATCAGTCATGCGTCCTTGCCATGCTGTAGTTATTTCTGTATTGCTTGTCTCGTAGAGTAGTGAATTGGCTGGTGAATCCAACTATGACACCTGTAACGGGGCTCGATAAGCTACTCCCCTGTAGATAGACATAACAATGCACGGTTAGAGTCGGTGATTATTTAGAACCCCCGGCCGTACACAGTAGATTAATACTAGAATAATGCATCAAGTTATGATCCAGTCGAGTTCGACTCAATAATAATAATAATAATAATAATAATAATAATAATAATAATAATAATAATAATAATAATAATAACTCACTCAAGTGCGGAGAAAGAGAAAGACGGCCGATCCGCCGTGGCGATAAGAAACGGTTTCCGAGTCCCGATCAGGCAGGAGCTGGGCCGTGCGAGGATTGGAAAAAGTGCGTGGCGTTTATACGGAGCTCAAAGATGGGGGTTTGAACTAGTAGACTAGCGTTAAGTAGAGGTAGAGCCGTAGTGACTACTACAGCCGACAAGCCATGTCGTTTTCAAGGTTACGGATGTTTGAGTAACTACCTTAGGTAAACTATATTGAGTCAGTATCGATTGCAGTAGCCAGATCTCCGTTTAGATTGTTGTTATGTGCGGAAAACATACACTTATTATTATCACTATTATTCTCGAGTCATGACTCATGAAGGTGGCTTTACCACCAGTGTTGTGTTCTACTCAATAGACCATTCATAACAAAAAAACTAGATACAGTTCTCCATGGAGGGGTAATTCCTCCAAGTTTTCATAGAGCAAGAAAAAAAAAACTTGGATATCCCACCTACGATTGACTGCAAAGGAAAGTGGATGCGGTCCATAGTAGCAACGCAACGGTAACTACTTACTTAGTCTGCCCACTCTCGTTGCACGTTTTGTTCTAATGAGGAGGCTATACTGTGGCCACTGTCGGTAACACCCCAGGTCGTCGTTTACAGTAGCATTCAGAGTAGTAAATTTGACCAGAGATGGCGAAATCGGGTCTGAGCTTACCCCTTAAGACCTGATCCACCGGAGATGGGATCGATCTCACACAAAGGGCTCCTAGTAACTAGGTAGTTAGTTAGAGGATGGGATAGCTCCTTTTATGCTTGATGTCCCGCGTCTCGGTCTCTCTTTTCTTTCTCTCTTTGTTACTACATTTCTTGCTTGATCTTATAAAGACTGCGACTAAGTTAGTTCATCTATTATCATTCATATCGTTCAACGCCTCGTCTATCTATTCTATCACTCTGGCTCCAATCACGAGGAAGAGAAAAGCAACAATAGAAACAACCGGAGAAAGTCACCAGGAGAAGAAGAGGAAAGACAATAACAACAGAAAGAAGATGGCGACTTTCACCCCTCTCCAGGAGACTGTTTTGTTTAAACCCCTCCGTCTGGGGTCTCTCAATCTCGAACACCGCGTCGTCCTGGCCCCGTTGACTCGGATGCGCGGGACGAAGGAGTCCGACGGCGTGTTTGTTCCCAATGACCTCTCGGTGGAATACTACAGCCAGCGTGCTTCCAAGGGTGGTTTCATGTTGACTGAAGCTACTCCAATTAGCAGATACGTGAGTTTTACATTCCTCCAGCATCCCTCAAGAATTGAGTGAGTGTGGGGAAGTGAAAAAAGATAGGGAAGCTGATAAAAAGTTTATCTTATCAGTGCGCAGGATATCCCGGCGTCCCTGGCATATTCACCGCTTCTCAGATTGCGGGATGGAAGCGTGTCACCGATGCTGTCCATGCTAAGGGGGCTTATATATTTTGTCAGCTCTGGCATGTGGGACGAGCCTCATGCCCATCGTTTCTCGATGGCCGCAAGGCGTTGGCCCCGACAGACATTCCCATCACGGGAAAGGCCATGGATGGTACCGAGTATGCGGACAACCCACCCAAGGCTATGACCGTCGAGGAAATCAAGGAGACGGTGGCCGAATTTGCTGCGGCTGCGAAGAGGGCCATTGAAGCAGGCTTTGATGGTGTCGAGATTCATGGTATGTGTTTATTTATCTATTACTGTTCAGACTGAGAAAGACTTATGCTTACACTCTTTATTCCAGGCGCCAACGGTTACCTTTTGGATCAGTTCCTCCATGACAACGTCAACACTCGTACAGACGAGTACGGAGGCAGCGTTGAGAACCGCTGCCGCTTCCCTCTGGAAGTCATCAAGGCTGTCACGGAGGCAGTGGGTGCACAGCGCACCGGTATCCGACTGTCTCCTTACAACTATTTCCAGGACACCCGCGACTCCGACCCCAACGGACATTGGATCTACCTGTGTGAACAGATCGCTTCTCTATCAGATGAGAATCGTCTCTGCTACGTACACATGGTCGAGCCCCGTTTCGATGAGGTTCTGGATGAAAGTGCCAAGCTCGATGCTCTTTCTGCCTACACTGGAAAAGGCGTCGAGGCAGAGGCTACCGCACCTAAGAAGATTGTTGGAAACACCCTCGATCACTTCCGCAACGTGTTGAAGAAGACTGACGTCAAGTTTCTGGCCGCCGGTAACTTCAACCGTGATAACGCGGTGCCCAAACTGGAGAGCGGTGCTGCCGATGCCATCGTATTTGGTCGTTCGTTTATTGCGAACCCAGACCTTCCACGGCGTTTGAAGGAGGGTCTCCCTCTCAACTCCTATGACAGGTCAACCTTCTATGGTGCTGACCCTCCACAGAAGGGATACACTGACTACACATTCTATGAGGACAAAAAGGTTAACGGGACTGCGTGAATGGATTTGAATTTGTTGCAATTATAGATTTGCGGGATATGATACCATCCTAGAGATAAATAAGGCAAATGTGCCAAAACAGTAGCCTGAAATAAAAAGAATGGGGGATAATTTTACAGAAAGAAGTGAATAAACGCAAAAAGAGAAATGATAGATATTGCCAGATACCTGAACAATAAGAAAATTCGACAAATATCACCATAAATGGCGGATATAGAATCCATAAAGACATATAGGAAGGAGATTTCATAAACTCATTATGCGTATGCAACTCTCCGTGATTCAGACAGATGTAATAGTACCTTCATCGCGTCGTGGACCACCGCCCATCGCACCGTCGCAAGCTGTTTCGCCATTATGGCGGTTAGCCCCGTGGTGTCAAAACGGCCTGCCAGGGCGGACAACTCCTCGAGACTGTTACATGTGGTCATGCCAATCAACATGGCAGCCATCTCATTTTTGGCATCGACGCCATCGGCCGAGGGAAGTCTCCTCTCGCCAGAAGTGGAGGTAGGGAGATGGAAGGCCCAGCAAGTTAATGTGGCCAAATAAAGACACCAAGAATAATGGAAGACCTCGGTGTCGTCCCAGTCATTCAGGTTCATGACAGCATCTTGCAAGATATAAGAGGCATGCCTTGCAGCCTTGGAAGCAGACCTTGGGTCCTCGTTTACCCATCGCGTCACAATCCGCTGGGAGCGCTCGAAGTCAGAAGCAGTGACAATACGGCCTAGAATATGCGGTGCGCCAGCATAGATCTGCAAGTCCAGCACTTCGACATTCAATGTAATGTGCGCAGCATGATAGAGAACGTGACTGGCAGTTTTGAGGCCTGTAAATTTGCGCAGGTCCGCTCTCTGGTTGAGCTTCATAGTCATACAGTCGGCATCGAAGTCCGCTTTCCAAAGGTCGTAGGATCGTCCCATACGTGCCTTCCAAGCTCCAGCGAGGTCTGGTGTCCCTGATCGCAATGTTGTTTGATCGCGACGCTTGAGATCAGAAGAGACTGACATGAGACCATGGAGTAAGAATATCCTCGCCATGGCATTGAGATGACGAGGACGTGGCATCGCACTGGGAGTGATATATGCCTTCAGAACAGACAAGAACGGAGGGTGCGTCCCTTCTCTCACAGAGCACTTGAACCACTCTTCCGCCGACGGGGCCTCCCAGGACGCAGTATCGCAAGGCAAAGATGAGCGGATTTCGAAAGCAGACATACATAGAGACTGCGAGAAAAGAACCGCATGCTGGGTGTCCCACATGAAGCAGTGCATTGCCAGTCGTTTGCGTTGTTCCGCATTCATTGCATTCCTCCATGCCGTCTCAATATCCTCCGGCCGTTCAGTGGCCCCAGCTGTTTTGATAATTGGACAGTCGCTTCTCCGGATGAGCTTGATAAGGACGCAATGGAATAATTGCGCCATATCGCGCTGTTTCTGACCAGCCCTCAATTTTCCGAAGCAATCAATCAGAAGCATAGTCTGCAACAACCAGAGGTCTGGCTGGGCGGAAAACGCTGCATGAGCAAAAAGGTGGTTTCGAAGAGTATCGTGTATCCGAACTGCCAGCTGATGAGCTTCCCGGCTACTGTAGGTGGCACCTAGCGAGAGTATAGCGGCCAAGAAGATCCGATCAGCTGTATTGGGATCAAATGTGGCTTGATGTATAAGAGGATATGACGTATTGAAGCGTGTAAAGAACAAGTCGCAGTACTCTTGCAATGCTGACAATGTAAGAAGGTGCGAGGAGATGTCGATACGTGTGCCTTCAGGCGTTGTCGGATGCGACTGGGACACTATGCTGAGAATTCCCGCCCTCGCATCCTCATTGAGACGAGGAAGACTGTTTCCAATGCCTGTTTGCTCAACTGGTCCCATCCAATCAAGGTTCGAGAAATCAGGTATCTGTTTGCTCTCGCTCTCTGACACAGGAGCTTCATAAGTTGGCGCTGACCTGGAGGAGTCCGTTTCGACAGGGCCTTCCTGGTCACGAAGATCTCCACGGCCATGTTCTAGAGAGCTTTCTTGAAAGGCGGCGGTATTTCTTCCGAAGTTTGGGCTCATGTTTACGTCGAAGAAGGAGTCACCATTTCCCGGCGATATTGCTGTCTCCAGCAACTGCCCGTCCGCTCGAAGAAACGGCTGAGACCACATGTCAGGGACCGGCTCGGCGAAGTTTGCCATGTCTGTCGTCAACGGGATATCAGCATGGCTGAATGCATCGTCAAGCGAGGACACGTCGAACAACCAGTTATAGTTCAGGGTGGCAGCGAAGGGCATGTTGAATGAGGTAGCTATACCGTTGGTTAGCGAATTTGGAGCACTTGATGATGACTATACCAAAGGAGGAACAGCGGCCCGGAACGCGATATATCACCTACCTGTATCCAGATTGAAAAAGTCATCGTTGATACTGTCAAGTCCACCAGAGTGGGTTTGCCATGAGCCATCTGCGGCATCGAATTGTCCTGGGAGAGGTTCCACATATGGTTCGTAAGGGCCACCAGGGACCATCGGAGCCAGGAATGGCTCTGGGCTGTTCATTGTATCGCAGGACCCTGCAAGGTTGCTCTCCATACGGATACTAGAACCGGAATCATGAGTCGACCGAGGAGGAGACACTGGAGCTCCAAGTGGAGGCTGGTCATTGTTCTGTTTGTGTTCTCCCCCTCGACTAGATGCGCAGTGTGAACTAGGCGTAGTCATCGATTCCGCATCCATGCGTCGACTTTCCGAAGTCATGCTGGCTCCGCATGAGCTTTGGGTTGATGATGATGAAGACATATAGTTATCTCTCGTCTGAGAGGCAGCAGCGGCCGCTGCCGCGGCCGCTTTTGCCTGCTTCTTCGTTGGTCTGGTCACAATCGTCCCATCTGGTGCTCGACGAGTGCGTTTGCGCGTCTCCAGCACCCCCAATCCTGGACCTCCAGCTTCTTCGTCTCTTTTCGCGTGACGCATCATGTGTCGACCTATCTCCACCGTAAGTGGGAAGTCCCGCAACGAAGTGCGATTGATTGTACTTGTAGAACCTACCCAGAAGGTCCGGACGGGTGAAATGAACACCACACCGTTCGCACGAATTATCATCCTGCTGATGGTTCAGCGCGTGCCTGCGTAGATGCTCGGCTCTCGTGAAGGTCTTTCCACAGCCCGGGAAATCACAGACGTGCGATTTAATGAGCTGCAACTTCGAGGGAGTGCTCGGAGTCGTCTGCGATCCGGTCCGTTTGACACTAGCAGAGGAGGCCATTATACTTCATGCACATTCAATGTCGACTTATTTGCTTGGTCTCCGTGAAGTACGTGAGGAATCGAGCAGAGATCTAGATTTCAGAACAAAAAAAAAAAAAAAAGACAAAAGAATCAGCCAGCGCTGATATCGTAGACTAAACTTTCATCCTTCGTGGTCCAACGCCCCCGCATGGAAAAGGTGCAGGAAGAGGAGGCGTCCAAGCTTGCGGAGAAGGACGAACATGTTTGTAGTCCAGCCGATCCCAAAGAGTAGTGTTTTCGGCGAGTCACACTTCGGCCGAATGCCGTTGGAAGCAGATTGGCCTCGTGCCGGGTGTTGTTGATAAGGATCGTGGCGTTCTATCGTGGAGTGGGCAGTGGGCACTGGGATAGACGTGCGTGTGCGTAAGGACGCCGTGGATGGACAATCTTCTTCGTGTTTATTGCCAATTTGCCACGCTTTCTCGGGGCGACCATTGCCTATTCCGGGGAAGTTCAGCGAGACACTTAGATAGTAGTAGTTAGTCTAGATATCTAGTAGTCAGTGCTGCGCGATAGCTGGTCAGTGCCGAAACAGGGCAATGATAAGTAGAGCGCCAATAATGCTCTTATCTGATATTTAACCCGGCCCTGGCAGGTAGAAGCGAGGCTAGACGCGATCAGGAGAAGATATGAGAAGTATCTAGTGAACCATTAAGTTGATTGTTTGTTATAAATGCGACTGACCAATTCTTCCCCCAGTCATTAATTGAGTTCTCCATCCAATTCCATGTGGCTGAATGGGCCCAGGTGGTCAGTCAGCGGAAGAATGCAGTTCCGGTTCTCTGGATAAAGATGTAAAGCTGCGTATCAGATGATGTCCTTTCGCGTTATACCAGGAGATAAGATGGTGTCTTTACCTGTGAGAGCTAATCTTCCAACCAGCTTTATCAACATTATTTGGGCGTTGTCCGATGATCGGTTATTGACGTTCTTGAGTATCTTGAATATAATCCAATAAAATGATACAGCCAAGAGGAGAAGGCACTCATAGGACTTGTGTGCATATAACACCATTTTCCATTGCTTCTGGATGATATGCTAATGTCTTCACATTCTGTCTCGATCATTTCTGGTAATGAATAAGATATTCCTCGAAGGAAGGCCAGGCGGTGAAGATGATGTTACTGAAGACTGCCATTCACCACTTGACGACGGGATGTATCGACCACTCTCCAGCCACATTTCTTTGTTTCCTGTTGTCTTCACGAGGGGCTTTCGTTATTTGGTTCTGCAAGTGAGAGCTTCTGAGACCTTTAAGTATTCTTCTCCCAGACATCGCCGCGAACCACGACTTTTTCAACCACCTCACATACTGTATCTCGCGAAAACAGCACAGTTTACACAAACCAGGTGGGATCTCACAGAGCAACATGTCGAAAGAAAAACCCGATAATGCACAACCCCTGGAGGATGAAACGGAGATCGAAAAGCTTGACGCAGAGGGAGACGTGACTTTAGTTGTGGGAGGTAACTCCGTGTCCCCACGTCAGTTCCTTGTATCCTCAAAGGTCCTCTCTCTTGCTTCTCCTGTGTTTGCAAAATTATTTGGACCACATTTTTTGGAAGGCTCGCAGATGGCAAAACACGGCAGCATCACAATTCACCTTGATGAGGACGATGCTAAAGGGATGGGGACAATCCTCGGAATCCTTCACTACCAGGAGATCCCAGAGATCGAGAAACTTAGCGCAAAAGAAATAGTTACTGTGGTTATCTGCTGTGATAAGTACGATTGTGCCAGAGTCATCCAACTATGGATAGAAAAGTGGTTCCGCAGTCTCGATCAGGGTCTCTCCGCGAAGGAGTATGGCCATGCTCTTCTTGCGGCGCATCTGTTGCGCGCATCAGACGACTTCTCCCAGATAACGCGGAGGATTCAACTGGAGTTCGGGCTGGGTTCATTCCATGCATGGGATGGCGAGGAGATTCTGACTTTGTTGCCACGAAGTATTAGACGTAAGATGGACCGACTCTATTTTCCATGCTGATATCTTACGTTTGGCAGGTGATCTGACAAAGGCAATTGGAGACTTATTGAATCGTATACATCATGAACTGCAGTCGATGGACTTGGTCCTCAAAGGCACCGCACCCGTCAGGAAGTGCGGGATGATGTGCATGACTTGCGGCAAAGAGTCCTTTCTTTCTGACATTTCCAAGTGCTATTACTGCAAGACCCATACAAGCAACCCATGCAAGGAAGATCACCGAGTAGATGTGTATTTTTCTATGCTGAGGAAGAAAAATCTCTGGCCTTCTATCACTCCATTCCAAACTTTGTCCGCCAACGCCCTCGCAGTGTCCATTAAGCGGCTGAAGGATGACCTAGAACCCTCCTGCGATGAGGCATCCGGATGCGTGGTGACCCCAGAATTGAAAGGACTGGAGGAAAGGATCGATGGAATTATCGGGAATGTTAAGGGGCTGTCTCTTTATCCTCTGTCAGGGTAACCCGGCTCGCTATACCACGTTGAAACTCGCTCATTCGTCATTGATAACGGTATCGACCATGTCCAAGTCGATTGCTCCCCTGCGAACACTGATGAGAAACTGTCATTTTCTCAGTGCACCGGAAAAGACTTGGCCATGAAACTCTGACTTCTATCGATCGTCGGATCTGAATCCTGGCATGACATTGATCCTGGGTTATCTAACTCAATTTCCACGTGGAAAGTCTATTTCTTCTCGATGAAAACAATGACGTCAAATCCTTCAGTTACAACCAAATGGATCATGTTATTAGACTCGTCTAACACTTTGCTCAATATTAATACAAGAAGGATCATGAAACTTCAACCAACCGAATTAGATCCTCCAAATGACTAAGTATGCACAGTAGTTACGAACAATATCAGAGAGTAAAATAAGTTCTCTCTCATGTATTCTCTAAATTCCCGCCTCCCTCTACGAAGTAAGGTAGACTAATAGCATATCTCAAATACTAAAAACCTCTATATCAGGAAGAACTTTTTTTTCTCTCCCCCAGGTACAATCACTCTATCGACACCCAACTGCTTTACCTAAGTATGGAAGCGAGCTGCAAAACGCCACTACCTTCCTATAAGTATAAAAGGTTCAGAACAGACAACCCGAATCCACCTATTTCCACAAATATAGAGTCAGTTAAAGCAGACACGCCGGAAACAGGAAATACTCAGCAATAATGGGCGAAGGCAATTCTCCTAGCAGCAACTACTTAATCAGGATGAAGTAGTTAACTGATTAGTTAAATCCAAGGGCATATTTAAAAGTAGTTGATAGATTTTGTACCCTCTGTTTGGTTCTTCAAGTAATCACGACCCTATCCTATTCCCGTATCAAATGCTTTTGATTACAAAACTACCATCTTTGCTTCCGTGGTCTTAGATCCTGACATACTCCAGAACTTTGCTCTGAGTACCTGCCCAGTTACTACCTACTACCTACTACTTACTACCTGCTATCTAGTCCCTAATATTCAATTACAAAGCCAGGATTCAACACTATAATTTCAAGTAATAATAGGTACTACCTACCTCACGCACGAATACCCACTGTACCAGCCAAAACTCGCAACCAAAAACAAAACCAAAAATACGTCATCACAGCCCAACCGCAGAATCCTCCCCACATTCAACTACTACTGTAATACATATAGTATGTATGTACCTATATTAATCTATTTAGCCCCAGACAAGCAAAAATAAATAAATAAATAAATAAATAAATAAAAAGAAAAGAAACCCCCTCCCCGAGACGTAAACAAGAACCAGAACGCAATTAATACCTACCTACCTACAATTACATCTATTCAATTTCCATCAATAACGATTCCATATCTTTCCCTAGTGTGGATCCATTCCCTGCGTAGAACTAAACCACGTTACGTATGTATAAGTCGTCAGTCCCCTCTGGTTTTGTTCACCGTGAGCCGGATCGGGCTGGGCAGAGCGGGGATGATAAATTTCCAGTTTGGAAATAATCCGTTTCAGCCGTGTTTATGTCCATGGTCGTCTGGAGTATGATGGTATATGGTATGTAAGGGCTACGGCTTGGTTCTACCATATGTATATGCATATATTATTCCCGATTTATTAGGGGAGTGGGAACTTATAATCTAGAGGAGGGGTAGTGATGTTTGATAATAGTGCACTTGGAAAGAAAACGAAGGAGAAGAACTGAGAGAAGAGACCCGCACAGGAGTCTTCTGGGAGGGAGCATTTAATTTTTATACTATATACAGGATGCAATGGTTCTCGAAAACTCCATAGTCAAAAGTAGAATCATCGTCTCACTCCACCGGATGACCTTTGCCCCAACCGTTCTCATTACCCATACACAGGGGAGATAGGTAGTAGTGATGGCGACAGGGTGCAGGTCCAGAATAATATACGCCGCTACCCATGCGAAGCTGACAAGCGCGCCAGATCGTCATGCTCATAGATGTGTTCGGTTTCAGACAAATAGAGAAACCCATTGTTTCGCCCACGACTCAGATTGAGTAGGGACAGAAAATAAATATAAGAGAGCGGGATTCGTAACAGTCAAGTTCATCGTTTTCAGCATTCAGGAGATTACGCTTTAGGAGCGTTCTCTCGGGCCTCAAGCTTACTGCTGGCGACGAGAGCAATAAGAGCCGCGCCAACACCGCTGCCATCCTTAGCGATGCCAATGCGGACCTTCTTCTCGCCCTCGACTCCGATTTCAGGGACCTCTCTGAGGGCTTCCCGAATATAGTCAACGAAGTGGGGATAGAATTCAACCAGGCTTCCGTCGACACCAATGTCAACCGTCTCGTCCGTCTGAAGTCTTCCACTTGAGATGAGAATGCCTGCAAGCGGGACGGCACTCAACCGGGCAGCGCGCTTGCCGATGGCGTGGACCAAGGCCTTAACCGCACGACGGTCCTCGCAGTTTGTGCCCTCGATCTGGAGATCCTTGCTCATGGCAGCTGCGGTACCCTTGAGGTTCTCCGCCGCATCAGCCTCCACAGTGCTGAGGAAGCTGGTGTCAACACCCCATTGCTTGTACAGCGCGGATTTGCTAGATACTGTAGTGTGGCCCTCCGGCGAGGTGAGGAAGCGAACGCCAGAGTCCTTGTACAGGTGAAGGAGGGCCCGACGCAGGATCTCGCCCAGGAACATACCCGAAACACGCTTCTCGAACATCTGGATGCCAGGGTTAAGACTCTCCGCATCCAGGTCGCGGTCAAACTTCGTGACAGGCAGAACGCTGAGATGGTTGTCGAAGCTCCCCCATTCGGTGTTGATCACCATTTCTTCCGTGGTAGAATCGTACGTGTCGCCAGTGGCAGCCAGCTTGGTGACCTTCTTCAACTTCTCGACGTACGCGCCGTTTGTTCCAGTACCGAAAATGGCACCCAGGAGGGTTCCCGTCTTGCCAGGAGAGGTGTATGAACGGGCCATGAGGGTTCCCACTGTATCATTGACGAGCGCAGCAACGTTGACGGGGAGGCCCAGTTCATCAATGGCGTTCTGCAACATCTCACAGACATCCTTGCCCACTGCATCGGGAATGTCGAAGCCCTTAGTCCAGCGAATGAGGGTGCCCTTGTTGATGCCCACCTGGTTGACGGGGAAGCTAAAGGTGAAGCCCAAGTCGAAGATGTCCTCTTCCCTGAAACCCGCCTTCGAGTCCACGTACCGACGTCTGCGCACATGGGCTTCATAGTGCTCGTTGTGGTGTGTCTGGAGGAAATCTTCGATCTGCTTGGCTAGGAAGCTGAAAAGATCTTTGTAGGTCTTGGCCACCATCAATTCTCGGGGGATAGCCACTTTCGACTGGGTCATCGTAAACGTGGTATCGCCGTGCAAGTCGATCGAGCAGACTCGGAAGTTGGTTCCTCCCAGATCGACGGCCAGATAGAGTCCCTATTGATGACCACAGTTAGCGCTACGCGCCAGACACTGTCAGACCAAGGACGTCTATACCTTTTCCGTGCCATTGGGAACGCCTGTCACATAGGTCGGGATCTGACTGAGCGTGGTGTGTTCCTTGGAGAGGCCTTCCTGCATCTGGTCGATATACGCCTTCACCCCGCGCAGGACTTCGCTGGTGGGATACTCGAACTGGCGCGCAATGCGCTCAGCCTCGTCCACGACGGGCGATCCGGTTGAGGAGGACATGTTGTGAGGCAGACAGACGGGACGGAAATCAGGATATGTGGCCAGCAGGGAATTTTGGCAGGACGGGGGATGGTAATAAGTATTATTATTATTACCAGAAGACGAGGGCGACGAGCAGGTGGGGTGACAGGAAGAGCGGGAGAGGGCGATGATATCAGTGGGCGAACCGCCACTACTTTGTTCACCGGACAAGAATGGCCACCAGCACCGGTGAATTATTGTTATTATTAGCCCAACAAGCAGCGCAACAAGCAGAAATCCCGCTGACGGCTTGCCGGCCATCAACGGCCCCAGTTTCTGCGTCTGGAGAGCCCCGTATAATAATAATACAGCCCGCAGGCCGGACTCTGGCACGGCATCTCCTGCACTTCCAGATCGCTTCATCGCCCACTGCGTCTCTTGTTCCTTGGCAGCTGCACCCGTCCTTCGAGCCCTCGATCCAATATCAGGCCATATGGGACCAATCTGCGGATTTGCGGAGATCAGACAAGAACGGGGCTCTCTCCGGATCAGATGCTCCGGGGATAAGTAATGTCTCACTGCGTGCGTTGCGACCCCAGATAGAAGACAAGAGAGCAATCCAGTCGAGCAATTGACGGAGCTAGCACGAGAGAGCCTCGTCCGTAGCGCAATTGATGGGCTGTACTAGAATGTACTGTAAGATCCCAGCACCGTTCAATGCTAGGGATCAAATAAAAATCCCTCCAAGCCAATGGCAACAAGTCCCTAGATCCAGGTGTAACCCCTGCCGTGGAGACAAGACGCAGCAATTGACCAGCCTCGACACAGCTGGAGAAAGTAGAGGAGGATGCAAGTCGGAGAAGCGCCCAGATCCAAGGTCGGGGGAAATCTGGAGAAACAAGACGAGGCGGCGGGGGAGTTTCTCTGCTTACTTAGAAAGGGCGGTCTCTCCACGCTGCCCATCGCTTCAATGTCCGGGCGATACTTAGTTAGCTATCACCAGCCTCGTTCCTCGCGTGCGCCAAGCCACAACGGCGTCTGTCTCCATAGTCGAGACCAAGACAAGAGATTATTAGGATGTCGCCAGTGCCGTATGGTCAAGTACTGTAGATGGAGCGCCAGTAAGTAGTAGCCGTCCGTGCCATTGGCCTCCGCTTTGATTTCCCCGTGTCTAGAGTAGAGTAATTACTAGAATCAACTTGAACGAAACACGTTGGAAATCGACGCATAAACAATCGCATCTTATCGGTTGCTGTGTACACATGCTGAAGAGTTTCGCCCGACCAATCAATCAATCGGGCAGTAAGCAGACATATACGACCATCTAGGTAGTATCTGTTGTGTTGTCAAAAAGGTGTAGTGTACCGGCCAATTATATCACAAACTTCGAAATAAAAGGCGAAAGTTCTGAAATAAAAAAGAAGAGAAAAAAGAAAAAAGAAAACGTCGAATTTAAGCTCATTATACAAGGGGTTGAAGATATAAGAACGTAACAAAATGTGCCGTCTTTAAGAAATCTACAAGCCCATGAAACCGGAGAACTGGCCATGACGCCGCGCTGTTCGCTGTGAAACCCGTTCTTCCCTTTTCGTCCACGATCGGTGCACAATGCCCGAAAAAAAAATAATCTCATACATGATATAATAGCCCATGCGATGGGAACAAGGAGTAGTCTGCAACTTGTCTCCCCTCACAGCGGCACCTCGTCCAGCTTCTCATCGCCTTCTGTTCCTTTGGCTTTCTTTTGATCGCTAGCATCGGGAGTGTCTGCTTTCTCTGCTGGCGCCTCCTTTTCCTCTGTTACTCCATTCTCTGCGTGAGAATCAGGCTCTGCGACGTGGGTGCCGTTCTGCTCCTCGCCCTTGGATTGCTCTTTAGGTTCCTCTTTCTCCACCGGAGCCTCGTCTTTTGCCGGAGGAGGCGGCGGTGTTTCGTCCTGCGATTCTAACTCTTTCGCGTGGCCATTGGTTTCAGCACCGGGGAAGGGAGTCGTAGGGGCTTCGGGGACAGAAGGCTCCGCCGGACGGGACGGTAAATTCGTCTGGCTCTCTGTGCGCGTGGATGGGGCCATAGTAGAGACAGTGGATGTTCGCTGGCGTTGCTGCGCTGCCGGTCCATGGCCTATCTGTCTGAGTTTGGGGTCGGCGTTGAGATAGTAGCCCCGAACGCTGACAATAGTGCCCTCCGCCTCACATGCGTCCACCCATTCTGGACGCACCACGGGGATATTCATCTCAACTGCCTTCTCCCACAGCGGGCCCCTTCCTTCTGTGCACACGAAGTGCGTCGTGTCGATGCGGACGGTATCAATCAGCTTGCCCCCGATGCGATCAAGAGCGGCCGCCAGAGCATCTTTTTGCTGTGGGGGCATGATTCCCGGTGTCACTGTAATGCCCGATAGGTCGGTCATCTTGTGTGTGCGGCAGACGAGCTTCTCAGACTGGAAGGTGCCTGCTGTCGTGCGCAGCACCAGGTGGAATGTGTATTCGGTGTGAATGGCAAGACCGCTGATCTTCGTGCTGAGCATTTCCAGCGGCCTGGGGATTGATCCAGCCTTGGAGCCATTGCGATACAGCGAGAGAGACTTCAGCGAAGCTGTTGCCAGGTCGATCGGATCCCACTCCAACACCAACGAGGTCTGTGTCGCATTTCGGAGACGGAGAACAGGAGGGGAGGGGGTGTGAAGGCCGTATGTATTTAGAATGCGTTTCTGCAGGGCCTGGAAGGCGGCTATGTTGGCTGCTTCGGCAGCATGATTGCGCGACACCGTGATATCGACTATACTGCCCGAGGTGATGTTGCTGGGAAGGAGCACGGAGGGGAATTCAATCTACAATAACCTGTGAGCATCCTGTTGTGTTGCGCCATAGAGTACGATAATAAATTCATGCGAGCCAGTCTGAGCGATTGGAGACTGTGTCGCGCTATCGGCAATAGTAGGACATAGCATGATCCCGAATAGGGAGTGGGATCTGAGCACGAGAGAAACAGGAAAGGGGGAGCCTTACGAGTCGGTTATCCTGCGTCAACAACACAGCGACGCCGGCGTCGACCTTGCCAACAGTCAAGGAAACAAGCATCTTGTCGGAGAAAGCAAAGGAGAGGCCAAGGTCAGTTCATCGAGCGCGCATCCAGACGGTGCTCTAGAGATGTAGGAGAGGAGACAAGTGGTGGAGTTGAGTTCCTGGTCGCTGCTGTCGTCGCCGTCGAATCTCGTCCGGCCAGATCGACAGGCCGCGAAACGCCAAGCAAAAGGCCAGTTCGCGGCAAGTGACACGCGGACAGTAATAATAATATACAATTACTTTCTTACATGTTTATCGTTCGTGTCCTGCTGCTAATTAATTAATTAATATACAGTGGTTCACGGCATATCGCCATGTCCTGATCTAATTTACATGGTCTCTCTCTCTCTCTCGTTGTCTTCGTTGACATCGGGAAGACCTACGCTTAATGCTGCTTCGCCGATATAGATCCTTCTGCCTGGTGTCTGCCACCCCCATACTTTTTCGGGGGTTTCGAATCGCGCTCCTCGTTGCACAAGCGCACTATGGTCTCCACAAGATTATTCGACTCCCTCAAGACTTCGGAGAATTTCTCCTTGATCAGTTCTGGACGAACCACGATCTCCACGCTACCCTTCAAGTCTGGTTCCAGCTGCGACGAAGACTGCTGGGAGATCCTCCGACCTTCACCGTCGTAGCCTCGATCATGGAGGGCCTTGCGGAATGCATTCCGAACCCTTCTGGCACACCATGATCGGACGACCCGTTTATGGTCTAGGCCGTTGGTCTGCACTCTCCACCATAGTGTATTGGGGTCCCGGTTGGCATACATATGCACGATCTTCGGCCGGATAGGGTGTGACTGGGCCCCGATGTATCGTGCAGCGACTGGAGGAATAAAGGTCTTGGGGCTCCATCGCATGTGGAATTGTTTCGTAGTCTGAACCAGCTTCATGGCTCCTCTCCCACGAGGGTATCGGGAACCTCCCCAGATTGTACGGTCAAGCCTAAAGTCCGTCCCCTTAGATGGTCCTCCTCAAGACTGCCGATATCCCTCGTAGCATCGTTGAGCGAGGAAAGTGCGAGGTAGAACCGGTAGACGTAGTCGCAAAGGGCTTTGGACCATGAGACCAGCAGTCGAAACTTGGTCTCGAGAAGGCCTCCGAACGTTCACGATCCTACGAGAATCGCGGTAAAGAAGGAGGAATCCAAGGACGATGGCAAAAGATAGACAGTGACTGAAGCGCTCATTGCAGGAACAGAATGCGAAATGCAAAAAGCTCCGGTAGTTTTCCGGCAGAACTACGGGCGGTGAGATCGCCTGTGGGAATCTGGCTTTCCATTGGTGGATTCGCAGGCGGTCGACGCTGTGGCAAGCCTCAGGCAGATTCAGGCCGCCATCCGCCACGCCCGTCGTTCCTCTTTGCTCCCCACTATATTAAAGCCCTGAAATTCCCCCTCGTCCGTTCACTCCGCCAACCCATCCACCCCACCGGCCATCGATATCCCCTCACCCAACTCTACGGAGTGACTAGAATCAGACTCTATCTGCGGACTAAAAGAGGGTTATACGTGAGATAGAACCGCCATCATGCCCAAGAACAAGGGAAAGGTAAGATCTAAGCGCTTTGCTCCCCACTTTGCAATGACTGCAAACGACGGCCGAGTTGCATCCCATCCTGATGATCTTTTCAATATCCTTCAGCTGAAAGACGTTCTGGATTTTGCTGGCGACTGAAAAGAGAATCATCCAGATGGGACTCGGGAGGCGCCGTTCCGTCATACGTTGATGCATGTTTGAACAAGACGCTAACGAGTCATACAGGGTGGTAAGAACAGACGTCGTGGAAAGAACGAAAACGACAACGAGAAGCGTGAACTCACCTTCAAGGAGGAAGGTCAGGAATATGCGCAGGTCGTGAAGATGCTGGGTAACGGCCGTCTGGAGGCTCTGTGCTTCGATGGCGAGAAGCGACTGGCGCACATTCGAGGCAAGCTGCGAAAGAAGGTCTGGATCAACCAGGGAGACATCATCCTGCTCTCTCTACGAGACTACCAGGACGAGAAGGGCGATGTCATCCTCAAGTACAACGCCGATGAGGCCCGAAGCTTGAAGGCCTACGGCGAGCTGCCAGAATCCGCCAAGATCAACGAGACCGACACCTATGGCCACGAGGGTTTCGAGGACAACGTCGAGTTCGACGAGGACCGCGAGAGCGAGGACGAGAAGGAGATCGATGTCGACGAGATCTAAACCACCCTCACTACCCAGACCAGCGGGCCCTGTGGGGGTTCCAATATATGCATGTTCTCCCGGCCCTGCAGGTCTCAAAGCCTTGGTCGACCTTCTCATCACTATCGCCATGGTTCTTCCCAGAGGTTGCCACGAGAAGCGCGGGCAGTTATTACTTGCGCTTTCTCCCCTTCGCAAACGGATGATAAGATACGCATGCTGTATGGTTACCGTCGGACGCCGACAACAACACATGCAGCTCCCATTTCCCAGGGTCAAGGCAAAAGAAACCATCGGAAGTTATTCATGAGGTATTACGCATATGTGATTGCAGAGGAACTCGGCCGAGCTACGTCTTCACGAATCTTGCCTCGGATGATTTAAGTCTTATGGTCAGTTTGGAACGTGATCTACAATCCACGACGGTGGTTTGCGGACACTTTGTCTCCTTTACAGTCCTGTTTCTTTATTGCATGGTCATGATAGAGGGGCATAAGCCGTTGATAGTACCGTTCTAGTGGAGAATTCGATGAAGTTCATCACACAACGATCCTTCTGTGTCTTTGAAGCGTAGTCTTAAGACGTCTCGTAGTAACTACACATAACAAATGTCGTAGCTATGCTATGTCCAAATTTTGGCGCAGTACATCCCTTTTTGCTCTGGCATCGGAATCCATAAAACACTCGACCCTTAAGCATAATCCAATCCAAACAGACACGCGTTCAACCCTCAGCCTCATCCTCAAAAACACTCTTCCTAAAAAACCCAACAATCTTCCTCGCCGATTCCTTCCCAATCAACGGATCCAGATCCTCCACATCCATATTCGCAATCTGATGAATACTCTCCGTTTCCAAAATCAAACGCTCGAGCACCTTGGGCGTCACGCCCGGCACGGCTCGGAGCATATCCTGCGGAAGGGCATTGAAGGTCCTATGCTCAATACCCGACGCGGCCATGACGTCTCCCGGCGTTGAGGAGGCGACGATATCCATATCCAGACCGATCTGCACGGCGCGAATGGGGTCTGGTTCAGGGCTATTTTTCTTAAGCTCGGCGAAGATCTCGGCTGTTTGGTATGGGGAAGAGGACCAGATTACTTTGAGACGGGGAAATGCGAGGGTGAGGAGGACGAGCATGTGTTGGGCGGATCGGGGGTTGGTTGGGTTGACGAGGGAGCTGCTCACGGAGAGAGAGGGGGTTCCGGAAGAGGAGAAGACGTAGTCGGAGAAGAAGCTTGTGCCAGGGGTAGATGCGGAGGTGAAGGCGTCGAAGGTGAAGGATTTGTTCTGGTCGAATTCGATTAGGAGGATGGGGTTCTTGTAATGTTGGAGCATTGTCTCGGCTTGGTTGTAAAGACGGCCGTTTTTCAAAGAGCTGATTAGATCGCGGACGGATTTACGCTCAACGCAGATGTCTGGGGTGAGGATGTAGTCGCCGACTGTTAGCTGGCAGGGTACTACGACCATGCTCCTGCCGTGGAGTAGAGATGGGAGAGCGCTGCGGAATTCGCGGACATCGACGACCACGGTGGGAGGGGCTGCTGTTGCAGCCAGTCTGCCGCCGCCCGCGATACGGGTGTTGACCGTTCGGAGAAATTGTTCCTGAGGATCTTCGAGGCTTTTATCATGTGTGATGGTGACGGCCATGCTCTGTAGGAGTTGTTAGTTCATGATGGGGCACGCAAGAAGACGGGGCGTTCGTACTCCTTTCTCCTTGATGAGCTTCGTGAAGGCATCCTTCTCCCTTCTGACAGCGCTGAGGTACCGTTGCTCCTCGACGGATCCGCCGTAATACATGAAGTAGACCCTGACATTTCTGTCCGTGTGGGAGCTCCGATATACCTCGACTCTTCTAATGAACGAGGCATCAGGTTCATACATGATAATGTATCGTGGCCGAGCTTCCTCCAAGATATGCTCATCCATATCGCCATCGTAAGGATGGATCATTATCAAGTCGTCCATATCGTATAACTCATAAAAGTCCTCCGTGTTCTCCAAATCGTCGACGATGATTTCCTCTTTCACAGTTTCTTCTGATCCCGTGGGCTGTAGCTGCTCCAACAAGCCTGATACTTGGTTAGGTTCTTCGGTATCTGCTTGCACAGTGCTGCTTGGAGGCCGTGCAAGGGTACTTGACGCAGTCCCTCCGCCTCGGACACGCCTTCTCTTGTTTGGAGGAGCTCGTGGATTCAGTGGCGCACCGTTAGCAGATCTCGCAGCTGATGTGTCGTTGGGGTTAGATTTTGGGCCATATAGATTCGCATTGACGCGAGAAAAGTAGCGCTTCCAGTTCAAATAGTCGCGTAATTTTCTTCGCAGCAACAGCTCCCCAGATGGTCTGGTCTCTTCCGCATCCTCGACAACAGCTTCAGGTTCTGTATCAACTTTGACATGCATCGTAGAGAGGTATTCTCGCAGTTGCGAACATGTTCTCTGGTCGCTGCACATTATGAGTACAGTTTGATTAGAGTCATCCCTGATACTTGGATTCAAATATGCATCCCGCTCAATCTCCTCCAACACATCTGCGAGAACGGACCATTTAGGTTGCTCTTCGAGAACCGGCTGAAGACCAGCAGAAAATGATATAGATGAAGAAGCCAGCTCGCCACTACTCAGCTTTCCCGTATATGCTCTTGACTTTGCAGTCTGAAAAAGCACGTGGGCGGCATCGAGGAAGAGCCATGGTGAGTAGTTATGCTTTGTTGATCCGGGAGGAGGGGAGTGTGCTGCCACGATGGTATCCAGGTACTTCACAAAGGATACGGCGTCATAAGTTAGCAGTGAACTATCTGCGAGTTAGCATGTGAAATGTATAGTCAGGGACACGAGTTCGGCATCATACTGTAAGATAGCCCTCAATACGGTCAGGTCACTGGCAATCTGCCTTGTCCTAAAGCTGACACGGTGCCATATCGGATCAAGTTGCCGTCTGATTGAAATATCAAAGTTCTTGTGTAAAGCACTGTCCAGCGTCCAATCTTCCACATCAAGACCCGAGTTGGCCTTCTTGAGCTCACTAATACTAATCTCGACGCATTCGAGGATAGCATTTTGGATCTCCCTCATTTTATCGGTCATTGGGACCTCCAACTCGATCACTTCAGCCTTCTTACGTCCCTCCAGTGACTCTGCTACCGTGACATGGAATCGGGGCCACAGGGAAGGTTTGCGCAAAAACATGTTACGCAACATATTCGACAAAGGCGCGAAGCCTGTGGTGAAAGGCTCCGGAGAGTCCGAAAATGCTTTGAGAAATCCTACTTTGTTGAACTGGCGATAGATCCGAATAATGAAAGCTTCCAAGGCTGTTGCTTGAATCCTATAACAACGTTAGAACACTTCTTAAGCAAAGAATAGAAACAGGTATCTTACTTCTCCGCATGAAGCACGATCATACCCGTGACCTTTTCAGGATCAAGCAGTTCTGAAATCCTGTAAGCATTTATGTCGCATACACGAATGCTTCCTTTACGTACTGGAGAGCAGGTCCACAACCAGGATCCTAGAAGTTACACTTAAGATGCCTCCCTCGGAGTACAGCTTCTCCCTTGGTCCAAGTTAGTACTAGGTCAGATAGACGACAGGTATTACTCTGATCATATACCTCATTGGGACAGTAGCCCTATCAGTATTAATGACTTTTAACCCCCTAGCGAGGGGTGTCTTGCTGATCGCATAGTGCTCCGCCAACGCTGCGCAATATGTCAGTTTCTCGCAGTGTTACGAAGGGTCTTATATTCGTCTACCTTCGCCAATCCATTCATTCTCTCTATCCTCCGCCCCCACAACAAGGACCAAGTTGTTTCCAGCTGCATCATAAGAGTGCAGCAGATTCGTCACAAGCCGCAGCAGCCCAAGGCCGCGGGCCAGGATAACCAGTTCATCCTCCGCGCGGAGCTCCGTGAACAGGTCCTGCTGGTATTTCTGGCGGTTCAACGCATCAGCACCAGAATGGGACCTAAATATTGTACTGGTTTTGACTCACCAGAGGCAAAGAGAGCTTGACTGGCTGACTTGGCGGCATGGGAGCGTCTTATCCGTTCGAAACAAGCTCAGGCGTACAGCCATTCCAGAGCAATTGGACGTCACGTGATTTGGCCTACGGATCCAGAACTATGACGATGGAGCATTACTTACTTAGATACCACTACGATCAGTCCTTTTCTACTGAGAGCAGGGAGTTCAACAAACTTTCAAACTACGCGTTATTCCAGACTATATACTGCAACAATGGTGTTGCTTCATCCTCGTTAAGACTACTTAGTGACTGGATTTTCTTGAAGGCAGATGCTCAACAAGCATCTAAGTACACCGGATAAGTACTTAGTTAATGTCCAGCAACTCTTGGCGGGCCCCCGAGTTCATTTATCTAAGAATTTTTTTTAACTTCAAGGCGTCCTCTCCCTTTTCCTTCATAACCTTGATGATTTCATCCAGCTTTGTCGGAGAGGTGATTTCAGAGACGGCGAGATCAATGCAATACCAGAAGTAGAACTTTCCGCCGGCTTCAAACATGTAAGCAAGGCCGGTGCAATTAAACATGATCGGACGGCCTCTTCCAGGTTTCAATTCTGCACACAGGCATTGTCCCATACTATCCTCTGCTTGCCAGTCATCTTCGTCCTCGAGGTCCTGGGGTTTTGCGCCCCACCCGGAGGGCGGGTCATCCTAAGATCTGCATTAGCGTTTAGTACAAAGTTTTGACAGCGACAGGCTTACTATGATGGTTATTATGTTGGATTTGATTATAGACTGGAACTTTGGATATGTGAAGTGAGTTGTGGTGAGTGAATAATAGGTCGGAAATGCGTTTAACGTTACATAGGGACGCGATTAGTCATCCCCGACCCTCCCAGGTTAACTATGGCCCTATGTGGACAATTCCTATGTGCTATAACTATTATTGCATTTTTGAGCAATTAACCGGCCTGGTTAATAGATCCTCATCACGCTATCTTGTACCTCAGTTCTGCCGGCGATATTTGATTTATAATCCACCAGAATTCAACATTTTGGAAGGCCCTTTGTCCTCAGAAACGACCAACCTAGCGCTGGCATTGTTCGCGCTGTAGATTGCTGTTCAAACCAACTGTCTGAGCACGCTAGGATAGTATGGCTAGTGACCATATAGGCGAATGAGATCGAGGATGAGGCCAAATGGAATCAATGTGGGATGAATAAGTTGATTGATTGAAGAGAATAACTAAATGCTCCCAGGGTAGGTTGAAATACCCTATACTTAGTAGACTAGATGGCGCCGATACTCGAGTTGTCAAGGATACCAATTTACTATTCAAAGGACAAACAAATATAGGCACTTCTGAAATTACCAAGTTGCTAACGGTAAGTCGCTACTCCATATATCGATATCAACAAATTCACCGAACAAGTCCGTATTAGTCTCGAGGTTAACCCATTACACAGGCTTGTTGGTTCCTCAAGCTGTTTATTTAGTTATTAGTTATTATTTACACAATTAATATAGCAACGACACAACTGTCGCTACCAATATGGCATGGTAGCCGGTAGCATGATCACACAATCAATAGATTATAACTATCGTAAATGAGGATGCAGGTCGTATATTAATTACACTCGTGAATCGCATGTCATCTATGACACCTTCGCATATCATAAAGGATTCGTTATAAATTCTCAACCAAAGTCGTTGTTTGCAGCTGAGTTATGTACGGTCCGTTGTCGATTATGTATTAAAAGGGTCAATGGTTATTTGTTTAGCTCCTTCATGCGCGCCTCGATCTCCTCTCTCGGGACTTTAGGTGGCATGTCTACTCAAAAAGAAAAAGAGAAAAAAAAAGTAAGCACACGGACTAGACGGTATACGGTGAGTAGTAAAAGGACTCACGGTCTGGAACTTGGGGACCCTTAGACAAGTGGTCCATAGCGGTCGCCTTCCTTGGCTCCTTGGAAGATTCGCCAGGGCCCGGGTGTTGGGAGTTTTCCCCCTGGTTGTTTGGAACCAGGTCGTTAGGGTTTGACGGGATAACAGGCATATTGGAAGCTAGAGACTAGGAAATGAACACGCTCTCAGAAGAGGTTTGATGCTTATTTAGCTAAGATCCGTTATGGTAGGTGCAAGACCGGATGCGAGGGCTTTTTATATCTATCGGATGTTGACCGCACGACGATGACGTCGCTCGCACCCCCGAGAAATGGATGGGATGAGGGGCAGAGTTTCGGTCCACAAACTCACCCCGCGGTTTATATATTGGTATACTTCGTGAGTAGAAGACAAAAATAAATGCCTTCTAAGGGGTTGCGGATCGGCCGTACTATTTATATTCGAGTCCTTGACAGGCCACTCCCATGTCTCATTATTAAGCAAGACTCTGGTCAAGAAGAGAACGGGAGGCTGCGGATATCACAAAGTCAAGTCACATTGCTATGGACATCGAGATAACTCATAAATTGCAATCTGCAAGATCTCTGTGTTCTAGAGTAGCTTTTCCTGGTAGTCCTTCACTGCTACTCCGTATGTAGTGACTTTAATTAAGGATGGTACAGTAATAGGTGATAGCCAGGAGCTGGCTGCCCAAGGGTCGGCTCGTGGCTGTGGCTGATGACTGCGCATCCCCACCGCCCGCTCGCCGCAGACCATCATAGAGGGAGTTGACGAGCGCTGCTACTCTCCCTAAAACTATTACGAACGTCCAGCTCTGACTATAACCTACTCCACGCAGAACGCAGTCCTCCCCACTGAAGGCGACTCTCGACCCTCGATACACGCGCCCTCCCCTGTTCTTCGCGTTCCTGAACCTCTGGAAAGCTCCCCGCATCCCGGACCGTTGCCTCTCGCGGCCGTTGCCTGTTCCTTGGGATCGTGATCGCATTCGCATCTGCAATGCGTCCCCACAGTTGTTAACTAGTTCCCGGGTATCTATAATTCAGTTCCTCGCTCGCCCTTCTGCGAGCCTTCGTGATCTCTTAGGGGTACATCATGCCGTCAATCCTCAGCGATGCGGACAAGGAAACTGTGAAGAGAACGGTTCCGAAGCCGGCCAACAAGATTCTTGCAGTGGCCGTGGCACGGCTTTACGTCGCTTACCCGGATCATCATCGATGGACGTACACGGGTCTCCAGGGCGCTGCGGTCCTGGCAAATGACTTGGTTGGGCACACCTTCTGGATCAAGTTGGTAGACATTTCGGTATGTGGTTGTCCAAACGCTGAGCAGACGACAAGGGACAAGATAGCTGACTGTTCTACTGCAGCCTGCCGGAAGAGGTGTCATTTGGGACCAAGAGATTTACGATGGCTTTCCTTATAACCAAGATCGCACGTTCTTCCACTCATTTGAACTCGAAGAATGTCCGGCCGGCTTATCGTTCGCCGATGAAAAGGAGGCCAAGACCTTCATGAAGAAGATGCATGAACGGGAGAAGAATGCTAGCAAGGAAACGAAACAGACGCCGTTTGCCTCAACCCGGGGACAGGGACCTGCTCCTGTTGCCAATGGGAAGGGTCCTAGTCGGTCATTGTTCGGGACCCTGATTCATGGTCATCATGGCCATAAATCACCAACGACACCGACAGCACCGACCGCTCCGCCAGTTGCAGCCCCTGCGCCTACTCCTAGCCCACCGCGCAAAGCCTCTCCTCTCGATACCGTAGACCCATCGTGGAAGGGTCTGCTTGATGAGCTGTTGGCAATGGGCATCACGGAAGATCAGATCGCGGAGAACTCTGACTTTATTAAGGCTTATATTGAACAGAAGCAAGGTGCAGAGGCCGCGAGCGTCACGGAGGACCAGCGGAAAGGCAGAGCTCCTCCTCCGCCACCACCATCGGCGCCTCCAACTCCTAAGGTGACTACCATCAGCCCTCAACATACCGGAAGCAGTGGCAGCCGCCGTGGTGCTCCTCCACCTCCTCCGCCCTCGCGGAGAGCACGCACAGAGGTACAGGAAGAGCCTGCTGCTACACCTCCAGAACCGTCTCCCCAGAGGCCGAAATTCCGAGCTCCTCCTCCGATTGCGGATGCAGGAAAGTTTGCTCATACTGCACCAGCTCCTCCTGCGCGCCAACGAGCTGCATCAGGATCGAACCTTGGTCCTCCGCCTCCTCCAAGACCACCCAAAGCACCTGATGATGGCACTCCACCTAGATTCGGGGTTGCGCCCCCTTTCCAAGGAGAAAGGAAGGTATCCGCTCCACCAGCTCCCCCGAGTCGCAGCCCTGCACCAGCAGCTCCTCCTCCACCTCCGCCGCGCGCAGCAAGTCCAGCAGTACCGCCTCAACTTCCCCCCAAGGTTCCTCATGGAGGCGTCCCATCTGCCATGCCCCCTCCTCCACCGGCCAGGAGTCCGGTCTCACCACCTCCACCTCCGCCTCCTGCTTCCAGGCCTGTTCCTCCTCCTCCAGCGGCATCGAGTGCTCCGCCTCCGCCTCCACCTCCACCACCCCCAGCTCCGGCCAGTTCTGGCCCTCCTCCGCCGCCCCCGCCCCCTCCTCCTCCAGCAGCTGGACCTGCTGCACCCCCTCCACCACCTCCTCCGCCAGCCAGTTCTGGGCCCCCTCCGCCTCCGCCGCCACCACCTTCAGGCGCAGCACCAAGTGCTGCTCCGCCGCTGCCTAAGCCTACAGGCGGCAGAGATGAGCTGCTGGCTGCTATTAGAAACACTGGCGGCGCAGGAGCTGGAGGTCTGCGGAAAGTCAAAGATTCCGAGAAGAAGGATCGAAGTGGAGCTATGGTGCCAGGTGGTGCCAGCGAGAGTCCTGCAACGCCGTCTGGCGGTGGTGGCCCGTCAGGAGGACTGGCTGGTGCCTTGCAAGATGCGCTTGCAAAGAGGAAACAGAAAGTCAGCGGTAGCGGTATGTTTTTCTTTAATCCTTACGCCGACTCGAAAAGACGGCTAACAATAGTGCAGATGACGAGAAGGAGGATGATGACGACTGGTAAGCAACCTGCAGAGGTCGCGCTGACCTCCCCCGGCAACAAAGACGGTGGGAGTATTTCCAAGACGGATGATCTCAACAGAAGTTGTCACGGCAGGAACCCATTAGCTGTTGGTTGTACCTGGCTCTACGTCGTGATACAGCTGATTTACCCGGGGCTCTCTTGCAAAACATTTCCACCAAGGCTCTTTAACTGGCACCTTACTATGCCTCTGTCAGCCAGCTACCCATGTCATCGGTCTCATTCTAAAAATGGCTGTATTGGTATGCATCGAGAGGGGGATTGCACATATGATGGTTCAAGTCTTAAGAGTCGACCACAGTGTTCCCACCGCGTGTATACCCTTTTAGAGCTATGTCGATTTTCAATAAATTCAGTGAAAATATTCAAAGTAGACCGGTTTTGTATCTATATCCTTTCCGTGGCAGACGTAGGATATTCCACTCTTCTCTGAAATCGGTCATTACATTCCGATAAGACTATCCTAAGCCTGTTAAAACACGAATGTGCGATTGTAGATAGTATCGGGTTCACAGCGTTAGTTACACGTCGGGCGAAGTATATATTCGGAACAAAAATAATCCGGCGTCTTTCTCCAAGCGCTGGACGCGGCGAAGGAACCTTGAATACCAGCGCTCTGACATGACTGCTCTGCTACTTTCATTCTGGGACTGAAAGCAAGAAGAGATGTTATCACCATCTCCTCTTAAGCCGGCTGCGCCGTCTGCGTCCCTGCTTCGGTTCCTTCGTTCTCAATCCGACGCGCTCTGCTTTTTTACAGCTAATCCCAACGCATGTACTCGCGCATCGAGAGAACCATGGCCTCAACACAAGGACTCCGGAAATGTCTCAATGGGGAGGATCTCAAGATGGACGAATATTGATCCCGTGCCGTGTCAAGCATCTTTGGAGGCATCTTTGCTTCCCATGCTGAATCCATTGTCGAAAACCGCGAAGACATCCCGATCTCCGCCTCACCCTGTTCAGAGGCCTACAGCTCTATCGCCTCTATCCTTCTCAGAATTCTCGCGGAAAATGTCTACGAAGAGCCGTCCCCTCCTTCGCAGGCTGCTGGATTTGAGGCGCGCAAAAGCAACTGACGGTCCGAAGCTGAACCGCTCTGGTATGCCGCAGGTCACAACTGCTCTCGACGATGGCGCTGAAGGGAACCTTTTCAACTTGGGGCGCACGCTCGCCGCCAAAGCGTCGAATGAGGTGCGTCTGCGATGCACTGAGTTTGATGGGAACGGGAATGTCACGCTGGTGAACGGTGAATTCAAGAAGAGCGAACTCATCGCGAAGGTTTGTTTTTCTAAACCTAATCTCAGATGAATAAATTGTACAGTTCTGATGCTAAAGGGATACATAACAGTATGGCCTTCTTCCGCGGGACCTGCGCAAGATTGACTCGTCCGTGCTGCCTCACATTCTCGTCCGCCCTGGTACGATCCTTATCAGTCTGCTGCATCTCCGAGTTCTCATAAAGGCCGATCGGGTTCTAGTTTTTGACGCATATGGATCAACCGATTCCTACGCGCAGTCTGTTTTTATGTACGATCTTGAGGGAAAGTTGCGACAGAAGCAAGCCCAAACGACCGGTGCACTGCCCTATGAATTCCGCGCACTCGAAGCCGTCTTGATTTCGGTGACTAGTGGTCTCGAAGGAGAATTCGAAGGTGTCAGGGAACCAGTGGTGCGCGTCTTGCGGGCTCTGGAGGAAGATATTGACCGGGACAAGCTGAGACACCTTCTGATCTACTCCAAAAAACTGGGTACATTCGAGCAAAAAGCGAGACTTGTGCGAGATGCCATCAACGACTTGTTGGATGCTGATGACGACCTGGCTGCTATGTACCTGACAGAGAGAGCCAGTGGTAGGGAGCGTGATGAGAATGATCACCAAGAGGTGGAAATGCTACTGGAGTCGTACCACAAAGTTTGTGACGAGATCGTCCAAGCCAGTGGGAACTTGGTCACTGGTATCCGTAACACGGAGGAAGTGTAAGTCCCGTACCATGTTTCTTACGGACAGACTTCTGACAATAAACAGAGTCAAAGCGATTCTGGACGCCAATCGGAACTCCCTGATGTTGCTGGATTTGAAATTCAGCATTGGCACTCTTGGCCTTGCCAGCGGAACTCTTATCTCCGCTTTGTATGGAATGAACCTGAAGAACTTCATCGAAGAGTCCGATCTGGGTTTCGGTGCGGTGTCGGTTACATGCGTGGTTTTCTCTGCCATTGTCTGCCTCTACGGCCTTGCGAAGCTGCGCAAGGTCCAGCGGGTTCGCATGTGGGGTGAGGCCGGTGTAGGAGGTACTGCTTCCATCCCACCTCTGATCGGGAACAGCGCCGCAATGGGCAACCGTGCAAATTGGCGAACCGATACGATCGAGCCCATGCTGGGTGGATTTCCAGGCGAAGGACGAGTTGAAAGGATGAAGCGTTTGAAGGAGGGCGCCGCTGCAGCTGCAGCAGCGAAGAGCGCATCTCAGCCATCATCCGATTCTCCTCTAGGCGGCTCTCAGTTCGTGAAGCAGGGTATTTCTCGCAAGGATACAGATGCTTCTGCACAGCAGACCGCGAAAAGCTGAATGCCCATCTCTCCCAGAGCTCTAACGCTCACAACCGTCCCCATTGGAAGGCATGATACCCGAAGCGGCATCCTGTCATCTTCCTATCTATTCTTTGTATGTTCTATAAAACTCTCCATCTCTAGCGCTCTTTGGATCAGAGCAGAGAAGAGAGCCCTCACGTATGGCGTTCATAAAAGGATGTTTTGTTTTTCCTTAGCATGACATGGACTGGCTCCCCATTGATGCACTTTCCTTTTTCTTTTTCATGGCGGGTCTATCTTTTATTTCATGAAGTCTTATAAAACCTTTCAATGTCTTCCTCCATATTTTGGTCTGTTGAGGAACACTCTGATGTCGATAGATTAATCTTGTGTAGTGTGTATTATCTTTTTATCAATTCCACTCAAATCGGTCTACGCTGTTGGATCATGATGCATTGTAGTGGGTCAATCAGACCAGTCAGAATGACTATATCCCCTTCAGTCTCACATGCCACTACTAGTATTTATTAAGAAACCGACATGAAAGCCTTTGTCTATACTATAGTCACACTCCAGTGAATATAAACCCATAGCCAAGATCTTAATCTATAACTATCTAACGACAATTCTAAAAAGCCTCTACATTCCAAGGATCGTTCGATCTCGGACCCGGAAGGGAACTCGGCCCTCGCTTCACAAAGTTCCCATACGTCTTTTCTCCAACCACTCCACCATTATCTCGATCATAAACGACCTTTCCTCGAAGAATGGTATACCGAGGCCACTGCGTCAGGGTATATCCCTCGTACGGGGTATAATCGACATTATGATGAAGCATTTCGTTCTTTAGCTCGAAGGGCGTCATGGAAGGGTACCAGATGACCATATCAGCATCTGATACGCCGGGTAATAGGGCCCCCTTTTGCGGGTATAGACCGTATAGCCGAGCCGGGTTGGTTGATGTAACTTGGACGAAATTCTGGGGTGAGAGTTTTCCTGCATTCCACACTAATGGCATACGGGTCTCGATGCCTGGGATGCCGTTGGGGATGTATTTGAATCGACCGACGGGGTATTCTGCTGAGATGGCTGAGCGTTTGCCTGTCTCTTCGTCGTCGTAGCGGAAGGAACAGTGGTCGGAGGAGAGGATTGTGAAAGTACCGTTTCGTAAACCGTTCCAGATAGCGTCGTGGTCGGTTTTCTGTCTTGGGGGAGGAGAGCAGACGCATTTGGCACCCTCGAAGCCTGGGTGGTTGAGGTCTTCGCGTGTGAGAAATAGATATTGTGGACATGTCTCTGCGTAGACTGGTAATCCTCGCGTTTGGGCTTCTCGGATGGTTTTGGCAGCTGGTGGTGCAGAGACGTGCACGATCAGGATGGGAGCGTCGATGATTTCACTGAGTACGATGGCTCGATTGGTGGCTTCGGACTCGATCAATTGCGGATGGGACGTGGCGTGGTACTTGGGAGCGAAGAGTTGGTTCGCTTCTAACTGGTTCGTCATCCAGGTGAGAACATCACCGTTCTCTGCATGGACCATGGTGGTGATACCGTGGGTGCGCGCAGCCAGGAGGATGTCGAGGATCTCACTGTCCCGCAACTGCAATGCTTCATAGGTCATGTAGATCTTCAGGGATGAGATGCCTTCCTCGCGCAAGGCGGGGAATTCCGATAAGCCCTGTTGGCCATGTGTTGAGATAAGGAGGTGGAAACTGTAGTCTGCGTAGCATGCTTTTGATGCCCGTGCGTGTGTTTGCTTGAGGACATTCAGCAATGATGGTTCATGCTTTTCTTGAGGCGCAAATGCGACGATGGTGGTTGTTCCGCCTGCGATGGCTGATTTGGAGCCTGATCAACGGTTAGCTACAATAGGATATGCCATCTAGTAAAGACTGCTCTTACCTGACTCAAAAGTATCGGCTGATGTTCCTTTTCCGCCAAAGAGAGCAGGTTCCTCCAGGTGGACATGAGCGTCGACACCGCCGGGCTAAGTATACACACCATGTCAGGATTGTACATGTACATATGTACGGATGTAATAAGAACCAGGATTAAGTGGTTGACTACAACCTACCATCACATAACCACCCTGCGCATCGATTGTCTTTTTAGCGGTCAGTCCAGCCAGGGACCCTGTTGGAGCTAGCAAGGCAATCTTGCCGTCTTTCACGGCGATATCATAGCTCCCGACATCAGCAGCAGTAGCAACGATGCCATTGACGACCAACAAGTCGTATATAGTATCCATGGTGAAGGAGATCTGCTAGGGGAAAACCGCCATCTGGAAAAAGATTCTCCTACAGACGGAGAAGAGTGGTCTAGATGTATTGTTCCTCCCCGCATCTTGCTATCAGGCTTATCTCGACAACAGCACAGCTTTATCAGGGCGTCTTATCGGCCCGCCGTTGACTAGATATCGCTGGAGACGGCCGTCTGGAATAGTTAGTCATGTCCGCCGAGGATTACTTACTTGACTGTGGCGTGAAAAATATAATAATATGGTACTGAAAGGGACTATCAATGGAGCAATTAACTATCATTTTATAATGTAGAAACATAATATAATAAATAATCTTTCTGTTTCCCAATTACTACCTTCCCAATCGGGATGTTCCAGGGTTAGGGTTGCATTCCGAAGTAATTTATCACGTGACAGACATGCCGATTTCCGAGCGTCTCCAATGGCCTCTGGAGAACAAAAACGACTCTGATGACCCCACCGGCATTCCAATGCGTCTTCAATAGCACTAGCGCCGCCGATTATGTGGCTCATGTAGGCTAACGAGGACGCTTTCTCTCCGCCTTGCGGTTATTCGTGTCACCTCAAGCCGGTTCCGGCATCTTCAATCCATAGTTAGTCTGAATCTCGACTGCTTTAGAGCTTTAGTAGCATCAAGGTGGCGGTGACAGGACTCCACCCTTTAGAAAAAAGAACGTTGAAATCTTCCAATGGAGCTGCATCCAGCTCGACTGACGGCTTGTACCGACTCCTCATCGGTTGTCGGGCCCTCCAGTTACCGTCGATCTCCACTGCGATGAGACGCTTTTGTGCAGAAAATGGCAAACTTCCGTCGGACTTAGAAGGATTTAGACCAAGTTTGACAGCATTAATTAGTTATTAGCTGCACGGCCTGTCCCGGAGCAGGAATTATGTATGTATAATAATAAAATAATAATGGACGGCGACAAGATACAAATACACTGCCGTGCCCCCGGTTTTGGCCTGGTAGAGAGGCAATAGAAGCTCCCTCACGAGTCATCAGCACTCATGGATGACCTCTCTAGAACTGCGACAGTTCGTTCGACACGGGAGGATACCGTCACTCGAGTCTACAGCGGCCAGCACCTCGATGACCAGACCGTATACCATGAAGACGAATACCATGCAGAGGACAGCTTCGACGACGACGAAAAGAGGCCCCTTCCGCAAGGCAGAAAAGGCAGCGAAGGCTCAGAGTCTCTCAGCAGCGATGAGGAGTCTCACGATGGCCCCGTTCTAGAAAATGATGCAGGCATCATGACCGAACGCGATACTGATCTGGAAGCCGGCCCTCGAGAAAATTTGGAAAAGACAGGCACGCGCAAGTCGCAGAGATCCCAACGAGATCCCAAGCTGGTAAGCCAGGCAATTGCTTATTGCCGCCCCTCTGGAAATGCTTCGTCTTAGTTGACAGATTCTCGATCTAGGTTACCTGGGAAGGCCCCGATGATCCAGAGAACCCCAAGAACTGGCCCATGAAGAGGAAATGGGCAGCCACATTCGTTGTCTCATGCTTCACTTTCATCTCCCCCGTCTCGTCCTCTATGGTAGCTCCCGCCCTGACCACCATTGCCGCCGAGTTCCACGTCAAAAATGAAGTCGAATCGCAGCTGATGCTGTCTGTTTTCATCTTGGCCTATGCTGTCGGTCCCCTCTTCTTGGGGCCCATGTCGGAAATGTTTGGTCGCGTCAAAGTTCTGCAGCTGGCAAATCTGTTCTATTTGGCCTTCAATATCGGCTGCGGAGTGTGCACGTCCAAGAACCAGCTCATTGCTTTCCGTTTCTTGTCCGGCCTGGGAGGCAGTGTCCCACTGGCGGTATGTACATATATCCTTTCGAGGGGACTCAGTTGGAAAATGGGAAAACTAATGGAAGCATCATAGGTCGGTGGTGGTGTCTTGAGTGACTGCTTCAAACCGGAAGAAAGAGGGAAATCGGTCGCCATCTACAGTCTTGCGCCTCTTCTAGGTCCCGCAGTAGGACCCATTGCAGGTGGTTTCATTACGGAGAATACAACCTGGAGATGGGTCTTCTATGCTACGTCTATTGCCGATGCTGTGATTCAGGTCGTGGGTTATTTCTTGCTGCAAGAGACCTATGCTCCACAGATTCTGAAAATGAAGGCGAACAAGATCCGCAAGGATACCGGAGACCCGACCTGGCATACCGAATTCGAAACCCCGGACAAGACGGTCTTCAACGTCCTCCGTGTATCAATGGTGCGACCTTTCCGTCTATTGGGCACACAACCCATCGTTCAGGCCCTGGCTGTCTACATGGCTTACATGTATGGCTTGATGTACTTGATGCTGTCTACCTTCCCCACCCTGTGGACAAGCCCGGAGTATTACAATGAATCCATTGGTATCGGAGGTCTGAATTACATCTCCCTGGGTGTTGGGTTTTTCCTTGCCTCGCAGATCTGCGCCCCCTTGAACGACCGTATCTACCGCCTCTTGAAGGCTCGAAATAACGGCGTCGCGAAACCAGAGTTTCGCACACCACTGATTGTTCTCGCGGCGACTCTCATGCCCATCGGTCTCTTCATCTACGGCTGGACAGCCCAATACCACACGCATTGGATCGCACCGAATATTGGCGCTGCCATGTTCTCCGCGGGCGTAATCGTCGGGTTCCAGTGTATCCAGACGTATATTGTAGACTCATACACCCGTTTCGCAGCCAGTGCTTTGGCAGCAGTAACGGTTCTCCGATCTCTAGCAGGCTTCGGGTTTCCTCTATTCGCGCCGTATCTGTACCAGGCGTTGCATTACGGATGGGGAAACAGTCTCCTGGCATTCGTCGCCATTGGCATTGGCGGACCCGCTCCATTCCTGCTATGGAAATATGGAGAGAAAATGCGCAAACTGAGTCCGTATGCAGCGGGCGCCTAAAAGTGATGTTCTGTTTCTTATGCTCGATGTTCACGGTGTCATGGTACGGTACACGCATAGACTGCATCGCGATGGCGTTGAGTGTGGTTCATGTACGAATTTCATATAGACAAATAGTACATAATATTATTTCTCCCTATCCCACCATATCATTCCTGTCAGATACATTCACACCATTTTCCCCGTAACCGGGTTAAATATATATAGTTATATTCTTACCTCTAAACATGCACCCATCCACCAATTCCAACAAAAGTCCAAATAGAGCCCTTCTCACCAAAGACACAACGAAAAACAATAGTTAACCGGTCTAAATCCCCAATACCATAACCCTTTCCCCAACAACCATTATATCACCCAATCGACGACCGGAAAATATAATTTGCGGCTAGATCCACTACTCCCGCAGCTATTATATCGCCACCAGTTAGCCTTCTACAACAACCAAGCATCATTGGTCTAGTGGTAGAATTCGTCGTTGCCATCGACGAGGCCCGTGTTCGATTCACGGATGATGCAAAGCAACTTCAACTTCAAACCTGCCTTGGTGGGGATCTTCTTTTTGTTGTTCCTAAGTCTGATTGGTTTTTTTTGTATTGGAATTGTGGAGGGGTTAAATGTTATTGTTTTTTTGTAAATGGAACACTTAATCCGTATGACTCTCCAAGCCCTGCAGATTAACATCCAGTACTGTACCTAGCAGTTAGAATACGCGAACAGAACTATGTGCGGGAGAAACAGCATAATAACGACGCTGAGAGATTTTGGAACCACGCCGAGCTGGCACCCCCATAACGACTATCTACCTGCTACTTCTAGTATGTTATAAAGATGGTACAAAATCGCATAGCGTTCTCGATATTTCAAAAGGCAATCCCACAAAACTATATTTAAATGTGATAGCGCGAATACGAAGGTAAAGTAAGAAGCTGGGCACCAAGGCAACGACTAGCTATGTGCTAATAAGTACAATGATGTATGGTAAACGACCCTTCTCAGAGACATAAGACTAACTTGGACTATGACAATTGTATGTCCCCGTTTCCCATCAAGGGTTATCCACATACGTAGGCAGTTTCTGTAACATATATTCTCAGGGGTTAGAACGGGAGATGTAAAGAAACTTGCATTCTCTAACTACCTAGGAAGAGAGGCTTGAAGCTCTATCTAAGAGTAACCTCGTCTACCACTGAAGCTAACTATATAATTAGGAAATCACTCAGTTCTTCTGATGTTCCATATCATGTTCTCATCCCCGTTGATGCTCAATTATTCCAACCTAATCAACGCTCCGAACTTGTCAAATTTGGTGCCTTCGAGGGCTTTGCTCGACCCCTCTGCGGAATTCACCTTGCCATCGATCCTCCGCACTTCAACATATATTCCCCTTTGACGGGAGCATCGCCGCTTTACTCCCTCGCGTGACAGACGGTTACGGTGATCTGGGTGCGTGCGCCATTGATAGAAAATGGAGATAGCGTCAAACACAGAGATGCAGGCTTTCCCATTGATCAACGCAAGTATATCATCTTGCAACGGAATGGGATACGCGTCCGGTTCAACTATACGGTTGAGCCCGCGAATGTCGACAACCACTCGACCTTTCGAGAGGACTGAGACACAGAATCATAGATTGAAAGCAATAGTATTCGAAACGCCAGGTAAAGGGGGGAAGTTTTCCGCATGGGGCTTGAAGTACAGAATCACTTTCACATTGTCCATTTAGAGGTATCCAAGGTCTTTGCAGTTTCTTTATACGGCCGAAAACCCTGGCGGTCCCTTCGCTAAGCCCCATTCGAGCCACTATCTAGTTAGATATCACGCCGGACGTCTTTATTTTTAAAGAGGCGACTCACCTGGAAACCCATCACATAGCTGTTGTTATCAAAGCATTAGTCAGCGAATGTGAAGAGGACCTGACGAAGGAATAGCATACATTATTTTTTGGCTGCTTATCCCAAGGTAGATTCGAGCTCACAGCCTCGAAGTTGCAGGCATGGAATGGCATTGGTACTGCTTTGGTAGGCATTGCATCGGATGTAATCCCTATATCAACGCAAAACACTTAGCCATAATAGTTGCCAGAGGAAAAGTTTGGTCCATGTAGACAAACAAATAGATAGACAGACAGGGAGAGATAGATAGAGCAATAGAGATTAGTAAGGGCTATACATACTCCCATGCAGCCTTGAATGACCGGCGGATCTTATCACGCTCGGCTATTTGCAAGATGGTTTTGCGACCGGTTTCATCGCTGACTTGGAGGGCGTATGCGGCTTGATGACAGGCGTCCCTAAGATTATTGAAATTCTCGGTCTGGTAGTACTGACCAATGACGAGGTTCCTAAGGGAAGAGGTAATCTTGTCGTACATTTCATCTTTGTAGTCTCCTGGGTTAACACCTGCTTCACCTGCCAGTCTCATGAATTCCGCGAGGAAATCGTTGTATTTCTGGTACGTCTTCATACGCAAGTTCGCGAATTGGCGTCTCGCATTCTGTCTGCGGTTCGGATCGTGGAAGACAGCCTGGAGATGCTCAAAGATCTCATCGGGGCCTCTGCGGCCGAATTTCCTCTGGGAACCTCGCCCACGCCCACGCCCACGGCGCATCGGGCTGCCTCCTGGCGGCGTATCATTTCCTCATTCACCAGGTTAATGCATGCAAATTTGTTGCAGCTCACATTGCGTTATATGGACTTCGTCAAAGACAACGGTGTCAAAAATTCCGGCCAGGTTTCCCGGCCAGTTCGGGTCGGGACTAGACAGCTGCCTGGCTCGAGGAAACCTTGCCGGACTTTATCAACCATGTCTTCATGGCCGGAGGGCCATTCCTTCACCCTTGCATTCTCCCATCGTGCCGTTGGCACAGTCGTAGTCGTATCGTTCGTTGTGTTCTAAGTCTCGATATTCAACAAACTGGGATCGGTCGTTGCACATGTTGCTGGACGATCCGCTGTCGGCGATCCATGTGGGAGGAACGAGGGAAGTTGCTTGTGCAGCGAATGCGTATCTACTGAATTACGTCAGGCCTCTTGACGTGGTCAGGGCGAGGCTCTGGCTCTTGGGTAGGTCAGCTTTGTAACACCATATTCCTTCGCTGGGTCTAAAGGAAGGCAAGCTTCTCCTCTATTAGGTAAAAGCATTTGCTAGTATTATGACCTTCGCACGGCTGGGTGCACCGTCAAAAATCTCATTCTTGCGGTCTAATAATGGCACTTTGACAATACTATACCTGGAAGATTCACGCGCATCGCCGTAATAGCTCCGTACATCTAGCTTGCTAGTGACTTTGTGGATCTCTTTAGATCAGGACGTAGGAATAGGAATCGCTTGCTGATGAATAGTGGTGCACCTTCTGAGTCCCTCATAACGGCGGGCGTGTGGGGGTTAGCGTATGAAGGTTCATTTGGGATAGGGTTCCCCAGGGGTAGTTCAGGAGGTATATTCTCGCCTGTCTGGGTGCCGGTTGATATCATGACTGCGGGCTGGTTGACTCGAGAAAGTCCAAGCCCATAAGGTCGAAAGAGCTGACTGAGTCCCGAGAGGGGATTCTCCAGGGGTGGATCGGATGGCTTGTCTTCGCTAGTCTGCGTGGCAGTAGATACCATAGCAGTAGATTGGCTAGTTGTAGGCTGGTCCGTACGCTCTGCCAGATCATTGGGGGGAACGATAATTAGTCGAAGCAACTTCCAAACACTATCCTCCAAAGGCAAAAGCTCGGCCTATAAAGAATTAGTAAGATGATGATAACAACAAGAGGAATAAATAAATCAATAAATTATTAATTAAAAAAAGAACTTGCCTCTGATATTAGTTGTATCGGAAAGCCCATTATACATATACAATGAAGAAACGTAGCGCCAAGAGGATGAGTGGCCAGTATAAAAGCCAATAATGTAGCTATTTTGCTGTTATAACTGCAACGGTACCGACTCTTGTGAATTTCTTTGCCCCATTCTAAACTGGTAATATGTTGGCTCGCAGTATTTGCTGAAATATCACTAAGAAAGAGATAAGCGGTCTTCTTTAGCATTCGACAAATCGGAAAATAGAGCTCATGGCCACAGCTTGCAAGTAGGAGATCAAGGACGTGTTCACGGCAGATCCAGACCGGCGAGTCAGCTTGGATATTCCTAGATATCTTGTAAAGCAGACATGCTGCTGCTGTGCCAATGGCACCTTGAACAAAGTATCCTGGTGCCATTGGGTGAAGATCGTCGCCGAAATTGTGGAGGCTGCAGACGCTCGTTGAATCCCACGGACACTTGTCTCATGAGAAATGGGGTTTTGGTAAGCAAAATATGAACACACGTATAGATATATATATCTCTCTCGGAAATGACAAGGGTAAAGTTGATAAAGGAAAAAGGCGTTCGATCAGGCATGGCGATGGATAAAGTATATAGTAATATTGCGAATTTGGGAGGCATCGTGGTCAGAGATGGCAAGCGACTGATGAATAGAGAAAGGGGAAGCTTCAAGACATGTCAAAAGGAAGAAGGAAAGCAGAAACACCAAATGGGCTCTCGACTAGACAGGAGAGCAAAGAGGAGAAGGCTCAAATTCGAGGACTTAGGGTGAGGCTGATGTCACCTGCCTAGCTTGAGAAAGACAAGGCGATGGCTATGTAAAAGTGGATGTTTTGACAAAGCACCTTTTGTAGGATGTTGCAACAGGAGTCCAAATAAGTGGTATACCTATTTAGTATATTTTGCAGCCACCCAAAGACAGGAGTAGGTATTGCGCTAAACCCTACCTCATAGCTAGCTCCGGCGAAAGTGTTTCTCGTTGACGCCCGTTCGCACGTCATTCTGTTGCGTCCGGCTCATTCTCAATCATGGATTGGCAGCTCTAGTCCAAAAATTGCCGCTGAGAGTTTCTCTATACTGTGCTTCCCTCCGCGCTTTCTCGCGTAGGGCTAGGCCGTAAACATTTTTATTATTCACATCAAGTCCGCTATACATATGTTGCCTTAGCATAGCTTGCTGGCGCAAGGAGGTAGAGAATCACTTACCGCAAAACAATAGGGTATGTCTCTGCACAATTGCCGATAGGTTAAGTGTTTCGGGCCTCCTGTTGAAGGACCATCCAGAGTCCCGGACAGTGTGATAGGATCACCCCCACAAGCCACGATGAAGTAACTCGCCTGCCGTCACAACCTCTGGTATTTTTCGTGTTCTATTTAGATAACAAGCATCTTCCGATATTCGTTATCAATAGCTGAGCTTTGTCGCGCGAGGTTTCTGTAGCGCTGGGGGATTCTGCTCAATTCATCGGGCGAATATCTCTCAATCCAATTATTCGATGGACTCAGGCTTGTACTTAGATCTTCGGGCGATCTGCTTGACAGAGGACTGCTCATCAAAGTTGAGAATCAGCGCGACTCTGGTGTTTGTCTCTCGATATCGGATTCTGCCCAGGATATAAGATTGTATGATATTCCCAAAGATTGCTGGGCGCAATGGAATTCAGCGAGAACATGTCGCGGAAAGGCAGAAATTAGTCATCTGAGAATACGTAGGACGCAAGGTTTTTATATAGACTAGAAGCATCCTCGTACCACCAGTCAAAAACCTACGGCAGGTCGACAAGCCTCAACCCGCTAGCTGGGAGGATGTAGATATCCACCCATGCAGCGAACAGCGGTTTATTCTGGACAACGGGCCACCCTTTGTCGGTGTTTCTTGTAACCCAAATCTATCTTAAGTTAGAAAATCAAATTACCGATCAAAATTAGATCCCCGAACATACCTGATCGAGCTTGGAGTTGATAATCATCTCGCCCAACGTATAGTTATAGTGAGACCGACCGTATGCTGTACGCCGATAACCAGACAGTCTTATGAGCCAAGCGTCGCTCCGAAGAGGAGCAATTGCCCGTGCTGCGTAATTGAGACTCATTCCTATGACTGGATGCGCCCAGTTCTTGAACTCCTCATGATTCTTCAGGAGATCTTGCGCTTCGCTACATGTTTTCGCTCCCATTCTTCACGAATATAGTGGTTGGGCTCGCCGAGAAAGGATTCAATATCAGTGGTGTCACGATTTCGCTCGCAACCATAGAGATGAGTTATGAGGGCTTTTCGTACGACATTTGGCAATGGAAGAAGCCGCTCCATTTTGACGAGGTCCCCGCGTGTGCGGTACTCAAGCCGAAGCCATTTTCGGAATGACTTCATCCCAGAATGTGTGAGTGTTGTTTTGGAGATGAACTCGTCAGGCTTGAGGACGTGGACCTAGCTGTGAATGGCGTGCTCATCCGGTTAGCGATCCGATCCGAAAAGCCTCGTCCGATGCAGACTTGCAATGAGATATATCTAACTCAAGTTAGATTAGTGATATGCATACCTTATTTTGAATAGTATCGTCATTCTGTGGATTGCTGGCGAGCCCTTTCCCCCATCCCAGCTTGAGAGTGCTTACCATACTCGTTTTTATGGAACGGTATGTCCACAATGCTCCTAAAAGATCCGCCTCTTTCTTAAGCTCCTTCCTGTAGTGTTTCAGGATTCGCATTTCCTAGATGTCATTGTTCTGTTGGAATTGAGCTCGCATTGTCACGTTTCCGAAATCGGTGAAGGTTTGCATATGGTCGCTCTATATTGCATTAGTTTTAACTTGTCGGTCATGGAATTCGGCCGACGAAGACATGAACCCAGCAGTTTGCGTGGCCGGTCCAAGAACTTGCGGATGGCGTGGGGCGTATCTGGCAGGTTATGGCTGATCTCGGGCGAGATGCGGGGGGTCGAATCATCGGTGGACGGCGATGGACTGGCAGATGAAGATGGTTCACTCGCCGCATCGTTGATAATGATAGGGTTCTTCATGGCACTTCCGAGTAGGATCGCCAAGCTCTGGACGTGGTCAGTTACGCTACTAGTTAAGATAAGGAAGTATATACCGGAGTCACTAGAGACGGAAGACGGGATAACGCTGCGACACGGGGTGGTTATGTTCGCTTGAAGGTATCAGCTGCGTTACAACTTCGGTGGAAGGGAACTTACCAGGAAAGCAGACGACCGACATCGTCGCTTAGAATGGCAGCACAGAGACAGGAGTAGGGCAAGCGTGGCCACAGTGCTCACAGGCGATGTCCAGGAGGGCGGGAGAGAGAAAGCAGGAGAAAGTTAGGCAGGAGTCGAAGATGGGTTCAAATAGCCCCGCCCTCAAGGAAACAATTCCCTTAGATCACTCGGAGTTGACTGTCTGACCCCTAGGATTAAGACCAGATCGATATTAAGATGTGAATCGGTTACTAAAGCCGAATAGATCCTACCGTGAGGTTACCGCCAGAAAGGATCTCAACGGAAAGATAAGATTGATCTAATGTTATAGTCATGGCTGACAACTCACAATATAGAGTCGAATGGCATAACTATCCGGCGAGACTACGCCTTCGACAACAAGCGTCTCTCAAGATGAGATGCCGGGAATGATCGTGAGTTCCAGGCATCATCACCCCTGGACGCGTACTTGAGAGCAGCCGCCTCCTGGTCTTCTAAAGCGGACAGTAAGGCCAGGAGAATGGCGATTGCGCTGCTGCATGACGAAGAAATAGGAAGTGTCTGATAGCACCCTCACGATTGTCACCGTCCGCATTGCTACCGTGGGCATCAAGAGCCAGTAACTCTCCAAGCCGAGCCTATACAGTCAATTGCGTGTTAGTTATGAAAAACCATAACAATGAAGGAGAACTTGCCTGGCTGAGCACTTTCGATTTGCCGCCGGGCTGCGACTGTGTACTGTTATGATGGTCGCGGAGAATTTGATGTAAGGCCATAAACGACCATCTTGCCCCGAAGAGCGCGGCCTCCGTATGGAGATCATGTTTGAACTCCGAGAGAAAGTCATCCGGATCTAGAATCCAAATTCAGTATTAGTACCAGAAACTAGAACCCTCATAAACGGTCTGTTAATGAATAAAACTTACAACAACGGCAGCGTATATATGAAGTTGTCCTTGAAACGCGTCCGCCAAGCGAAGCACCAAGAAAGAATTTATCCGCCATATGCAGCAGTACATAGTCGGTTTATGTATAGTGTCGAGAAGCTGGTTACACCATTTTGCATACATTGCTGTTAGTGGGAGGTAGAAGTTATGCTCCGTTGCTCCTTGCGGAGCAATGCCCAGTGTCACAATAAACAGGCCGAGCAAATCCGTCCGGCTCCAGTAGGGGATATGGTCATGTTTGTGTTTTCTAAGATTGAACTTAGGAATTCCCCGACGATGCTGGCTATCACATTGTTCACATTTCTCCACTTCAAGGGACGATACTGATTGTTGGAGTCAAAACCGCTGCTGAACATGGACACGAGATCTCGAGTAGACCCGTCTTTATAATTGCTGTACTCCGGCCTGCGCTCATTGTGCGAGAGATTGAAGTGTGCTTGATTTCCAAGGGAGGACAGAAAGGAGAAGAGAAAGGTCCGCAGATTATAGTGAGACGGATTTGCACTCAACTCCCAAACGTAGCAGTGCAGGTTTATGACTCAAGTTTAGCCGCAAGTTCCAAAGCCAGACCTTCAAGCACGTGTGTCAAAATCGTAAGTTTATCAATCATGATCCGTATCTGCCGAATCAGGTTGACCGCAGCTGGCGCAGGGGGGTCAGGGTCAGGAGGGGGTGGCGTGTCATCGCCAATTATAGCAATAAGTAATAAGTGCACTATATGATATGTTAGTTTTCTTGTCCCAATCAGATAAGCAGCAGAGAAGCGGAACGGACTAATTTGATATTTCATATGTACCTGAGTTCTCCGAGCTCCCGGCATATATCTTCCAATTTAGCCCCGGCGAGTATGCTTATAAAAAGAAACCAAAAAATGGCAACGCAGAAAAAGGGTCATGGAAGAAGAGCTACCAGTGTCCCCATGCTATATATACTGAGAGCAAGAGCGAATACTAAATAGTATATTCCCGCAAATGACAGAAGTAGAAGTTGAGAAGGAGAGATGGAGAAGGAGAAGGGAGAATATAATCCACTGATATTATAGACCGTGAAGATATATATATAGTAAGATAGCGAGGAAAGGTAAGAAAGAGAAAGAACCCAGAAGGGGGGTAATGGGGGCTTTTATTCCCTTGATTCAGCCCCTCACTTGGGCATTGCGCCGTTGATGAATGTCTCCATCTTCTGGGGTGAATCGGTCCATGATGAATCTGTGAAAGAGACTTGCTCCGGAAAAGACCATCTAGAATCTCGGATATCGACATTTTCGCTCCACTACGCATCTAGGGCCAATGGTTGTGCAAACATGCATTAGATCTATGTACACTGTACATGGTTTGGAATTGTGGAGATGCTGTGGTTTCTTTCATGCAACGAAGGCGTTTGTATATACAGATCTGTCAAGGCATCGTTTTCGGAGTATACACGAAAAGCAGGAATCCACCGACGGATAGATGGGAAAACAGGGAATTGCGTAATTCATCTGCAATGGTCTAATCTGACGTCCTCAACCAAACGGGAATATGTATTCATCAACCAACACACTGTGCCGCTGTACAGTGAGGTATTATTTGTTCATCAAGGAATCGTATATATGTTGTATTATTTTGCGAAAGGCCCTCAAACACGGATTGCAACCAACTTGCCGACATTGGTGGTCACATATAGGGTAGTTGCATCGAGAGGGGTACGGCCCCATGCTGCTGCCGTGCTACCCTGGATTGCATCCGCTGCAGAGTAGAGGCATTGGGCACCAGAAGGGGTGACCTTGGTTATCTTGTTCGAACCGGCAACGTATGCGTTTCCTTCTATGTCGAATATGAAATCGTCCGAGGCAACAGTCAAATTGGCCACTACGTGGACCGGTGCAGAGTATCCCTCAGCAGCGCGTTTGGAAACTTTGAGAAGAACCTTCTCACTCGTATTATCGAAGTAGATATCGCCACCAAACACATGCACGCCATTAATCCCCAGATTCAAGGTCGAGTTGGGGCCAGAGATCGGAACCGGGTCATGTATGACTTTTTTATAGGACCCAGTCCGTGTATTTAGGGACCAGAGTACATTCAGTAGAGAGTCCGCGATGAGGACCGTTCCGCGCACTCGATCCAATGCTCCGATTCCATTGAGAAGTTTCGCTTCCGGGATAGGCGTGATGAGGGAGACATGCGGGTGATCGCCGTGCATTTCGACTCGCCAGACCTCGTTGGAGCCAAAGGTCAAGGGGGACAGGGACAAGTCGCTAACTACGACAGCGAATACATCTGGCTCCAGCTCCGCAATCCCTGTCAAGGCAGTTTCGTTTGACCATTGATGGACGATAACCGGGTCGGATATATGGAAAGGGTCGACTTGCCAGAGCTTTGCACCGTTCTCGAGAGTCGTCACCAGAATCTTGCCGTTGGATCTTACGGCAATATTCTCGGCCCAGGTATGGTTAGGAAACGTATGCACCGTTGTCGCGTTTGTAGGAAAACAAAGGGATTTGGTACTGGCGCTGCTGACGAGCGTTCCGAGACAGAGGATGCCTGCATAGAGGTAAGTCTTTAATGTCATCGTCGGACTGATAAATAATAATATACAAACAAACAGCTAAAGCGACTGTAATTAATACGCCACAGAAAACTGACAGGGTTGATCATCTCCAACGACATCCTGCGACTTATATAGGGGCCCAGGATCTTACGCTCACGAAGCCTCACAGGGGGCCCTTATTGGGGCTGAGTGGACATTCCTGAGGAATTAATTTAGATCGCGCACCCAAAAAGGGTCTCTAGAGTGGAGAATCGATTGTCGAAAACGCCGCTAAATAGAGATTATTGAAGTTATTCAGTAGTTATGATTTGAAATTATACAGAACATTGTCATGAACCTATGGAGAACCTAGCGGCATTAGCCAGGGATGTTCGGATGATCGATCGTCTTAAGGCTCCATGTCAGTCTATGATCGGCCACGCTGTCGATCATCCATTCCGGTTTTCCGGGTCAGTGAGCAATTATTAGTTTCAGTAGTCTAGGTCCTAGTTAGCTTCTCGGTTGACGACCATTTTATTTCCAGCGCTCAGGCCCAAGTTGAGCTGCAGCGAAGCTTTACTGTACCACGTCAAAAGTTCTCGGCGCGCCGCTTCCCGCATCTATATGGTTTCAAGTTGAATATGTACTATTCAACACCTAGAGGTGCTAGGGCTGTAGGATTTTGATATGGCATGCTCAAATCCTGTTTCTTGAATTACATAGGGAGAAATAGCATCTATCATCTAATAAGTATACCGTTCCTTTGCCAGCAAAACTGCATTTATCCTCAATTGTATCGACTTAAGCAACCCATTGAAGTATTCTTGACCTATATCGTCCCACGGCTATTGAACAAGCTGTTTAAACCATTCTAAGCTCTTGAGTTCAAATCTACTGAATATGACGGCTATGACATGACTGGAATCCCATCATCTCCAAACCATGCCTTAACTTTCCGAGCTAAATAAATTGGGGTAATATCCCACCTGAATTCCGAGCCCGGTTCCTATATAGAATAAAGATATCTTCCCAGCTTTTTAGATAGGAGTCTGAAAAGTACCGTGTACGCTTAGACTTATGATCTTAGTCCATATATGTTATATCTGAATACCTATCGCCCCAGATCGCTGCTCATGTCCAATTCCTATGCTTGTAGGCCTCATAACGCAATTTGGCATACTGTCCACTTGTGTGCTGAGCTTTAACATCACTGAATCAAGAAGACCGACGTCGAAAACATTTTCTTGCCTCGGCCAGCTGAAATAGAGCGTTTCTCATGGCCTCCGCCCGAAGCCGACGCATCCTTGCCAGATGCGAAATCATCTGGGGCAAAGGCGACTATGACATCGACCTTGAAACCGACGACTGGTCAACGTCCTGGGCAGTTGTCAAGCAGGACTTTGGCGATGAGTTTGGACCGCCTTTGACCATGACTGCGCCGCGTGGCTCCGAGAATGGGGCAATGAGAGAGTTGGCAACTTGGACCGGATGCTAGGCATATGGGCGCAGCAAGTACAGAGCGGACACCCAATGACAGATGCTCAGAGCCTGGAGATCTTTTGTGGACCTCGCAGAGACAACGAATGGACCTTGAAGCAGTTTATTGCTAAGCTGAACGAAAAAGAGAAGGACAATGAGGCGTCACAGGCCTGAGACAGAAGTTTCCCTCTTCCTCTCTGCCGCTCCTAAAGAGATAAGAAGTTGCAACGCGTTAGATTCGAACATGCAGACAAAGCATTCATTACTCCTCATTTTGCAAGGTGTCCATTCACGTCTCAAATCGAATGTCTAATAGAGCGACGACATTATATCTCTTGCAATCCACGTCCCCATGGTGGATCGGTAGCATATCAAAGAGGATGTTCTGGATATTTTGTTATACTTCAGGCAGCGGCATAGTACAGGGTAACATCCCGAGAATACGTTCAATTCCCAATTTTGCTTTCGTGCATCATGATTCGAGATTTATCCTCGTGGAACAGCACTGCCGACACCTAGAGTGATATACCAGAGAAGAAGTAGCCAGAAACTACGTAGTTCATACAATGGGAACTGCAGTCTGGATCTTACTATACAATCTAATTTCCTTGCCCGGTTATATCTTTCCTGATAGCAGAGATATCCGCCAAGTACAGAAACGATAGCATTTGGTTATGGACAGCTGGATTTCCTTGCTATAGTGAATGATCACGAGATCCCAAAGTCCTCGGATCTCAAGTATCAATTTTTAATTTTATGACGGAAAACCCGTGTCTCGTAGGAATGGAGGTCGTCCGTACTGTTTAGGATTATTAAGTGGACCCGGCCTGGCATCGTATATGGCTCCAGTCTGTTGTTGATATATCACTATGATCTGCATTTAACCGACTCTGTTTATCTAGTTCTTCTAGAATGGACCCTTTAGTTCCGGAAGCGACTTTTTAATCGTCAGGTCGCATGTAATGGAGAGTCCTAGACGTGATCCCGCAAGCTCTCGTGAGACCTCACAACTATACACATAGCAAAGAGTCAACAAATAGACAACACCACCACCATCGCGATAGTAATAAACGAACTAAAAGGAAAGAGCAAAATAAAAATAAAAATAAAAATAAGTACCACAAAAAAGCTCACACCCGCGAGCACTCATCCACAGGACGAGAGATGGAGGGTGTTACGAAAACCCCGCCTATGCTTTTGGCGGGCAGGGTTTTTCTTCGAAAATCCAAGGAGCCTCTCCAAGGTTCGAACAGGGAGCCTCCAGCTAGATGGGGTGGACTAGCTTTGTACCACTGCGCCATCTGGACTCCCTGACTGATGAATGAGCCTTTGTTGTGGTATATATGTGGGGGTGGATGAATGGGATTCTTTGTTCTGACGTGGGTCTGGTTGGATACGGCTTTGTATGTAATATGGAATGACCGGATTATTAGCTTTCGAGAGCCGGATTCACTTGTCTAGTATGATTATCCTCTAGTCCCTGATACCTATATATGTGGTGCTCCTAGGCACAGGACCGAGTAAGTAGCTTATAGAGTCGGACAACGTTTCTGGCATGTGAGGTCTGGTATATCCATCTGCTCACATAGAAGCTCTGCCCATGTATCAAATTCTGGCTTGGCAAGCTTGCATATATAGCTGATGAAAAAAGGAACTCGGCTTTGACTCACCCGTGAATCATCGGAGAGTGATAACTTACCATCAGGGCCGGATGCAACGTTAACTTATGCTCGATATCTACTATAGATATTAATATCCATTAGGCTTGACAAGAGGCTAATATGTTCGTTCTATGAAAATGGGACTGGTAGAAATGGAGGTCTCAGACTAGGGAAATCTTGCCCCAGAGATATCAGATGAGACGACACGAGTCCAAGAAAATCAAGGTCTAAAGGTAGAAGCAGGATAACGCTCTAACGAACAGAATGGCCCATCGGGCAATTATGCTCCGAACCGCATTCGGGGAGAGATAAAAGAAAACTCATCACCTTCGTCACCTTGTCCTTCACGCCCTAGACTCAACAGTTCAAACCATCACCCGGGCAATTTCTTTCCCAGCTTATCTTCGACAGCCCTTCTCAGATCTTCTCCTGTCGGCATTGTAACAACGCTTCCCCTCCTATTTCTGGCTTCTATTTCAGACCTGATTTCCTGCACAGCTTCGTCAATGTCACGAGCCGGATCATTTGGTAGTCCGAGGGTTGGCGCTCGAAGCGTCTCCTGGCTTGCAGTCCTCGGAATATGAGGCATGTTGCGCTTCTTCAATCGTTTCACCAGGATGGCTTTTGCTGGGCTTGCAAAGAAACCAATGATCGAGAAAACGCCGATGATGCCGTAGAAATACACATGCGCCCAGACCCCAACAGATCCAGTGAAAGAGAGAATAATGAATGGGAGAACGACGAATGACATTGTGAGCTGCGTTGCAAACCAGGTCGCTGCATCGTAATAGCGCTTGTAAGGTGTCGGCTTGCTACCATCTGGAGTGAGGAAGAATGGCCGAACGTGACGACGGACATCTAGGGGACGGTGAGCAGGTCTACTTGACTAGTAAGAAGGTTTGCGAACTTACTCTTTGCCGCCATCTGCACAAACGAAGCGAGAATGAATGTCAGATAGTATCCGGGATAGAAACCATGCCAGAAAGCGCTAGTCGCAAAGGTCGCTAAGCTGGCTCTGAAGCCGGGCTTCTTTCCTTTGGGAGTCACTCGTAGATAGACGTAGTTTTTTAACCAGTGGTTTGTATTCTTGTTCCAGTTTCCGAGATAGGCGTATGTGTTTTGAGCCGTTTCAATGCCCCAGGGATTGACATTTTCTAGGCGATTCCAAAACACCTTTCCTGTCGTAGCGTCGAACCCATTATATCCCATACCAGATAGGATGCAGGCACCCTCCGTGAGTGACCAGACACCATAGTACTTCAGTCTCGTCGCGAAACCAAGCATATGCAGGATCCAAACACGTCGAGGGAAGGAGTACTTCATGTACTCTTCGCTTAGCACTGCATTTGGGAAGTAGAGTCTCCCGAGCTGCAAGAAGAGAAAGATCCACACAAGACCAATAAGTGCCTTCTTCGTTGCAGGAGTTCCACTTCGCGGTATCTTGCGCTTCTTTCGCGTAAGAGGTACCTTGGCAGGGTCTGTTCCCGGCGGTACATCAAACAAGGTTGTGGTGATCCACCGATGATAATCCACGTAGTCAAAAGCCGGGCCTGCGAAGAGGGAAGGGAAGAAGAGGATGTAACCGGCATAGTCGAGGAACCCTGGAAATTCTCTAATAGCAGCATATTTCTGTGCATCCGACAGGTCCTTCTGTGGCAACCGGCCGTCATGAATATTCCAGCAGAACGCTGAAAGCTTCATAACCAGCACCATTTGTGCACCAGTAATATCGACAACAGAAGCATCATTTAGATTCTGGCGAGTTATATGGTTCAATGACATGTGGCCCATAAGAAAAATAAAGCCAATCCAAGGCATCAGAGAACCATCAATGTAATACGCGATGGCGTATGTTCCCACCGCACTATATAGCAGCGTTCGTAGGCCATCCCACAGGTCGAACAACCCCACTAGGTAGAACAGAGAGACAGAAATAATGAAGACATTTTTCTTCCATGGTTGTGCATCTGGTAGTCTCTTGAGAATGCCGGCCAAAGGGTAGGATAGGAGGAACGATGCGATCAGTTTCACTACACAAAAAATCGGTCAGACTGGTTATTTTCGTACGCGACACATAGTGGCTCCGACTTACATTCATCGACGGAGGCGCCTGTCAACTCCTCAAGGTAGTAGAAAGCTAAATTAGAGATAATTAGTAATTGCTGGAGCTCGCATAATCGTCGTTCAAAAGCTGCTCAAGAGGGGTGAGACGCACGAGTATCGATGAAAGGCAACATGGTGGGACGGCAGCGCCAGTAAAAGCGTGCTTTGTCAGGATCGCAATTAAGAAAGGACAGGCATGCAGCAATGACACGATAAGAGAGGGGAGATTGATCTAGAGACAAGGACAATTGACTGTTGGGAAAAGCTGCGAGGACGATAAATAATAATATAGACGTCGATCAAGCGGCCGGCCAGCAGCAGGAAACGTCATGTGCCGCCGCCGCTCCACGCGATACGGTGTCCGTTGAGCGATCGCTGTCCCGCCCATTCAACCCTACGAATCGGCCTCCACGAGATCATACTAGCCTCTGTTTCCCTCACGAAGCTGCAGAAGTGGTATTCGAAAGCTGCGCAGAGGTCTGGTCTGCGCGGTGACCGAGTCTCTGCCCTTCAGGGCCACCTGGCGCATCATCAGGCTACCCAACATGGACGTTGTCGCAGCCGTCGCCGGCTACATCTCCCGGATGGTGTCTGCTGGAGATGCAGCTGTGCCAGGGACGTCTTCTGCGAAAATGAAGATATTGCTTCTTGACAGTGAGACAGTGGGAAATGCGCTCTACTCGTGGTTGTGGTTCCAACTGACTTGCTCCAGCTTCCCGTCGTCTCTACCGCTATAACCCAGTCGGCCCTCCTTAACCATGAAGTCTATCTCATTGATCGTCTCGATAATCAAACCCGCGAAAAGATGCGGCATTTACGATGTCTCTGCTTCGTGCGCCCGTCACCAGACTCCATCCAGTTCCTCATCGACGAGCTCAGGGAGCCGAAATACGGCGAGTACTATATTTATTTCAGCAACATCATCAAGAAATCGTCTCTTGAGAGATTGGCGGAGGCAGATGATCACGAGGTCGTGCGCGTGGTCCAGGAACACTTCGCCGACTTTCTCGTGATTAACCCGGACCTTTGCTCGCTAAATGTCGGTTTCCCGAAGCAGCGTATATGGAGCCATACTCCTGAACTGTGGAATACAGATGCGCTGCAGAGGACGACTGAAGGTGTCATTGCCATGCTTCTGGCGCTTAAGAAGAACCCACTGATTCGATACGAAAAGAATAGTCTGTTGGCTAAAAAGCTGGCCACGGAAGTCCGGTACCAGCTAACCCAAGAGGAACAACTATTCAACTTCAGAAAGATGGATACTCCCCCTATATTGTTGATTTTGGATCGCCGAGACGATCCTATCACCCCTCTGCTCACCCAGTGGACCTACCAAGCTATGGTTCATGAATTGATTGGGATCCACAATGGAAGAGTCGACCTTAGCGGTGTACCCGACATTCGCCCGGAGCTCAAAGAGATAGTGCTATCGCAGGATCAGGATCCGTTCTTCAAGAAGAATATGTACCAGAATTTTGGTGACCTTGGTGGAAACATCAAGGAATACGTCGAACAGTATCAGTCTAAGACCAAGAGCAGCATGAGTATCGAGTCTATCGCAGACATGAAACGCTTCGTGGAGGATTATCCTGAATTTCGAAAACTGTCCGGAAATGTCAGCAAGCATGTTACTCTCGTCAGTGAACTAAGTCGGAGAGTCGGTGAAGACAATCTGCTTGATGTCAGTGAGTTGGAGCAAAGCCTGGCATGTAATGAAAACCATGCAAGTGATCTCAAGGTAGGCAGTGTTCAGCCCGCACTATCATAAGGTATATATTACTTACATAGACTAGTCTCTACAAAGAATAATCCAGCTACCTACAGTACCGCCCGAGAATAAGGTTCGCTTGGTCGCTCTATACGCCATTCGCTACGAAAAGCAACCCTCTAATGCGCTACCTGTTCTCCTCGACCTGCTCACTGCCGCCGGGAATGTACCTCCTCACCAAATAAACATCATTCCCAAGCTGCTGGCTTACCATCACTCGCTTCAGGCACCCCCTGTTGCTGGCGGGTTTTCAGATCTCTTTGAGTCTACATCGTTCTTCTCAGGTGCCCGGGACCGGTTCAAGGGTTTGAAGGGCGTTGAGAATGTTTACACCCAACATTCGCCGCGATTGGAGGCTACTTTGCAAAACCTCATCAAGGGGCGATTGAAAGAGCTGCAATACCCGTTCCTGGAAGGCGGTGGTCACACCAGGGACAAGCCGCAAGACATTATTATCTTCATGATTGGCGGCGCAACATACGAGGAGGCCAAGATGGTTGCTCAAGTAAATGCAAGCTCTCCTGGTGTTCGTGTGGTCTTAGGTGCCACTAGTATCCATAATAGCACAAGCTTTATGGACGAGGTCAACGATGCAGTCAGTAGCTGGCCAGAGCCTCCTGCTTCCACAGCCGCTGGTAGGCTGCGGAGGGAGCTTGCGCGTTGACCAGGGATACCTAGCTCTTTTGGCGCTGGCGTTCATGTATTAGCATAATATCCCCAATGTCGTTCCAAGGTAGAATACTCCATAAGAGACAAAATTAGTGAGAAATGCGACAAAAATAATGTACGCCATATATCCATCCGGACTCAGTAGCTGCCAGCAGCATGTATTTTGATTCCGTATAGTATTACTGAAGGTTCTCGGCTTTTACGGGCACTACTTAAATGACGGCAAACCCCAGATTCGGATGCGGAGAACTTTGGACAACCTCCGGACTTCGGACCGCTTCCCCTCGAGCTGTCCCTCACCAACAGCTCGGAGATCAACACAATGGAGTCTCAGTATACTCCTCCCATAATAGGAAATGTTCTTTCACCTACGTCTGCAGCTCGAGAACCAAAGTTGCATCTACCTGCGACATCCGATCCCCCGGGCCCGCAGAATCCCCCGAAGCAGCTCGTATGGCTGGTATGGCGGCATCGAAGCAGATTTCTCCCTATACCCAAAAGCTTCTCTAACATGGAGGATTGATTACAGATATTCGGTGCGACAGGCCACATGGGGCGCTCTCTCGTCAAATCCGCGCTCTTTCATAACGATCTCGTCGCAGCTGTGGGACGCACCTTCGAGAACACCCCTGCGTCCATGCAGAAGCTGCAAGCTGAGCACGAGAATTGCCTGGGACTTTTATGTGATGTTCGCGCGCGCGAGACGGTTAGGGATGCAATAAATAGGACAATCGCCCACTTTGGCCGTATTGACATCATTGCCAACTGCGCCGGGTACGGTGTAATTGGGGCCTGTGAAGACCAAGACGAATACGATATCCGCAATCAATTCGAGACGAACTTCATGGGTACACTGAATGTGATTCAGCTTTCACTACCATACTTTCGCGAGCGAGGTTCTGGACGGTATCTTATCTTCAGCTCGACGTCGGGGGCTCTTGGCGTACCTGGCTTGGGGCCTTATTGTGCGTCCAAGTACGCCGTAGAAGGGCTTATGGAAAGTATGTTATACGAAGTCGACAGCTTCAATATAAAGGGCACACTTGTCGAGCCAGGTCATATGCGGCGTGATGATATTGGTCCAGTGCCACCCTCGACGGCACACATGAACGAACACAACCTCTCAGCGCCTCTGCCACTGTATGGCCACTTCTTCATCAAGCCTGCCAGTGAGCCGTACAGCACCGCAAATGCTCCGGCAGGACATGCAAAGCGAATGATTCAATGGTTTGGCGAAAAGCAGCCAACAAGCGCGGTCAAGGCTGCAGAATTGGTTTGGCAACTTGGGCATTGTTCATATCCGCCCCTACGCCTAATATTGGGAGCCTATGCCGTGGAGAGTATTCGCGACCGGTTGAAATGTATCATCGAGGAAATCGAAGACTGGAAGCACCTCAGCTTTCCTCTGTCAGATGAGCAGTCCCAGTCTAACTCCAAGGATAAGGGTACGGCGAACAAGGGAGAGCTCGAAGAGACAACGTCTGGCGGTTGATGGGTACTCTTTATAGATAATGTCTTATCAATCGACTGTCAAGTCCTATGTGCTCGATCAATTACTCGGGCCATGGATGATGCTGCTGTACCTCGAGGGGAACCTCCAGGTAACTTAGTCCAGTCGATGGCATAACCGCCGCCAACGTCATCCTCAGATACCGGGCCGCTGTGGCTGCATTGTTGGTTACTCGAACGTCTGTAACCGAGCCCCTTTTATATCCAAGCTTTTCGGATAAGCTATGTCAATAGTGCTTCCTTCCATGGTATTTTACGTCACCTACCGTGGGATAGACGTGGGCCTTCCTGCCCTCTCGCAAGCAGAACACGACACGCTAGGGCGTCTGCAGCCATAAGACGGAGACTCATGGATAACATGGAGTTACAGATTGTCTGGTAAATATGTGAATAGCAGTGTCCAACCACGGCAGGAATATGGGATAAACAGACGCCTGTTTTTCTCGGCGCTGCTGGTATACCTTGTGCGGTATCTCCTACCCACAGTGACTCGAAGGGAGTATACTGGTCAGCAGTTGTCAGACAGTGCAAGTGCAACATTTAATCCAGCCCCACCACCCAATGCGATTAAAGTTCTCATTTGACCTTCAGGATGGTGACTGTGTAGACTAGTTATGGTTACTTGCACATAGAGCTAGCATTATGGTCAATAGACGTCGTGAATGAGAATTTACGGAATTGGATATCACATTAGTACTGTTCTTCATTGACAATATCTGGAGAAAATTCCTTGAACGACAAGTAGGATTAGGGATCAATAGAGTCCTGTCTTTAGTAGTTTTTGTAGTTCTGCATCTTGAAGTAGTAATACTAGAAGCCATCCATGGATGTTATCTGCCTGATAAGCTAAACCAAAAGAAGCAAAATATACACGTGACAGCGCGATCCGGATGTTTCGCGTCTTGACCTTTTGATTGCCAATGAGAACGCTGTTTCTCTCATCGATAACTCTGGGATAATTCTGGCCCAGAGCAGTCCTATAAACCCTCCGGTATCTCTGGTTGTCGAAGAGTCGCGAGCATGGCTTAATTGTACCGATACAGCCTTGTTTCCCCGGCACAGGTGAGCTATTCCAATACGGGCTTCACTCCGTTCATAAGTGGGCGATCTATATCCAATTAGACCATCACTTGAACGTCGTCTTTCCTGTGGTACGTTTCTGATGACGACTCTGTTATTCCACGTCGGCTCACGTCCGTTTTTCAGAAACTGACGCTTAACATTAAAGATATTCCGTACATCAGCTCGCCGGATTTGGAATACATAACCGTGCTTACGGTCGTCACAACAAGAAGATGGAGTCTGAGGACCTCACCGATCCTGACCTTAGGGCAGCTATTGCTGCTTCATTGCGTGACTTGCGAAGCTCGCCTAGCAACCCTGCCTCATCTTCTCGGGGCCAGGGAGATGTTGTTGACCTTACGGCCGATTCGGATGATGATGATGATGAGCTGACTGCCGTTGCCCCGAAGTCGAAATCCACTGTTGGATCAGAGACTGACCATGAAGAGGACGAGGAACTCATGAGAGCAATTGCATTATCTATGCAAGAGAGCGGCGAAGCTGCTTCTTCATCCCTCAAACAAGACAAAAGTGAGAACCCGCAAAATAAGGAAAATGACAATCCCTCAGCAGCTTCAGCAGTCGCAGATGAGGCCCGTCAGTCAGAACCGGGTCCTAAACCATCAGGAATTATGGGACTAGATCGTAAGCAAATGGAACAGGAACGACTTTCTCGACTTGCCAAAAGAAAAGCCGAAGGGAGCATCTCCCCACCTCAAACATCTAGACAAAACAAGGTGGCCAAGTCAGATACTAATCGATGGGCTCTTCAGTCGGCAGCAGCTAGAGAGAACGTTCCAGTCACTAGTCAAAGGCCGCAACACGCACAATCTGGCCAGATGAAGCAAACAGATAACATAGTCACCCAGCCTTCGTCTGCACCATCAATACAATTTCCCAAGGGCGTTGCGAAGAAAACCTGGGCTTTTGGACACTCTAGAGATGGCAACGATATCAAGATCGAAGAATTGTTTCAGAAATCAGACCTGGAGCTCGCCGTTCTCAGCTCTTTCATGTGGGATATGGAATGGCTATTTTCAAAGCTTGATACGACGAACACACGATTCATCCTGGTTATGCAGGCCAAGGAAGAAGAGACGGTGAGTTCATCTACGTTAGAAGCTCGAGGACTGTTCTAGGGCCTCTCAGAACTGATCATCCATTGCCGTTCAGAGACGCCAGTATGAAGCTGAGATTTCATATATGAAGAACTTGAGATTATGCTTTCCACCAATGGAAGGACAGGTCAATTGTATGCATTCTAAGCTCATGCTACTATTCCACCCGGATTATTTAAGAATCGCTGTGCCAAGCGCCAACCTAGTGCCTTACGATTGGGGAGAAGGTGGAGGAGTCATGGAGAATGTAGGCCTAAACATACTAGTGTTGTCGGGTCATTGGCTTACTCAATATAGAGCGTATTCCTGATTGATCTTCCCAAAAAGACGGACCAGTCTTCAACACGAACCCAAGAGACTTCATTCTACCAGGATCTTGTGTATTTTCTATCGGCTACCACGCTTCATGCAAACGTTATCCGCAAACTAGAGGCCTTTGACTTTAGTGAGACGGCATCCTATGCATTTGTTCATACCATGTATGTACATCCCCCTCTATCGGAGTCTCAGGAGGTGAATGGGCTGACTGGTAAACAGCGGAGGTTCCCACGCAGGCGCAACATGGAGGCGAACAGGTCTCTGTGGACTAGGTAGAGCCGTTAGCTCCTTGGGTCTGCGGACTTCAAAGCCACTCAACATCGATTTTGTGGTAGGTTCTATCCCCGGGCGTCGTCATACTGTGACTAAACATATCCGGAAAAGACATCATCCGTGGGCTCACTTACGGACCAATTTCTGAGGTCCATATATCTGGCATGTCAAGGTAAAGTTTGACTCGTGGCGATGATTAGGCAGTATTCTAACGACATAGCATAGGTGATGACGGTCTCACAGAATTCACACTGCGAAACTCGAAGACGTTTCCCGCAAAGAACCGGGGTGATCTAAACACTCTGATCGAGAAGACTACTGGTCAGGAATGGAAAGACAGATTCAAGGTGTACTTTCCATCAGATACCACCGTTCGACAGTCAAAAGGCGGGCCAAGATGCGCAGGCACCATCTGCTTTCAGTCGAAGTGGTTTCAAGATCCTAAGTTTCCTCGACATACCCTCCGAGATTGTGTCAGCCGCAGGAACGGACTATTGATGCATAATAAGGTACGCAGGTCCTGTAATTGCTCTTGAGTAACCAAAAGACAAGCTGTTAACATAAATCTCCAATAGATGATCTTCGCTAGACCAGAAGAGCCAATCAGTCTAGCAGATGGTTCAACTTGTCAGGCTTGGGCATATTTGGGGAGTGCAAATCTCTCCGAAAGCGCCTGGTAAGATTTCTTTCATAAGAAAGTACACACTTGCACCACATACTAACGAGCAACACGACTAGGGGCCGTCTCATCCAAGACCGTACAACAAAAGAGCCGAAGCTCAACTGCCGAAACTGGGAGTGTGGCGTTGTGATTCCCATAATCCAACCAGGAATAAACACCGAAGCATCTACAAGCCTTGGTGGAACTGTGTCTGACAATAAATCGTCGGAGCAGCCTAAAAATGAGACAGAATCAGACTTTGCTCCGCTCTTCGCGTCGAAAATCCCCGTGCCTATGAAACTTCCTGGTCGACCCTATGGACCTGGAATGAAGCCATGGTATTTCATGGAAAGTTAATGACACTACGGCGTTTATTTGAAATCACATATTTCGCTCTGCTCGATCGACACATCGGGTCCGGTATCAATTAGTCCGTTAGTTAGCTAGACGACTCAAACCATAGTTACCCCTTGATACTTGACAGTGTCGTACCATATTCCACATAGCATCCAACATTGACCACTCTTCGTAGATCCCGTCTTGACCACCACGAACGAGACTAATAGCATATGACTATAAAACCAATATCCAGAGAACCAATCCGGATTAGAAAACAATCCCTCACATCATCCATGCACCGACTGCTCCTGATATAATTACATACTTATCCACCCCCTAAAGTTTTAGTATCTACCGAAAACCCAACAGACAAACAACATGACTCCGTAATCAACACATAACTCGAAACGTCTAGTCCCTCACTCTGCGCGGCAACTCGCTCAGAAATCCTGAAAATTAACTATATCGTAGAAAGAAACCTAGATAATCCGAGATCCAGATCGAGATCTAGTTCCTTGCCGTATGGTTAATAGATGGCGGGAAGTTTGAGCTGTGACGAACGGACGAGAAAGTTCAGACGATGTATAACATAGGTTTCCGGGTGGTTCTTGATGAAGGAGTTTCAGTTGATGTTGAAGCGGCTCTAGGGCTTACGGAGCGGATATTATTATTTCAGCGTTGAGGACTTTGAAAGCTGATTCAGGCAGGAGTCGGTTTGAGATATTTAAAAATTGATGAACATTCCTGTGATATGTTCAATATCTGACCGAGTTTTTACAATCGGAAAAGGGTATTTTATTTGTTGCAAATTCTATCTTAATTGTCTATTCTAATTAAAAACTAACACTACGATTAAGAAGGCGAAATCAAGACGCAACGGAAATAATCAAGGGCAAATAAAATAAGAAAGGCCATTGCCAATCCGTCGTTGAAGAAACGCCATATGAATGCAGAAATTGCGTGAATTCCATGCTTAATAAAAACGCCATATGTGCTAGAAGCATCTAATCATATCGCATTGCAGGCCGTGCAACGTGATCATGCTGATGGAGATGGAAAATTCCAGCACAACGAGTAATATAGCTCGCCAAATGGAAAAGTAAAACCGTTAAGTAGAATGTTAAAGATCTTGGCGCATGTTCAGATCAGACCTTCTCAGATCGATCTGACTTCCTGGTGGTAATTTTGGACACGGCTTTCTTGAGGCCATCGATCACCTTGCCAAGGAGGCCGAAGATGTAGCCAATACCGAACGACCAGCCGCGGACACGCACGGTATAAATGAAGAAGTACACCAGGATCCAGTTGATGATGCAGTAGCCGAGGACGATGCCGAAGCAGCGCCACTTGTCGCCGTCGTGGACATTCAGGGTGTGCATGTACTCGTCACCGTTGCGATAGGCACAGTAGCTGCAGTCAGAAGTGGCGTCCGGGTTGCTGAGATAGCCGGCACGGGCGATCTCAGATACGAAGCGACCGGCATATTGACTGCAGGTCTGGCCTGGAGGTGGGTTGAAGTGAGTGGCTTCCTGAGACGAGCAGACGACTGGGGTGCCTGGCAAAATACTGGACAGGACACCACGGAGCCACCACGTCATTGGATTGACGTAGTACATCCAGTACTTCCAGAATACTGGGTACGCGCTGTAGGGACGGACAATACCGTTGAAGAGGTTGACCATGACGAAGAAGAAGGGGAGGACCTAGTGATATTGTTAGTATATTTCAGACGCGAAATTACATGCAAGGATCACGGGATCGACTTACGTTAGAAATGACAGTAAAGGATGGTGCGAAGGCACAGATCCACTGTCCCCAACTTGCTTGGAACAGGAAGAAAAGCATCGTCATCAGGAAAACGTAACCGGCTGTGCTTGAGTCTGTTGGGAGACCGACTGGGTAGTACCACAGCAACCAGTACACTACACTTGTGACGATGGCGGCTGGAATTTCGCAGACAATGTTTGCAGTACAGAACGCGATCCATCCGTAGATACGGGACGGATATTCACGAGCCTCCCAGAGCGCACGGTTCATATAGAACTTGGGGACGATACTGTTCATGGTAATCGGTGGGATCAGAATGACCAGGAAGGCCGAGAACATGCGATCCTGCATGCTGGAGATGCTGTTTCCGAGCATCCAGAAGGTAAATCCGTTGAAGATACCAACGATCACACTAACGAAGAGCTTTCCATAGTAATACGAGGGGTCTCTCCAGTACTGCAAGAAGAGTCTCTTGGTAAGCATGACAGTTTGCGTGGTGACAGGAGCAGCGTATTCGTATTGCTTGCCAGCCTCGGGCGCAGGAAGCTTGCTGCGCTCCTCTCGGATACGTTGGATCTCCGCCAGGACTTGACGGTTCTGCTCGGAGTTTCTCCATTCCTCGTTCCAGTCGACTGGTCGGCCATCTTTTCCCTTGCCTCCCTTTGCTGCAGTCTCAAGGATAAACTCGGCAACGTTCTTGGACGGCGGACAGACAAAGCCGCGTTCCGCAAAGTAGCTGATGACCGCTGAGCCATTCTTACCAACGGGGCCGAAGTAGAACGTGTTACCACCTGGGTTGAGAGCGAGGACCATGTCGAACTCTTGAATGAGCATCGAAGACGGCTGGTGGATGGTACACACGATAGCTTGGCCCGCTTGAGTCAACTTCTTCAAGAACCGCACGATCGAGAAAGCCGCTTGACTATCCAGACCACTAGTAGGCTCGTCGAGGAACAAGAGAAGATTTGGCTTAGCGGCCAGTTCAACTCCGATTGTGACTCTCTTTTTCTGTTCGACCCCGAGAGAGCTGATTAGGGCATCTTGGATGTCCCCAAGCTCCAAGAGCTCAATGATCCTGTTCACGTAATCGATCTTCTCCTGGCGTGGGATATTTCTGTCTTGTCGCAGGATGGCAGAAAACTCCAGAGCTTCCCGGATCGTAGAAGTGCCATCATGAAGATCCATCTGCTCACAGAAACCGGTTCCTCTCTGGAATTCCGGACCCAGGGGACGACCGTCAACGAGCATATCACCGGTTACCACTCCCACTTTCTGGCGTTGGGCAAGAGTGTTCAAGAGCGTTGTCTTTCCTGCTCCCGAGGCACCCATCAGAGCGATCATAATACCCGGCTTAGCGTAACCGTTAACGCCGTTCAGAATCTTCTTGGTTCCGTTTCCATACGGCACGGTGTACTCAACGTTGCTCCACGTGAAGATGCGATCACTAGAAGTAAGACTGTTGAGACCATTGTCGCCAGAAGAGGGTGAAGCATCGCGGGTGGAAGCTCCAACCTCTCCAGTTTTGACCTTCTCTTCATCACTGGTGCTTCCGTGCTTGGTCAACTGTTTGGCACGCTTCGTCTTCTTGAACACCAATGCTCCACCGCCACCGCTCACAAACGAGAGTGTTTCCGTAGCGATGATAGTGACCAACAGGTACAGAACCGTCCACGCAATCACCACGCCAAAGTTACGCCAGAGATGATGTCTCGTAAATTGGAACGAAGTCTCCAGGTAATTCCTTCCTGAGACGGTCGTGCTACCGAGCTGTGACCCAGGCAGAGAGCAGCCTTGGTAGCGTGGATCGACACCAGGGCCCTGAGGCACGAGCATCGACGGAGAGCATGGCATCTCACGGTTCCAGAATTCATTTGTCAAGACTGCCTCGTAACTGTACGCAATTGGATTGATGTAGAACAGCCAGCCAAACCAGATCGAGTCTGCGATCAACGTTTGTTTCGGAATGACATATCCGATGAAGATGACCAGGAGAGTCAGTGCAATTCCGCTGAAGCGAACCGCATCGTCGATGGTCGGGGACAGAGCTGCGAACATTCGGTACAATGACGTGATACAGAAGGTGGTCGTGTACACGAATAGTGCGTAGATCCAGAATTTTGAGACATCAACATCTAGCCCTGCCATGAAGTACACAATGATCGTAAAGACTGCTACCATTGCGAAGATCATGGGAAAGTCGACCAGGACACGAGCCAATGAGACAGCCGAGGGGCGATAGAAGGCGTAGTCCTTATGTCTCTTGATAATAACTCGTCCTGATACCGCAGACATCAACTCGGTCAATTGCAACCAGCCAAGGAACAAGACCGAGAAGAAGAGTGTACCACCTCGGGAGAAGGCACCGCTGGTGTCGAGGGACTGGCCGTAGAAGAGAGAGCTGACAATCAGCCCGTTGGAAATGATGATGAAGAACTTGGTGTAAAGCGAGGTCTTGTCTCCCCAGATGAGCCAAAATTCTCGCTGTGTACATGCTAGTACTTGTCTGATGAACGAGACGGTGTAAGGCGACTTCTTTGAGACTGTCTTGCTCTTGGACTGGACAACAGTTTGCTCGAAACGTCGAGTATCAGCGCGGTTGGTATCCTGCAGACGTTTCTCATAGTCTGCGATATCTTCCAGGAGACGCGTATACGCAGCGCTCTCCCTGAAGACTTTCTCTAGTTCTTCTGCAGTTTTCGGGGTGGAAGCCTCCCGGCCCGGTTGGAACTGGCGTGCGTTTGGATCGCACAGTGAGGTCAAAAAGTCAGCAGTAGTCCTAGAGATGGGTTAGTAGTCCGTCAATCCCTGTTTCCAGAGCGGGCGTACTCACCATTGGGGCGGGCAGTAGAATCCCAGGTTAACGAAATATTCCTTGGCTTCATTCGCAGGGCCTTGGTAGAGCATTCGTCCTTCATCGATGACCAAGACCTTGTCCATAAGCTCGTAGATACCCTCTCCTGCTTGGTACAAAGTCACGAATGTGGTCCGCTTACTGACATCAGTCATGATACGGAGGGACTTTCCATAGTCCAGTGCGGTGCTCGCATCCAGACCTCTGGTCGAGTTGTCCCAACACACCACGCTGGATTTGGTCGCTAGAGTCTCTGCAATACTGACTCGCTTTCTCTCTCCACCGGAGACACCGCGGACATACTCGTTTCCGACCAAGGTGTTCTTCGTGTGGCTAATACCGAACATCTTCAACAACGCATCCACCACAATCGGGATGCTGGATCTATCATGTCTCTTCGTCTTGTTGATCAGGGAGAATTTCAGAGTTTGCCACACCGTCAGCGACGGAAAATGCTGGTCATCTTCCGGGTTGTAGTTGACTTCTCCACGGAAATGCTTGTGTTGCTCCTTGGCTGGGATGCCACCGTATGTGACCTCTCCAGAGACACCGGCAAAGGCTGCGCGATCATTGGCAATGGCCTTGAGGAAGGTGGTACATCCTGAGCCCGGTCTTCCCAGAACGAACATCATCTCTCCGTCCCTGACGACACCGCTGAAGTCGTGGATCAGCTCCCGCGTGGGCGGTTTCTTCCCGAAATGCAGGGAGGGGATGAACCGCTGCAATAAGTGGTACAGATCCGGGCCAAACGTTCCCACCACTGCGTCAGGTAGAGTCCTGACAAAAGATGCGCCCGATTGCACACCCTTGACGGTCAGGTTCTTGAAGACCACGCCGACCTTCTTCGCTGGATCTCCCACGGTGGTTCGACGCTCCAGCTGGCCGCCTTGCAAGAACTCGCTGAGATCGAATTCCTGGCGGGTCGACGTGGAAGATGCTTCATCGATGGTTCCCTCCTGCTCTTTCAGGTCGCCCTGAGTCTGCGTTCCTGAACGATATCGTCGGACACTTCTCGTTTGGGAACGAGATCGGTGGAGACTCAACCTCGTTAACTCTCTCCTCATCTCTTCAAACTCCTCCATCGCGCCATGGCGGGAGACAGGGTCGCCCTCCTGACGCTCCCCCCAATGTCCATCGAGACTGAGTTGCGATGGAGAAGCAATGGTCGATGCTGCAAGAGACTCCGGCTCTGCTATTGGCTCTGCTACTGCCCGGGGATCTTCTTCTCCAGGTGGCCTCCGGTGGAGTTCCTCTGGGACTCCTGGGAGGGCGGCCATGTTGGTCGAATAATTTCTCCCCGTAGACTACAACAGTCGACGGCGGTCTATCTGGACTCGATGGGCGAGCAGATGATAATTAAGTAGTCCGAATCCAGAGCCGCCTTACCAGTAGTATTTCGGCCGACGTTAAGGCCGGCAGCAAGCTAGGTAAGGGCTCCACCAATGACCCCAGTGAATGGGGAAATCAACACGAAAGGGAAAAAAGAAAGAAAAAGAACAGGCGAATCAAGCGAATCGTAATATGAATCAAACGGACGGAACGAGTCAGGGATACGACTGGAAACACGTGCGAATCGCGTCTTCTTGTCAAGCAACAAACAGCCTGTGTTGGTTACAAAATGCCCGTTTTGTACTGCACCCAACTCGCTCCACGATCGAGGTCAACGATCGCTGAGATGAGGGAGGGGTATGGACGAGTATTACAAGAAGGAGGAAAAGTTATTAATTAATCATTCTTTGTAGGAGGCGAAGGGACATGAATCGTTGACCGCAATTGCACACCCACCATGCCCCCGAGTCAGGCCGTGGAGTTGGTATTGGCAAGAACAAGGGAAACAACCGTTGACTACTGGTTGGTTTGTCAGCTTCAGGGCTGTGATGAGGCCATGGATACGTGCTCACGTCAAGATGCTTGCAAGACCCGCGCAGGTGGTCGAGGTTCCATTAGAGTAGAGTATGTACGCAAGCGGCTGACCTCGAGAAGAAGATGTGGATGGTGATTGGCAAGTTCCATGATGTGCGGATGAAAACTCGACCGGTTCTCGAGCTGTCTAGCTTTGCCCAAATCCGATGTTAACTTAGTGAGTTAATTGAGCTGCTAAACTAAACTGATAGACTTGGAGTCTTTGGAGTCTTTTTGGACCAGCGAAACTAGTCAGATGGGCGGATCCCGATGGAGCCTTCGGAGATAACGCCACGGACCTTAAACGCCGTCTTATCCGCGCTCGTTCATTTTTAATTAATTATTAAAGTACTTTTTATATTATTTCTTTCTCTCTTTTTCTCTGGTGGAAACGGACTTTACTCCGATTTCCATCCGTCGTATCTCTCTTCCAATCACGGAGATTAAAAAGCTAGAGTACAGAAACCAAAAAGGAGGGGCAAAGGAACAAAGGAAGGGAGAGATCTGGACCAGTGAATCATTATTACCAATCTGCAGTCAACTGTGGAACAAGATCTTCTCTCGGCTAAATTCGTCCGGTTTTTAAGCCGAGAACTCTTCACATACTTTGTTATTATTATATTATGATTATTGATATTTAATTTTCTCCACGTTGGCTCCTCCAACCCTCTTGGTCACTTTCCTTTGCTGCTTTAAGCCTGCTTGGTTATTAATTATCAGTTAATCCCTGCATCGTCCTTTCTAGCTACGAAAATCTTGATCAACCACTGAACTACACTACTTCCGCTCCTTCTCGAACGTTCTGCAAAGGGAACTAGCTAGCTGTATCTCTACTGCACGACACACCGCTCATTGGACCAGATGGTGAAACAGATCTGCACTCGTATCTAATCTCAAGGCTCACTAACTAGTAGGTAACGATTATTATGATACCAAATCTATCAGATATATTAATAATTGGTGAGAAGCTGGTGAATACCAAGATATGATCTCTCGTGATCCAACGATGATGCCACTCCATGCGTAATTCGAAGTCAAGTTATAGTTATCCGCTGGTGTTCATCTAATGGCCATCCAAGGATACCACCAGAGTCTCTACCCCTCAGGGCTGGAACATGCGGGGCGGCCCTGTCGGAGACTCGGAGTACGGATAGCAAGCCCTCAGTAGTACAAAATAGTTAGTAATTCCTAGAGTAGATAACTAGGTAGTTAGTTATTCTGGCGATGCGGGGCCTCCCAAACCGCAGCACTGGAGTAATTATTATTATTCTAGAGTGGGATACTTAGAGTCTTAGACTAGCATGCAACCAACGGTCATTCTGCGGCCCCTCGGAGGCTTGAATCATAATTAAGCCAGATTTTAAACCTGTCGCCGTTATCAGTTTCTCCGACTGGATACATTGACTGTTATTTAACTAGCTGATTTCTAATCTGTTAGCAGGCAGCAAGACCTTGGGCGTATTACAGATAGGGCCAATGTTGGTGCTAGTACTTTCTTCACCGCAGTTTCGTGTTCGCCGCAGTCAGCTGCGCCGGATGGCACTGTTGTCTGATAAGTATGGTAGACTGTACTCCGTACGTACCTGCGCTATGTCTCTCTCCCGTGTCGTGACAACCAAGAGGGTGAAATTCAATAACCTGAGAGAACGCGCTCAAGTAATGTCAACAGAACACTGAATCCCAGCAACAGTAATACTTCCTGCGAGTCAAAGCTAAACAGGCACCAGACGAGGTCCTAACTAACTAATTACAAGACCGGTTCGCCTTTTCCGTTACCCATCGATTGCTTTCCCAGAGGTGTATTCCAGAACAGGCATTTTATGAAGCCAAAATATCAACAACCACATGGAGCCGTGGATGCATGTTCTACGAAAACAACATTTTCCAGGAAGACATGGTTTGTAATTTGTATAGTCATACATAAATATCCATTCATTTGTAACTATCTCCTCCTGTACATAAGTCCAGACAGACAGATCCCGCATTTATATCGCATCCTATCCTATAATAGCAACAGCTTTCCAACCTAAAGTTGTTAATAACCAGTTATCCAAACGTGAATGAAAAGAATAACATGCCCTTTGCAACAACCTACCTTTCCCTGATTTGAGATCATCCAAGCTTCTGGTCACCTGATAAATCCTTCGAGATCCTTTTCCACTGGGGATTTTCCGTCTTTATGCAATTGGACGAGATATGGAATTCTCCGGTTAGTGCAAAAAATCAATCATCACAATTAGAAAGTCTGAATGCCCACAAGTAAGTACATACATTTTCTTAGTTAGGATTCGCGTAAACCCTCGACACAACACATTTGCAGGATGTCGAGGATCCAAACGCGCAATAAAACTGACACGGGGAACGCCAATAGATGCGAGGGTACCATCACACCCTGAAGTGTTCAGAAAAATGTCTCCAATAAATAAAATTTCGTTATCTAAAATTTGGTCAACGCCTCCAGGGAAGATCCAGTATTATGCACAGCAGCGCTGACTGGCTCGTGATCTCCGCCATAAGTATCGACGGCAACAACCTTAGTGACACAACACCTGTCGGAGCATGTCGACAAGCAGACCTCCTTTCAGTCTTCTCCCACGCCTTTCTAGCTCCATCTACACAGATAAATAGGCTGAGATAGTTGCTAGACAATTCAAAGCTCAGCGAGCTTAACTTCGCTCCAGAGCACCTATTTCCTTGCAGGAAGCAGCACGAAAAGGCCAACGGCGCCCATCCCTAATGAATATAGCCAGAGTTGAAATTAGTTTCGGACGGAGAATATCGATTACAGTCCGGCAAGTTTGATAGCATAGGATGACTGCGTCTCCTGGCTTTAATTTAACTCCAGATCCGATTGGCGTACACTCCAGCTGCCTCATAACCTAGCACAGCAGGGTATGCACCGGGCATAACCTATGTTGCACGACAATAACAATATCCCACATCGAATCTATCAAGCTCATGCTCTTATGATATAGCAAAGGAAGTCTTGGAAATAATGTATGACATATCTAGAGTACTGTATCTCTACAAGGACCGGTCTCATCTACTACACTTTATCGAGAACAACATCCTATAGTACTATACAACCGGACAATCCTTCTCCCCCACGAGGTATGCCTTACTAGACAGGTCCTTGTTTTCAGAAAGGCTATGCTTTCACTCATGTTGTTCGCTTCGTAGGCAGGAGACAGATGCAGCAACGCCCTCTCACAGTTTACGTAGGCAATCATCACTTAATAATGGGATTAGAGGGAGAATGGTAACCTATGTAATTATCCATTTCCCAGCACCTCCATGTGATGCCCACTTGCGGTTTACAGTTTACAGTTTAAGTACAGTTTGCAGATTTCAACCGCAGACATGAACACGAGATAGATATGAGATGCAAAAAGGCCTGAGCGATAATATAACATAACAGCGGTGAAAGTAACTAGTAATAAATTGATCACATAACGTTGGGCACTTCTTTCCTTAAAATCTATTCTATCGCAGAGACACCATTTGCTATACCACTAAACATGTAGGAGCTCTAAAAAGCACCTAAAAAAACTAACATGGAGCGAGAATGCAAGTCCACAATTCCGAATAAATCCAAGTAGGATCGCTCGCTCCCAGATAAAACAGAGCAAGAAAGAGAAAAGAGAGATTCCTTCCAATAGGAGTTTATTCTAGTGTGATACTTACTCTTGTTGCTAGACGACTGACTACTTAGTATATCAAAAATAGGCTACACACAAAATACCACAGGGTATGTTGCAGCGAGTAACCCAAAAAAACTAAAAAACTAAAAGACCCCAAGAAAAAAAAAAAGCTGCGGAGTGATAAGTGTCTATGGTCATACTTAATACTAAAAAGGTATTTTCAACAGACCGTAAATACCATTAAAGCTCTATTATAATAATTTGAAAGTCGCGTCGCCCCTCGGATATCTAAACACTACGGTTATACTTACCTTTTTTTGTATTTAGCCAGATACCTACCTACCTAACCTACCTTATTACTTCTAAAAATCGCAATAACTGCATCAACAACAGCAGTGCAGCCAGTTATAAACCTAAACCCCAACACAATATCTACACGCTTAAAGTAATGCATAGTAATATAATCCCTCAACGAAAGTCTAATAAACACCGCTCCGACTATCGTAGTAGCTATCTATTTACATACAGTATTAACCAAAACACGCGCATATATAATACATGCTTCTATACGTTCTGCTAGTATACGCTTCTCTATATCTGATTCGATAATAAGGGGTATAATAAATTCTTAGTTCTACTAGTTAGCTATATATAAGTTTATTTCTAAACGATAAATCTCATAAGTTATAATATAACAGTACGAAGACGTGCTTTACAATCTGGCTATTCCTACTATTATTAGCAATTATTCAAGGTAATTAAGCAATTAAATCTTGACTGGAATCCTATTACTAACTAACTAACTAACTAATAGAAACTATATAGAGAAAAATCTCAATATAAGCATTCATTTAAAGCTCTAAACGCAATTCAATATACCAAAGTTAAAACTTAAACTCGAACTAAGTCGTATACCTAGCTATATACTTACTACAAACTATGTATAGGTTAAGTTAGATCTTAACGCGCCTTTGAGCCTTTTTACTTTTAAGTTAAAGAATTAAAATTTTATAATTTAGTTTTGGATAATCTACATATACAAAAAGAGTTTTAAAGTAAAGCATATAACAGTTCTAATTCCCCAGTACTTACTTACCTATCTCCCGCCGGAAAAAAAATCTCAACCTCATTCTCATTATCATTTCCCCTTATCCTCGCCTTTTCTTTCCATTGTCTAGTAAACAAGTAATACTTCTTCAACCCACATAACAAGAAGAATTATACTCATATACATAATAGCCGATCGATTCTCAGATAAACTTTACGATCCATCCATTTTGCTTCCTTGCTTCCTTTAGCAACGCTCCCGCAGCCGGGAACAACCACCTGTATTCCAAGTTTCACGCTGCAAGAATGGGCCTATGCACCGTTTATTGCATGCGCGAGGAATACACGAGGAAATAACTATCGAGGGCGAGGGAGCATGATAGCCGATATATCACTGGACTGGTTCGTCCACTGGGCTTCGCTATGTACTTCCCTTATTACTGCAGAGGTGGCCGCTTCCGGCCACTGCGGGAAGAGCTTCCCCGTCGGGCCGTCGGTACCGAAATCCTCCTCCTGTTAGAGAATGCAACCGCTTGATCTTCAGTGAAACCAGCACCGTCTGTATCATGCTGGCGGGTTGCTGTATCATACTGGTACTTGCTCCATCTACAGAATGAACCGCTATATTCGACGCTGTGCACACGCGTAATCGCGATAACCTTTTGAGTTCTTAAGAACCCCATTGCAGAGTCATGAGTCACAGAGCAGTGTAGCTTAACTAGCATATCTTCTGCTCACTTCGGGGCAGAGAATAGAGAACAGAGGAGAAAACGAGAGCAAAGAACCTCTCCATCAACAGCCCACACGAGATGTTCATATTTATGCGACACAGCGGTTGCCCCTCGTCGAGGACCGCTCAACAACAATAGTAATGACGAACAACAAAAAGTTACAGACAGATAACCGCCCCATGACAGACCCATCCGACCAAGCCGTAGCTCATGAACACATTACAGAAACAAACAAAACAGTACAATGGCCCGCAGAGTTGAACCCAGATCGAGAGAAGAAAAAAAGCAAGACTCATACACCACTCTTAATGCCCTTTTGTGAAGGAAAAAACCGGCAGCCCCGATTTTATGGCCTTTGAATTGCCGCAGCAGTGAACGAAAAAGACAACTGAAAGGCTGATAGCCCGGCCCAAATGAACACTGATTCCTTTCCCTAAATTCCGATTCATCCGCGCAAAAAAAGAAAAAGAAGAAGAAAAAACCAGAGGGGTATCCTATATTATATCTGCGGCTGCGCAGGAGCCGTAGTGCTCCATGTGGAGATTGGTTGTCCTCCAGGGTAGCTGGAGTGGCCAGCGGGAGGACCTCCCACGTAATACTGTGGTCGGTCACTGCCCGTATAATAAGAAGCGGGGATGGGATTCGACTCTCGTCGCGAGAGGTTCGGGTCAAAAGGCGAGGGAGCGACACCACGCTGATCCAGTGACTGCGATGCTGTCCCGTCCATGGGACCCGGTAGGCTGAAGCTACCTCTCGAATATGTAGCCGTGGTCGATGCATCAACCGGGGACGTGGGATCCGCAGCGACGCTCCTGGAGGATATGGAATGGTTTCGATAGACGGTCGGACTGGTATTTGTCTGGGAGCGGCTTCGATCCGTGATAGGACTGGGCACAACAGGGCTGATAGCAGGAGGGATAGATGACGAGATATGGTTCTGACTCATCGATTCGAAGCCGGTTCCATATTGAGGAGGACGGAATGGCGAGTAGTCTTCGGTCTTCGTTTGCAGCTGTCCAGGAGCGGCTGGCGCCGGTAGATAATGATTTGACGCTGGTTGGGCGGGGAGCGGTGCGCTGATCGGATAGCCAGAAATAGGTCCAGACGGTGGGGGATGTGTAGCGCCATAAGGGGCTCCATGTAGATAATAATCAGGATGCGGGTTAGGCATTGGGTATCCGGGAGGCGCAATGAGTGCCGGACGATATCCGTACATCGCCTGTGAAGGATCATTCGGGTTCTCCATGCCGGTCTCAAGATCATCAATCGGGGCCCGGAAGCTCTGCTTCTGCGTAAGTTCAGCTCGCGGTCGGATATACCGCAGAGATTCCACCATAGACGGAGGGTTCAACGCCCCCCGCATCACGTCTTCCACGCTGTAGTATGAAACCAGATGGTGCGTCACACCCGATACCGTCACGCTCATCGTCTTCTTCACCAGTCCCGAATCCTTGAAGCCGTATGAATCAACCAGCGAACCGACCAGGGCTCTTTCCATTTCCGACTGCGCCGGTCTGTCTCCAAATCCTCCCGATGACGACGTCGTAGGGGAGGAATAGCCTTGGCCATTGCTCTCCGGCCGTGGGTAGGGTTCTCCCGGTCTTGTTGCAGTCACTGGGCGTCTGTTTCCCTTCTTCATTGCGCGCTTCTTTTCTCCCGGAGGAAATGGCTTATCCAGCTCGCGATACACCAGGAAATTCCCCAGTATCCGACTGGGACTCCAAGTCACGCCGTCCGTCCATCGCTTGATCCCTGACGCGTTCTCTTCGTAGATAAAAACGCTGCCGCTACGGACCAGATGGCTTCGTTCCCGGTCATGCGGTCGCCGGGGAACGTGGTGCAGGACGCCCGTCAGGCAGGCCTCGAACAGGATCAATGCATCGTGAGTCGTCGCAACGTATCCCGTATACGTGGGCTCCAACACGGCCGCGGTGCCGTTGACCATTGTTTGGCGTTTGTTCAGTTGAAACCTGGGGGGAGATAGCTGGACAAGGATACAATATAATCACAACAAAGTTGACCCGCCACAGGGCAAGGTTTCTTGCGACGCGGGTACGCTATAGACGGCTTCTGATTAATCACCTCAAGTCACCCCGAAGAATGAAAGTTAAAAAGGAGGGGACAATAATAGGATGTCACTGGCGTAAGGAATCGTGTTGCCAGTTGACTTTTGGTCTCTTGATTTTCTTCCCCCCGTTAACATGCGGACATAGATGGATTTTAAAAGTCGGGGTAGCACGATTGGGACGCGTGTGATGGGAGCTCGAGAGAAGGGCGGGGGGTCCTCGTCCACGGAGTTCAGAAGGATGCGCTCGCGACGACGTAAATGATTGTGTGGAGGATTGATGGTACCTCCGTGACAGACTACGAGGAACGCTGGCTAGAGGATGGGAGCCCGAGTTTGACGAGAAGCACGGATCTGGTCGTCGACGTTGTCCAGCCGTGGTCGATAGGGGTCCAGAGAGCGCTCAATCTGAAAGGACAGACTGAGAGGGATTGGTGTCGTTCAGTGTTGGTTCGACGTTGGGGGGGAGTTAGGGAGAGAGCTGGTCGTCCCACGGGATCCCGGCCGATAACGGTACAGCGTAAGTACGGGCGTGCAGATGAGTAGGCAGCGTTGCGGGCAATACAACGGTGGTTTGGAATCAGGACGAGAATGACGCTGGTGGCCGAGTGGATTGATTTGTATGTTGCTTGGTTCAAACTCAAGCTAATAATTCTCGTACCACGAACCCCCCGAGGTTAATGCTGAAGCTCTTTTCTTACCGGCGGGGTGCTTTGGATGGGGCCGGTGCTTTGGGGGGGAGAGGGGATCCGCTAACTAAGCGGGATTGCACGCTTCTCTCTTCTGGAGGGAGGGAACCAGGGGACGGAGAGAGGGAGAGAGAGAGAGAGAGAGAGAGAAGAGAGAGAAGAGAGAGACACAGAGAGTGAAAGAAAGAAGGAAGGAAGGAAAGGAAAGGAAAAAGAAGAAGAAGAAGAGGAAGAAAGAGAAGAAGGGGAAAGGGAATAATGTAAAGAAAAACAGATGAAGAGCAAAAGCAGCAGAGGAAGCTAGAGAGTCAGCCACGAATCCAGCAGATCGGGAGATAGGGTGACGGAGTAGGTACAGTAGTTAGTATGGTATGGCGAGGAATGGGTTTGTCTTTTTCAAGATCGGGGGGGGCAGGGCTATGAATGGGAGGCGCGAAGACGAGAGAAGAGAGAGGCGGGCAGGGAAGAACAGCCGGTGCGGGACCACGAAAAGGACGGGCGGGTGGAGAGGCCAGGCGCGACTAGTGGAGCCGGCTGGACGAAGGCCGAGATGGCATCGATTCAATTTCGGGCGTTCTGGGAGAGAGAGAGGGAGGGCCTCAAGTCTGGAACGGGTGGAAACCGGAGGAGGAGGAGCGGAGAGGAAAGGGAAGGGGAAGGGGAAGGATGTATGGTATGGTATGGTATAGGAAAGGAGGGGAGGGGAGGTACCTAGTAATAGGTAGGTAGGTAGGTAGGAGGAAGAAGAACAAGAAGAAGAACAAGAGTAAAACTAGGAAATCATGGATGACTGCATGGATGTGCAGCAATGATTCCCGAGAAAGAGAGAAGAATAATAAGAGATTGGACGGGAGAAATTCGAAGACTAACTACTACTGCTGGATGCAATCATAGTGCTCTAGACGCAATTAGTTAATAGCTGGGAGTTAATTCACTTGTAACTTGGTAACTGGGTTATCTAACTAATTTAATAGTTAATGAGCAGCAATAATACTCACTCATATAACTAGGTAGCTATCCACAATAATAACTAGTTCCCTAACAGTAGTAGTAGTAGTGGTGGTAGTGGTAGTGGTAGTAGTACTGTAAGATAACGACTGCTTAACCAGTGTATCACTAGACTAGGCAAACAGACAGACAGACAGATAGACAGATAGACAGATAGACAGACAGACAGACAGGACTCAGTATGGTAGTCTTTGGTCCTCGAGTAATATATCGGAGACGGACACGTTCAGATCTCTCGACGGATACAGCAATTAACTAACTGTTGCAATCGTGAGGGGGAAGAATGCGCACGGGGACACTGGGGGGGTGGACAGAGAGCAGATCCCAGAGAGGCCCGCGAGCTGGTGGGCCGCAGTGGGCTGAGCAAGTCTTGGGCCAGTAGTAAAACGATCTCTCTCTCTGTCTGTCTGTCTGTCTGTCTGCCCGCGCGGTTGGAGAGCTACTTAGGACCTATCTAGAGTAACTACGGAGTACTATCTACCGTATGGATATGACAGAAACGTCGAGCATACCATACTGTACTGATAATTTACTATTAGCTGAGAGCCAATTCCAACAACAGTCGTATAGCCATCTCCCTTCTTTTTTTGGGGGGGTTCTCTGGGGGTTCTCTTGGGGGGCGTTCCTTTTCTCCAACAGTCACCAATGACTCTAGTCGTTACTACTCTTAAGAAGGGGGGGGGCAGCTGAACTATCCCGCCGTTAGTCGAGGGGGGCCTTTTTCTGCTCTCTCTCTCTCTCTCTCTCTCTCTCTGTCTTCTGTCTGTCTGTTTCTCCTCACGCGCTAATGAGCGCCTCCTGGCCCGTGAGCCTTGAGGGGTCGCAGTGGAGACTCGTCAGCGCCGACAGCCCAACCACGGGTCTGCCCTGATGAAGACAGGATGATGTGCACTTGGCCCAAGCTGCCTGCTCGTTCTGCTCGAGTCGCGCCGTTCGTCCGTGAGAAACCCCCCGCGCTCAGCTGGGAGTCTACCTGGTGAAAAAGGCAGAGACACGGATCGACGGGTAATGAAAAGAAAGAAAAGAAAAGAAAAAAATACTACAGCAGACAGCAGACAGGTAACAGAAAGAAAAAGACGTTCAAACAATACAAGACAAGACAGTACCCTGAAACAACCAGGGCCACCAGACAACCCCTGCGGCTGGAGAAGCTGCAGTGCATCAGCTTAGAGGCAACCAGAGCTGATCTCCCCAAGGTGGTCGCTGAGAGGAGGATCTGAAGATCCACGAGCGAGATGTCTCTTAGCTGGGGGCGTTAGGGCGGACGGGCTCTTTCTCGACGAACGGGGACACTCAAAGCGATCGCGATCATTGGCAAACATGGAAATCCGTTCGGGCTGCTGGGCACCACTCCGGGCGGTCCACCACCTCGACTCACGATGATCAGACGGCTTCGTCGGCATCAGAATGCGTCTCTGCGTCTCTCCAACAGCACGAAAACGAGGATCCGGACGGGGCTGGCCATTCTGCCCACGACTAGAACCAGGGACACCTGCGTTATGATGTGATTCGATTCCGATGGCCCTGATCAGTAGTCCGTTACTTACTTAGACTTATCGACAGCCCCCGACCAAAATCCCGCGCGCTTCCGCCGATGATGCGTGTTTCCAGGGAAATTGAGATTCCCCACCAACGCCGGCTTGATCCAGCGTCCCCAGAAGCCCATCGCACTGTCCTCTGCGAAACGCATGTCCGGGCTGGCAGACGATGGGGAACAAGCAGGTATGTATTGATTATGGGCGTTCCTGTTTGGTGTTTGTTTTGATCTCTATCTATCTTCAACGTTGCGCAAGGTTAGATTTGGCTTGCACGAGAGTTTTCGGTAGCTTCTCCAGTTCTCCAGGGGCCCCGGTTTCTTGAGCTTAGATTGAATTCGTTGCGAAACCTTCGCGGGAGATCCCCAGCAGATCCAGAACGCACGTTAATATAATGACGACTATACCGGTCCAGCAATGGCGCGCCTGCAGCCGTTTCATTCTGCTTCTCATCTGATGGCCCGTAGACATCCGGAAAGAGAGGTCCAGACAAGGTCAGACAGGATCAGACAGCCCAGCGTAAATTGTCCGACAGCAGAGCATCGCGCGGTCATCCCGGTGCTGATTACTAGCAGGTGGCGCAGAGGACTTTTAGGTAGAGGCGTAGGTTTGGCGCGTGCTTGTTGGAACTCAATTGAAAGCACGGTCCCAATTGAAAAGGTTATCGGCAAAGGAACAACAGCAAGCGTGAACCTTGAAGCCAACAAGCAGTGTTCTTATAGAAACCCTCCATGTCCATCAATGTTTCAGGGCAGATCGGAGTCAGTAGGACCTAGTCGGGAATCATCTTCTGCCATCCTTTCTGGGGGATGGACGGCCATCAGTAATACGATCAATTCCTCCTACAGCCTCGAATCCCGGCCTGAACCGTGGTTTCTGATTAATGAGACAGTGCTTTCGGCGTCGGGCGGTGCTGCGGTCAATAATGAGACTAGGCCTACTTCACATCCGACATCGAAGAATACGTCGGGCAACTTCCATCGGGTAGGTAGCAGGCAAGTGTTGCGAGCGACAGGTCGAAAGCACTCACAGGTAAATTCGTGTATGATCACGGATCCTATTTCTTACTGAATATCAAGGTCCAAATCGTCTCTATCGGCCGGCAGACAAGTCACGTTCGGAATCTCTGAGGGATGGAGAGGTCAGTGGCTGAAGAACGGTGCACTGTTCAGTTCTCAGGCGGCCAATTCGCACAGCTGCCATCAACTTCATCTCTGGTAGACTACTTACTGGAGCTGCGCTCGGATAGCTTCGCGTCCTGACGGGCTGGGAGGAGAGAATGAGATCCGCTCCTCGTAACTAGAGCATCTCCTAAATCAAAGCTACGACTAGTGCAACCGCATCTGTGTGGCTGGAATCGCCCTGGACTCAAGAAGAGCTCTCCACTGGCCATCGTGCTTGGGAGAACGCCTCGTACCACAGGGCTGGGCTGAGAGATCCGGTCCGATCGGTGAGGCCATTAACATGCGCGAGAGCACGAGGGACATTGATACGAAGTAGGAGATGCACCGTTTACCTAGTGGCGATATGATAGTCACAGGCATGCGAGCATTAGGTCGAGGCTCGCAAACACATGCAGATTACTGGTCAACCGCAGTTGCATCAACACTGCCGGTAGTGATGATGATAATAATACCATAATGGTGCCTTTTTTTTTCTCGGTCCCCCCTCACTACTAATCATACTACTACTGTATTCAGCCGCCGATGTACGGAGTTGTAAACGCGAAAAAAATGTGTGGCAACATCATCAATCGAACTCGACTTTTTTTTTCCGGCTGAAATCTGCTGCCACAGACCACTCTCCAGTCGGCAAGTGGAGGCAAACTATCGAGCAGCAGGAATAGGATAATAATAATCCTGTAGAATCAAAAAAAAAAATGACAGGACGCATTTCTGACCCGGCCGTAGGGAAACAGAGACAACCTCGTACTCGGCTAGGCGAACGGCCAAGCCAAGCGATTACATTTGCGCCACGACGATATTATTTATCCCGCTGATCCTATTACGGCCTTTTTTTTCCCCTCATACCTATCATGCACCAGCCGCGCAGGACGGTCGATTAATTAATTAATTGGGGTTGGAGCCGGAGCTTGCTCATACCTATCTACTACTACTTAGACACTAGTGCAGGCTTTTTTTCTCCGCTTCTGCTTCGGACGGCCACGGAGCAGGTAAAGTACACAGAACGCCGTTCATCCATCCCGTGCCTTTTTCTCTCTCTGAGTCGACTCTCGAGTATCTGCACGTCCAATATATCCAATCCACTTGGCCCGTTGTTCCCAGCATCTACACTCTTGGGACCTGCACGTATCCACTCTATCTATCTAGGCCAAATAGTCCCATGCACCTTGGAACAAGCTTGTGCAGTGGCCTGTCTGGGCTTCTGCATAAAAATTAACTAGACTAAGTTAACTACTGCTGTATGTACGTACCTACCTACAGTACCACCGCTAACTACCAACCTCGTGCAAGGACCGCTTTCCTAGGACCCTATCCTATCCAGATCATCCACCTGGTGCCTAAGCGCCAAATCCCTCGTTTATCGCCACTCGACTGCACTGCTTCTTCGCAATAATAGATTAAAACAGAAACGGACTAGACTAGACTACTTAGTCCCGCGTCTGCATTACAGGGGCAGCAAATAATTGAACTGACGCCCTCCCTCCCTTGATAGCCCAGCCCAGCCCCAATAATAATAATAATGACGATGTAGCATCGACCAATGGGTGGATATTTTCCGCCGGAGAAGGATCTACGATATCATGGCATAGGCAAAAAGGATCTCTAGCAAGAGTCGTAGGAGTGTCGAACAAGGATATATTATTGCCAGAGTTGGTTTCAATCTGCGAGTCTTTGCTGACCTGGGTCCTGCAGGGCCCTTGCAGTGCTACTTAGATACGAACGACAGGGGATATTTTTTTTTCTGTTTGTCTACGCTGCTAGTGTCGACATGGTACATGCCAACATCATGAAATTAATAACCATGAGGACATAAACTCCCTCTTTGTCTCTGTATAGTATAGTAATTGAACTGCAAGAGGACCTACCGTCTGTCGTTGGCGGGAGATCATCTCGTGGGGGTTGGAAATGAGAAATGGCGCTCGGAGAAATGTGCGTTTTAGATCAAAGACAGCATTACTTAAACTCCAGGGATTAGTTAGTTAACTAGTCGTTAGACTAAGAAGTCTAGTCTAGTTGTACTGTTGTATGTATATATTACTGCACGAGTAGTAACTTAGTAGTAGTACCAAAGACCACAGCTACTCACAATAAAATCTCTTCCCGTACATAATTCAACGGTATTCATTCGAGAACTCCAAGAGCAGATACATAGCTTCTGATTTAACTTGCTGGCCGGAATGCAAGCTAAGCATTCAGGCACCGACACACGAGTAGACCAGATCAGTACCATATTCTTGCCACAAACATCCCATGATCGACATCAATCAAGCTGCCGGAGTCGTAAGGCAAAGGGAGGGTTATTTTCCTATCTAACTGGTTTGGTAAAAGAAGTAGGTCTCTCAGATCTACCAAGCAGAGTACTTAATAGATACATACACCGGGACCTAGGAAGCCAACCGTAAGTATTGGATGAAACTTCAACAACATGAGCGTTAGTTACTTATACCGCCTGCTGCTTTTTTTTTTTCTAATTTGGATATTGATTTATTCCTTCTTGTAGTGTATATACAAATTGTCGATAGGACTTTACTACTATATACATGGATTCTATCAGCCAAGGTTCTAACCAATTAATCAAAGTTCAAGAAAATGGGCACTTTATCTCGCCTATTATATCTCTGTGAACCAGTTCAGAAAAGCCAGCCATCTAGGAATAGTACAACAGTAGTACTCTTATACCTCGTGCTAGAGTTATTTTATTTACGATCAAAAATAAGAATCAAAGTCTCGACTTGCCATTGTGGAAAATCACCCTCGTTCACAGTTATCCATCATCCAACCGTGTGGCGCGCTGCCCCGTGTCACTTTTCACATGCACCCCAGTTTCTGTTTTGTTTTCGTCCGAGAAAACAGAAATAAAGGTCCAAATTCAGATCCAGAATCAGCGTCAGAAGTCAGAACTAAAGTGGAGAAGATAGAATAAGTACTCAGAGATGAAGAAGAAAAAAAAAAAAAAACCGAGTAGTTACTCACTCCCACACACCTAAGTACCTATTTTCCAAGCGGGTAATAATAACAATATACTCCGTACTGTAAATACGTACTCTGATTTCTTAGACTACGACCCAGATCATCGGTGCCTTTTTGCTTTTTCTGCCCTATCTTCTTACTTGCTGGTAGTGGGTGACTGCGCCGCCGCATTGGCCCTTCCCCTCCAATAAACCCGGCCAACAGAATCAGCGCCCGAAAATCATATTGATCATTGTGTTACCTACCACGCAGTAGTAAGTAATACCAAACGAATGCGGAAATCTTATCCGCGCGTCTCGTGTGGATTAGCATTATCTAGTATCAACATTCTTTGCTGATCGTCCATGAGGCGGTGGGTAGCAAGGAGAAGCTCTGGAGAAAGATCTAGACAAGAAAAAAGGAAGAGGTTCAACGCGGTTTGCTTTGCCATTTCTATCCTAGGAGAAGGAATGTATGAATTAATGAATGCATAATATGCGAAGTAGATAAGGGTAGCTATACATGAGAACGTCGTTTGCTTTTCCTGAGGTTCGAGGTTCCATAGCCCGACTTTTGTTCAGGATGTGCCCTTAAAAACACTCGATTTATAAAAGGAACTACTGAAGCTAGGTAACTAGGTGACTATGAGCTAGGTAGACTCAGTACTTTTCACTATTAGACTGTTTCTAGCATGCGACGAAACTGTGAAATCGACCCTGTCGTGATTCATCAACAAAAGTTACTTATTTGTTCTATACTATCGTCTATCCAGAACCCAAACAATATAAGCACTGGCACTACTGTCTTAGATAAGAAATCGTGCTAATAATGAGGTTTCACCAATCTAGAATACACCGCTTAAGTACATACATGCGCCACCAAGAAGATCTACCCAGGTCATGCTGTACTATACTCTGAACCAGATATCGACAGATCACGTCATATATCGCCATACCATATGATAAAACCCACCGTTCCATCTTCTTCTATGCCCATTTCAGCTCCATATGGAGGTGTGCTACTATTCCACCGTTTGGAGCTACTGTACCTTGGAACCAATCCAAGCCACATTAACGCCTCGTGGATATTGCGGCTGGCCGGCTTACGTACTTATCTATCATAGGATACTCATCATGTGGTTCTCGATTGAGGGCTTAAGTGGATGGTAATAATAGAAGAGGTGTAAGACAATAAGCTGACCGTGGTTGGTATTACTAATGAAGTAGTCTGTATAGGGTTATTAGACTGGCGCGGAAGTAAGTGAGCGAGCGTTGGGGTGGGAGCCTGATTTCGAGTTCGTATATCTTCGAGGGTGGTTTTGAATATCGCTTGCAATATATTGTTCCTTTAGAGTAGGGTCTTGCTTGGCTTTTTTTTTAACTCTTTACGCTATTATTAGCACCCTGTAATCTCGTTAGTGTGTACATATTGGCTCTACTTGTCGGAGTCTTAATCCAGCAGCTCAGTATATATATGCTCTAGCAAATCTCAAGGAAAATGCAATGCACTCCGTAGTTTGAGTACCTTTATACGATATAAAGAAAATCTGCCCTGTTACAGAGTCCAGGAAAGGATACAGGGAACAACTGAGCAAGAAATTGTATCATGTTGAACTGAATTATCAAATAAAAGTCGTGCATGCAAACATGGAAATATGTAGAGCAGACTAGTGATTTCTTTGGAAGAAAATCAAACTGATCCTTTCTTCACTTATGATGATTTACATAACGACAGTCCCGGCCGCGGCGTCGTCCGTCAACTATGTCGAGGCAATCGAATCAGTAGTTTCCCAATCTCTCTTCGTTGGAGCAACTGAATGAAGAATATCGATTGAAGCAACTACCTCGTTTCCCACTAATTGCTGCAATACATTTGTGCGACACTGGCGAGATACGGCAAGGGTCTGTGGTCTTTTTGTTATATAGAATTTCTAACTTTTCTATATCTATTGTTCAATTCAAGGAATATAAGGCATTGGCCTTAGAATCAACCATAGAATAGCACCAGGTGGATACAAAGTTCTTCGGCCAGAACTCTCCAACGAAATCCAGAGAGGCGAGAGAAATCGTTTATGAGACCTCCTATCGGAGGGAGAAGAGTACCCCCGCAAGTAACGAAAGTCATTTCAATGAAAGAGCCGGATTCGAAAACTGGAGTGAAAACGCTCAACCATCTTGCAACCTACCCTGGTATCCTACGCGACTGGGTCGATGGCAACGGACGATATTTTCTTCAAGAACGCATACTTGGCCACACGCTCGAGCAAGCCGGGCCTTTATTATGAGCATCCAAGAAAATCATTATCGCAGATCAAGTTATTGATATTCGCAAGTAGTTATGACCCATCACATACTCGTCTGTCCAGAGTGTCGATCGAAGCCCTTATTACCCGGGGTTGCTTTTCGCTGACCGCCAGCCCCGTGGACCTTTCCACTCTGACTTTGAACTCTGGGACGCGATAAGCCTTGCTCTCCACAATCTACAACAAAGACCTTAGGCTCGTAGAGCCTTGGAGAATCTGAAGAAATGTCTACCTACATGTGGACCCTATGTACTCACTCATTGTGATCTTACCTCACGTGCAGCACATGACCGCTGGGAGCTCAGGGGCCTCCTGCAAAAATCCTTTGTTACAAAAAGACTAGACATCACCCACGAGCGAGCTGTCTTCGCTGATTTCATCAACTATGAACAACAATGATGGCCCTGAGCTGATCGGTCTTGGCCGAACTGGACGCGTGATGCGGTACGGAAATATTGCAGTGAAAACTGCCAATATTTGGACGGCGCCCGAGGACGCGTCCGAGAGAACAAGAATTGGCTGGGAGCACATGATTGAGCTGAACATGGAGTCCCTGAAACATGAGGGACTTGTATATTGCCATCTTGGGCATGTCCAAGGCGTAATAAAGCCCTGCAAGGTCTCCGACACTGAGATTCAGATGCCATATCTACGCCAAGGGTCACTCAGCGGCTATCTGCGTGCTCATAGTGATAGCGTGGACAGCATTCAACGATCACGATGGCTCCAGGAAGCTGCCCACACCATCCGTCGGGTACACGAGCGGCGGGTATTGGTTGCTGACATTGCGACACGAAATTTCCTGCTCGACGAGAATCTTTCTCTCCAAATGTGCGATTTCACCGAGTCTGTCATTGTTTCGAACGACGAGGAAATGGCCAATTTCGTATCTGAAGACTTCGTTTCAGTCAAGTTCGACATTGCGCGCTTCGGCTCGATGATGTACGAGGTCACCTCCGGAAGCCGATACGAATTCTACGTAGTACCCGAAATCGATACCGATCTAGATGACGATCCAGAGTCCAAGACATTCAAGGCGTGGCCGACTGCTGAGAAACTTCCAAATACGGATAATGTGTTCTTGGGGGGTATAATCAGGAGATGCTGGGTTAGGGACGGATTTCTCACGATGCAGGAAGTTTGTCACGCCTTGGATAATGCTGATCAAAAGCCAGCAGCCTTAAAGGCGTATGAGACGCCGAAAAGGCAAAGTCGAAGCAGGCGAAAGCATTCAATATGATCGATGACGTCAGGCCCCCTTAACTACTGAGGGTACAAGCGCACTAATAGTGCAGTTGCAATAAGCAAGCGTAAGGGTAACTATTGTTGTATGTCCCGTCTCGTCCAGGAGTCCTGCGATAGAGTAATATAACACCACATAGGCTGTGAGCTAAATGAGCCTACCTGTCTTGTCCTCATCAGTATGTTTTCGGAAGCACCACTACGAGGCTTCCCTGTCGATGCATAAAAGTCTCACTATTCGGGTGATCACAGCCTTGTTCTTGTACCTTATCTACATCAAGTGCAATAAAATTCACTGACATATCCATAACAGTCACATCTCCTTTTTCGAGGGTCAATATATGGCTACCTATGGTCCTTAGTAGCTATCTGGATATTTGAGCGGTCACTACGGCTGATACGTCTTGCTTGCTACAGTATCCACGTCAGATTCTTACGGAACCCTATCGTTGCTACAAGTTCTGCAACTTACTGGAAAGACACGGATATTATCAAAGTCGAGCTCATCCCAGAGCGTGAGCTACCTAATCCAGGCCCCAGCCAGGGTATCATTACTTTCTGTATCATCCTCCGCGCTGGCGAGGATGTGAGAATCATCCATTGATACTAGGTACCTGGGCACCGGTCATTTACTCAAGCGTCTCTGAAAAGATGCGAAGTTTCATATATCTCTTGATCACTCTAGTCAAGTACATACGACCATAGGGTGTGGAAAACAGGGCTTCCCGTCCGCTCAGCCGTACTTAAGCCACACGCCGGCAGGTTAGTAGTTGGGTGGGTGACCACCAGCGAATCCCTGCTGTTGTATGTTTTTGTCTTTTTTTTGGCCTGATATTTGAAGACGTTTATTGCTACGAATCGGGAATCGGTCCTAATAATATAGCTCAAATGGCAAACAGGAAGTAAACCTTGCTAGTCATGGTCCTACCAACACCACGCCCTCTACAATATAAACCAGACTTGATACATCGGTTCATAACGCTCCATAAGTACAGAACAAGGCAAAAAACATACAGCGGCATTTCGTACAAACTAAACCTAGCAGAATATATCCGGAGATATGCTGGAAATGTTTCCTTGGGAAGCGTACCAGGCGTTGAGACGGCGATACCACTATGCGGACCTGCGTTCATGGCGAACTAAATGCGTACTGCAATCCAGTGTCTTTTGAAGCAAGGAAGGAGGGACGTGTATTATTTTGAAGAGACTCATGGCTGGTAGAGCTGGGGTGGAACAGGCTTTTATATTTCTATGCGACTGCTCAAGGTGAAATAGTGGGGTCTTTCAAGGATTATAGTCCGAAGATACAAATTTGCCAAGGGGGATCTGCAGCGATCTATAGAAGAGGAGCAATAGACATATCTCTTCTCAAGCAAAATATATTTCTGTTATTTTTTTTGTCTCAGGTGTAGGGAAGTATGGATCACGTGATACATACCGGAAAATCACCGCCTCCGAGAATCGTGATCTTAGCCGGATGTCGGAGGAGATCACGAGGCTGTCATCCTACTTTTGGTTCGGTACATAGTTCAAGCCATCAGACTGGTCAACAACAAGCTTGATCACCGTCTGGTGGTTGTGGACAGGACAGTCTTTCTCGCCCAAGCTACTATCGTTTCAATTTACAGGTCTTGATCAGTAAAGAACCTCTGACCGCACAAGCCAAAAAGCAGTACTGTCAATTGAGTTTGTATTATACGCGCTGCCTTGATTCGAAGATTGTCTATTATTTTGAGCTGCTCCTCTGTGCATTTCTATTGGAGACTTGTTTGATTTTGTCTTGTCTCTCCATTGTTTGTACAGTGTGCTTTTCGTTCTGCCTTTTGAAGTCGCAGATCGCCAGTACCTGTCGAAGACCAGCACTGATATATAGCGCGTGCACGAAAGTTCATGATGCTATAGTGCTTCAATTGCTGTTTTATTACAAGATCCCCGCTATTATTTGTTTCAAATCTGGTGTACATTCTTCCTGGGGCGCACGAGAGTGTAGCAGGATACCCTACTTTTCTTTCCCTTCCGGTTTATCTTTGATTTTGAGCGACTTCAAGAATGGCTTCAACAATATCGCTTCACTTGATCTCAGCACCAATTCGGGCGTCAAGACAAGGTGCTAGTCTATTCACCAGGCATACATTGAGCCATGGACGCATTACTGCCTCTGTGATTGGTGCTGCTGGAAAGTCGGCTGCTTCCATCAGGACCTTCTCGAGCTTGAATTGTTCGGAAAAGAGGTATGTCTATTACCTGCAAATATGTAAAGAGAAATCAAATGCCGGTTCCTTACTCCAAACAATTTAACAGATGGTCGAGAAGTTCACGTGTGGCAAGGGAGCTGAACTTGAAACGTACAACGCCATTCCTCCAGCAAAAGAGGTGGACAACATCCAAGAAATCAACCGAAGACGACGCCAGTCCAGAGTAAGTCTCCTACGTGGTCACCTACCGTGATCGAGATTTTCTCTCTACCATGTCTTCGATGTCGTAACCTAATAACACAATCTTCAGCTCCAAAGAAGAAAGCTCACCAAAACCAAAACTGCTCTCTCGATTGCCAATCCCGACGCACGAAAACATCTACACAGTACCAAATATACTAACGTTCTCCCGTCTGGTGGCCGCTCCTGTAGTCGGATATCTCCTTGTGCATGACTACCATGGCGCTGCACTATCCTTGTTCGCTTATGCCGGTATCACGGACTTGATTGACGGTTATATCGCTCGACGGTATAACCTGCAGACCGTTGTCGGAACTGTGATCGATCCTATGGCGGATAAACTGCTCATGACGATCAGCGTGGTATGTCTGGGATTGAATGGCTCCCTACCCGGTACGTAATTCTCCTGTTTGCATCTCATCCAGCCCTGTTTCAGTTACCGGAGAGGCTTGTATAGATTGTACTGACAATCAACACCAGCCTGGCTAGCAGTTGTGATCCTCGGTCGTGATGTCGGTCTCGCTATTTCCGCGCTCTACTATCGATGGATCTCTCTACCACCCCCAAAGACAATGGCACGGTACTGGGACTTTTCCCTCCCATCCGCCGAGGTCAAACCTACGGGAATCTCGAAACTCAACACCGCTCTGCAGCTTCTCCTTGTCGGATCAGCAATGGCGATTCCCGTGGTCCCGGAAGCTATCGCCAGTGGCTGGGGTCTCCACGAGGGCATGACCGCACTACAGTAAGTGGATGATTGATTCATTTATCGTTTCCCTTTCCCAGCACAGTCCTTGAAAGATGGCTCGGGCTGCTAGTAAGCTGCATTCGAGGATTTTCAAGCACATACGACCATAGGGTGTGGAAAACAGGGCTTCCCGTCCGCTCAGCCGTACTTAAGCCACACGCCGGCCGGTTAGTAGTTGGGTGGGTGACCACCAGCGAATCCCGGCTGTTGTATGTTTCTCTCTCTCTCTCTTTTTATTTATTTTTGCTTCTGGCTTTATGCAGTTACCTTGAGATACCATTTTTTACGCTTTCCCCCCTCTTTCGTGGCCGTCGTCATCCACCCATACAACAATCCCAGTACGAACCCAAACTAACCATCCACGTATCTAGATACATAGTTGCCACCACAACCATCTGGTCCGGTCTAAGCTACGTCTACGCCAAAGACGCAGTGAAGATCTTAACCAAAGAGGAAATCCAGAAGCGTATCACGCGAGCTGCGGCTTTGAAGAGTCGGAAGCCATGAGATGATAATAGCATGCCAATCCCCGCCTTCATTCTACGTCATGAGGTGGCTGGCTAGAGGGACTTGGTCTTTACTCAGTGCTACTACGTAAAAGCGGATTTCGGGAGCTGTTATAGTTACCAACCATGTAAAATAGCCTATAAAAAAAAGGTTCGGTTGATTTTTGGGGTTGTTCAAAATTGACTTTTGGTCACTGCATAACGGAAGTAAGAGAAGATGATTAAACAAAAAGAAGTGTATTACTACAGTACATAGACTTATATGTCTAAATAGTATCTCCTATTGATGATGCTTCGCAGAGTAAAAAGCAAGAAAGCCAGTTCTATAGCTTGAGAAGCGCAGAATTGGCATTTATTAATCCTGCTAAACTATTATAAATTCTCTTAACTTTCCCTGGGATAATATCGTGGTGGTAATATTTGCCAATACTCATGAACATATCTATCTACCCTTCAACGCAATAGAAGAAAATGAATGATCTGAGCATGGATGACATTTGGGTACAATTGCTTTTGTGACTCCTACTAACGGATCTATATATAACGGATCCGATCAGGCCAACTGTGGACAAAATCGAGTTCCACGGACGAAGAGTTAGAGTTGTATAGAATTGAGTTTGTAAAATGGCAGTTTGACAGGGTCATCTCTACGAATAAGCTTAAGGCGCTGCTAGTATTATAATTCATTTTTGAAATTCAAATAGATGTGGTATAAGCTAATATTAATAATCAAACACGCCCTCCTAACTCTAGAAATGCTTTCGACGACACAGCCACTAGCATTGCACCACTCCTCCGCATCTCATCTCATCTCACATCACTTTAGTTAGCCGCAACAGGCTGGGAGCCATAGTTGCCCAGGTAGTTCTTGCGGTGGGGGTTGGCATCGAGCTCGGGACCGCGGTTCAGCGGCGTCCACTTGGGCTCATCCTGGAAAAGGCGCACAGCCTTGATATACTACCAACAAGAAAACCACATCAGCATCACTAAAATATAAAAAGCACAAAAGAACAAAAAAAGCCAGAGGCAAAAAGAGAAAAAAAAAAATCACCTACATTCTTCTCATCAGTCGTAAACCGATGATAGATACCAGGTGGGAGGACGATCAAATCATCCTTCTCGAGCGCAATGCGCACCCATTCGTCCTCTTTTCCTCGAACATCAAAGTATCCCGCTCCATCGACAATGTATCTGATCTCCTCGTCTTCGTGCAGATGCTCGTGGAAGAACGACTTGACTTTGTCTTCGTACACCTCGCCCATCGCCTCGGGGGAGACGGTGACTTGGTCGCGGTTCTTGTAGCCCCGCTCGCGGGCGAGCTCGTTAACGTTCTCGATGGAGGGGCATCGTCGGTAGAGGACACCGATGGAGGCTAGGTAGTCTTCAGACACGGGACGACCGGAGTCGTGGGTTTCGCGCTGGTCGCCCTGTTTGTTGGAGACATGTTGTGTTAGCTCAGGAATCTAGTGGTGGGTGCTGATTTTCTTCTCTCACAAAGAGAGAGAGGGGATACGTACCGGCTTGTTATCGTACCAGTAGGCCTTCATCGTGATAATATTTGAGAGTAGTGGTAGATAGATGCAGAACGCAAGAAGCTAAGGAGGAATATCTAGAATAAGACAATCAGGTCAGGGGAAGAAATAAAGTCGTCACAACGCTTCTCTAGCCGCAGGTGTGCCTAATATGCTGTTATTCATTGGCAATTGTCAGTGTAGTTAACTGGTTAGCTGCTTAGGTCAGACTGGCCGATCTCGACTCTTCATGAAATCAAATTATTATTGATCGCTGCGGGGAAACATCGACTCTTTTCAGCCCCGCCCCGATGGCGCAAGAGAGCGGCAGAAAAGCGGAATCGGAGTCTGACCGCCTCGATGAGTCATGTGATCCTATACTATCCTCCTATATTATTACAAGAGTGAAGGAACCTTTTCAGTAGGCAACTCTTTTACTTTCAACTAGAATCCATGGATGCAAGTCTACTGGAGCCTAAAGCTTGCTTCCCCGGAGGAATGAGTTAGTGATATTTCTTCCAAAATGATTCGATTCCTTGGAAGGATATCGATTCGCTCATTTCTATGACGAGGCTGTAGACTCTAGAACATAATCATGACACTGATATTCTAGGACGAGGTATAATGTACAATCAGCACGCATGTGCACATGTCACGAAACAGCCACACTACCCGGCAAGGATCCTGGCATGTCGAACTGATCATTAGAAGTGCCACTGCTTTGTTGCCGGGCCAGGTTAGGGACAGCATTTCCTGCGTCGAACCCACTAGATCTCGCCGTACCATCCAATCCGGCGTCCAAGCCCATGCCTCCACGATATCTCATGCCATGAAGATCCCGGCCAGTGTCCTCTGGTCCACGAGCCATCCGCGCCTCACTTGACCCAGGGGACCTAGGTGGCACTCCTCCAGAGACATTTCCATGCTCTCCGTCCTCGCCAGGTCTGACGCCAGTTCGGCCCATCCGGGGCCAGAAATCCGGCAGTCCGACCATCTGGACCCTCGGTTCCACGACGCGGTCCTCGAACCAGGCGTGTATTCTGGCTTCCACCAGTTGTGCGGCCTTTGGCACATCCTGTAGACGGCTACGGGAGCCGATCAGAGAGCGCACCGAGAGGTCGAGACGGTAGTCTGGGAGGAAGGAAAACGCAAGGTTGGTCTTCGGTGTGCCCGTCGGGGGGTTCCCATTCTGATCATCTTGTGCGGTTGCATGTTGTCTCGAATCTGGCCGTCGATTCGCATCTGCATTCGCAGTGGGAGGCGACGGTGACGGAGAGGGAGTATGAGAAGGGGGAGCGGATGCGGGGACGAATGAAATGCATAATGTGCCAGAAAACCGAACAACAGACACCGACAATGCAACTGGAAGAACAGCAGAGTATGGCTTGGGGTAATTCAAGATCAATGACGTCTCAATGGCCAGCGAGAGGTTATCATCGCTGAGATCCACATCCATCAACGCTTGCAGCCGGCCGCCATCCGAATTTGGATCTTCAACAGCAATGACACGGCAATTGCTGAAGATGGGAAACTCCTCCCCTAATGATATATCGGTCACTTTTATCTCGTCGATGAAAGACGGTTTCTTTTCAGGATTATTTATAGTGGCGGTGAGAGATTCGAGAATGGACGCTGTGGGCGAGTCTTTCAGAATATAAGCGGTCTGTCGATACTGCGCGATTGTCTGCGCAATCAGGACATTAAACCAGTCCAGCGACTCCGGCTGATGCGAAGAGTGATGTATGCGATGTCGTCCATGTCTGGAAGACGGATTCGTAGGGATAGCGCTATAGTATGTCTTTCGAAGAATGGATCGGGTATTCGTAGCCGACGAGGGGACCGGGCGCAGGACGTTTGACGTTGAAGGCTTCTCGCGTAATGACCTTGTATTATTCTCACTGAGCGCGATATTGTGTATTGAAGACGAGCGTCGATGTGCTGCCGTGCGGCTTGCCAGACCTCGGGATGGAGCGGGAGGAGCTTCGCCGAAGATGAAGAACTTGATGAAGGCGCCTAGGAGCAGCACGATCGACAGCTGGCCGACCAGGAGACCCTGAGTGAAGGAGAGACTGGGGTAATAGTCAGACAGGAAGCCACTGCACATATCGAACCCTGCGATATCTTACGAGGATTGAGCCACAGCTGGGGTCTGTTCATCTGTAGAGAGCAGAGTTAGAGCGAAAGTCACCATCATGTAGAAGAAGACACTACATACTCTGCGAGAGGGACATTGTCAACGAGAGAAGAGACTCAAAGGTTCAGCCTGCGCCTACAGTCCATTGCCAATCGCCGAATATCCAGAAGACAGCTGCCAAGTTGCGGCGACGTCAAGAACTCCGACGCGGAGAAAACAGGCGGAAAGCGAAAGCGCTCAACCTTTCGCCACGGCGCGGATCGTCGCCGCTAAACTGATTTAACGAGGCTAAGTTATCGGATCGATCGCGATCTTATCGTTCTTCGCGGGGGCGAATTACTGTACATGGACATTGGGGGGTAAAAAGGACACGGTGGATTTTTTCTTCTTGCTTTGATTTCAGACCAGGACTGCAACAGCTGATCTGCTGTCATAACTAAGAGCTGCAGCTCCAACAGAGCTGCGTTATTGGATACGAAGCATATCTTCCAGTACAACCAACAGCTTGACCATGGGATAACACTAGAATATCGATATCCCAGTGTTTCCTCAGCTGCATTACATTCATATCGAATCCACGATACTTCACGAGGCTGGATAACCCAGTCGTCATCCTCACCTACATCTCAAGTCAAAACAGTTTCGATATTAACAACAACCATGATACGCTCACGAACAATCACCTCTCTCCTCCTCATCCTTTCTCTCTTATCCTCTCCAGCCCTCGCATACGGCGGCAGCTCATCCTCCTCCCAAAAACCACCAGGCAAAAACGCCATCCTCCTCTCAAACGTCCACACCCTCACCCTCCACGGCGATCGCCTTACGACCGGACGCCGTCTCTCTCCCATCCCCCAACTAACATGCACGGGACCATCCAAGCGCATCTGCAACCTCTATCCAATCGAGACGATGCGTTGCACGAACGTCGGCTACGACTACGACAAAGAAGACGTCCAATGGACCTGCACCGCAGACCTACCACCGGAATTCAAGCTCGGCTCTACAGACGTCGTCTGCGAAGGGTACCGGAACTCCGATGATCCATGGGTTCTGAAGGGGAGTTGTGGGGTGGAGTATCGATTACTTCTGACGGAGCTGGGAGAGAGGAGGTTTGGGGATATAGTGCAGAAAGAGAAGTCGGGGTGGAATCAGTTGTTTTCGGTGATATTCGATCTGTTGTTCTTTGCGTTCATATGCGGGGTCATATTGGTTATATTGACGGTTATTGTGAGGGATTGTTTCGGTCTGGGGAATCGGGACGGAAGACGGAATGATGGTCGTGGAGGGCCAGGAGGATATGGCGGAGGAGGAGATGGTGGATATCCTCCAGGACCACCACCGCCATATGACTATCCGTCCAGCGGCGGGCCTTGGTATAAACCTACTTATGGACAGGGTTGGAGGCCGGGTTTCTGGACTGGAGCGTTGGGTGGCACAGCTCTGGGATATGAAATGGGAAGACGAAACCAGGGAGGATTCTTCCGGCCAGGCCCATCGCGCCCCAGACGCTACGACTACGACGATCCCGGCGAGGGAAGTTCTAGATCTCCAAGTTTCACAACTACAACCTCCAGCACCGGTTTCGGATCAACCAGACGCCGTTGAGCCTTCGTGAGGCATGTTTTAACGGGGGAGGACAGTGTATAAGAATAGGAACGATTGACGATTCAAATCTCTCCATCAACTCAATTCTATAACATGGGTATACCCAAGGGCGTATGCATCGCCGCCTGCGAACCGTAAACGCCTATCTCCAAAACGATAAAAGAGATGTTAAGCAATAAAAAAAGAATAGTACAGGTATCTTGTACCTCCTAGGTATGCATAGGAAAGTCATCAATCGATCCGAGGACCTCCTCCGTTCCACCATCGAGAGCTTTGGCAACAGCAGTCTTCTTCCTTTTGGGTTTCTGGCCGTTGCCCTTCTCCTGTCCAGGGTCAGCTGCTCCAGTCGGATTGCGCAATAGCTCCTCCTGGGCCTGTTTCTCTTTCGCATGCTGATCCTCGATTTTTTTCTTTTCCTCATCAAGTTCCCGTTCGATCGCTCGGGGATCATCATAGACAGTATTGGTCATTTCAGAGTAGGTTGCAATATCGATGGTCTCACTCGGTCCCAACAGTGTCTCCTTGATCCGCTCAGGATGTTTTCGTTCCTCGTTGTTGAACTTGAGCTTGATCTGTCGCCTCGACCTCCCCGGGAATAGCTTGCTGATCATCATGAAATCGGTACCAAACATCCGCAGTCCGCGATAGAACAGATCCGTCATCTCTTCATCCCATGATTCTGTCTTTGTGCGCTTTCCATAGGTTGCCTGGTTGATCTTCCTCGTGAGAGGATTTTCCACAACATCCTCCAGCTCTCCTGCCTCCCTCGCGGCATCAGCGTGACGGTCGACCTGCAATGAAGTCGCATCCAGCACAATTTCCCCGTTCACAATCCTCATCACCGGGCCAGCCTGTTTCTTAGGCATATTGTCGAGACCTTCAGACGGTGAGCCATTCTCCGCGTTCTTTTTGATCGGTTCAGGCTCTGTAGTTTCTCTCTCCTCCCGTTCCTTCTGCTTACGTTCCGCTTCAGCTAGTTCCAGGTTCTGGAGCTCCATCTCACGTTTCGACTTCTTTCCAGTGCGGAGGTCTTTACACAGATCTGACATTTTCACGACAGCTGGTGCAATCTCAATCATTTCTGAGCCTTCTGGCGTGGGCTCTCGTTTCTTGCGCGGGCGCGGTCGTCTCTCTCGAGTCGATCGCGTCTCCGTATCCGCTGCGCCATCCTCTGTCCTCCTCTTTTTTCGAGGTCTTGTTGTCTTTGGCGCTCTCTTAGAAGTCGAAGGGGGAACGGCAGCTGTATCTCCTCTTGTTTCTCTATCGGATTCTGGGGCACTAGGCTGGGTATTTGGAGGAGTGGGAAGAGGCACAGGCGTTGGCTCTGGCTCAGGAACGGCCTGAGGCTCCTGCGAAGGCGTCTTTCGAGCTCGAGGAGTAGGTATTGCGGTCTGCGATGTCTTTTGGCGCTTAGACGGCCTCACTTCCGTTGAATCATCTACCACTGCTGTAGGTGTCTCGACTGGCGTGGCAGCGTCAAGGGATGTTTGTAGCTCACGCGGGGGCTCTTGAGTTGCAGATTTGGTGGTTGACACGGACGATGGCTTGCTGATGGGTGTTGGTATCCCAATGGCTCCAGCATCTGTTTTATTAGAGACTTTGGGGGGAGAACGGTGGGTAGATGGACGTTCAATGGGGACAGCTGCGGATGCTGGCGCTGGTGTTGGCGCTGGCACTGGTACTGGTGCAGAAACAGACGCCTTGCGTTTAGGGGCAGGGATTGGAATGGTGGTAGCAGCTGGAGACGGCGTTGGTATTGGCTTTGCAGGTGCTGGTTCTGGTTCTGGGGGATGCGTCTCAGTAGTGACCGCGGTAGGATGGGACGTGATAGCGGCTTGCGCGTCTGTCACGTCAGAGGCAGGCGGGGTAGGAACAGGCGCATTGTCTGTTGCAGGCTGAGCAGGCTGAGCAGGCTGAGAGGTCTGAGGTGTCTGAGATGTCGTCTGGCGATCAACACTGGCACGGGCAGGGCCAGGAGCTGGAGGAGCAGCTCCCGCACGCCGAACGGGTGCCTTAGGAGCAAACTTCTTGCCCGATTTGTCTATGAGGCGGGGGAAGTCAGTATCCGACCAGAGCGTGACGACGGCGACCACCTACTGATCACAGAGCTAGAGAAGGCCTTCATGATGGCTCAGCTATTCACAGAAGCGTCTTGTCTCGTTGCAGAGACCGCGGACATGGCCAGCCAGGGACGATGGATGATAAACACGGCGTACGAGGAGAAATGGATGAATCGCGCTGATCGTGACTTTTGCTGGTCCGGGGGAGGGCGCAATCACGTGGGAGGCGCTAGTGGACGCTAAACCAGCCGAAGTCGAAAATCCTCCTGGCTTCACTTGTCTTGTCCTCTTGCTTATCTCAACCACATCTCATTCTCGCCCTTGTCACACTCTGGTCTTTGTCGCCCGCCCGGGGTCAGCGTCCGCTGTGGTCTCTGCCTCTTGCCGGTTGCTGCCCTGCGGTGATTGATCCCGTCCGCTACTCTATCTCTATCTTGGCCACTGATGCCGGCCGTCGAAGCGTCCCTCGTCGCGCCTTCCGAGTCCGGTCTCAAGATGGAAGACCGGAAGAGACCCGCCGCTTACGATCACAATAATGATTCTGCTCCGCCGTCCAAGAAGCAGGCTACCTCGCTGAACGGCGGGGGCAAGCCTCATCCCGACACGGACATGCCATGGAAGGACGATCTGGAGGTGAGCTCTCCCGTCTGATCTGCCCACGTCTTCGTCCCACGCGCGTGGCAACGTGGCCTGGGATGCGCAACGACATTCACTGACAGTTCCTTCGTAACAGCGTTTCCAGAAAGACGCGATATGGCGTCAGATGCAGGAATACAAGCGCGATAAGGTGACTCTGGAGGCTAAGGTGAAAGAGTTGTCAAAGGCGATCACGTATCACGATGACCACCTCCGTATCATCGATGCTTGGTTCAAACAGGTACGTCATGGCGGATATCGCAGTTCTACGTGACGAGTATTCTGACGGGCCCTAGTTGATTGACGAAGTAAAACTCCTGGTTGGTGGTTCGGAAGAGACGGATAAGGATCAAAAGTCCTTCCAGAGTGCACTCCTCTTTGAAGATAATGAGAAATTCCAGAATCATCTCCAGTCGCGGTCGGAAGAAATCAAAGCGACTATCTCACGACTCATGACTCATGCGTCAAAATCACCCGAGCTTTCGGATCTACAGAGCCAGCTAGCGAAAAAGCTTGCGGAAGAGAAGTCGTCGATAACCGAACTCGAAAAAGCCTTGTCTGAAAAGCAGCAGTTAGAGGAGCGTCTGGAGGCCGCCTCGCTGCGCTACATGGTTGCTGAAAAGAAGTTGGACCGTGCAAGGAGCGTAACCGTCGCAAAACTGGAAAAGCAATATATCCTCGGTGCTCAGCGTCCTGGAGGTGACAGCGCTTCTACTCGGGAGGAGGGGACCCCCAATGGATCTGCCTCAGGTACGGAACGGAATGCCGATTTGGAAGAAGAGCACCATAGACTGCGAGCTGTTGCGGAAAAGCGGAAAGAGCAATTGGAGAAACTCGAGGCGGAAAATGCGAAATTGGCCAGCCAGATTACCGAGCTCAGTCTGAAGCACTCCAAACCCACCGACGACGACTATGCCCACACCGATCTTTTCAAGCAACTTAAATCTCAGCACGAGGACGTCATCAAACGGATCAACCACCTTGAAGCGACAAATGTGCAACTTCGCGAAGAGGCGGAGAAACTCCAGGCTGAACGAACTGCCTATCGAATCCAACTCGATGCGGAGTCTCAGGCTGTCATAGCGGAGAAAGAAGCGCAGCTGATGAGAGCGGAGACGGACTTGGCTAGGATCAGGAACATTCGTGATGAACTTCTCGCTGATCAACAGATGAGAAAGGCTTCCCAGGAGCAAGAGAAGACCGCATCGGCCAAGGTCCAGGAGTTGGCGGCAGCAAGAGAAGCCCAGATCGTTTCGCTCCAGTCAGAAATGGACAGGTTGAGACTCCAGGTGGAGGGATTGAAGGATGAGCAAAGGAACCTTGAGGACCTACCGGTGGACGAACTTCGTACCAAATACCAGACCCTGGAACGCCAGTATTCCATGCTCAACACGGAATTGACCTCGATGCAAACCGTGTGCAAGAAATATTCGACTTTGGCATCCCAGAAAGTGGCTGAGTTCAGTGCTCTGGAAGAGAAAATGATGCGCCTGACTGCGGAGAAGTCCAAGGCCGACCAGAAATACTTCGCCGCGATGAAAAGCAAGGAAGCACGCGACTCTGAAGTCCGCACATTGCGAGTACAGAACTCCAAAAGTTCTGATATTATCGCTCAGCTCAAGGAATCGGAGGGCGCCACTCGTTCGCTGGTAGCGAACATGGAAAAGCAGGTCGCCGAAGGCAAAGAAGCTTTGAACTCTGCCGTGAACAAGTATCGCGCAGCGCAGCAGCAATTGGCAGAGAGCACTATTGTCATCGAGGGACTCAAATCGCAGATCTCTGAACTCAAGAAATTGTCTGCTACTAAGGATTCGACTCTCGCTAGCACATCCTCCGCTTGTCGCCAAGCGGAGACTGAAATTGAAGACCTCAAGACGTCACTTGCGGATACGAAGAAGAGTTTGGAAAACTGGAAGACCAAGAGTCTCGGAAACTCTTCTTCAGAGTACGAAATGTTGAGAGTAAGTCATCTCTGGATGTCTTGTTCCCCTGTTGCCCAGCCACTAACAGAATGTAGACTTTGGCGCTTTGCACTGTGTGCCGTCGGAACTTCAAGAACACCGCCATCAAAACCTGTGGACATGTGTTCTGCAAGGACTGCGTTGAAGAACGACTCATCTCTCGCTCGAGAAAGTGCCCCAATTGCAACAGATCTTTTGGTGGCAACGACTACATGCACATCACTCTGTGATCTGACATTTCCCCTTCCGATTCATTTTCTTCTTCGGACGGTTCCCTTCACGTGTACAATAGCTTTCCTTTGTTTTTACTTGTCTGGCAAGGATCATGGTGCTGGCGGTGTTTGGATGGGACTTTTCTAGCAGGGAGGGATATCTTGTTCGGTTCTGAGAGCGGGCTGGCGTTTCGACGGTCTTGAATGCCCCTGCATGGCAATTATGGAAGATCTTACTTTACTGTTTTCCCCCTTTGAGCCAGAAGACAATGAGCGTCTGGCCTACGGTTTGTTTTCGTTGGATATCCACTGCAGTGTTCGAGCGGCACCTGGGTGGGGTGGCAGGGCGTATGTCTGTGACTGTTGCAGGTTGTAGGAATAGCTAACCGATCTGGATGATAAAGACGAATGATACTCATGCGTCATGTTTTTCTGATAAACCTTCTTTCGTGTTCATGTCGAGAGTAGATCCCTTTTGATAATTCGTATCACGAGTTGAAGATCCTGCTGTAAAGAAGCTCGTGTCTTCCTATCCACAGATCAAGGACTGGGACGACTTGGCCTGCATTTTCAGGCTCAGTATCCCATTCCCGCTCTATACGTTCGACGATCATCTTCTGTAGGCTTTCGCTAGCAAGAACGCCTTGTGCCTGATAAGGCCCCATCACCGAAGCCCGAACCGCCGCACTAAGAACGGCCTTCGCATGGTTCAAGACGAAAACATAGGCTGCTTGACGAAGATCCACCCCCATAGCTAAGCATATGACACCCCATAACGGCGCAAAATGGCCATTTGGCCCAATCTCGTCTGGAGTACCAGCACTGAATTTCAATGCTTCTGAAAAGCTCTCGATTGCCGCAACAGCATCACTTTGCGCATTTCCTGCTAATCGCGCCGTTTGCGAATATGTGCCTCGAAAAGCACGCTCCCAGACTCCAATCAGAGCTCTTCCTTGCGCTACGCTAGCTCTCCGCGCGACAGTACAGGGTGTCGATGCATCCAGGTCATTATCTAGCACGTCCAACTGGTGCGGTTCCCGATACGCAGCGAGGAGATATGGAAGAGATGTGCTTGCTAGAGAGGCAATGGATAGCTTCAGAAAACGGTGAAAGGAAGCAACTGGCGTCACGGAGCGGGGTAGAGGTTTGTGATGCGCGATATATGATTCTAAACCGCTGGAATAGGCGAATGAGCCTAGTGGTAAGGCAGAATCAGAGAGTAAGAGGAGAGGATGTGTTGATTGGGCGTATTGAAGGCCTGGATAGGTTGTGTTAGTTTGTGTAAGAGAGATGGATTAATTCGAGGGTTCAATGGTTCTCCTCTCTCGCGCGCTCTCTCCGCATGGAATGTCCGTACCATCGCGGGTCAGTTGGTTGTATAGCTTGTTCTCATTGTGAGATGTATCTTTGTCTTTTAGTAGGCTCTTGGCATGTTTCAGTCGATTCTCCAGATCAGAAATCTCCCGTTGGAGAGCTTCCTGATCGATGTCTTCGGCCATTGGATCTAATAATCAGTATTATGATGGATTATCCGATCTCACTGATAAGTAGGTAGTAGTTAGGAATGAGGTTAGTTAAAGCGGAGAGCTTCAAGGCGGCGCATCTAGCGGTGTCACGCGGCAGAAAAGAGGATCTCCAGCAGATCTCCGAGACCTAACTACTTAACTAGCTAACTTGCTAAGAGAGAGCTTCCGGACGCGCCGCAACTGCTATTATCTTCTTGTTGATAGCTCGAACCGCTATGCAGATACGATAAAGTTACGATTGGTTTTCTTACAGGACCATGTCGGGAAAGCGTCTCTTGGACGCCATCCAATTATTCAATGTCGCCAAATCCGTCGCCGGGAAACACCTGGCTCTGCGCCAGCGCCAACTAGATGTCTACACTCGGACGTCGTCATTGACTAAGGGGATTCAGAGCCAGGCAGAGGGATTGATTCTTACGGCAAAGGCCGCGGCGGCTTTAGCGCAGCGGTTCAACGAGCCATCACCGGTTACGAAATCACCACCGTCAGAGACGCGCGAGCAGACCTCAACAACCCAGTCACCAGACGCGGATCTCCATGTGAAACAGGCGCAAGCTGGAAGGGATCCTTTGCCTGATGGCACGATACTTCCCGAGACAATCACGGTCAAGCCCAGGTCGCTATCACCGGAGGATGCTAAGAAGGTGCAGAGACAAGCGGAATTCCAGATCCCAGAGAGAGCAGCTGGGCATCCTGCGGAGGAGGGAGAGCATGGAGGGAGCCAGGGCCAGGAAGTCTTCCACAAGCCATCCACTACATCTGCGCCAGTCTTGTCATCTCTTCCCAGAGTTAAGGTACCGAAAGTGACGGGAGATGTACAAGAAGGAAGCGGAACGATCAATGCGGATGTGTTCTATTCTTCCACCAAGGCCGACGATAGCAAGGCTGCCCCGAAGGAAGACTCCTCTGAAGAAGAGCACAAACTGACCGATGAGATGATGAGCGAGATTTTCCACAGTCCCAGAGTTGCGAAGATACTTTCAAGGAAGGGTGCGCTGGATCTCCGAAACAACTCGCGCGAGGCTCGAGTACCAGGGACCATAGCTGCTGAAAAGATTGCTATTCCAGGAGAACAGCATCGCTCTGAGGAGACCCGAACGGACAGGAAATCCATGGAGGAGCTTGGTTCAAGTCTGGCACAGGAAGCAGCCACATCCGATCCAGTATGCCTCGTCGAGATCCCAGGGAGGTGTAACGCGCTGACAGATTTCCGCAGGTTGCAGCAGCAGCAGACCCGGCAGTTAAGCCTGTGGATAGTTACCAGATGATGGAATCCCGCGTCCCATCTTCCCGTCTCGGGAGACTGTGGCAATACGGCGGGTTGGCAACATCAATGGCGTTTGGAGCAGTGGGCGAAGGCCTTCGAAGAGTAACCAGCAGTGGAGAGACCAATGGCTCCCTAATGTTCAGTGCTGCCAACATGGAGCGTCTCGTGTCGAAGTTATCCAAGATGCGAGGTGCTGCCCTCAAACTGGGTCAGATGATGAGCTTCCAAGGTCAGTATACGAATGGCAATCGAGACCTATCGACGAAAACTAACTTCACCAGATTCAAAGATGCTCCCTGAGCCAATCCAGCAGGTTCTACAGCGCGTACAGGATCGAGCAGACTACATGCCCGCCTCCCAACGGGACCAAGTCTTGACAGACAACCTGGGACCTAACTGGAGGGACCTCTTCGAGTCATTCGAGGAAAAACCAATGGCCGCAGCGTCAATTGGACAGGTTCACGGAGCGGTTCTGAAGAATGGCAAGCGTGTGGCAGTCAAGGTCCAATACCCCGGAGTGGCAGACTCGATCGATTCGGACCTCAACAACCTCTCTATTCTCCTCACCGCATCACGCCTGCTGCCAAAGGGTCTCTACTTAGACAAAACGATCGCCAACGCCCGTACAGAGCTGGCCTGGGAATGTGACTACATCCGCGAAGCTGAGGCTTCAAACCGTTTCAGAGAACTCCTGCGCGATGAGCCCTCCGTCTTCGTCGTCCCCGAAATCATTCGCGAAGCCTCCGGCAAACAGGTGCTGACAATGGAACGTCTGAACGGCATCGCCGTCACCAAGATCCAAAACTTCACCCAAGAACAGCGCGACTGGATCGGGACGCAGATCCTCCGCCTCTCTCTGCGCGAAATCATCGAATTCCGCTACATGCAAACAGACCCCAACTGGACCAACTTCCTCTACAACGCCCAAACCAACCGCCTCGAACTGCTCGACTTTGGCGCTTCGCGCGAATACCCCGCCGATTTCATCAACACCTACGTCCGCACCCTCCTCGCCGCCTCGCGCAACGACAAAGACGCATGTCGCGACCTCTCCATCAAACTCGGCTATCTGACCGGCTACGAATCCCCCGCCATGGTCGACGCCCACGTCACATCGATCCTCACTATCGCCGAGCCATTCATGGCCTCGTCTCCAGATGTCTACGACTTCAGCAACCAGACCATCACCGAGCGCGTGCGCGCCTTGATCCCCGTCATGATCCGTGAGCGGTTAACCCCTCCACCCGAAGAGACGTACAGTCTGCACCGCAAGTTGAGCGGGGCGTTCTTGCTCTGCGCAAGACTGGGCAGTCGAGTGAGAACCAAAGAGCTGTTTAACAACGCGATTCAGAAAGCTGAGGGGTTGGATCTTTAGGCTAGAGATAAGATCCCGTAAGAAGCGGGAAAGAGAGTGTATGTTTTGGCAAGTAAAAAAAAGGCCATATGATGTATAATAAATAGCATGTATTGTACATGTACAACCAGGTAGAATCTCATTTATATAGGAAAGAAAGACAAAACGGGCCATATTGTCACTAGATATAAGAATATGGAAATATTGACAATAAAATGGGATAAACAGAGATATAAAAATTTTTACCATATGAAGAATTCGAATATTGATTTCTACAGTACCAGTTAGTTAAATGTTCAAGTAACATAACGATGAACGATGTGTCTCGTCTATATAGTCTTGAAACAAGAAAGAATAATTAGTAGTATTAATCCTCTAGAAGTACATACATTATCAATCCACAAAAACATCGTTTTTCAAGGTATCATGACAGGTAATGTAAATTCTCCTTAAAAAGAAGTAACTCAAGTAATGAACAACTATGATACAATCATAGAAACGTTAAGACATTGGGTATATGGACCGGACTGGAAAGGTACAAAATGCATAGTCTCATAGTATGATACAATTTCTCGTTTCCGAGTTGAAGGTGGCACTGTAAATGAGTGAGGCTGCGCTCGATCGAGACGTGAAGCGGCTGTTTCTAGTCGTTTGTGCCGTGATAATCGCTCGATGATAATACCTCCGGTGTTCGGAGTTTCCGGTATATCGTTGCTGGTGCCAACAGTGGCGGAATCGTTGGTCATTCCGAGGATGATTTTCCCTTTTTGAAAGAGGTTGCTGGGTAAATTCGTGTCGCTTTGTGAACACCGGGAATTCCTGACTCCTGCAAGGGCAGTGGTCAAGAAAGAGCCAAAGGGACCAGCCCCTTTATAGCGCAGCGCAGTCTCGAAGAAAGCCATAGTAGCTGCGGAGTATTGCGGAGTATTGCCACAACTGACCATGGGAAACGCGCGTAGTCCAGGGATCCTTAACCTCTCGTATATGGGATTCAGGGATCTCAGGACGTCGCAGGTACCCGCCGCTTCCAGGGTTATAGGTGCAAGTTATACTTGTCGCGTTAATTCAGATATTTGGCCATTGGTTTTCACACAGCCGAGTCTTTCCCGTTAGCGAAGATTGCCTTCCAGTACTTCTTCACATCCGAGCACACATCCTTCTCGTTTCGCCAGCTTCGGAATCGATGCTCCAGTTCACATGCGGTCCACATGATCTCATTCCAGAACTCCCGCTCCACATCATGACCGAAGTCATTAACCGTGTCTTCTGGGTCTGTCCAAGCACGCGTGTAACCTCCATCATCGTCGTAGGCCGGGTTCACCATCTGCTTATCGAATACAGTAGCCGGGTTGAATTTAGGAAAATTGGCGTGGATGAAGAACGGCTTAGGAGAAGGCGCTTTGGAACCGTTGACACGCCACTCTCCTTTCTGCGTCAACTGGTAGTCCTCGAGCGGATGGAACTGAACCATGGCAGAACCGGCGAATCCGTTACTACTGGGATGCCCGATGGCGCGGATGGGTTCGCTGACTTGATAAAATGGCTCGTTCATTGCGGTGGCCGCTGCCAGAAAAGTTTCTTTATCGCCTTCACCGGGTGCACCTTGAGAGAGCAACGAGTAGAAGTGCGACGGGCCCCAGTAGTTGTAATACGTGCAGAGCAGAAGCGTATGGGCATGTGTCTTCTTGGACACTACCACCTCTCCCGACTCTGTCGACTGGCGAATATCCATTGGTGGGATCTCCTGAGATGCGATGGCGTAGAACAGAGGCGAGGCGGAGGAAGCCCAGAAGTCCGGCCAAGTGACCATGTGTTTCGATTGGAAAGGCTCGTTGTCAAATAGTACCTCGGGCTTGTCGATCGGGAAGGCATCTGCATCCAAGAACAATATCTCCTCAAAAGACGAAAATAGCATGGCAAAAGGCTTGAACTGGTACTTCTCGATTTGCATGTCTTCAGGCGCTGCACTCAGAATTTCCGATAATATCACGCATTTCGCGTTCAAGGACGGAAGAACGACATCGCAGATGTACTCTTCATGCTCATCGGCATCGGCAAGGAAGACCTCCATGGGCAATTTTGACCCCGTCTTTCGCAGCATGCGCAAAGATATGACCAGAACGGGTAAATATGATCCTCCAGCAGTCGACACCAGACCCCGCGTCCCCGGTGTATAGTGCAGGGAGGGTGCTCCGTCCCTGATAGCGTTGACAAAATTTGTATGGGCGGTCCTCATCTTGATCACATCGTCCACCAACATCTCCACGAGCTCTGGCCGTTCTCCCGGATTCTTCGCATCGAACCGTACTCCAGGCGCAGTTCCCAATTTATGCGGGGAGTCGCAGTCGGGCGCGTATTCCATCAACAGCGGCTGGAACTCCCGCCAGAACTTCATGTGCCCTCTAACATTGTGCTCGATCTCGTGTTTGGATTGATCCTTGATTTCATCCTTGAGGCCATCTTTGGTTTCGTGACTTTCCGATGCTTCATAGGCGGGGAGCTCAGACCATTTGACCTCGTTCACATTCGACAGATGACGATGGCGCGAAAGGAACCAAGAGAATATAGATGCCAGAATAAATGCGACAAGGACTGTTCGCAGCCGTGTAGGCAACCGCGCCATCATCTCGACAAGTGTTTTCGACCGGGAAATGGAAGGAAAGCTGGCTAGAAGACTGACACTTTTCGTAGGCGACTTGCACGGCCAGTTCGCATTCCACTAACCTGAAACTCGTCGAGACTCTTTAGCTACCGCCGCCTCAAGGGGGTCAAAATGTGATTGCACAACAGCCCAGCCAATACGAACCATAAAGACCACTGCGAAGTTCAGTACTCCTACTGCTAGAGAATCCTCCTGCGACGACTTTTCCTCGCAGAGCACGTCAGGCTCCAGCTGATAAGCAGAGATGCGCACCGAAGAAAAGTGGTGACGTTCCGGGAAGGGAGACGGCAGACGAGGAGCGGTTCCCACGGTTCTGGCCAAGTGATGAGAAAAGGATGATGACGGCTAATTACTCGACTTTCCAGCTTGAACCTCCGCATCGCCTGGTGGATTGTCCCGTCTTGACGTGTTAAGTAGTAAGAAAAGTCTCCACCCTAGGAGATTGATGAGCCTTGGATGAGCTGGGCCCGTTGAAGGACGCTAAAGTCTTAGAGTAGAGTCGGACTGGAGCCCGTGGACTTGAAAGTTGAAGCTGCCGAATTCTCTGCTTGATCTAGTTACTCCACAATGCTTGATCTAACTTCGCCCCGAAGCAGGGATCGATGATCTGTACTCTGCTCACGGTTCAGGTCTGGAGGGATTGTAGCGATCGTATTCACCACGGAAGAATGGTAGAATAGGTAACGGGCGGCTGAGGCGCCACCCAGAGATCAAGCGCAACAAGCTGAAGGGGCGCAATTCAAGCTGCTCTGCACGAGGAGACGAAACGGTATAACCACCGCCACGGCTGTAACAAGCGCTCTAATGGTGCTGCGAATCAGAATTGCCAGATCGGGGCCACGAGCAGATCACTTATGAACTTGGACACCAGCGAAAACTACCCCTGAGATCGTCGCGGGAAAATGCGATCATGGCTCAAGCCAGCCAGGGATCCCTTCTTCGCTGAAGAAATCTTAAGTCCTAGTGCGACTGAACCCTGCAGTTAATATTCCGGCCTGCAGACTTTTGCGAGCTTCGATGGGATGTGTAGACTATTATTTGTGAAGAAAGTACCATACTCCCAACAGGCCGTCGATACTGCGCGCTAGACTCCACCCTGGAGGGCCCGTGGACGCAACTAACTATGGTGTCGCGAGAATGACATTCGGACATCTGGGGATGCAAGCTTCTCATGCAAGTGATTAGTTCATGCGAGATCACCTTTTTGATGTTTCTGCATCTGAGTAACGACCTCGAGGATGAATGTAATAGCAATCACTGAATATCTCCCACACAAATTTATTCAAAGATGGCCGGTAGTTATGGGCATCTATCCTCGGTTAACGTGATACGACGTCTTAGGTAACACTGCATATGGCTGATCCAAGCAGCTCCCACGCCTGAAATAACTCTTTCAAAATAATTCTGATTCTGAAGGGTATCGTGTATTTAGTACAACCAGTAGAACATCTATCAAAAAAAGGAAAAAGACAGAAAGACAGAAACTGAAATGCATGATATATATGGTATATGCGCTTCCAAAATGGTGGCTCCTAGCCCAGTAAAATGCTCATTGTTCAAAATCATCGGCATCCGAAAAGTCATCGTCTTCCTCCAGAATCGTGGTAGAGAAGAGCCCGCGACTTGATTGTCCTCTTGTGCCCTTGGACCACCGAGGATAATAGTTGCCAGATAGCTTGGCAGCTGCGTCTGAGGGCGGAGCTCCTCTTGTTTCTGGGTAAGCAGAAGACTGTGTGTCCTCTATAAACGGCAGGCTTTTTCCTGGTGCAGAGGCGAATTCATCGAGGTGATCTTTCGACGACCTGGGATGTTTCCGCACGTGCGGAGTCGGGGGACTGGGCTCCTGCGACAAGTGCAGGACTCGCACGACCAGTTTTGATGTCAGGTGTAAGACCAGGCCAGCGGTTATTCCAATCAGTGAGGCTACACCGAAGAATATGAAGATAGACTATATAGAAATAAGCTCTTCGATCATGGCTCCGCGGAAGACCAATGTGCAGACAGATTAAACTGTGAATATCGGAGAGACGGCCAGAATATCAGGATGAAGTGCATAAATAGGAACTCACCTCAAATCTAGACAAAATCCTCAACGGTAGAAAGGCCACCCGAAGAACATTGCTCGCTATGTGCAAGAATGGAGTAGCGAGTATTCCAAGAAGCGAGACCAAACTCCGAACTAGCCAGAAAATGGGATAGAAGATACAGACAAGAATAGCCAATGCGAGTTCGAGCCACTCCATCATGGCACAACACGAGAAACAAGTAAAGATCCCAAGTAGTTAGATAACGAGAGCATAGATAGGTAGTTAGCTTGCAGACCGTGACCACCGCCAGTGACTGTCGCACAAGCTCTAATTTAGCATCAGCAGAGACGGTCTCGTAAGCGGCATCGATTTGGACATCAGACTAGACGAGGATAAAGCTGGCCAGATCACAATTCCCAGCCATGATCCTGGACGGCGAGTGGGAAGTTCATCGCAAGCCAAGAAGCGCGGAGGTTCAGACTCCGCCCGGCAGCCCTAAGCCCTAAGCGGACATGATGGCCTGACTTCTCGTCGTCGACGTCGACATCGTCATCGCCGTTGAGCTTCACGCTTCAGGGATCCTGGATGGGCGCTCTCTGTCGATTGAGATAAGCCGCGCTTCTTTCACCATCCGTCCCTCTCTCCCTCCCCTGCCTCCCGCGGCCGGCGCTCTGATGCTGGCATCGCAATCTGCCCCGGATTCATTTCCCCGCCTTGTCCCTTGTCCTCAGCTTCCCCGCTAAAGATGGGCAATAATCCTTCAAAGACGCCGTCGACTGGCGCCTCCTCCAACTCGGCCGCCCAGAATCTCTCAGTGCCTGGGAATGACCGACGAGTACATCGGCGGGTGTCAAATCATGGCCTGAAGTCAGCTGCGGCGGATCCATCAGCCTCCAAAGATAGCGCAACTGGACATCCGGCAGCGAACACGCAAACTCCTGTACAACAACGACTGCAGTCTCGCAACATCCCCGATGAAGGCGGAAGGCCAGAGAGATCGGATTCCAAGAGGATACAGCGTCATCGGAGCGTGCCAAAACAGGATCCTTCCGACCCTGTTCAGGTTCCCTCACGCCCCTCCGCAAGACGGGATCCAGGTGTAGCTCCCTCTGGGCCGCCATTGAATACGTACTATGGCGCTTCTGCGCATCTTCAACGCCCTCCTCGACTCCCTCTGCCTATTGGCGATGCCACTGCCACGCCTGGCTCACCGGTAATAGCACCAGCCGATCCCCAGATCGAATCTGTTCCATGGGACACGCTAGACGAACCGTTAACTCGCCAGACCACATCACATAGGACCACTGCTGTCGATGAGGATGAGGTCGTCGATGATGATCAATATTCGATAAGCGGAGTGGGAAAGGCCGTCCCGACAACCATCGAGTGGCGTGGGCCTGGAGAGAAGGTATATGTGACGGGAACGTTTGTAAACTGGGAGAAGAAGTTCCGAGTACATAGGAGGTACGCTTCGACCCGTCCTCCTGTCTATATTTCTATTAGAGATGATGCGCTATACTCCAACAAGGCAACTCACTCGATCTGGCATTCCCGTGCTACATCTGAAGAAACAAGCCTTTCCCAGACCTTGAGGTTGATAGACTGTTAACTGATGATGTACTATACAGTGAAACTGATCCAGGAGTGCTGACCACGACCCTGAGCCTCCGCCCCGGCACGCATCATCTCAAGTTTATCGTAGATGGCGATATGCGAGCTTCGGATGACCTCCCGACAGCGGTGGATTTCACTAACCACCTCGTCAACTATATCGAAGTCAGTGCAGATGAGGTTCAGCGGCCACGACGGGAAAGCGACCGGACGAATAGGTCCGCGATTCCACCTGGAGTGCATCCGCCGCAGGTTCTCCCCGAGATCATCGGTACTGGTCCGGCGGGCGATGCCGTCGAAGATGAAGCGGAAAAGGAGGAACCGGAAGAGGAGATCCCTCCTGGAGACTTCCGCAATATTGTCCCCCAGTTCCTAGCCGATATCGACCAGGAAGAGGACAATGATGCATATCAGCAAGCGGCGAATGTCATCTCGGACTCTTCCGCACCACCAGTCCTGCCCTTGTTTCTGGGCAAATCTATTTTGAACGGCACGACACCTATGAAAGACGACAATAGTGTGCTGAACTATCCCAATCACACTGTCCTGAACCACTTGGCAACCAGTAGCATCAAGAACGGTGTGTTGGCCACGAGTGTCACGACGAGATACAAACGAAAGGTGAGAACTCCAATGAACTTTCGTGTAATGATCTTCGCTTATGCGCTTCTTGCAGTACGTAACGACGATATTGTACAAACCTACCGGGGATATCACGGGTCAGTAATGAGAAACGAGCGCCATGTAGCACAGAATATCACATTCTTCTCTGATGTCATTGTGCCATCCATCTCTTCCCTTTTTATCTTACTTTTTTATCTCATTTTAATCGATTCAACCGACACTGAGCCGCTCAAGCAGCTTCCCTTGGCCATTGGCTCGATTAAGCCAATAAAAAGAACGGGACGCGTGCTTTATGTATGATCACAGCATAGCGCCTCTCTAACCATGTTAACGTTCGGACCGACTATTGTTGCCGGTGAGATGGGTCATGTTTGTTATGTTAGAATAACCTTGCTACAAACCAAGGCTTTCATGATATGGTCCTTGGAAGAAATGGAATAAATCCAAGTGTAGTCCTTTGTCCAAGCTATCGAAGAATAACCAGATTAGGCAATTTAAGTTGATGTACGACTCTGTAGTCAATAGCATGTTGTGATTGCTTTTTTGGATCATATCTCATCCGAGAATTCCATTTATCTATGTATACGAAAAAGACAAGACTGAGACCCTCACCGTCCAGAACGTAAAATATCAGAAGCTTTTTAGGTGCATAGTAGTACCTTAATTAGATCTTCAAAAGAACAAATATCGTAATAGTTGAGAGAGAGAGAGAGAGAATAGATACTAATCTTCTCTCCACTTCACGAAAACATCATCAGTCCGGAATCGCTGCGTGCACGTCGAGTCTTCGAGGGCCGTGCGGAAGCCCGTCTTATAGGCGAGTATACCAGCTTGCGCGATCATGATGCCGTTATCGATACAGAAGCGTTCATCTGTGGCATAAACACTACCACCACGGTCTCGGGCCATAGTGCCCATCATTTCCTGTAGACGCTCGTTGGAACCGACACCACCGACAATGAGAACTTCCTTCGACCCCACATGCGCCATGGCACGTTCTGTGATTTCAACCAGCATTGCGAAAATGGTTTCCTGGAGAGAGAAGCAGAGATCTGCGCGCGTCGGGAGCGGGTTTCCCTCCGCGTCTATAGTAGGGATTTTCTCGCCTTCCTTCTCCTCTCCGGCTAGTCCCCAACTTGCTGCCAATGCATCGACAGCCGCTAAGATACCAGAGAACGAGCAGTCCATGCCCTTGACGGCATATGGTAGATCAACGAGTCGCTTGCCCTTCTTGGCCAGTTGCTCGATGTTATACCCCGGCGCGGGGTCGTTGGAGATGTGTAATGTGCGTGCGAACCGATCCAGGCAGTTACCCACCGCAATGTCCAGCGTCTCACCAAAGATCCGATAACGCTGGGAACTGTAGGCAATCACCTGGGTGTTACCTCCAGAGACATAAAGGACAATTGGGTTCGGGGCGCCGGTGATGAGCCGTCCCATCTCGATGTCTGCTCAATAGTTAGATTGCGAATTCTCCAATTATAAGTAGTAGTATTGCTGATGCATGATGATAGGTATATAGATCAAAAAAAAAAGACATAGTAGATTTAAAGATAGCTAACTGGGATATACATACGGCCAACACAATGGTTCACTCCGACTAATTCCTTCCCCCACAGCAGACTGAGCATTCTAGCCGCCACAGCGACACTTTGGAGCGGGGCACCCATGCCGGGCCCTTTGGTGTAGCAAATGCAGTCGACATCGTCGATGCTCACTCCAGCCTGCTTGATTGCCTGCTTGACCAGTCTGACCACCCATGCCCGGTGGTGTCGAGCGGTATCCTTTGGTAGAAAACCCTCTCCGGGAGGGGAAACGTACGTGTGACGGATATTGGAGAGCACCTGCGCGGGGCCGCCATTATCAGGATGCAAGATGAGGCCAACGCCCAGCTTGTTGGCCGAGCCCTCGAGACCGATGGCAATCATGAGGGTCAGGGTTCTCTCATCCAGAAGCACAAGCTGATCGGGTCAACAGACGAGGCTGCATTGCATCCGAAACGAGCAGGACGATTTCTTTTCACAGATTGCTATCTACGGCGTTATCGATTGGCGGCTGCGCGGCAGATCCGCGAGAGGTTTATCCGACGGAGCACGGACTAATCTATATGTGGTCCACACCAACTCCTCACACCTCCCAAACGCCCATCGTTCATTTTTCCCCTCCTGTGCCCCCAAAACTAGATTCTGGTGCTTCTAGTTTTCACGGAGACTGGTGTCTGGGACTCGCCTGACCCCGTGGTCCGCTCGTTTAGCTTTATAATTTGCACCATGTCCAGCTCTGTCCATTTTCCTGATGCCGACAACTTCCAGCGGCAGGCCGATGAGTTTCTTGCTTGGCTGTCCCAGAAGCCCGGCGTTAGAATCAGCCCAAAAATCCAGGTCACTGATTTGAGGGGCCAGGCTGCTGGGAGGGGAGTCGGTATGTGCCTCAATGTCATTTTGTTCGTGATTTTGTTTTGTCTTCGTGATGAAAATTTACGAATCGTTTCTGACCTGTTGCCCCCCGGTTCGTACTAGTTGCCAGAACCGAAATCTCAGATGGCGAGGAACTATTTGCAATCCCCCGCACTATTGTCCTGACCGTCCAGAATTCCAATCTCAAGGACCAGCTGCCTCAGAAGGAAGAATTCGAAAATCTAGGCCCATGGCTGTCTTTGATGCTGGTGATGATCCACGAGTACCTCCTGGGCGAAAGGTCCGCCTGGTCTGCTTACTTCAGAGTCTTACCCACCAGATTCGACACTTTAATGTTCTGGTCTGAGTCTGAACTTGCTGAACTACAAGCCAGTGCTGTCGTGGATAAAATTGGGAAGCAGGGTGCGGAAGAGTCAATTCTCGAGATGATCGCACCAATCGTTCGTGCCAACCCCACTCTGTTCCCTCCAGTCGCTGGTATCCCATCCTACAACGGCCCAGACGGCGAACGAGTCCTTTTGGAACTCGCACATATGATGGGATCACTCATTATGGCCTATGCGTTTGACATTGAAAAGCCCGAGGATGAAGAAGATGACGGTGAAGATGGCTATGTCACAGATGAGGAGGATGAATTGCCCAAAGGCATGGTCCCCCTGGCTGATCTCCTCAATGCGGATGCAGACAGAAATAACGTATGTATTACCATGTCTCACTCCTCGGGAGCGCATTAGATTAATATTCCTTTTTCTTCAGGCCCGGCTTTTCCAGGAGGAAGGGTTCCTTGTCATGAAGGCGATCAAGCCCATCCATCAAGGGGAGGAGATCTTCAACGACTATGGGCAGATTCCTAGATCGGACTTGCTGAGAAGATATGGATATGTTACTGAAAACTATGCCCCTTACGACGTGGTTGAATTGCCGCTAGACGTCATCTGTAGTGTGGCGGGGCTCGCAAGTGCGGATCCCGATGCGCAGCCACAGGTGCGTTGACTCTCTGTCTCCTAAATTATCTATTCTATACTTACTCCCCCACAGCTCAAGCTACTGGAAGATCTCGAACTTCTTGATGACGGCTATATCATTCCCAGGCCATCTGCTGAGGACTCACTGACAGACATACTCCCGGACGAGCTCTTGGCGCTGGCGAAGACGTTGACTCTAACCCCAGAGCAGTTGCTTCAACAGCAGTCTAAGAACAAGCCGCCAAAGCCTGTGCTGAACGCTCCGGAGGCGATTCTTCTACAGAAGGCTGTTCAAAAAAGACAAAGCCAATATGCTACGACACTCGAGCAGGACCAGCAGATTCTCGCGGGATTGAAGCAGGCTGAGACCTCAGGACCACTAGAAGGTTCGCCTCGTCGTCAGAAAATGGCCGTTGAGGTCAGGATAGGAGAGAAGGAGATTCTGCAGCGACTTTCAGCTATGTTTTCGGATTTCATCGCGAACAACGCTGGTCAGGGAGCGAAGCGCAGCGCCGATAATAGCCTGGAACAATCGAGACAAGCGAAATCCCTGAGGACCTGAAGTTCCACAGCCCCAGGATGACTGCTACCAAAACTCGAAGAAAAGTTTATTGTGGCTTTTTGGATTGATATTAATCTCGATTCGCTGACCTCATTGCTCGGTACTCATACACTGGTCTCTAGTAGACCACTCTGAAAAGGGGGAACTATGTACACTAACATTCAAAAGGTTCCAGTCATGTCATGATAAATAACGCAACATTAACCTGACTCCGATGCTTCACTGCTTTTTCAGGCTGAGCCAGATATGAAGGGAGAAGTCAGGGAAGAAGGTGAAGGTGAGGGTGAAGGAGGGAGGATAAAAAAAAGGTAGCGAACCCAGACCATGTCGGATGGGAGAGCTCGCGAATACAACGACATTCGCGAATATACGGCAAGATGGGATATGTGGATAAGGTAAAACGCCCGCCAAATGCACGAGAAGAGTGATGGAAGAAGAGATGTTCATGTCGCTGGACTGGCGGTAACCGCTCCAGGTCCAGGATTTGAACCCATTGTGTGTCCCACGCCAGGTGGCCCGTGGTTGTTGGTCGCAACCTGATCGGCCTGCAATCGCCGTTGCGCTTGAGCCTGGGCTTGAGCTTGTGCTGCCTGCGCTTGAGCATGTGCCTGGGCCGCTGCTGCAACTTGGTCGCGTGCCTTTGCCGCCATGATCGCTCGATGCTGCATGATTTGGATGTCATATTTATCCGCCTCATAGACGATTTCTTCATCCGAATCATCCTGATCATACTTGAATCGATCGGCTATTAGTGGATCCATTTCCACTCTACTGCGTGAGGCGAGGTTTCGACGGTCAATCATCAACCGACCACCACGCCCAATACGCCTCCTAAAGGAAGGTATCCGGCTGGTGTCCCCGTCCACATCCATGGCATGAGGAGCGAATTTATTGAAATAGACCGCCGCATGGTCCACCATGGGTGAGTCATTGATATCTTCAGAGGACTCTGAAGATGGTGGTGTCGGCAATTGAGTGGTAATAGCTGGCCGGAAACCGGCCTCGAAGGTCCTATCTGGAGACGGCGAAAGCGGTGCTCTCGTCGCATCCACATATCCTTCGTTCCACTTAATGTGCTTAGCCAGATTCTGCTTGATATCACGCAGAATCTCGTTCTCCTTCTCAGACTGCACATCTTCGAGGAGTTGCAAATCTTCTGCAGCTTGCGTGCCGGGCCTTTGCGGGACACGGAGCTGGGTCGGGACTGGCCGCTGGATTGTGGGCACATCCACCGGTTTCTTCTTTGGCTGCCGGATATTAGCAATTGAATGTGCAGTGACAGCCGAGTTTGCTCCTACCTTCTGGTTGATGAGATCTTCATCATCGTCCTTGATGCCAAGCTTCCTCTTCATCTCCTTGACCTCCGATCGCTGCATGAAGATTTGCTTCTCGATGCTGAGCATCTCTTTCCTGGCCAATTCACGCTGCCGCACCATTGCAACCATCTGCCGGGCATCTTCGAGCTCCTTCCTGAGTCTCCTCAGTTTCTCGGCGCTCTGCGCATCTCTACCGCGGGTCTTGCGAATCTGGCGAACCTCGCGTCTACGGAAACACACGTATGGGTCGGCATCGTCCGTATCCTGACCGGTCTCGAACTGCGATCGTAAGCACTGTTTCTTCAAGAAGGTATCCGGGAATGGCTTACCTTGAGAGTCGGCTGCAATGGCCTGTTGCCAGCCTTCGTCCTCCTGTCCTTCCAATGTTCATATATGTCCTTGGCGAATCGCCTTACACTGTCTTCTACGGCTGCGTCAAAGGAGTCTTCCATCTCTGAGTACGCCAGCACTGGAGGATTATCTACAGCAGCAAACGGCTGTTTTGTTTGCGCTGTCTCTTCGAAGAAGTTCATGACTTCTTCGAATTGGTCTTCCGAGCATTGGTTGCCAGGACCCAGCTTCTGGTTCAATGCTTTGAAGAATTTGTCATCTTCCTCAACCATGTTATACGGACATCCGCAACAATCCTCGACGGTCGAGGAGAAGCGGATGTAGGTCGCAGGTTGCGAGAAGGTAGGGGGGTAGAGTTTGTCATATTGGATGGAACTGATGATGGTCTCCGGGGTAGGGATATGGGCCTCATTGACCTTTCCAAGGGCTGCCGCATTTATCGCAGCTTGCAGATGGAATTCCTATTCATTTCAGCGGTCAGCGACGTTGTTTTGTGGCCATTTTGGTATACATGAAAATTTTTATCCATGACATGTCGTTGGGATAATATCACGTGATCTTATGCAGACGTGGACTAAAATTAGATAGGGATGGGACTCACCGACTCCTCCGCCTTCTCAACACCGGTTTCAATCTGCTGAAGAGTGCTCTGGACCTCATCGTCGACAATGTCGATCTCTTGTTCCCTTACGATGGGAATAGAGGCCTTGGGAGTGAGCTTCTTCGGGCGCGTCCTCCCCATTCCCCCGTACCTAGTCATACGATTTTAGGGGCGCGAGTAGGAGAAGGACCATGGGAAAAGTGCCCAAATATTGGTATCAAACGAAAGCCCTGGTCATGGGAGATCGCGTAGTCGTATTTTCTTGATGAATATCGGGCGTGGGGTGGGGGATATCGACGGCTGTAATCTCGTGGCGACAGGGCGGTTTGGTGAGTTGACGTTGCGATGTCACTAAGCCGTGGCCTGTTTTGGACGAGCGCACGGCCTCAGGGGCTCGCTTGCCTGCCCGTTCCGGGTTAGTGCGGGGCTGGCCGATATCAGATTCCTGGGCTGCCCTGCGGCTTGGCATGCCTGACCTCTCCAGCTTTCTGAAGTCGCGGTCTCCGCCCTTTCTCCGCAACATCCAACGCCCAGACCTTCCCACCCACGACTGCTCTCTGGGATTCTGTGTGTGTCAAGGTTCTCTTCTTTGGAGGTGGCAGTAGTATATTTGTTTCTGCCTGAGTTTCGAGTTTCTTATCCCGCCTCGCATCTGCAGTCATGGATTCCCTCAACGAGCCCAACAGTGCAGCCATCCACGGTGCGCGGAGACGAGGGTCCGTCGGTGCTTCTCAAGTCCTAGAAAACATCGTATCTGGTTCAAATTGTACGTTGCCCTTTGGATTCTATTCCAGAGTTGCTGTATAGCCTGCTCGTTTCATTCACGTTTCACTAATCCGCCACAGTCGACAGAGATGAAGTGGACCGGCTACGAAAGCGGTTCATGAAGCTGGATAAGGTGCGTTACTTTGGATGTGGCACAATAGATGCGCAGAGGACCTGATAAGCTTGCAGGATAACTCCGGTACTATTGAGCGGGAAGAGTTTCTGTCGCTTCCCCAAGTTTCGTCCAACCCGCTTGCGACCAGGTATGCTTATGATCCAACATGAGTGCGACCGATCATATACTTACAGGCGATCTTTTCGTCGTTCCAGGATGATCGCGATCTTCGATGAAGATGGCGGTGGCGATGTTGACTTCCAAGAATTCGTGTCCGGTCTGTCAGCTTTCAGCTCCAAGGGTAACAAGGAAGAGAAGTTGCGGTTCGCTTTTAAGGTCTATGATATCGACCGGGACGGATATATATCAAATGGAGAACTGTTTATCGTCTTGAAGATGATGGTTGGAAGCAATCTGAAGGACGTGCAACTCCAGCAGATCGTCGACAAGACTATCATGGAGGCGGACAAGGACAAGGACGGCAAGATCAGCTTTGAAGAGTTTACCGACATGGTTGAAAATACGGATGTCAGCATGAGTATGACGTTGAGTATGTTGTCCCTCGGATGCTATAACCCTCCCTGAGGGTTGATTGTTCACCGCATTCTTCCCCCTACTTTAAGGAATCCTCACTAACCCTTATTTGCAGACCATATCTAGGCGATCCATACTACAACTACCCCTCACGAACCGCTTGTTGTTTTCCTTGTGCATACTTCCAACCTCTTCGCCCTTCTTACGCGACATTTGATGATCAGCGACGGCTCTCCTGTAGTTTTACATTTATAAAAGGCGTTGTCCCTGCTGTTGTCTCTCCGGCTAAATGATGAATTGCGAATGACCTTCCGCATTGGTGATTGTGCTGCGTCCCTCGACATACTCCGCCCTTTTCGAACTGTTTTTATGTGCCGGGCCTGTTGGTTCTTGGATCTGGTTCTCGCCGTGATAGCTTTCAGATATCTGCTCACAAACAAGACAATATACTCGACTGGCGAGTCGATACTTTTTTATTCCAATGAGTTTTGCTCTATTGAGAGGTCGTATTTCAGATAGAACGGGCCTGCTGTACCTGCTGTGAGATCCGCTATTGGGGATAATATTCGATTCAGCGAAGCTACATGTCATGATTTATCGCGTCTGAGGACTTCTTATTTAGGTCCATCAACATATACATAGACCCACCTTCTATGTTCCAGGATCATAGCAGTGATGTACTTGGCTACAGAGTGGGTATTTTTAGACACAACATTATCAACACAAGAGATTAGCAGCTGCAAGAACCTTGGATTCGTCATAGTTTTGAGTGTCGAGACGCATACTGCTGCGAGAAAAGCTCCACAGCATGTGCAGCGGTGCCCCTATTTTCATATCCTTAGCTCTTCGTAACTCAAATAAGCAGTAATGCAAACGCTACACTCACCATGAAGACTGATAACCTGCCCCTCCAGCTCCATAGTTATGTACCAGAATCTTACCCTTTCGAGTCTCAACCTGGACACGAGCACCGCCCTTTCTCGCCGCTAAAATCCAATATCAATCAGCTTCCAGAAACTCCAAACACGGTATGAGGTGCTAGTTATAATCTTACGTCTCAACCCAACATTATGACTAAGAACCTGCAATTGGTCTGGCCTTCCCAACTCCGGACACAGCTGACAAGCTCGTTCCTTGATCCTCTCCGCACGAGCCATATCCGGCTTATCATCCCAGTCACCATCTATCTTGACACCACCGATAATAATCCCTCCGCCCAGAGGACGTGGGAAGACATGGGAGAATTCGTTATTTCCGAATCTCGAAGTATCCCAAATATACATTTTCTGAATGGGAGTTTTGGGCTCTGCGATTAAGATGGTTTGACCCTGGTTTAATTAAGTTAGGAGTTAGGATATATTGTTGATTTTAATCCATTAGGATAGGTAAATGGGATGATGGGGTGGGAATACGTATACGTACTTTGGCAGGATAGACGTCCTTGTCTTCTACACCGCCGAGATTTCGAGCCCCGAGAGCAGTGCAGTTGAAGACGGCAGCGGCGTCTGGGAAGTCATCGAATACATGATCGATGTGACTGTAGGCTCTCTTGATGAATTGGACGCCTTTTTTGAGAAGGCGTGTCTGGAGCCTAGGATTTAGAGTCAGCATTCTATTCATATTCATATACTTGCAACTGTATATGATTCGCACCCCCCAGCATAAAAATATCTCAAGCATGTACCCAACAGAATCATACATAGCAAAATACGCAAAAAGGAGAAAAAAAGACTCACCAAACCAAATACACCACCGGATTAATCATAAACGTCGTCAAATCCACCGCCGACCTCGCTCCATCCGGCAACTTCTCCCCCTCCTCACCAGACCCAATCACTTTCACACCACCCACCAAATCCACATACCACAACCTCTTCACCTCGTCCTTCTCCTCATCAAACACAAACCGCATCGGAAACCTCTTCACCCCACTACTCTCGGGATACTCGTCCGCGATGCGAAGAAACCTCTCGAACGCGACGCGGTCATACGTCGCATATTGACCTAGGTTTTCTTCGAAACTAGCCCAATTGGCCCCCGCTTGCGGGGAGGCGTATTCCGCAAATGAGATGTCGCCAGGAAGGTGTTTTGCTACGATGGTGATTTTGGAAGAGGGGTAGATGTGGAGGAATTCAGAAGCGACTGTGAGACCGGTTACGCCGCCGCCGAGGACGATGATGGATGGAGGTTGTTGTTGGGACATTGTGAGGTACCTAGTTGTATATTGGACTTTTTGTATAATGCGTGCGTCGTATAAGAGGGGAAATGAAAATAGAAAATAAGAGAAGAATAAAAAAAGAAGGGTGAAGGATAATATGTCGCTTAATAGGTTTAATTATTATAATCAGAGATCTGAACTTGCCATTTCTCCTTTCTAAAAAAGAAAAGAAAAAGCCTTTGTTTAGAATTAGATAATTAGTTAGTTATCTACCTAGGCTATCAATTGAGTCACGCCAGAGACTCATTATTGGGGAGATAAAATGACCCCCGCGGGATAATGATTTTTAGTCATCCGTTCAATCTTCCGCTGGCCTATCAGGTTCGATTCCATTCTAGCTATCAATCAAAATCCCCGGGAAATATTAATATTAATAGTTAGAAGCTTTAGGCTAACCAGAAGAGAAAATAAGAGGGCGGAATTATTCCGAAGAGCGTCAATTGGGATTTTGAAGAAGCGACCGGGCTGTGAATAATATACCAGAAACAGCTTTTCTTTTAAGAGTAAATCATCAGCATCCTCTGTATATCTCGAATATCTACTATTTGAAACCACTTCTGTGAATAAGAAGGGAATCCGCTATAAACGGCAAACGCACATGTGATCCTTTTCCATCTACCTAGGCAAAACTATTGAATAAGACACTAGCCCTCCAAAATAGGAGTAAGCTGCAGTCCCACGCAAGTTGCTCTATTATTGTCATGTCGGACTTCGAGGATCCGGTTCCAGACTCCGCCGGATCTATGGCCCGATTAGAAGATTAAATCAAAGTGGCTATTGGGAACTTCGACAATGGAGTCATTAAATGGGTGGTGTTTATTTTTCGCATACGATGGAAGAATTTTTTAAAGACGAGGAAGAAGTGCGACGTGACTTTTCTCCGGCGCTTGCTGCGCATATGTACGCAAAAGAAGTATTCGATTCATGTTAAAGTTGGAATTACAATAGTTGTATGTAATCGAGTAATAGTTGGAATAGCGCTGCAGTAGGTCTTGGCTGCCCATGTATTAGACAGGGGTTTCGATCTGCGAGGTCTGGGATAGGCTCACGGCAGCGGTCGTTCATGCTATTGTTCCCCCCTGCTTCTTTTCGTTCCTTACTTCTGTGGCTAACGTTCCTCATTGCATGCTGCAGGAAAAGTGTAGTCAATTAATGTGTAACTGGATTGCGCATCCTCGGGAAAGAAGATGCGGATTCCAAACACGTCTGAGAATCAGCATCTCACTTCCGTAGAAAAGACCCCAACAAGCGGGTTTTTGCGTTACTCGTTTAGCCAGAATGGTAGTATGGCTGCAACCAAAACGCTAGTCCATGAATCGAGAAAAGCCTTGAATAGGTGTTCATGCAGTTGCAGTGGTATGAGAGTCACCGAGGATACAATGTTAGAAGCCAATGTGCGGCTAAGCTTCCTTGGAAGATCACTGGTGTATGGCCATTTGTATGTATATCATGACGGGAAGCAAAGCACCAAGTAACATCCCAACTGGTCAATCTTCAAATTTTCCATGTTGGAGAGCCACTCCTTATCAACTACATTGTCCCATCGTAGCTTGTTGCAGTCAGCAAATGAAAAAGAGCCTGGAGCTGGCCATCAAAGACACTTGTAGAATCACATATACAATGCAAAAACTGAAAATTGCTGGGTATATATGCGGTAACATGTGGATGCCAGATAGTAGAGAACAATGATATGGGAAAAATAAGAACATGTCTAGAATAGGACAACAGCAAATCATAATGCTAGTCGATAGGGGCAAGAGTTATTCCTCCTAGTTGGGACGATGTTTGTTTCGAGGACAGCGGAGCTGGCTTTTGAGAAATCCAACAGTCCAAATATTTTGTCATATCCTGCGCGGCAAGGGGAGAAATGAGATGAAACTAGCAGTCTTTGTCTGCCCGACAAGGCAGACGATGACATGTCAACTAACCAAGCCACGGCGTTGTTGATCTACCCCGTGAGAGGTATGGCCGTTGAAACATATTGTTCTCTTGAAGAAAATCCAGCGAGGGATTTGTGCTCGCGTAATAATAGAGAACGCCCAAAATAGGATACTTGCGAAACAGGCGACTTTGTTGCAAGAAAAAGATATGTTGAGTTGGACAAAGGAAATAGCATGAGCGATCTGACGAATCCAATAAGAAGAGAAGAGATCAATAGACAAGTTATCATAAGCAACCGGTGATCCAAAAAGCAATCATCCCAAAGAATTCCCAATGCCTGTAGCCTTAGTGCCTCGATACCGCGAGCTGCTCCCGGTTTCCCCAGTGGTCCACCACCATGCATATCCCCATACACGCCCTGAACCCAACAAAAAAAAGGAAAAAGAAAAAAAAGAAAAGAAAATGTAAACCACATCGAAATCTATGTCTAAAATTGTATGCACTGTGCGCCAACCAAATGATGTGACCCATATGCATTATCATTACAAAGCTGAACTCCATATTCACCCCAAATGTTTCCTTGGAGATTACCGGCCGCAGAGCCAATATTAGTCAGAAATAGTCATTTCATTTTCTTGGGCACAGCCCTCCTGACATTAGTGTGTTGCCGGCAACTGGTGGACCAGATAGATAGGTCGCAATCGTCGTGTGGAATTATGCGTAGTATCCAATGCGGTTATCAACCCGTTAAAGCAGCGTGGTGACCGTGCAACTCCTTGAAACTTGCTTCGTGTTCGAGCGCTGTTTGAATGTAGGAATGAACTTGCGGAAACCTTCCTGAGTAACAGCAGATATTCAGTTCGTGTTGTTGATGACGCTATGGGTAACTGTCAGGGGGCTGTGTCGAAAAGGCGATAGTTCGGCATCAAGAACGGAATTTATGGTAGTCTCTCAGGTAGAGCTTATTAGTTCTCGTCAGCACTTCTTGTCCTATCATCTCCGGCCTTGCTCAGCCACGCTTCGGCCTTCCAATAAGTCGAGACACTGGCCCAGAACTTGGGGATAAGGTTAGCTGAGGATTTTCTGAATCGATGCGTGTTTCTGTGGCTTACCAGACAGGATTTCTTCCTCCCATATGCCCATTTGGTAGTCAACGAGGCCATGCGGCTCCATCTTGTCACAGAGACGTATAAGTTCTTTTCCCATTTTGTCCAGCATATCCAGGGTGAGCATACTAGGATGTGGTTGCCGTTCACCGGACTGCAGGAGAGCTTGTGTTATGTCCTTCTGCTTCTGGAAAAGCGAGAGCCAGCAGAGATTAAACTCATCCCAGAGCTTAAGTCTGCCGGCATGAAGCTCTTGGTCATCACGCAAAATTCCTAGAAACGGGTCAGCTCTATCTTCTCGTTTAGCGGAAACTAGCGTGCAGAGGAGGGAAAAGACGAGTATAGGAAATACACACCTAGCTCCCGCGAATTGCAAACCAGCCACTCAGAGATTTCTAGAAGTGATTGGCTTGCATCCACCAGTCTCCCTGCTCGAGTATGATCGAATGCCATTCTTAAAGCCTGTTGGTATTGACTATATGCGTCATCAGAACTGGCCGCTTCTTGGCTTTGTTCTTGCTGCCCCAAGCGATCGGTGGTCTCCGTAGTGTTAAGTTCCGCCATGGCTACTGGGAATGACTGTGCAGTGCTAGATCGATCGACCATACCCTGGGAATATGAAGATGGCTGCACCTGGGGAGTTAAGTATTGCGGAAGAACGGCAGGAACTTGGGTTCCTGTTGGCCCACCCGGTGAAAAATACGGTGGAACTCCAAGTTGCGACGACAAGGCCTCGAGAGCTGCAGACTGCCGTGGTTGGTATTGTGGAACAACTTCATATGGTGTCTGTGTCTGACCCTGCTGACTGAGGCCATAGGCCATATTACTGCCATACTGTGAGAACTGTTGCTGTTGCGATTGCGGTTGCGGTTGCGGCGGCGGTAGAGGCAGTGGTGGCTGATGCTGGCGATCTTGCTGTTGCCCATGCTGTTGTGCAGTTTGCTGCTGGCGCGAAGGACTTGTATGGAAACTTGGATGATATTGCAATCCCCCTCCATGCAGTGAGTCGCCCTGAAACGATGAGGCACTGTATGACTGTTGATCTGTGTATCCATAGCCCGTGTAGGCTGAGACGCCAGAGCCTTGTCCCTGTCCTCGAACCGGAGCTTCTCCGCGTGGAGGAAGTAAGGCTGGTTGTCCGTATGGGCCTCTCGAACTGTCTGGGGCTTGTTGGACTGGCTGTCGCCCCATTCCAGGCACCGTTGGGTAGCTGGAAGGATCATGCTGTTTCCGTTGATGGCTGTCGCCATCCATCCCACCCAAAGGGTCCCACGAGGATCCGCCTCGCAACGTATCGAAGGCTGGGTTCCGATGCGTTGGAGGCGACAGAGGAGGGCTCGCATAGAATCCCAGTTTTCCAGGTTCCGCGATCGTTTGCTGAAATCGAGGTCGAGCCAGTATCGACTGAGGACGCTGTGCGAGACAAACGTAGAAGGGGATTGGCGACGGCTACTAGTATATTAGGACTAGGTTTATTTTCATCAGCTTGAGGCACCTTTGATGATTTCCAAAGAGTTAGCAAGAGCGGAAACGGCAGTACCTACCGGAGTATAAAGCGCCACTGTGGAAGAAGAGTTTTCCTTGAAGCAACCCCATGTACTGGAGCAAAGAAAGAAGATTACTGTCTCTTTTCAAAAGGAATGGAAGACTTTGCAGCATCGATAATCAGTCAGGAGCAATTTCATGCTAGCTCAACAAGAGGTGGAATAACTGTGCGGATAGAAGGATCAAGCGGCGGTATCGGGATGGAAGATAATATCGAATGGAACAAAGAGGCATGGGACCACAGGTAGGACAAAGTAATCAGCGGGGATTTGCAAGCAATATGAAGGAGAGCAAATATGACTTCTGGAGCGCTAGGGTATGCCTGACCATCCGGCATACAAACTGTACTCTAGCCGATAGAAGGTATCGTGAACGCTAGCAACGCTCTGGCATTTAGTTGGTTCAAGCACCACAGTCCACCATCGACGGGGCACCCGCAGTCCTTAACCTTCGTCAATCGATGGTCGATCAGCCTGGAGGCCCTTGATCTTCCAACTAAACAGGGCGGGGCTCCGACGACGGTAACGGTTGTAACGTGGAGGGGAAAGGGGGGTTTATCTCGGAATTCTAGGGCCTTTTGTTCCCGCGTGATGGATCAAGGTCAGATTGGGTATTGTTGAGCAAGAGAAGCTGTATAAACAGCGGCAGGGATCCGGAGAATTTGGTCTTCTTACAGAGATGACTAGCGTGGGAATAGAAGGTAAATTTAGTAGACAGGCCCCCTGTCCATCAGAGAAGAGAAATAGAGAGAGAGAGACAGAGACGAGAGAGAGAACGACAGAAAAGACAGAAAACCACACCGGCATATAGGGCCGCAGAAACGACTACCGTGAGGAAATGCAATATCCGCCGGATCCTGGTTCCTCGTGTCTCCGTTTTCTTTCCCGTCGCCTTTGTTATCGCCATGACCTTCCTCCTCGTGCCAGTGAAGCTTCTATCCATGGTAGATTCGCAGCCGTATACCTTTCTTTGCACTAGGGGGTTCCAACTGTTCCAACTACGACCTACTCGTAAGCCAGACGGCTGACAATGCAAATTAGAAGATGATGCGCCACACAAGCGGGCATCGACCTTTCCAGGTCAGGCGTCAGCGTTGGACAAAGCGTCTCATCCATATTAGCAGCCAGGACGGTTGATCGTCATTGGTGATGGGCGGGAACAGACAGGCTCTCCGACAGATGGGCCATCAAAGACCATCGTTCCCTTTCCTCTCTGCTTACCGGTGGGTCTCTGCGCAAAATACAGTAAAAAAATTATGGAGAAGTCATTTTGCTGCTTCAGAATGGGCTAATAATCTGCAGGGTCTTCCACTCACTCAGATCAGAACCAAATGGAGTTACTATCCATATAATTTACGCCTTGGATACACTGGCGCTTCTCACGATAGGCAGCATATCCGCAAGGTTCCCTCAGTGGCTTTGAATCGCAGGAGCTTGAGAGGGTGACCATCAAGATACTGATTGGAGACGGAGAATTGGGGCTTCTCTGCCATCCGGTCTGTAGGGCTTCGCGATCGCTCTTGAAGCCTGGCGTTGAGCTAACCGCAGCCCTAGTCGCGATCGGAGGCAGACGTCAATCGACAATCCCGACCTTCGAAGCATGTCATCGTCGGAAAGGCTGAGCTGAATGGACGCTTTAGCCCGAGCCGCTAGCAATGCGTTCTCCGTAAGCTCCAAACTGGCTGGGCCACCACCATACCGCAGGCTTGGTGTAAGGGGTAAGGCAGGGGAGCCGATTTTGTCTTAAGGGCGTTTCAGCGTACGCCTGGCCGTTGGAGAGCCAAAACGCGCCCTCGACGTCGGCGGATCTTAATTGCAGTCGATGAGAAAGAGCCGGGACCTGCGCTCATCGAATGTCTGCAATAGCTCTTAATTGTCTACTTGCCGCGACGGCAAATTTCCGGGCAAAGTCCTGGCAGAAATGAGTGTATTCTGAGCAGAACCGCATGTCTCGAAATGCAGGTCCGGAATCGTTGCAGTTGACTGCTTGGCACGTCTAGTGGCAGAGAAGACAAAATGAGCTTCCTGCGACAGGAACAACTCCGTACTTTCACATCTGCGCTGGCCCCATGTCACTGCGCATCCGCTATGGACGCCCGAGCTAGTTCCACCAGCCCCAAGAGCCTCGAAGGAAGGCTCCATACCATCATCGTTCATTATCTACCATTGATGAAGTCTCTCGTTTATTCTTGCTATGAGAGATAATCCCAACCACGGATCGGCGGACGAAGAATCTATACCCTAGATTAGAGCTGATTACAATCCAACAATGTTCTTGACAGAGCAGACACGACTACTAATGTTAATACACACGCGGCTCCATCCCCAAGAAAACATGGCTGACGTTTCTCTTGTACATTCCTTCTGCAGATGTACAGTATCTCAATGATGCACGCTTTCGCATGTGGTTTGTCCGGAGTTGCGACGACAGGAAGCCACTGAGTCGGGTTACTAAAGTCCCACAATCACGTCTTCCTACATAATAGGGCCAAATGCATATGTGGAACAACGGAAGAAAATTGTCCAGGGTACTTGCAGATGCCAATCAGCGTTCTCAACGGCGGTACTTTGGAAGGCTGTGGGAATCGCAACCGCAAGGCGGTTACTAGTACAGTAAACCCTGGCTATAACGAACCTAGCTATAACGAATTTTCCGCTATAACGAACTAAACAGCGTGTCTAATTTAAACCCCCATACAAAATTCGTTAAATTTGCCCTATAACGAAATTCGGTACTAATCCTTAGCTGACCGTCATTTTTGTATGGGGGATTCGTTATAACAAGTAACATGTCACGTGTAAAAATCCTTAAATAGCCAATAAAAACCCTTTATTTTCATGTATCTATTACATAATATTGAAAAATTTCTCCCCTTTACTATGATTACATAACGCAAATCACCTTTCCCTAATATTTGATATAACGAATACCACGCTATAACGAATCATTCCTCGTGTCTGATTTGATTCGTTATAGCCAGGGTTTACTGTAGTAGGACCCGATCGTCACTCCAACCGACGCCTACCAAACCCCAAAATAAAGCGTGACTCGGTCTTTTACTGCTACTACTAACTACTACTACAACCAACAACAACAACTACTACTACTATTACGGAGTACTGGGGCACTGCTTAAGCCTGGAAGGTTCTTTTCCCGGAGCCAAAGTCCGGCTCAGGCGGGACCGCGCCCGTTGGCTCTAAAAACTATGATTTTTTTGACTATCATTGTCGTTGTTGCTGATCCGCAGGTGCATCCGAAACTCACCAGGAAATGTGCTCTTCAGGGACCTGAGATGCCAATATTTTCTCCGATAGAATACGTCCCAGGACTTCTAACTACTAACAAGTTACAGAATTGTTGGTAGGATGAGGAGCGGGTCTCTTGCTTGCAACTTGCTACTAGATACAGCTACAAACGATTCATAAGGATCAGCGGTTGTTCTCAATTGAGGCCCGAGTGCCGTCGCGCTACCTGCTCAGCCCTTCCAGAATCGAACAACTGCGTCAGAGCTATCTTTGCTTACTGGCATACTGACATCGACTCCTCCTGAATATACTATAAAGTCTAGTTGTGGGTCCATCCAACTCTAATATACTCCGTCCGAGTTGGTATGCCGGCCCGAACGCTAAATCGTTTCCAAGGACCCCTGGTAAGTGTTTCTTGAATCAGCCCTAGATCCAAAAGACAATCGTTCGCGTCTCATGATTTGTCCTTACCGCTGATCCATTGCATCAGGCACGGCTCCTATATGACGATAGCCACATCTGCCATTGACGCTTCTCGTATTTCCTGACGTAGTCCAGATGGTATACAAAACATGCCGGTGTTAGTCCACGAAGAAGAATTAACTGTTATGTCGGGAAAAGTCGCGAGGAAAACAAGTTCCGCGCATGGAGTCTCGACTCTCGCAAGACTAGTTTCCGATTTATCCGTTGAAGGGCCATTGCTCGCGACATGATTTGGATAAGTCGATAACTCGAAGCAGCAACAACGTCACCTCTTCACCGGAGACAGCAAGCTTCATCTAGCCCGTCCTCCGCAGGAGCTAACGAAGACAAATCAGGAACTTATTTTGCTAAGGAATTGCTATCGATACGCCTCCAATCTAGTAGCAAGTCGATCGGAAAATTATCAAAGTGTTGGGGGCCGGTGTACTAGACCGTAGCTCTTGCGCACTAAAGATATGCACCGGGTAGATCCCCAAACATTCATTTGCTTTTTAGTGTACACTTCGAACCCAACGCGAGTCCTGAGCACTCCAATATCGCCGTGCGCAATGTTCCTGCGGCCTTTATTGACACTTGGCGGCGAAGGAAATCTGATCTGACAAGGGATAAAACGATTGTTGTTTACACTCGGCCGATAGATACGGTTTCATAAATCCGGCATTAACAAGCTTATACATCTAGTCAACACTCTTTTGATATTCAGAGCAGGATGAGACGAAATCTTGCTATGGTAAAATACAGGCTCCACTTCACAAGCCACACAATTGCCTACTATCAGCCCAGACAATTAGTTCGATAGCTAATTATTTCGAAATTGCGGACGGGGAAAAGGACAAGGATCACAACATCTCCATGCAGAGAGATCGGAGCCATCTCTCAGTCTAGAAGGTCTAGAAGGCTTCCAGAAAACAAATTAAGCGAGAGAAGTCCGTGGTTTCAACTACGAGATTGTGCCGTTCTCAATGTCGCGGAAGGTGACGCTAAGACGAACCCCCCCCTGGCGCCGTTACGAGAAAGTCTGTGCGAGGAACAGTTCATTACGGTTGAGATAAACTTATGATACGCAATCTCTCCCCTACCCCCCCTGTGACTGTTCATTCTAGTCCGGTTCCACTCTTCGGCTCCAGAAGGAAAAAGACATGGATATCTCGGAGAAGCCCTACGGAGACTTAGATACAACGGGATCTTAGAAGTACGGCGCCGACGATCCCCATTATCCACTTCATTCCACCCCGTGTTTCTAGAAGCCTTCTAGAAGGGAGACAGACCCACGGCGTCACTGCCTCTGGATTTGTAATTTGGTGCTGAAACTCACTACGCAGCTCGGCCGACAAGGGACCAATCTCATCCTAAGCAAAAAAATATTTGAAGAATAATGATTAATTACGAGCCAATAATCCAGGACCGACTTATGACTCCAAATGAGGCAGTGAGCCCGAATACGGAGGAATTAATACTATCTAACTCACTACTAGCTACTCAATATTATTATTATTATTATTATCCGTCATCATCTTTGCGCAATGTCAGTTCACTACGATCGTGCAATTAAACATTCTTCGATACAGCTTCCTTCAGGCATGCCCATTCCCCTTCTAGTCATACTCCCGGAGAAGAAAAAAAGGAAAGGAAAAGAACTCCGCGCAAAACCTCGAACGATTACATCCGCCAAGGCAGCCCTACTTAACGCTCCGGATCGTCGTTACAGACCAGAACCTAGACTAGACTAACTAATAATCATCTAACTTAACCCTCGAACGGCTGTCCCGATCCCTTTCCAACGGCCTGTCTCTTACCTAGACTGCGGCAACCTTAACTCTACGTAACTCGGACTGGCTGTGCTGCTGCGCCTTAATTACGCCTTACAGGTTTCCCAATTTAATCCAGTTCCCGCGTAGCATGGTGGGCTCCCTCGCTCTCCCTTTCCCTTTTTTTTTTGCTTCTTCTTTCGTCCTAATTTCCTGCTATTTGTGATTCTTCGATAAGGAACGGCCTTCCCAGCACTTCTGTGGGTAGATGCTTCTGTTCCATGTCACGTGGGTACGGGCGGTTGTTGCTCGAACATCTGGATAGTTAGTAGAGGCGGTGTAGGAGGTTTAAATTATAGGGGATTTTCTTAATCGAAACATGTTGAAAGACCCCGGAGTTCGTATTAGCAAAGTGGATGTTAATGGTTATATTGTTTGTTTGTTTGTTTTCATTGTCTAATATGCCAGTGAAGTCGATTTGGCGCCTTGACATTAAGATGCGAGATAGATACATGGATAAATTTTCCGCGAAAATGCCTGCAGAGTTGAAATAATACAGAGAGAGGGAAGAAAACATGACGCAGTAAGGTCTTTCATCTCTTGACCCAGGTGGGCATCTTTCTGGCTTTCCGGTGGCCAGGCTTCTTTCTTTCCACGCGACGGGCATCGACGGTGATAACACCAACTGTTCGAAACCATGAGAGTTAGCAGTCCGAATACATATATGGCAGTGGATGGACGCGGCCTGTAAGTCATTCCAGCAGAACATGAAGTACAACATACCTCTTCGCAGAATGGGCTTCAGTGCTGGCTCATGGACCAGCAATGCCCTGGCAACTGCCAGTGTAATGGCTTCCGCCTGACCGGTAACACCACCTCCCTTGACAGTAGCCCAGACGTTGTATTTGTCCAGCCGCTGCGTGCACCTAAGGGGCCACAGTGCACTCTCACGGTCGTGAAGGCGCGGGAACACATCCACCAGGTTCTTTCCGTTGACCATAACCTCTCCCTCTCCCTCAACGAGGTAGACGACGGCGGACGACTCCTTACGCTTTCCCTTTCCTCTAGCCCGGCCCATCTCGTCGACAGTCGCGGGAACCGGCTTGTTGGCGTACGGGTTACCCGGACGGAGAAACGTGTTCAATGTAGAACGGACTTCCTCCGGTGCCAAAGCGGGATCAATCCTGTTCAGCCGCTGCAGGATCTTGATGAGGTTCTTGTACTTCTTGGTCGGTACCGGCTCACCGACGAAATCGCGGAATTGAGCGAGCTTGAACCAGGCCATCCGCGGGGCTTCACTGGGCGCAACAGTAGGCAACGAGGCATATTTGGCCAGTATGCGTTCGAGGTTCAACAGGTGGTCGATGAACTTGGGACTTCCAGAGAAGTAGGCCGGAGACGCAGGCACAATGCGTGCTGGCAGATGCTGGAACTTGGAGAAATCAATCTCTGGTGCCGCCTGCACCTCCAGAGCAGCATTATTCCGTGTAAACGTGGAGAACGCGCTTCTTCGTTGTCGTTGAAGGAGCTGTGTGGATATCGGAGAGAGAGAAGATGCGGAGGATCGGACGGAGTGCTGAAGAACAGTCTGCAATGAAACAGCATGACGGACGCACTGCGCCGCCTGCATGATGCAGTTTGACCCCTGCCAGGCCATTGCTGCGATCCCAGCCGGACAGAAGCCTCGAGATTGCAACGGGAGGGACAGCGCTGGACGATAAAGCTGCACGGAGTCCTTGATCTTGTCCAATCGAGACCGCGAAGTTCGGGAGGTTTTTCGACTGCCCGAGTATATCACGTGACTCACCGCGACCAAACGATTCTCCGGCGCCGACTAAGTTTGATTCGCACAAAATTTCGTCGACGCAACAACTTTGCTCTCCCAGTCTTTCTCCTCCCCCGCCATCATCCCACTCGAGATCTGCCACAAGTCCTCTCAAGATGTCGTTCGGCAAGCTCTACGGTCTTCCCGTAAGTCTACCTGCTTCCTGCATCTCTCAACAGTCTACATCCATCTATTCTGCCCCTCATTGGTGCCCCTCAACCAGCACGAAAGGCGAGTTGTGATAACTGACACCTTCGTCTTCAGGACAACCCTCGCTCCATCCCGATCCTGGTCGCGGCCAAGAGCAATGGCCTGGACATCGAGGTCGTCCCTACTGAGGGCAATGTGAACGCCTCTTTCAACCAGAGCGCTGAGTACACCAAGCTCAACCCTCTGGGCAAGATCCCCACCTTCGTTGGTGCCAATGGCTTCGTCCTCACTGAGGCCATCGCCATCGCCATCTACGGTATGTATACCCAACTGCAGTTCTACGTCTATATTGCGCACATTACTATGATGAATGTTTTTATTTTTCAGTTATCCCTGACAGAACAATACTGTTGATAATCCACCAACTCTGATATCGCAATTACCCCGCTTTCGGGCACCATGGACTTTTTTTTTTTGCTGCTACACACAAATTGCACAATTTTGAGCATTCCACTAACAATGCTTTAGTTACCTCCCAGAACGAGAAGACCACCCTCCTGGGCAAGACCAAGCAGGACTATGCTTCCATCCTCCGCTGGTTGTCCTATGCCAACTCTGAGCTCCTGCCCCGCTTCGGTGCTTGGTACCGCCCCCTGATCGGCAAGGACCCCTACAACAAGAAGAATGTTGAGGAGGCCTCCAAGGTTGCCCTGAAGAACATCTCCGTTCTCGAGGCTCACCTCACCCAGAACACCTACCTCGTTGGCGAGCGTATCACCCTCGCTGATATCTACACTGCCGGTCTCCTGACCCGCGCTTTCGCTCTCGTCCTGGACAAGGAGTGGCGCTCCCAGAACGTTGCCGTCACCAGATGGTACGAGACCGTTATCAACCAGCCTTTCTTCAAGGCTGTTGTTGAGAACCCCGTCTTCGCTGAGAAGACCGTCACCTACACTCCCCCCAAGAAGGAGGAGAAGCCCAAGAAGGAGGCTGCCCCCGCTGCCGCTGCTGCCGCTCCTGCTGAGGAGGAGGACAAGCCCGCCCCCAAGCCCAAGCACCCCCTTGAGGCTCTCGGCAAGCCCACTCTCATCCTCGATGACTGGAAGCGCACGTACTCCAACGAGGACACCCGCCCTGTTGCCCTTCCCTGGTTCTGGGAGCACTACAAGCCCGACGAGTACTCTCTGTGGCGCGTTGACTACAAGTACAACAACGAGCTTAAGCTCACCTTCATGTCCAACAACTTGATCGGTGGTTTCCACGCTCGTCTGGAGGCTTCCCGCAAGTACCTCTTCGGTGCTCAGTCCGTTTACGGTACCAACTACGACAACATCATCCGTGGTGTCTTCCTGGTCCGCGGCCAGGAGTTCAAGCCCGCTTTCGACGTTGCCCCCGACTGGGAGAGCTACGAGTTCACCAAGCTCGACCACACCAACGAGGAGGACAGGAAGTACATCGCCGACATGTGGGCCTGGGATGTCCCTGTCGTTGTGGACGGCAAGGAGTACCAGTGGGCTGACGGCCACGTCTTCAAATAGATGATTCAAATCAGGTAGCAGTTTCCTGTGGCATTCATGATATACCTTTGCCCCTGGCTTCTGGTTCTGTATCATCTGCTTGAATTCTCTTATGTCCCCAGTACCCTCGACTGTTTGATGGTGTACTGGGAGCCGGGTTACGGTTATTTCGCATGCGGGCTTCTCTCTGTCCACCATGAGCCGCTTCCCAGCCTATGCTCCCCACGCACGGCTTCCCCCCTTCCCGCCATTAATGTCCACCCTGCCCATTACGTTTTTTCTTTGGTCAATCAATAGCAAACGCGCTGATGGTCATGTCATGCTTACGATGTCTTGAGAAGATGATGGAATGATAGCCTACAATAGCTGTAGACACAAAAGATCTTTGATTACTTCCACATTTAGTCCACCGTAGTTTCGTCGACTTCATTCTAGACCTCTATTACTTTGCTACTCTCACCGAAGATGTGAGAAAAGTGTAAGTGCGCTTCCTAAAGTCATGGTCGTTTTATACCTTCATCATAGTCTTCTTCTACGCCCTCCCGTTCCAGCTTCCCAAGTCAGTCTTTTCTTTATAACTCAAGCATATAATCTAGTAAGTTCCAAGAATATCAGTGATAATAATGTATTAACGTCTCATATGTCGACCAATTGTTAAGTACTCTTAATACAAAAGTCACTGTGCATACTCCCGAAATATCCACAGATCAATTCCTAGAATGTCTAAGAGACTTCGAGAAAGAAGAAAAAAAGGGCTTCTTGTATGGTCACTTGAAACGATCCTGGCTTTCGTTTGATGTACGTACAAATGGGGAAAAGGAATCCTTCAGAACGAACAAACAAGACAGATTTGCTGCTAAGTGGTATCAGGGAGAAAGCGAGACATGACATGCAACGTGACAACTACTAATAATAAGATGTCTTGTATGAATGATCTAGTGGTTTGCTATTAGTAACTGGGAATAGTGTCGGATGAAAAGTACCTGCGGTTCGAAGTTACCGCGGAGCTTTTCCCGGGGAGACAGTTAAGGACTCCTCGAGTCTATCGAGGAGGAAGTTTTCAGAGCTGCTTGAAGGTGCAGGAGACGCGGAACCATCACATACAGCGTCGACGTCGAGGATTGGGTTATTGTTATTATTATTATTGTTGTTGGTGATGGTGGTTTGCTTTGCGTCCTCGTCGAGTTGCTTCTCAGATGCAGTTGTTGCTGTAGTGTTCTTCTTCTTCTTCTCCTTGGTAGGGTTCTGTTTGGCTTGTTGCTTGACGGGCTGCTGCGCGGCTTTCTTCGCTGCTTTTGCTGCAGCTTTCCTTTCCCTCTTTCGAGCTGCTGCTGCTGCCTTTCTTTCCTCCTTGCGAGCCTTTTTCCGCTCGCCCTTGGTCATGGGTGCCCCATCTACCAGAGCTGCAGGAGCAGTGTCCGGGTCAGGACCCTCTGAGAGATCTGAGACGTTGTCTTCAATATCGTGTATTTCAGTCGGCTCATTGCAAATGATGTCATCTCCGGGTCCCAGATTTCCAAATTCTTTCTGCTTCCTTCTGCTCTTCCAGTGCTTGAACACCTGGCTGACGTCTTCATACTGCGCTAGGATCTCTAGCTTCTTGAGAACGACATCGAGGATATGAGTCTCGTCCACAGCTGGGTCATTCGTGAATTCGGGTACCTCGAGGATATTGTATGGTTGACCAGCGGCTTTCAATATGCTATCATCGATGAGGACCGTATTTGACTGGTCCCAGCGTGTCTTCTGGATAGGCGTATCTGGTTTATTGCCGTTTCCTTTGCGGATGATTGGAACACCAGTTGGGTATTGCGCTTGGATGCTCTTGTCCCCCCACACTTTGTCGAGTACTTTGTAAACCTGGATCTTTTCTTTGTACTGAGATTGTGTGAGTCCGAACTTGTCACGACCCCATTCCGCGACCAGCGCGGCTCTCATCTCGCTGGGGAACAGCTGGGCGCAGACAGCTTTCACCGTGACAGGCTGGGAGCTAGACCAGATCATCACTTTGTGTTTTGCGAATATTGATGTCAGAAAGGCATCCAGGCCATGTCGTTTAGCGAACGAGGGCGGTAGACGGCGATGACGTCGATAGATCAAAGTCCCGTTAAGATCAAGGATAATCAGGAGAGGTTGCCCGGAGGCTAGACGTCTAGGAGGCCTGGAAGCTTGCTGCATGTACTCTTTCGTGGGCACCGGGGCCACAAGGGGACGTGGTCCTCTGAGCTGTTGTGGTGTTGCATGACGAGCGTTGTTCCTAGCATTTGGAAATCTGGACGTATCACCCCCAGCTGGCGCATCTGGGTGAGTGTATGCTCCAGAGGGTAGGACCTCCAGGCTTTGGGAGTTGATTTTATTTTGCTGACCGAAGACATCCATGAAAGCAGCTGCAGATGCAAGAGCTACTAGATCAGAACCAGTAGGGACAGGGACATTTCCTAGAGGAGGGATGCCAAAGAGATTATACCCCACCCCGTAATGTACTGATGGCGGTTGGTGTTGTTGTTGTTGCTGCTGTTGACTGTGCAACTGTTGCTGAAACGGCGGGGCGTAGGGGTTTGGCACGTTAATCTGGCTTGGGAGGGGTGACCAATAAGAATTATGAATGCCAGTGTTATTCACATCGTAAAGAGGAGAATTCTGATGGACACATCCGGGACTCAAACCGGATACCCCCGCATGCTGCCAATGTAACTGCTGGTCTGGAACCACATTCGAGTGACCAGATGAAGGCTGGTAGGGCGGAAAACTTGAATGCGTCTGACCATCACCATTCATAGGAATACCAGACTCGCGCTGTATTTCCTGTTGGCCATCACTCGCAGGATACTGATATGCAGCGGCACTTTCACTGGCGTGATTTTGCGACTGATAATTTTGCGCCCCCGTCGCAGACACAGGCTTCCAGCGGTCCCGAAACGGCCTCCAGCAGCCTCTGTAATTGTTCACTTCATCCTCCTGAGCGGATTCGATATTAGGTCCATTCGGATTCTGCACGTCGATGTGGCCGCGCGCTTGCTGTCTATTCATCGCCTGTGACTTTCCAGGACTGCGCTTTTGTCGCTTCTCCGGTTGCGCATGTTCCACGCGCCGCGTGGAGTAATGGCTTGCTGATAACTGCTGCTTGGATCGCAAATGAGCATACATTTCCGAAATAGTTATCCCAACTTGCTAGATATTTCTCGACAGAGAGTATTTACCTTATTCGCTCCCTCGAACATTCGACAAGAGAGTGTGGATCTCCAGACGGGGAGATCAGTAGGGAGCGTAAGCAAGGAAAAAAAAGACTGAGACCTCCGTCTGTAGGACATAAATCAGACCTCGCTGTAGACTCCGAACGAGACAGAGCCCAGCGATTGAAGAGAACGAATCGATAGTTTCTTTCCAGACACCGCGGAGGCGAATAGTTTAGTTTATCTCGAAAGTCCCTCCCAAAGTTTCCCGCCCAGGCGGACAGCGGAGCGGAACCAATGATTTATCGTCTTTTGAGACACCGCCTCCAGGAACGGCAGTATCTTAATTTTCCCACTTCACCGCCGTGGTTTATCTGCGATCTGCCAGATCCTTCATTGCGCTGCTCTGTTGCGGGGAAATCTTTGTACAGAAGGCACTTGTCAAGGTGATTACTTGTTCTTTGTGAAATTCTCGAAAGGAGGAGACTCTTCACGACGTACTCCCCGCAATATCTTCCCCATGGGCCTTTCAGACGCCCTCAACCGGCGCGTTCGGGCGCGGCCGCAAGAAGATGAAGAGATCTACTCAGAGCTTTCGGCATCTGACGAATCGGGTGAAGAAGTCTCTGGATCAGAAGAAGAGGCAGACGGTACAGATCTGTCAGATGCAGGATCAGAAGATGACGAGGATGACGCCTCCCAGGCTGAGGACGATAAGGTACGTATCGATCATCAATTTCTGCTTTACGGCGGGGTACTAACTCTACGGTACAGTCAGACAATGACTCCGGTGACGAAGACGAAGACGAAGTTGAAGAAGGCGAAGAAGAAGAAGAAGAAGAGGACATCCAATCGACCCTAAACAACATCTCCTTCGGCGCCCTCGCCAAAGCACAAGATTCCTTCGGAAAGCGCAAAAAATCATCCGACACGACAACCAAACCGTCCAATACAAGCTCCACAGTTGAAGAAATCCGCGCTCGACTGCGCGAAGCGCGAGAAAAGAAACTCAAAGAATCTTCCAATTCCAATGGGAAAGATGCCTCGAAACTCTCCCGCTCCTCCAAGCACGCACCTACAATACAATCGTCCAAACGTGCCGTATCGCGTAAGCGCATCGTTGTCGAAACTCCTGCGACTGCTCAACCTCGCGATCCGCGCTTCGATCCAACCGTCCTCTCGAACAGCGGCGCAAGAAGTAACCCCAACGCTGCGAATAAAGCCTACTCTTTCCTAGACGAATATCGCGCCTCGGAACTCAAGGAACTCAAGCAACAACTTGCCAAGACAAAGAATCCTGCACAGAAGGAGGAATTGAAACGTAGGATCCGCTCTACGTCCGACCGACTACGGGCTATCGAGGATAAGAAGCGCGAACAGGAGATCGTTGCGGAGCACAAGAAGCGCGAGAAAGAGCTTATCCGGGAAGGAAAGAAGAGCAAGCCTTATTTCCTCAAGAAGTCCGATATCAAGCGGGAGATGCTCAAGAAAAAGTACGAGGCGATGGGATCTCGGGAGAGGGCCAAGGCTCTGGAGAGGAAGAGGAAGAAGATTGCCGGCAAGGAGAGGAAGGAGATGCCGTGGGGTCGGAGGGGTATGGAGGCCGATACGGGGGCTGGTGGTGGAGGTGGAAAGAGAAGGAGGACAGAGGAATAATTATCCTTCTTCCTTGTCTTTTTCGTATTTCCGGCGTTGTCTATTTCTTTCGCATGGTCTTTCTATATGACAGTTCAACCTATCCCTCAAGTAGGTAGGGGTTACGAGTTCTTCAAGGTCTTCCTACACCACTACTAGAACCGGTAGTTATACATGTACGGATAATAGCCTACATATTCCCATCCAATTACGATGGAAAATAAAGATACAAGCACAACTAAACCAGCCAACGATCTTTGATTAATCTCTGTCGAGCCTACTTTTATCGGACCTCTACAGAAGAACCGACCAAGCATATATGCCACGCCTGGAGAACGGATCCAGTATAGATAGAATAAGCAGCAGAAAGGCTATAAAACACAAAAGCACGTCAACCAATGCGCACGAGCAGAATCCACTGCTGAAGAATAGACTATCCTCTCCACTGTGGGAGAAGTATTAAACGCGGCAACTCAACGCCGCTAATCAATCGCAAAACGAAGGTCCCGTAAGACTGAGAAGCAGATTGCATCGGTCCTAGACACCCTTCAAATCCCTATTCCTCTCAAAAGGAAACGTGTTTAAGAGGTCACATAAACCACTTCGCACGAGAATGTAGAAAATAGTTTCAACAGAGAAAGGGGGCATCAATGTAAGTAAAAAGAATAATATCAAGGGAATCACTACAGGATTCCCTTTCGATGGTTGAATGTTCATGCTGTTCCCATAATGTTCGTTGCCCTTCGCGTTCATCATATGCCCAATTATGAAATGTAAGTAATGCCAGTGCCGTTACCCAATGCAAGACACAGCTTCCATTCCTAGCCAAATAGCGCGCAAGAATGCTGTATCACTATAATACCGCTTTTCCACAGCTAAAACGCGCTCACGGATCTTTCTTGAGTGTCCCTAGAAACCGCAAGACAGACAAGAAGTCCGGTGAGCTCGATCTCTGCGGTGAAAGCGGAGAATGAGAAGAAGAAAACTAAGAATGGAATAGATCCCAAGCTCGTGAGCAGAGACTCAAGAATTCTTCCTTCTTTCTTCGCTGTGTCTCTGGTGAGTCCCTTCCGGCCCCGAATGGACCATAGTATGCGGAAACGGGAGGGCCACCAGTCGCAGGGCCATTCCTGTAGCGCGTATCTGGGCCGTTCCCAAGAGGAGGGCTTCCGTTGTCCTGTTCATATTCGCTCCTGGGACGCCGCCGCGATGTACCATGACCAGCGCTTGAAATGGAATTTACGCGCTCACTCGACGGAGCGGTAGCGCTGGCGTGCTGTGCATCCTTGGATCCAGTATGGACCAATGGAGATGGGGGAGTTGGAGGTTGATGACCACCATAGTGCACTATCCGCGGTAACAGCTCTTCCCGGCCTCCTGCGAGTTCGTGTACAGCCTCCTCAGCTGAACGGTATTCGCGCGGTCGCTTTGGCATCTGGGACGGTGATGGTAGTCGAGGAAGACCGTTCGATTGCGATGGTGTTGTGCCAGAAGGGTGATGGCGATCACGGGGTCCCAAGGCATCTGATCCGAAAACGTCAGAGATCGGAGGCAGACGGTTGTTCGTCTGGTTTGCAGGAGCATGGTGAATATGCGACGAAGACAGGCTAGGGATCTGATGAGAAACGTGACGAGTAAGAGTCTGAGGCTGGTGCCGGCCAGTGAAGGTTTGGTTAAGAGGAGCAGACTGGATCACTCGCTCATGCGCAAATTGCGACGCGGGGGGTGCCACGATAGACAAGCCAGGCGGTCGCTTCTTCGAGGACTTCGGGCCAGAACCAAACAGGTTTGATTCGGACGGTTTCACCCCGTCTGGACCGTCGCCCTTGGCTGTCTTCTGCAGTCTCGACTCAATTATCGATCTTTGTTGGTCTCTCACACTGATACTGCGCTGTAGCTGTTCCCTCATAGCAGGGTCGTGCGTCTGAAATCCTGGAGAGAGACATGCGATTCCAACTTCCTGGATCCCCATGGGTTCTCGTGCAGTCATAGGACCTCCGGGTGCACGAGCACTCAATCCGCTGCTGGCTGGTAGGCTAGCGGAAAGGTCAAGTTTGCGCGGACGATGTCTCGAATTTGTCTGCAGGCTAGGCGACGACGGGGGTTCCTTCTTCACCACGATCTTTGGGGCATTTGCTCCGCTTTGTACGCTATCATCAGTCAGTTAGACAAAGCCCTGGGAATGGCACCGAGGCAGATTTTTGAGTCCACTCACGACTGGGGAGAGCGTTTCCGGTCAGACGGGGAATTCTTCTTAGCAGAGCCATCCTGAGAGGCTGTAGACATTCTGGACGGAGTAGAAACAGACGGCGCTGTTGACATTGATGGAGCCAAGGCGGGGTAATTCTTGGGACTTTGATCCCGATCGACGTGGTGTGCTGTCAGAGGTGCCGCCGTGGCAGGAGCAACTACTGTGGTCATGCTGGAGTGAGAAATAAGTAGTCCCTGGGACTATATCCGTAATTCAATCGAGTCCAACTCGAAAGCAGCGTGATTGGAGTGGAAATGACAGAATCGCTCGAGCAAGTGTTCTGGACGTTGAATATGCGTGACCAATATAGCAGGATGCGCTGAGACTTCGAGTTGTCGGACGCTTCCAATATAAAATCAAGACAGACCGATCGAGTATTCCTCGCAAGAAGACAAGCAGTCTGAGACTGTGTCGCACTTTTCTATAATATCTGCTGAACCCCCTTACAGGATCACTTTCGTTGGTGGGCTGTGTTCTTTGCACACCCTTGGAGCAACCAAGATCCCTTCTCCTCCGGCGGCGGTTACGCTTCAATGTGGAGGAAGCGCCGAGGCAACGAACAGCTGGATGGCAACGATGCACACAATACCAGGATGATTACTGGAAGGGTTGTATAGATGTCACCAACGGGCGGGTAACGGAGCGCGCAGAGTGGATGGAGGCTGCAGGGGAACGTCCGTGATGACGGCGGTTAAAGTACGGCCGGGCGGCAAAGTGAGAGAGTCGAGAGAATCGACCAGCTTGACTGACCCAGAACAAGAAGCGAGAGAAATGGATCTAAGTCTGAGAGAAGGGCCCAGCCGCCAGGTATTACAGCACGCCAGAACAAGGTCAAAAGAACGGACAGCAGACCGGGGGGGGGAAGGGGTTTGGGGTCAGAGTTTCGAAAAGATGGGACTCGGGGAGCGAGATACAATTATAGCATCTCTGGTGTGAGAGAAGAGAGGGGGGAAGAATAAGCTGTGGTCTTCCTGGGGCCCTTTTTGGGGCTGTCCTGTCAGCACAGGGAGGGGAGAGGACCGGATCCCGATAACTAGTGTAGTGACGGGGCTGGTGGAGAGACAAAGGGACAAGACACGACACGTCCGTGATGTCCCATTGGGGCAGCACAATAATGGAATATGTTCATCATTGATCAGGGTCTTCTTCTTTTTTTTTTTCTCTCAACCCATGGGGTGGCGCCCGACAAGGAGACACGCCAAGTGCAGCAGCAGAAACACCGGCAGCCGCAGCCCGCGGACACTTGGCTTGGATCGGATGCTGAGACATGGGAGATCCTCAGCGCCGGGTCGTATGGATCTCAAGTCGCTAACTAGGAGTATTATTGTCTCTACCGCGATCCAAAGAATAATGGCAGCTAGTTAGTCTATCGTCTAACTCTCTGGATGATGAACTACTCTCTGAAGTCTGAACCGTTTGGCTGACCACCTCACCTCCCCAATGAAGCTATCTATCTATCTATCTATCCATCTATCCATCCATCCATCTATCCCGATCACCGCACGAACACGCCCTTCCTTCTCCTCGTGCCTATCAACCTCATGGGCCAGAACGAGCTTCAGACGAACGACGATCGAACCAACGCAAACCCCCCGCGCGGCTCCTCAATTCCGAACGACGGTGTCATAGCTCCTTGGCTGCTTGGCCCAGTCGAGAGTCGAGAGAGGATCACAAGATTTGATTGTCGGTTTGAAGAATCGATAGTCTGAGAACCCCACTGGGGGCCACAATCCAGTTGAACCTCGATCGGACGGCGGCAGGGCCGTGCAGACCAACTCCTGTGGCAAACCTGCGACACCAGCGCCCTCACCATCGACGCTGGTCGGCCTCTACCATGGTCTGACGCTGTCCTTTTCAAGTCAGCCCTCTGCTCAGAGTTTTGGACCGGTCAATCCCTGCCATTTCCTGGAGATCCAACCACCTGTGTCAGAGTGTCAACAGTATCTACTCTAGTCTAGCCCCAAGTGTCTCGCAGCCGGAGGAGTGAACTGTGCGGCGCAGGAGGCCCTCTTGACTGGATCGGGAGCCCACGCTGCATTTTAGCGACGGCGGGTTATAGATCCAAGTCGCAGTCCTCCAAACCCATCCATCCATCATTCTCCAGGTGGATCGGCCTTTGCGAGCAGTCGCATTGTGACATGCCTCTTTGGCCTCGGCCGTAACATCGCCCGCCAGCATTCCCTTCAAAAGACTGCCCGTAGCACTATTTGCTCCTCAGGCATGTAGGGAGTTCGGCCTGATACATCCATTCTTCTGACCCGCATCGTTTTGACACTCCGAAACAGTGCGCGACTGAGAGAGCCATATCTACGGAGTAGACACAATAATAATAATTAAACCCAGGTTACGATCGCGGGCCTCTCTGGGGCTCGTTCAAGGGTACCTTTTCGGATCGTAGCGCGAGCTACAACGTACTAGCAATCCAGTGCAGACGCCCGTATTCTACTGAACACCATTCAAAACTTGTTCGTCCTCAAATTAGGCGGCGGCCCCTGCTTCTGTTGCGCTCTCCCGGAACCAACCTCCAGGGAAGCTTCCACTATCACGCAACGCAACAGCAGGTTTCATACATTTATTTCAGAAAAGAGCTTGGCGTAATGCGATTTGGTTGCTCTAGACTATACAAAGTAAATGCTGTTATACGGACATGACACTGGGTATTCACTGCATGGAGTAGTAGTTACAAGTGGAAAAGCGAAGATCCAGCTGCTCGGTTGGCCTGTCTGTTTCATGTACGTGGGCTCTTCCAGTGCACAGTCCACCTTCATTCGAATATTTTCGGTAGATTTGCAGCACATCGCAAGGCACGGACCTTAATGAAACGGATTAAGGCTTATCTGCAACAGCCTACGGAGTACGGAGTAGTAGTCACTACTGCGGCTACTACGCTTGAGCCCTTTCCCCAAAATGTCCATTATTATATGTATTTTGCAGGACAATAATGGATGGAAATAATATGTTCAACGGCTCAGCATGAATATCGCATTGAGCAGCCTACATCCCCGGGACCCGTGTCACAATTCTTTTCTTAAACCCAGCCTGGTTTGCGACGGAAACTGTCACGCGTCATTTCTTTCCCCCGAAAGAGTCAATGATGGGATGATCCCCCCCCGTCTCTACTGTGTAACTCCACGAGGCAATCGTGCCAGGACCAGGAAATGGGATGCTATACTGGAAGTCCATTGCGACCTGAGCACGATAGCGTGGACCGGCTTACAAGGACATCGACGAGGCCAAAAATCTGGGCAGCCGCCAGCGCAAGTGCTTTGTAAAAGAGCACCATCATCATGATCATCTTAACTAGGCACGTCTCGTCACTCCGGTGATCTCGCCTATTCGTCGATATCCCTGTCCAGGGTTACAAGCGCCCTGGTTCTTCGGGTGGGAGCCTTACAAAGATATTACGACTGAGAGGAGAAACGCACGGAGATAGATGCATGACACTATTTCTTTTTGAGATCAGAACATCGGCAGGTCCAGAAGCCCTTTCTGACTGAATCTTGGGGGATTCTGGCAGCACGCTTTGCCCTATGGCCTAGAACCACACACAAAAAGGTGCGCCATTGACGGAACCTATCGCGCGCGGACACGGTAACCTGCGATTTGGGGCCCATATCACCAACACGAACTGCCACCATGTGGGCATTTCATCCAGTTTGATTCTCGTTAGGATCAGGTTCGAGGGTACTATTCAAGTAATATGTAATATGTAGACTGCACGGTCGCCGTCTTATCGAATAACTAACGCGTCGTTGAGTACGAGACGTCACACAAAGGGTCCTACTCAAGTTACAATTTACAACCCATCACACCTGGTGTCGACTCGCCAAATGACGATCATCGTTATTCACATCGTATGAATTGGTATCTCAACCGCCATGGCCTATAATGGAAAATGCTTCTTCGACTCCTTGGTTCTTTTGCGGCGTATTGTAGTCTCCTGCGGCGCTTCTGCCTGGACAGGCCATTCTAATTGTCCATTCTACACTGCTGGCACATAAGTGTCTGGTCCCACCAGACATCGTTCTATAGCGAAGGAGTATACCTTGAAGCATCCTTACCCAGAATGGAGTGCGTTGACGCCGTAACATCGACCAGGCGATGGGGCTCATACGACCAACCAAACCAACGATTCTGGTGTTTGTGGTTGAATCCCGAGAATTCGGAAAATGATGATCTATCTCTCCATTGAACTAGCAGGAAGCTTCTCTAGATACGAGAACTAAACATCTCAGGTCAATGCTCAAACACGTGGCTAACCGCCCGCCGTCTCTCCCGGGCTCATTTCTTAGGTGCCGCGCACTACATAATCTACCAGCTACGAGTTGCTTGCCAAGTGAGGCTTCCCTGTCCACGTTCAGATGGCATCTGATCTGATCAGGATGCTCTCTTTATGCCTGGCATTATTATCCAGCACCGTTCAAAAGTAATCGCCAATCGTGCCATTTCCTGAACAAGCCAACAGTTAATCTGCAAGTACAGTATTCACCACGACATCCTTATCGATTGGTCTGCAAGAAAATTGTTTAATTACGGAAAAAATCTCATTCGGCCAGCAGAGTAGACACAGCCGATCCCATGACCTCACAATTCTGCATTCAAGCAACTAGATACTCGTGGAAGAGGAATCGATTCGTGACACATTTCCCGATGATCTCCAGAGGGATTATACCCCGATGCCTCCAATGCCCCCATATTATTAAACTTAATTTGGTGCACGTTACTATCGAGATCTCAAACGACGGCTCCATTCGGCCCGTTGTAGGTAGTGTAGCACGAAGAATATGGAAATCTTCGGAGTTAGTATTCTTTTTTGAATTTTGTCTGTGCTACCTGTCAGCGGGCTGTGGCTTTACTCCATACGAGTTTCTTCTCTGTTCAATAATTCACAAATGGCTCCCACTCACACCTCTTCCTGGTAAAGCGGCACTGTCAGAGGGATCCCAGCTAAAAAAAGCCTGATCATCCAAGAGAAGACGAAAGGAAGGGGAACAGAAAAACAAAAAAGGGGGCGCAAGTGCCAACATGATGATCACTTTAGGCTTACTCGGGTTACTTAAGATCCCCACACTGTCAAAACAACCACATGGCAGATGAACAACGAAGCCGTTGATGCCTCCTTGTCAGACTCTTTTTTTTCTCCGCAATGGCATCATCAATGGGGGTCCTCAAGGGTTCCCAAGACTCAGAACCAGTTCGAAAAAGAAACAGGAAAAAAAAAAGTAGCGTGAAACTCGGCCGTCTAAAAAATTAGGATCCAGCTTTTCGGGTGAGTCTTTTTCTTCTATCTAACTCACTCTAACTATTATTATTGTTCCTTTCTATCTATACTTAGTTACTGTAGTCTATCAGTTACTTACTCTACCCACTAACCCGTAGTTACTCAACTCTTTTCTTACTTGGAACTACTCCATATTCTGCCGCGTTGAGCCCCATCCCGTTCCCGTCTCTCCCCATTCTTCGTCCGTCCCCAGCAGTCTGGTTTCAACGATGACTAGTTAGTCGATCAATAACGGATGGAGATGGCGGCCACTGCCGGAACCTGGAAGACAATCAATCAATAGTGGACCTTCCGCAATAGTAATAATAATGACGACAAAGAGGCCGTCTGAACGGCTCAGGGACCCATCTAGAAGTACTTTCGAAGTTTGGAGTAGTTCCTCAACAAGTTCCCGAGGTTCCAAGGTTCAGGATAGGCTTCTTCGTAATAGGGATAGTCGCAGCGGCTGATGATCAGGTGGAATTGCTTAGCATGGAAAGTAGTAACTAGTAGTCCGCCTACCCTTTGCTAGCCTTCTAAGACTGTGAGGCCGTTCGGGGGCCAAGAAGAGTTGTGGTTCTATTCTGCTAATCCGGAGGTTGAAGACATTCTATAACTATCTAACTAGTCATGGTGTTATTCCTTTGCTTCCTTTGTATGTTCCAAAAAATATGACTAGATATAGTTATGGACTAGGTAAAGTGTGCCGACACCATGGAATGGTTATTAACTAGTATGCAGTAACTAACTTTCTGTGAGAATCCGCTGAGATATCGAGTATCTAGGGATCTTCTGGTGTCTAGCTAATGTCATTATGTGCGGGATTTCTAATGTTTTAGTTTTGCCTCTCTGGGGGAAGTGAGCACCGAGCGTATTGTTCTTCTTAGCTACAGCCATTCACCCCATAGATAATCTATATTGCAGACTTGAGCTTGCTCTCTACTAGTTACTCGTACCCTTGGGCTGTTCTTGATCGTCTCTATCTTCAATCGACTGGTGCTCGTCTAGCCATCATTTGCCTGCTCATCTATCGACTTAGTGGACTATTTAGTGAACCCTATTACCTATTTCCAGATGTCGAGTTTCTACAAAATATCAAGCGTAAGACCACAAGCCGTCGCTCCACACGTACAGAAATCGACTATAGATATATTGAAATGCTGCATATAGTCCCTTCCTTCTGATCTCAACTGTTGTCATTGTGATTCATGTCAAATGGCCAGATTGACCTCAGAGTCTTTTCATCTCTTACCGGCTCATCATCATCTGAATCTGAGTTCTCCAAAACAGCCTGCAACATCCCATTGAAAAGTTCCTTCTGGGCTGCCTGTGCAGCTTCCCAGCCATCCGGAGGTACCCATCCGTCCGACGCGACATTTAGCAAGCTAGATAAATCAGTTCGTAGATTCTGTGCCGCCACAAAAAGTCTGTACTCCTTCTCATGTTTCTCAAGTTCTTCTCGCGAGGGTAAAGGATAAGGACATTGACCTTCAAATCCTAGCTCGTTCCAAAGCCGAGCAGTCTCAATCATCTCGTGGCGTAAGGCTACCGCGCCATCCTTCCATGTTCTGTAACAATAAAGGAATGGTCGAAAAAGGTTATCATTCATTAACCTTGGATTTGCGAGTTTTGCTGTATAAAACTGTGAACAAAGATTAAAAGCTTCGGTGCATATCTCACTTCCCGTTGCAAAGTCAGGAATCTCGTCTGAGTACCAAAACGCCGGCTCGATGCTGGCTGCTTGCCAATCAATAATGCCAGTGATAGTAGAAGGATTGTCTTCCGAAACAAATATATTCCTCATATGCAGGTCCGGGTGGAACAATAATGGTGTGGCGGAATTACTGATTTGAATATTTGCGGCCATCTGCTTTAGCACGGGACGGGTATGCTCTAGAAGAGCCAAATGCGTTTCAGGCGAGCCATGATAGATTGGTCTCTCGGGTTCGGTATCTACTGGAGGGACTCGTGAGAGACCAGCGTCAATGAGGCCATCACAGTATTCGTCAATAGTGAGCCCTAACAGATTTCTGGTGGTAAGCACAATTGCCTAGTAGCAGGGGCGTTGACGCAACGTACATGGGCCAGTGTTCATATTCGCGTGATGATAATATCTCCTTTCGCCAACATTAGTACCCCAGTATCTAGTACCGCAGTGAGGCCCAATACAAAAGCCATCATCTAAGGGCACTTTGCGAGCAGATCCAAGAGTATCCTCGAAGTACATGCTCCCAAAAGCGGGGAATTCCAAATCGGCGATTTCTTTGATCGTCCGGTAGATTGCATGTATGCACCTGACTTTCTGGTCGCCGGCCATTTCATGCCATTTCTCATGTAGTGGAACGCCAGTTGCATGTTCCATGATGATGTACTCGCTACCGACAGTATTCGTTTCATCACTGGCGTCATAATTGTAGTCGAGAATTCTTGGTATGGGAATATTCGTCTTCGTTTGTACTTGATGCAGGTTGATCAGAGCTAAGGTAAGTGGTGCGATAGGGCGATAAACTTACGGTAACGAACTGTAGCAACCTCAGAAAGAGTGGTCAGTTGCGCAGGTCCTGCCAACCGAAACGGGAGCCTTGCGACGATGGTCTTCGCGCTGTCCAGGGTGAAGATAAAGACTCTGTTGAAGCCACCTTCAATTTTTCGACAAGCCTTTATGTGACTTGCTCCAGGGCATAGCTCAATAACCTTTTTGCAAAGAGCACCAAAGTTGAACTGGATGTAGCGCGAATCAGTCTCCAGTCTGTCACGCCGCAACCACCGACCGCTCGTGTAAGTATGGGGGTTTATTTCTATGCCATTAGCATGGAAAATCAAACGTAGAACAAGAGCAAATGGCTCACCAAATTCCAATCCTGTATCTATCGTGCTCGCCGTCGAAATCGTTGCACCGTCAGCACGCTGCAGTCGAGAAGTTAAACAAGTCGGCCGGCAAAGGAAGGGTAGAGACGAAGGGCGGCTAAGTCGACTTGGTAAAGCCCAACACAAAGGGTGTCTCAAAGGCGGCAGCATCTTGTTATATATTAGAAGCCATCTGTTACAATTTGCCTGAAATAGAACGATCTCTAGCTTATTCAATGGTCATAAAGCAACCGTGTTACCAGGCCGAGTCGGTGTTTAGTTACTTTTGATTGGAGAGTTTATGTAAGAATCAACTACTTATCTACCCACTCTCTTTCCACTTCATTACACCTTTCATACTGTCCCACCCTCAAGACACTCACTACGACTGCAAGCATGGCTTATGAGCTGGGAGAAGTAAAACCCTCTGATGTAGTGTTCCTCGAGAAGCTGAAAGAGTCCAAGAACTCTGTTGTTTTCAAGGTGGCTGTCTGCGGAAAAACATGCGTTATGAAAGTGGTAAGTACCTAGGTATATTCTCCTGATAACTAGGATGTCGCTAAGCTCTACTAGTATCATACTAGAGGCCCGTCTGAATAGGACCCTCCGGACCGTGTAATAGAGCTCTTTATCTGCGAGTCTACTGCCTACCAGCGGCTGAAAGCAAAGGGGCTATGTGGGCGACGAGTTCCCGATTTTTATGGCACAATTACAGAAATACAGCCAACTCTCTGGCCAAGCTTGCATATGTTTATTGACGACGAACTTGCCCCAAATGCTATTATTATCGAGTATATTGCAAATATGGAGCCAATTGGCTTGTCTAATTTCTCGGAACATCGTCTGGCGGAGCTTTCTCATATCCTTGAGGATATCCACCGGGCCAAAGTTCTTCATGGTGATCCATACCCAAGGAATATGATGGTAGTACCAGGAGAACAGGAAAGAGTGCTTTGGATCGACTTCGATTCTGCTCAGACTTTTTCAGAAGGGCCCGGGCCCCTTTCACCAAGACAAGATACATGGTTTAAGGAAGAAGTTGAGATGATGGAATTTTTTGTTCAAGCTCTAGTAGGTTCCAGTCTACTTGCTTATAGTTCTAACTGACTGTTTGCAGGCTGAAGATTATAAGGAGGGCAAGATCAATCGCACACGTCCTTACTATTACGAGTTTGTGTAGAGGACATGTTGCGATAGTGTTATCATTGGATATTGACGATCTGATTTGCTGAACTGTGTAGACATGGGAGACACGTACTACATGGTTTTATTCGATGTGCGTATCCAGATCAGGTAATTCAGACCCGGAATGCAACGATGGTGTCTCCTACAATCGAAAGGCGAACTAGTCACTTTCACATCCTCATTCCATCATGCTCACTGGAAGAACACCCAATCTTGAGTGGTACACTGCCGGGCTTTCTCTCTTCCACCGCTCACCATTCGGACATACTTCCTTTCTCATCTATTGACCCACGGGACCAAGGACCGGTAGTATATAGAATCTAAAAAAGTCCTCCTGTGCGATCTTGAGAAAAGCTTCCTCATCATCAATGACTCCCTTTTAGACCTTTCCAACTCCCCAGTATCAATATAATTCCACGTATCATACGTGGGGACGATTGTTCCCAGCCCTCGTGGTGGATGCAATACGGTATACAGGGGCGATCATGCCGAAAGTGGCAGGACTAACCGTAAGGGGGAATTCAGAGGTCCTCGCTTTACTTCGCAAACAATAATAGTCATTAGAATTCCAAACTCAAAAATAGTCAGAAATTGGTGTCTCTACCGCCTTACGGTTTGCAGAGGTGCAAGCTTACTACAACTAATAGTTTTGATGTTCCTCAACGCCAACAGAGGTGACGATTGGCTCAAAATAATATCAATGGAATTCAATGTCCGATAAAAAGAACCTAGAGTATCTGATATTACGAGATAAATCTATCTCGTTTAATATCTACTTCGAGCATCGAAAATAGTTATTCCTTTACCACATTAATTAATTCCTCGTTCGATAATTCCAGCTTTTAACGACCAGGACACAGTTGACTCGCCCGGTCAGAGCGGGAAGGGAAGAAATTTTTTGCCGCCGAAGCCAAGACTTCGCGATAATCAAATCAGCTTCAAGCACCAGCAAGGACTGTATTAGCGTTATCCTTATCCATTTTTTATGATTCAAAGTTTTGAAAGATTAAGAGATATATCAAAAAAGAAGAAAAAAGCATTCCTAATATCCTAATTTGGAACATCCAAGGAAGAAGACCGACGACCCCGAAATTGCGCGGGAAAAAAGTGGCAAAAAAAAAAAAAGGACGCCGATAATAATCTTCTATCTTATCACCTGACCCAATTTTGAGAGCAAGGTCAGCGATACTCTAGAATCGGTCATCTTCTGGTCGATCAGTGAGAGAGCAAACTAGCAGCTAGAGAGGGAGGCCGCCCGAAGCAGACAAAGAGACACACCGACTTTAACATACCCTGGTCGCCAGCATGCCGTCGTCAGTACACTCCCAGGACCAAGACCAGTCCATGCTGGACGCACAGCCGGAACAGACGCAGTTCGAGAACGAAGAGTTCGAAATGGAGAAGAAGCCCATCGTTGTTGTAAGTGCTGTTTCAATCTTTCTGTGTGGCTTTTGGAGTTCTCATGTCTGGGTTGGCCTGTGCCGTATATGGCTTGCATTGATGATCAGGGCATGTTGCTGTGATGATTTCCGTTGGATTCTGCGTGTCTCTTGTATAGCGGATATATGTGCTATGCTTCTTGTTATTTTGGATGTTTATTGCCGTCTTCATTTACATCTCGATTTCTTCATTTCCATGTCTTCCCTCATTTCAATATGCCTAACCACGACGAGCTGCTTCCGATCCCATATGTCATGCCACGACTCGAACAGAGAAGAACCGCCCAGCTAACCATGAGTACAGCTACCCGGAGCCACCGAGACAGCAGCCTCCTTCCAATTCGAGGGAGAAGATCACACACTAGGCAACGCTCTCCGATATGTCATTATGAAGAAGTAAGTCCCTTTTATTCATCTCCGTACAATCCCAAAAAAAGAAAAAGGAAAGAGAAGAAAAAAACTAACATACCATCCCAAAAAAGCCCCTCCGTCGAATTCTGCGGCTACACCATTCCTCATCCCTCAGAAGCCAAGATGAATCTTCGTATCCAGACATATGGTGAGTTTCCTTTCCGCAAAATATAACCATCTATATTAATCATACTGACAAATCCCAGACTCCACCACAGCAGTCGAAGCACTAGAGAAAGGCCTCGATGACCTGATGGACCTGTGTGATGTCGTGACTGACAAGTTCACCACGGCCCGTGATGAGTTCAATGCTGCGCAGCAGGATCGGATGACTGCTTGAGAAAAAAAAAAGCTATTTTCCTTCGTCTTGTTTTTGTCTATGGTGAAAAGAAGCTGATTTGGTTCGCTTACTTGGTTGCAATCGATTTTTTATGAATACCATATGTGGGAGTTGCATTTTCCTGTTAAGATATGATAGATAGAGGTGGGCGGGGAAAAAAGCTATAGGAAGAATAGAGATGATACGAAGCATAAGATTATTTGTCTTCATCTAGATGATCCAGGAAGAATGAAACTCTTGTACAGTAGGTAATGGAAAAGAAAAAGAAAATTCGACTTGCTACTCTGACAATATATACATGATTCTATCTGTCTGTTACGCCATGGAAACGCGGATAGGATAAGATAGGGTAGGATTTCTTTCATCGTCTCGTATGCATTTTCGCTGATTTCGAGTAGTGACTGCAGATAATCCAACAGGAATGAAAAGAGACAACGTTCACCATCTCCGAGAAAGTACTTAGTTACGGCCCTCCAGGAAGCCGGAGATGAAGTTGGGCGGTAGCCGAGCAGTAGGGTCCTCCTCAGGACGGAAGTACTTCATGACGTGGGACAGCTGCTTCCAGTAGTTCAGGGTTTCCTGTTTATACATGTCAGTAAGCGCTCGCAGAGAAATCTCTCGTAAAACTAAGAGCAACAGATAGAGAGAAGCCATAGATATAAGGAAGTAATCCCATATAACGCGGCGGTAGTGGGATATGTGATTCCCCACGTCGGCATCCCCATAACAACCTCCCTCCTCGATTGATGGATTGAAAAAAAGCTCTTGACTGACCTGGAACTCAGCATTGCTCTTCTGAATCAGGACATCGACAACGCTCAGCTGGTTGACATAGCGGTGCTGCTCGAATTCCTGGCGGATCTTCGTCCGGATGGCTGAGACGGGCATGTTCAGGGAGTACATGGTCTGGATCTCAGGGGACTGTTTATCAAGACGCCATCACGTTAGCAGCTGGATGATATTCAGGTTTGCGACATCGTAATATGTGCACTCAATGGCATTTTATGCGCGAGGCTCGAAACCGACAAGGCAGTGCAGGAATGGCGACATCATGCTGAATTGGAAGGGCTACTGACCGCTCGAAGCCAGTGTCTGTATGATCGCAGCACTCGTCTCTTTGCATCAGCCCAGTTGACAGCTGTAGAGGTGATAAAATCGTCAGTCCGACAATCGACCAATGCGGGCTAGGCTATTTGCAAGTTTCGGATCATCGAAGGGGAACCGGGAGACGTACAGGAGCGCGTCTTCTGCGCGAGGAATGTTGGGTTGATAGTCATGGTGTCGAAAATAAAACACTGTATCCCGGTATGCGAATTGGTCCTGGAGACACCAGCTCGGGAGAGGGCTGAAAGGGACAGGGACAGGTTCAGTGACGATGAGCCTGAGTATCGCGGATCTGATGATGGATGGTGGAGGTCGTCCCTCGGCGGCATTGCGGGCCGATGCCCGTTTCGTGCAGCTTCACCGCCTACCATTTCTGAAAAAATTTCTTTAGCTGCGGCGGGTTGCTTTTTTGAAGGCGATGGAAATCAGCCCATTCCTATCCACAGATCGTTAGTCGGATCCTTTTTTTTGTTGCTGTCCCGAGTACAGTAACTAAAGGAATTGGCAATCAAATTCCCAGGTATCCCTTCCAAACCTCTGTTGCGTACAAAAATATCCATCTTCCGCGCATTTCGCCGATCCTTATCAGAACTTTCTCTCGCGGAGCGAGAACTACAGACGCAATGGCTCCAAACCGAGGATCTTCGTCCAAGGGCTCTGCTGGAAAGCCTTCGGGTGGTTCAAAGGGCAAGCCGTCAACTCTATCCTCCGCCTCGCGGGTCAGCAAGTCCAGCGCAAAAGTCAAGCGACCGCCGCCAAAGGAAGTGAAATCCAAGGCGCGCACGGCGCCCGAGAACCTGAAGAAAAAGAAGAAGAGGGAGTATACTGAGAAGGAGCTTGATCTGCCTGCGCTCAACACGATTACCCCCGTTGGTGTGGTGAAGCCCAAGGGAAAGAAGAAGGGCAAGACGTTTGTGGATGATCAGGTGTGTATTGCGGGTCCATACGTCTGGGTGTCTAGGTCTAATTTTGATTATTTTCTGTTCCACAGGAGAGCATGATGACAATCCTTGCTATGGTCAATGCCGAAAAGGAGGGCCAGATTGAGTCTAAGTTGATGAAGGCGCGCCAGATGGAAGAGATCCGGGAAGCGAAGAGAAAGGAAGCCGAAGCAAGGCATGAACAGAAGAAGTCAAAACTCGTACGTCAAAGCTGTCACTTGGCAATATGCTGGAATTGGTATCTTGTTAACGATTTCCACAGGAAGAGACCAAGGACTCCCTACGCCGGAAGAAGCGCAAGAGCAACGGTGACATGGGATCCAACGAATCGGAGAAAGCCGAGAGTAACGGTACAAAATCGAAGGGAAAGCGGAAGAGTGTTTCCTTTGCTTAAATATTGCATCATACCTCCTACCGGTTCTATATTCTATGTCTCTATGTTGGGGTTTGGCGTCCGATTGGCTTGTACATTGTGCTTCATTTCCTCCCAAAAGCGCCATATTTGTCGTTATCATGAAAGGGAAAGGGGGTTCCACCAAAAGAGCAGACGTGTCGAGGTCTTATACAACAATGATATCCGATCGATCAAGGTTCAACTTTGTCCATGTTCATTGCCAGCTTGCGGCGCATAGGGTCGAAATCCGGTCGAGGTGCTGTGTCTGGGTCCTTGTTGGGCCCCTTCTGGCTGGAGATCCGCCCTGGAATGATTTCTGGGTTTTGTACGACGAGGGGGGCGTCGAGGTCCACCTCAAAGGCCATCTTGTTCAAGAATGCCGTCACCTAGACGAGTTGTTAGCAGCGTTACCAGACTCCTTGCTGCGACACGTATATTGTTAGAGCGATCGCAGATTCAGCACGTACCGGCTTCACAAACCAGCGACCCCCACCGTATTCGAACCAGCCAAGGTGGCCTCCCCACGATGTAGTGCACATGACACCGTATGGTGTCTTTGTGATCTCCTGGTATGGTAGAGCTTCCTTCGCCGCAATCTACAATCATGTTAGCTGTCATTATTTCCAAGTCGTTCCTTCGAGGCCCATACCGGGTCATCTTCTGCTTGAACTGCAAAGAACGGAATCCTGATGGCCAGGAGAGAGTCGATGGAGGAAGCGTCACGGTAGTAGGCGCCCTCTGTTGGGTAACCCCATGTCGGACCTTGTAGCGCTCTGCCAGCGGGTCAGATATAGATAGAACAGAGAGGGACTTCTGGTAAGAACTTACCTGTCAAATTCGTGAAGATATGTGATCTTGAGAACTTCCTCTACGTTCACACGCGGGTTCTTCGAGACCTCTTCCAGGTGCCTTAGGAAGTATACGTTAGAACGAACATACGGACGCGTGATTCTCTTCCGGGAAAACATACTGCGAAAACAGACGCTTCATATTCGAACCCATTGTCTTGGAGTAGACTTCCTGTCCGATCCATGTCCTCTGCAGGGCAAGAGAACCGACCTCCAGATTCCATGGGCTGGCACAGAGCACAGCGGCCTTCAACTGGGCATGATCACCTTCCTCTCCGAGGTACTGCAACATATGTCAATATCAATACAACTCGCTGTCTTCTCTCATAGGAAAATGTACTGTACTTACATTGGCGAGAATGTTCGCGCCCAGGGAGAAACCAATGCCGAAAAGCGGCCGATTCGGGAAGGTCTTTCGCAGCCATTTGACGGCTTGCCGCACATCCCACGTCGCGCGAGCGTTATACAGAACGCCACTGTTAATCTTGGTCTGCGCGCAGCCCCTAGAGTTGACTACGCAGATCTCCCACCGGCCGGAGGCTGCGAGCGGCGCAACCACGTGGCGCAAGTAGAGTTCATGCGAGCCACCACTCAACCCATGGAGCATGACCAGCATAGGCTTCGAGTCAGATGAAGGCAAGGAAGCAAATTCGTCTGCGGTAAAGAAAGCAGTCCGTGGCGGCAGGCCCGAGGGGAGCGTGTATCTCCGGGCCGCATCAGTCACCTCTGGATCGGTGGGTGTCTCATAAGGCTCCACGACAAAGTCAATGGCGAATTGTCCGCTGTATTGAGGGTTGTCGGCCTGGAACATCCGCCGTTTGTAGTAGATTGGGATATCATGGGACTTGATAGTGGTGTAGGCGGTCTGTAGATGTCCATTGAAGAGTAACGGGTTTAATTGGCACGATGAAGGTGTCGCTGCACGGCATAGATCTGCCAATGAGATCTGAGACTTCACATCTGCATCATCCGACTTCTTGGAGAGTAGCAGCTCGTTATCTTTCGCATGGTGAAATGAGACCCGGCCGCTGGGAAGAAGCCACGAGGACAGGCCCATCGCGGATGCAGAAATGCGCAGCGCAATGAGAAAAGTCTATATATCTGTACAATTTACTGCTGGATGTGATTGAAGGCAACAACTGTACACAGAACAGATCAAACAACAGGATCTATAGATGCAGAGGGGAAAAAAATTGAAAGGAGAAAACGAATGACGAAGGACATATATTATTGTTGGATGAATCGCGGTCTGCGAGCCTCGGCATCTCAAGACAAGATGACATAATCAGCGTCCGATCTTATCACAACTACTAAAACCCCTAATTGTCGGCCCGACCAGCGCGATAAGAAACGACGATCTGGAGGGGAATCAAAGACAGACTATGGTCATGAGACTTGGATATTCCGCCATCAGTTGACTGTGTCACAGAATCTCACGGTAAGCGCCGGTTGGGGGCCAGGTCTGGTCTATGTCCCCGACGGTCTATGCCCAATCCTTTCTGCTGTCTTCCAACTGCTGAATGAATGTTCCTATCCGGCCGCCGGATGCGGAAACGCAACGGCGTCAACGCTGCCCTGGGCACTCAGGACATGTTACAGACGGAACTAGAACCTGGGGGAGATCCAGACAAGGACGACTCTGGAAGACATCTCTCATGGACCCCTGTTAAGGTTCGCGAGATTGCCGGTCATCCTATGTAATGCTGATTACATCCTCGCGGCGTGCCCCGGCCTCGTGTTCCGTTTGCGTACAAATCCGGTACTTGCGCTTGACTATTTGAAGAGCGTGAGGTACCCTTGTCACACTGGTACTTCATGGGCGCTGTTCACGCGGGGTCTCTGGAAGGGCGGCTATTCACCAGGTCATCATCCATATTAATGTCGCGCTCACGACCATGACAAGGACCGACCGGTTACCTGTTCTCACTCCGCTGCTAGCATTCGACCCCAAGGATATTTATTCGGGATCCTAGGGCTGAACCATGGACCCGGGACAATCGCGTCTCGCCTTCCGGACTGCGCCTCGACGCATCTTGCAGAGACTCATATCCTTAACAGAGACAACGAGGAAACGATCCAACGCGAAGCGATCGCCAGCGCGGAAGAACAGAGGAGAAGGATCGGAGAGATGTCTCCTCCTCGAACTTCCCACGGAATTACTATTCCATATAGTCTCGTATCTTGATCACCTGTCGGAAGCAACCTTGGCTTTAACGTGCAGGCGGCTTTTCGCAATTTCCGGTTCTGCTCTTCGCTCAGAAACGCTTCGGTTCGACAAAGATTTTGCGCCACTGTTTCATCACTATAAAAACGAGCAGAGCTTTGCGACACAGAGATGGAAGCTTATGAAGCTGTTGGAAGATAAGAAGTGGCGCCTCTGTTCGAAATGCCTGAAGTTGCACCCATCTGATGCTTTCCCGTCCAAAGAATTAAAACGGTGTGCTGAGGTTCGAACGTGCAATCTTGGGGAGCTGGCTGGGATTGTCGATCTGTGTCCTTGCAAGAAATTGACTTTTCGGGACAAGCTTGATCTTGTTGATCAGCTGAAGGCACGAGAAGAGGTGCTGCAGGTAATGAGCTTGTCGTGGACGCATCGACCGCCCGAACGCTACTGCTGGCACTCGTGCGTTTCGAGATATGGAAAGACGGAGCTGAAGATCGAGATCTACCCGGAGCTGGACGAAGCTGGACGGCTGCTCGTACGGACCGAGTATCATCTATCGACCGAGCCAACAGCACTGGGAAAGGAGCAACACATGACGCCGCGTTTCGGTTGTGCGCATCGATCGATGGATCTCTGGCTATCTAGCGTCTGTCAGACATTATACTGCCATCTATATGATTCTTTCTGCACCTCCTGCAAACGGATGTCGGCGTGCAGTTCTTGTGACACAGTATTGAAGTGCCCGAAGAAACGACCATACTACCACGCCGAAACAAAGCAAGCGACGTACTTCTTCTGGACCCAGCGGTGTCTGGGGAAGACCACCACACACCCAGATCGGAGCTGGGCTGCGCAGAGAATCCATCCAGCAGACAGTTTTATCACTTGGGATAACTGTCGGGAGCTCTGTCCGTGGACGATCAGGGAACACCCCCCGCTTAGCCGCCCTCCGTCCTTGGGATTGGATATCCTAGACCCTGCCCTAGACGATCACGTCTTACGACAGCTCTATTCGTCAATCCATATGGTTTGAACTGGTTCAGAATAGACCGTATCATGCATACGCTTTTTGGAAGAAGCGCTCACCGTACGTGAGATCAGTCGCATCAGCGGCTTGTCAAGATCTAATTAAAGGCACCCGATCACATTCCCGCCGGCATATGGGAACAATCAACATAAGTATGGGGCAAAAACAAGTTGAATAGACATGCGACATGTGAAATACCGACCGAAGATCTATAGAGCTGATATATACTATCTAATATCATATAGTTCAAGCTAACCTAGTTGGCATAAGTCCCTATGGTTCACTTTTCTAAGTTCCAGGTTACACTTGAGTAGACCGATGGTGTGTGATAGTAGCATACTTAGGTGTATTGTAAAATACCAGCTTTATCCAGCTAGCTTTATGGAGTATTGCTCTGAGTATGCCTAGGTAGTATATCATGCACAGTATATGTAAGGTCGACATGTGCAAGATCAATAAAGCCTATTCCATTGTTACCACATAGTAAAAGGTATCACTGTTCCAGTAGGGATAGTGAGGTCAAGTAGTTGACCATCACTGGAAGCCGCCGAAGATGATCAGGTGGAATTCATATCGTCAGCCGATGGTGAAGAATCTCTGGAGTCCGAGCCTAGAGACTCTGAAGATGATAGCGTTTATATAACTATCTCCTGCAGAATATCTTCCTGAAAGAGTGTGCACGTTCGATGGTCCAGCTGCTTCCTTCGCAAATTCGACCGCTTTAATTCGACATTCCTCTTGAAAATTGACATGCACTCTCTTACCGCATCTCTATCTCAGTTCAGGATATATTTCACGAATTGAAATGGTACCACGCACACAAGTTCCAGAAAATCGCACATAATCATGAGGGATCTCTGGCCGCAACAGACCATCAACGAGTTCAAATGAACGATTAATTCATTGTGATTGATAAATATGAACTCCCTGCTTCCTATCCTATTTTCCTTAGCTCACTATAATGTATATCACTCTAGGCACCTAGATATGGAGAGGCGCAGCAGCTGCCGAACCGAACTTTTTTTTTGTCGAAGAGCGGAAAATCGGCAATCCATAATCTATCCACACGTGGTCATTGAGCAACTATTTCATCATGATAGAGGAGAATCCGTATATCGCTGGAAAGCTGCTGATCTTCGGACACAGTCTGCTTTAACTTGTAAGAATCTTTTAGATATTCTTGCAATCATCCAATACCGATATTGGCTCGGCGTCCACACACGAACATATGGAAACCTTAGGTTTTCTTGGAACTTTGCCTGGTTGGAGATATTCACCTTGGATCCATACATGGTGAATTAATCAGATTATAGTACCAATGAAAGTGGCGTTGTGAAGATTTCCAGTTCACCTTAGAGAATTCCACCTTAGCAAGTAAATATACAGGCTGAGAGGAGGGGGAGAGTGCACCTTCACTTGCAAGTACATCAGTTATATATGCGATGCTTCCCAGTATTCCTCCAAGACTTCTTCCTATCTCTCTATCTCTCCGTCGTCCAGATCCCTCTCTAAATCTGTCGAATCCTTCAGCACGGAAGCAGGATCTGAATTGCTTGCTTGACTCTAGGTCTAGGGGGGGATTTGACCCCATATTTATCTCTAGCATACAAAGAATCTAGATCCTAGTAATCTAGTAGGTTCGATCCAATTCCATGCGGGAACTTCGTGTAACAGATGAATGCAGACCACCTGGCGTTTGCTTTGTACGCCGACAAAATCCATATCAAATATGGCGACCACCTAGTATAGAACGGATGAAGGCATGGAGGAAACGAAGGGACGAGGCTATCCAGAAAGCAAACATCTTACTTCCAAAACCTAGCACACCAGCCCACCGCAAGGTGGGCAGCGACGTATTCCTGCGGGTCACAAAGGGTGCACCAAAGCTATATACCCACCAATTTATTGATAGACAAGGACAAATCGTTCCTCCAGCGAACGTGGCTGAAGAAACGGACGTAACGGACATTATGGTCGAATTAGCGTTGGCAAATGACGACATGGAACTCCGCAGAGTATCAGCACATAATCTGGAACTCTGGGTTTATGCGGTTAGAAGCGGATTATTCGACGCTGTCTTTGGCGTTAGCCACTCCAACTGGCCGAAATGTTACTGATGGGTTACCTGATGGGTGCTATTGCTGGCCTCGTTGGTGTTGAGGAAACCTTCGATTATATCGTCTAGGTCCGCTATGGCATATACATCACCATCACGAGTTACATCTTACAATCCACTCCCAGGCCTTCCGGCCAATCATGCAACCATACAATTCTCAACTTTTAAGCGTGTCAAGGATGCGCTTGAATCCATTCACAAAAGCCTTCAAGACAATGATCTAGAGGGCAACCAATATCTCGTCGTTCTTGGCCTTTCGGATCATGCTTTGAATAAGCTTAAACATGAGGATCATCCTCTTGGCATGAAAAATTGCCGTCTGGAATTAGATGCTAATATGGCTATTATCAAAGTTAAACCTGGATATAGCCATGAGGTACCTCTTGGAGTCTTCACTAGACTCACAGACAATAAACTTGTATTGATGGGCTTTCCACTCCTGAGTGATAGTTATCTCTGGGGCCGAGCAACTACACACGAACCAACTGCCTCAATGAAAGCAAAAGAGGCGGATGAGTCCTTTCATCCAGGATCTAGATTCGGAAATGGGAACGCAGCGTTTCCGTGGCCAACCCTTGTTATTGAGATTGGGAACGCCCAGTCCCTAGCGAAACTGCGTGAAGATGTGCGGTGGTGGTTTGAGAACTCGGAAGGTGATGTGCGGATTGTTCTTTTGATGATAGTTCATCAGAGATCAAGAACTATCACCTTGGAAAAATGGCAACTTGCACCACCCAACACACCTCCTCTAACTCGGGCATCTATCAATGCATTCCGACAGGCAGTTCCTCCAACTATGCCACCCTTGGTAAGGCAAATCGCTGTGAGTCAGCAGCCATATTGTATTTAAGAGACTACAATTACGCGAACTGCTGCCACTGCGCAGCTTATGCTGCCCTTTCACGCCTTGCTCGACAGCGCTCCCGTGCCGCCTCAGTCCGATTTAGTCTTTACACAAGCAGAGCTTGTTCTTATGGCGCAGCGTACCTGGCGATATTTCCTCTCTACTCTTTCTATTTCTTCCTTTATTTATATCTGTGGTTCTTCTCGGTTTGTGGTGTTGATTGGGAGTGGATCGGGGAACAGGGTTTGGGTATCTTGCCTCGGATCCTACTCTTTACCCATTACATTGTTTGGCTTACTTCTTACTAACGCACCAGAATTCGCAAAACTACTACTACAACCACCATGGCTATAGCTACTACTGCCTTTTTCAACTCACGAGACCTCTTACTCCAGCCCCTCCCCGATCTCAACACTAGCTTCCGCCGTACCACGAGTCACGCGTTGCACCCCGTTCATTTCGTTGGAGTCCTACAACCATGGGCAAACTTCAAGTCGGATATTATGAATACGGTCAAATTGTCAAATTTGTATTTCTCGAGGTACCTAGCTAGTGGAAGAAGTGGTAGTAATGAAGGGACTAGAGTCTAATGACCATAATAATTGCCAGATTATAATCTAAGGAGCTTTGGATGTATCTCTATTGCCCCATAGAATGGATGTGAAGCTTATAATATCGCCTCCCATATACCGCATTTTTTTTTCGCCCCTACAATTTTCACCCTATTGCAGTAAAGGTAGCTTCAAAGTGATCAATTCAGCCTCATGGTCTCCAAGGCCATCTGCTCCAAAGAGCGAAGACCTTCAGCGAACATATCGAGCTCCTCTCTCAACTCTCGAAAAAGTCCTTCTATATGCTCTCAAAGCACCTAACAGCTTCAGTGAGCGATCTACTGCTCTGAAGGGCAAAACCAATAGGTACTACCGAACTGGAAGCAACAGAATGTGGATCTGCCATGGAAAATAGGCGTTGAAGTGAAAAAGGATAGAAATACTTCCTGTGGTCCCGATCCATCTATATTAAGGACAAGAGGCCCGTTACAAGATATAAAGTGGCAACACTTGTAGTAGAGTAGAATATGTGGGTGAAATGGCATGGGGACTAAGTAGAGTTAATAAGTCACCTATCAGCAGAGCTAAATGCACAAATTAGGCTGAACGTAAGGTATAAAGTGCTTGAACAAGGAATTTTTACACACGGAAAAAGGTTCTAACAAGACCATGATATGCAAAAGTTTTGCACAAGGGGCCCGTCTGTTGCGTTGTATACTTGGAGGTACATATATCCAAGACGCCTAACTAGTAAATCCCATGATGATCACACTTTCAAACGCCTCTCATGAATTTCCGATGTCACTTCGAGTCGAGTTCGTCATGCTGCTGATCTAGTTCTTTTTCGACCAGGTCCTCGTTTGGGCGAGTTATGCTTGATTCTTTCGTGTTTACGCAGTCCTTGAGATTGGGCGTAGACGTATTCATGGTTACATCTCGGATGGTGACATTTGAGCTTTGAGGACGATTCGCTCAGCGGCGTAGCTGGTCTTTCAATAGGTACGGGCCGCGATTCTCGGACTCTCCGAATCAGGACGTTATCTTGCTGCAACTGAGTTCCTGGCTGCTCAGACATGCCCGCTAAAGCCCTGTGTTTGTAGAGGTGTTAGCACGATACCAGTTGCAGTGGCTGGTTGATTACTGACCGGCTATAGTCTTCATAAATGGCAGGGCTGTGCTGGTTGGTCTCTCTATCGGTAGACTGGTTAGAGAGACCCAATCCGACTGAATTTGACGATTCGTTAGGGCCGCCGAGTTGATTGAAATCAGACTGAGTGCCACTCTGCCCAGTGAGAGAGACAAGAAGCTGCTCATCATAAAAACCGTTCACTCCTTGGGGAAAAGGAGCGTTAATAGAACCCGTGCTGTAATCGTGCTGATTTCCATCCGTCAAAACGACACCGCCACTACTCACAACCAACATTAGTCCTCCACAATCCTCCTCTAATATTTTCATGTGTACCGAACGTCGTCAGGAGTGTCGAGATTAAACTCCTGGCGGGGAGAAGCATATATATAGCTGAACATTACGGATCATAATGCAGCGGACAGGTGGGGATTATGCAATCGTATTTGCAAGGCTATTCTGCGCGTGATATAATGACATGTACCCGGAAAGGCGATTTTCTCTGTCCCATTGATCTTGATCTTGGATTCCCTCTAGCTGTCTCCCCGTCTATTGCGCAAGCCTAATTGTCCTTTGGCGACGATGCTCATTTACCTTGAACGCCTTTCCGAGCAGGACATTCACAGTGGATAGCTCAGCTCATCTCAACTGCCCCCTTCACACATTTCTATCGCGGCCAGTGGGAAGTTCTCTTTCATGTCGCCTGTTCTCTGGTGGAATCGAGCCGCCGACGTTTCGAGGTACCTAGTGCATCTCTATTAGGGATCACTCACAGATACGGCTGCATATCGGTTGCCGAAGGATAGAGGCTGGGATCCAAGAGTTGATAATGAGGTTCATTTTCATTTTGGAACGACAACTCGTCGAAAAGCTCATCGTTGGTGGCAGATGGTCCACTGGTTGAGAATTGAGGATAATACATCTCGAAAGGTTGGTCAGCTAGGGAAACTCGAAGAGTGGTGGAGTAAGATCTAAAGCAAAAGAAAAATAGGCAAGGAATATGTAGAAAAAGCAAAGGATAATGAAGAAAATAGACAATACAAGGGAAACTCACGGGTATTTATGTCTTGGGAAGGCATCGTTTTCGGGAGGGTGTCAGGTGTTGAAAAAAAGCATATTCGCCTTGAGCGAAGTATTGGCAGCGCGTGTGCCGCGAATATTCTCAAATAGATCGAGTCTTCTCTATGGGTGGTGTTGCAATGGCGCAAGTTCGCCAATAGGATAGCAGAGAAACGAGCCTTTCCTGAGTGTTGCGTTGTTTATAACGGCTGAAATATAAGCAAGTTCACCAATCTCACATAAAAGAAAAGAATCGAGCCACGGTCGAAGATCGTCTCACTGCTCTTGGCAAGCGACAAAAGCGGACCAATAACACAGACAGAAATCGAGCATTCTTTTATTTTTTTGCGACCTGGAGCGCAGCCTTCATAAGTTGTGGAGGGTTGCTGTTTGATCAATCCACGTTCTTTCACTGCCCAGCTGCTTAGGCACAGATAGCGCATCGCGAGCGCTGGACTCCCGACAAACATGCATCTCTATTCGTCTGTCCTTTGCCCAATCCTTCGCAAGCATCATCTACCGCTTCATTATCCTGGCACTAATGCTACAATATTCAGTATATTCATGCATCAATCTACACCTATTGTAATTTCGCAGATCGAGCATGACGTAGAGGTACTTGAACATCAGAGTGTGCCAACAGTCTCAGTCCAATCAAAGTATGCAGTATAAGGACTAGCATTGGGAAGTTGGGTGGTTGTCATCCAGTGGAAACCGAGCCGCCTTTTTTCAGATTCTGTACCTCATTATAGAGATGCGTCGATGCTCCTTTTCTCCTGATCCGATACGCCCAGCACGAGTCTCACATATGACTCAATCGAAGCGAAATGCCCAATTCTTGATCAGGCGTATATCACATGGACTTGAGAGGACACACTTTATGGAACTGGTAAGGTGGAAAATCGAGCCTTGCCAGCTCCACCAGGTATACTCCTTACCAAAAGATGGAGAAGACGGGCAGATCTCGCATTATAAATACCAGGTCCATGTCCTCTCTCTATCCCAGCTGTTCAGTCATTCTAGTTGTCATCTAACTGCCAACCAAATTCCTGCATCTGCGTTATCTCTTCGATAGCCAATATACGACCGTTTATATATGCTGTAAGTCCTCTTCATACAATCCAGTCCGAGTCAAGCTAACTTGCCAAAGGCTTTGCCTCTCTCCGTTTCGCAAAAGCAACCCCCCAATAATGGCACAAGAAATCCCTCAGCTGTTCCCACACGCACCACGGTGCTGTGAGCTTAGAATGACTCGCCGCAAGACCCAGGGTAACAACAACGGTAATATCAACAGACCGTTCTATTCTTGCGAAAAATGCAACCGCATGGTGTTTGATGATCTGGAGGGCATCAGAGATGGGAACCCTTTGTGTGAATGTGGGAAGACTTCACGTGGGCAGATAGAACGTGGCTGTGCTTATGTTTTCCGCTGCGCGAGGCAGCAGTGTCTGTATCGGGAGGAGCTGGAGCTTTGAGGAGATCGAGTAGAACTACGCTTATTCTTGGCGGGGAATGGACTATCGGCTTGAGGTAGAGGGAATGAATTCCAACCCTTTTCTTTTGGCTTACTTGTTCTACTGTAATAATTCCGAATTAAAATATCTGGAGACTGATTGGCTTCGACTGTTGAAAGGGAGAGACGTTAAAATCTAATCCCAAACTGGAAATTAATTAAAACAACTAAGCATATAGAAGGACCCGTATCTAATCACTTTCTACTGCACTGGAGATACTACCGTGGAGGAGGATTCATCACGATCAATGATCAGGGCTAGCTAAAGCATGTATGTACATATGGGAACTTTCATCTGAAGAAAATGCTCGACAAAAAGCACTTTTACACAATCTCTTTCAATATTTTCATCTCATTCATTTCGTCCCAAATCATAGCATTAATTCTATCTACCTGGCTTCCCCGAGGTGCTTCTTAAGGAAAGGAAGGACCTGATCGAGAGCAGGCTTGACCGCCTCAGGCTTGTCGTACAACATATAGTGTGAAACCCCAGGTAGAACGACGACATGCTTCTCCTTGGAGCCTGCCCGGCCATGAATCTCCAGGGCATCGCGGTAGGCGCCAAAGCCCCCGGGCCTGTCACCAACGACGACCATGAGGGGCCTTGTCATGAGGACCTCTGCGTGGTTGAAGGCATCCCACGAGAGGGCGGCGCTGTTGAACGATAAGAGACCGCTGGTGCACCCGTTGGGCGCCTGGCCACGGCTGGTCTTATAGTACTCGGTTGCCTCAAGAACGTCGATGTCCGTAGTCGATTTCTTCGCCTCTTCGACAGAGGGTGGGAGAAGATTAATGACGAGGCGGTCACCACCTTGGGCCTCGACAGTACGCTGCTTAGCTATGTTCTCAAGAGTGGCGACAGGGTCGAAATTGCCAAAGGCTTCGCGGGAGAGCCGACCAAAGTTGACCGGTGTGATACCGACACAGCACTTGAAGCGGTAATCAGTCATGGCTGCGTTGACCGCGTAGCCACCTCCGCCGCAGATTCCAAGCACGCCAATACGCTCTGCATCGACGTATGGCAGTTTCTGGATGTAGTCGACGACAAAGCGAAAGTCGGAAACGCGGAATTCAGGGTCCTCGATAAACCGTGGCTCACCACCTGAGGCGCCCTGGAAAGAAGCGTCAAAGGTGACAACCACAAAACCGGCCTCTGCCATTGCTTTTCCATAGACATTTCCTGCGGTCTGTTCCTTGCAGGATCCGATGGGGTGAGCAGACACCACAGCGGGATAGTTCTTGTTCTTGTCGAAGTTCGGCGGGAGAAGTATATTGGCGGCAGTCTCCCAAGCAATGTTGGGGATGCTGACGGGCTTAATTGTCTCCGACATTATGATAGCTGATATAAAATGACTTGATATTCAAAATAAGACTTCTGTGAGTGTTTTGAAGATGAGCATACGTGAATCTTTTTATATCTTGTTGCGGGGGGCCAAGTGTATATGTCAATTACGTTGTCGGGTGCGAAGGTTATCGGGAAGCCCGAATCCTTTCGGGGTGCGAAAAGGAATGCTCGGAACAACGCTCCTGTATGTACAGGAGTTAATAGATAGCAAGTGGGTTATGCGTTAGTAAACCTAACGGGGCCCATATAACGGAAGCAGAAGATGAAGTTCGTAGTTGAACTTACTGCAAGGCAAGGTGGTCGAGATCACACTAAGGCTTGATTCTAAATACAATGCCCGAAATTCGTAAGATTCGCCGATACGGTTCGGAATAGTATAGACATACAGCTTGGATATCAATATGACCGTCTTTGTGATCCGACTAACGGTGAACGATAAAAACTGATGTGACGACTGTAGAATCTAGAAACCAGGAACAACACAACACCATGCAATTGCAATCCTTAATTGCAGGGATTTCCTACTAGAGAGTTCCTGGCAGAATTCTCCGACTTCTTCTTCTCAGCAAATTCCACCCATGGGAAGGTCTTCAACAGAAAAGCACTGCATCTGAATATATCTTCCTGTGCTGCTGTTGAGATTTTCAGTCCAGATGATCAAATAATTCCAAAGAAAGACGACACAGTCTAACTCTAAGTGCAACACGAATCAGAGCCACTACAAGCCAGAAGGACACTCACTGGCCTCGAATCAAGATATTAGACATTTCCATTCCGACAACAGCGATCCCGTCTCTTTATATTCAACTTTCCTGATTTTTCCTAACCTTTTTTACATCGACCCACAGCCCGTGTTTCAATCTGAAAGCCAGACCGAATACCAAAGCCATCATATGCATCCAGAAAATAGCCTTCCAAGACTCCCAAGAGTGGCGTAGCTTCTCCAGCTTATCATAGCTTTTGCATACCTCGAGATATTTCTTGGGATCATCAGTAATTACGCCATCGACTTCTTGCCTGATACTCCATTTCATCCACGATTCTTCATTCACTGTCCAGAGAAGTATTGAGCGATCCGGCTTCTGCTTCTTCACCTCCTGAAGCAAGGCATTTCCACGTGGTCCTATTATTAGCGTTTGAAACATGTTGATGTTGACGCTAGGAATTTGGAGGAATTGACGTGCGTAATCTACGTTGAATCCAATGTGGATTATTGGATATTCAGGTAGATATTTTGTGCAGAGGGGGAGGTATTTTGCCTATATATAGAAAGATATATTAGCATTTCGAAGAAAACATGGGTAGAGCATGGTATGAAAATTAAACTTACCGCCCAACATCCCACCAACACACGTTGATTCCACGGGCGCGACGATGATGGCTTAACATCTGCTAATGTAGCTGCAATCGACCTGAAAAGATCATCGGCGTAATTGTCAAGCTTTGCTTGAACGGTTTTGTTTCCCATCAGGACTTCCGTCAGACTCGGCAAGATTAGCTTGACATCAAGCAATACCCAAATATCTTCAAGACCCGGAGTTGCCAAATATTCCAAAAGATCTTTCAATCTAGGCATTTGTTCGTGCGGTTCTTTCAATGTGCGCAACGTCTTGACATAGTCCCAATTGCAGTCTGCGAGCTGTTCATCTTTTCCAAAACAGCGTTTGAGAGTAACATCCTATACATAGTTTGAAAATAAGCTTTGCCCAGCCTGGTTGGCGACCATTTCTGTGCCAGAAGCTTATAAAAGAAATCTTAATCTTACGTGTGAAAGAACCACCACGCCGTCCTTGGTCAAACGTAGATCCGTCTCAATAGCATGTGCGCCTACATCTACTGCTCCTTTGAATGCGCTCATTGTGTTTTCCGGGTATGTGGCTTTATATCCTCGATGAGCGATGGCCTGGGGACGTGTCCCGTGCGGAGTATCCTTTGCAAATGTAAAAGTGGCTTGGAAATCTGTCAGCTAGGCTTGAACGGAGAAATCGGTAACATTTGGGAGACATACACCTTGGAGTCACCATCTTCGTCTCCAACAAGGGTGCAGATTCAGCCATTTTGGGGTATCGTATTTGAAATTATCGCAATTGACTCAACTTGAGTTGGGCGCACGTCAGAATATAAGCTTAGAAGGGTGCGTTACAATCAGATGTATATGTAGAATAGTTTGAGGATGAATATGGGGGTTTGAAGAATGGCTACCAGCAACCGACTAGAGATAATAGAGGATAAAGATTTTAGAGAAGGAATCTCTATAATAAAGGCCGTTTGCTTAATTCATGATTGGGAACTGCATGAGGCAATGGATGCTCTACACCCAAGGGTAGAAACTAGAAAGCTCAGATCCGAGGATGACCGGGGGAATCGGTGGTTATTATTCTTATGGGCATCTCTTTAACTACCATAATTAGTTCAGCTGACGCCCCACATAATACTACTTGCAGGTCTAGGTACGCCACCAAAAGCTACAATTTGTTTTAGTAGTGTTAGTATTGAAATCACCCTGCGTGTTAATAATAATATCAAAACATACCGTATAATAATGCTTCCAAGTATTCCCGTCCATCTCGCTCAACTCTTGCTTCCTAGTCGTGAGGACTTGCTACGAGCATCCTATGCGCAACATCCCCCGACTGTTCTTCTTATCAAGCCCACGGTCGCGTACCCCTCTTCAACACTTTAGTAATGCCAAGATAGTAAGATATACAAACATGAGTTCTGAGAGTAGAGATGTTGTCAACGCCCTATATGCCGTAACTGTCAGTGCGCCGGCCGCGTTGGCTGTGGTGCCGGATATGGTTGGTGAGAAGAGCCATTGGGTGAGAAATAAGGCCGGCAATGGGGAAGTTCTCGTGACTTCTTTTTTCCCGAAACATTCAAGGCGACGTTTCAGTGAGTGCTTTGCTGGCTCCTTTTATATAAAGTTGCAGAAGCTTCTTTTGCTGACATGGATATCTCGCAAGTTCTTCTCTGGAAACAGCCAGCGGCCTGATCCCGCGCCACTTACAGTGATTAAACCCAAATTTCTCCCGTCTAGAAAAAGCTCACAAGCTCTGCGTGCAACATGGTTAGGACATGCGTGCCACTACATTGATTGAGTTTCCCACTGGCCTATGGGTCCCGAAGACCGCTGCTCGCCGTTCTGCGGCTAGGTCCCTGCAACACCTCTGATATTCCAGCCATTGATTGTATAATTCATCATTCGAGTTCTTTTTTTTTTTTTTTTGTATTTTGCTCTTTTTTTAGTCGTGATAGCTGATACGTACGCCATGGGTAGGTTATCATAAGCCATTCCCATTACAATCACTTTCTCATCCAACCATCCTTGAAATCCAAAACTTCACCCCTCGGTCAAGTTCTGTGTCCCGAAGGGTCTCAGAAAATGGTTTACTGACTGCGGTATCAAGAGACCTTCGCCAAGTCATCTGATGACTGGCTCCTCAAAAAAAGATATTGCAGCGAGGGTTTCTTGTCTCCCTTGCCAGAATACATCTGCGCGTACTCACTTTGATAGGTCGACTACATTGTGAGCTTCTTGGCCGATTTCTTGGGGGGGTGGTATCGGTGTACTTCGCTGGTGACATTGGCTATTGCACAGTTCCACATTTGCCTGAAGAAGTTGATGGCTGGGGCCCAGAGTTTGCCCACCTTCCCGTCTGTCCTGCTTTCAAGCAAATTGGCGAACTTCGAGGTCGCTTTGACCTTGGGTTGATTCCTATCGGAGCGTATAAACCCCGACATGTTTTGAGTGCTGTGCACTCGAATCCGTATGACTCTGTGGAGATATTCAAAGGACACAAAGTGCAAAAAGACAACGGGAATCATTTTATAGTATAAATGAGAACTGTATATAATAAATAATAGCTCGTATAGTTCGTACCTTAGTCCTCCAGCCAATGAGGGAAGCGCCCACAATCTCCACGAGGATGCTCGTTTCTCCGCTCCGGCCACCGGCTTGGCGTTCGGCGGAGAACGCGCATTATTATCAATGATTAGATGCGCTGTTCAACGTTGGAACATTTGGCTTTCTTTCATGGCAGCAGCGTCCTCCGTGGATATACCGCCAAACTGCTGCCATCGGGCACTCGTGAAGGGGCGATGAGTTACCCACCGCCTCATAACGGCCAGTATCCTCCGCAGTATGTGCCGCCGCAGCAGCAACAGCCGCAGCAACAGCATGCGCATCCCAGTGTCCCTCATCCCCAGCAAGCGCCGTACAATATCAATCCCAATGCATCGTATCCGCAATATGGCAAGCCGATGATCTATCCCCAGGTCCTGATCTCGAATTATCCTGTATATTCGCAGCAACAGCAGCCGTCACCGCAGCAGCAGCAACAGCAGTTTTATTATCAGCAGCAAGTACAACAGCAACAAGTACAACAGCAGCAGCAACGCCCACTGGGACCTCCACAGCAATATGTCAACCCGGCGGCCACGACCTTCTCACACCCGCAGTCGCCCGTGCCAGGCAGCATCGCAGCTTCCCCATCGGCGCATTTCATCCACGGGCCTCCCTCCGCGCCTTCCCCATATGGCAACCGGCCTCCTTCCTCACCGGTGGTCGCTGTGACTTCCGTTCCTTCCCACAGTGCAACTTCCATCGCGCCTGCCTCGCCGGTTCCCTCGCCCTACTACGTCCCCCACGATGCCAATGCCAACCGTCCGAATGCGCAGTTCGCCCAGTTTCCCGCCAACTCGCCGCTGCAGGCTCAGCTTCCTGTTGCTCGTCCCAGCCAGCAGCTATCTCGACCTCCTGTAGTACAGCAGCCACGGCAACAACCGCAACCCGCACCATCTGCCTCTAGGTCAATCTCTCCGGTTCGGAAACAAGTTCCGCAGGTTCTGATTCCTTCCCCTGCGAAACCAAAGACGATGCAATCTCCAGCACAGGCCAAGAAGCCGGCGGTGAAACAGAGCCTGCCGTCAGGAGACAAATCGAATAAGCCGCCAGTGGATTATCAGTTGGTGCTGCTGGCGCTGGCGGATGAGTATCTCAAGGCTGCGCATCACCAGGGGACAATGGTGGCACTGATGAGAAAGGAAATGGCAGTGGAGGAGTATTATAAACTCGTGGCTACAGGATTGGGTTGTTTGGAGGCTGTACTGAAGGTTCGCATTCACGTCAATAGATGGCAGTGTAGCCATGCCAGGTCGTGCTAACAACTCGTCCAGAACTGGAGACTGCAGCCGCGAACGGAGGCGCTGGTCAGACTGCGCTATGCCCGCGTCCTGTACGAAGAGACGGACAACCACATGGAGGCGGAGACTGCATTAAGTAAAGGCGTAAGTCAAATCTGGCCCATTTGTATGATGCAATAGTACTCGCTGACACTTCTTAGATTGATCTATGCGAACGCGTAAGTTGATTGTCTTGACGATACAACAGCACTCTAGCTAATATCCTACCATAGAATCGGATGCTTGATCTGAAATACAGCATGCAGCAATTGCTCGCCCGGATGTTACACAGGTCGAACCCCAAAGCTGCGTTGAAAGCTGTGGATGGCATGATCCAGGATGTCGAAGCGTAAGTTGCATCTGCCTTCTCAAATACCGCCAATGATGCAGACCTGACCAGCTGCAGGTATCGACATGTCGCATGGGAATACGCCTTTCGCCTCCTCCGCGTGAGTCTGTCGTTATCGACATCCTCACATCAAGACTTTGTAGCGGCACTGCATCATCTGCACAAGATTTCCAGCCTGGCCAGCCGTAATGGGGATAGGGCAGTTTCCGTGATTGCAGCGGTCACCGAGGCACTGGCCCATCTCCAACAGTCGACATCTTCTGACTCGATTGAGCAAGCTCAACGAGCCGTGGCTTCAGCGCGGAGCTACCAGTTGAACACTGAAGTTCAGGAGATACCGCAGATCAATACCCTGATCCAGATGGTCGACATTTCTTGCAGTCTACTCGAGTACGACCTCAATCAGTCAACGCAGAAGCTGCAGGTTATGCAGAGCTTGATGGACCAGAAGATCAATGACTCACACTGGCGTGATGATGGGTCATTTTCAATTCCATTGAGCGGCAAGTCAGTCGGTCCTGCGTCCGCGGACACTGGGGATATTCTGCAAGTCGAGAATGGCGTACCGGTTCTCACCTTGAACTGGCTTCCCCAACATGACCTCTACGTGCTTTGTTATTTCCTCAGCTCAGTCACCCTCAGCGCGAAGAACTCGCACGACGGCCGTAAAGCTGAAAAGTACCTCCAGGAAGGATTACGAATGATCAGAGGCAGTTTCAAGGCCCCGCAAGAGGTTCCTGAGTCGTTGATGACTGCGGGTAGACGCATCGAGTGGCGCCGGATCCTCTACTGCAATCTTCTCCTCCAGCAGATCTTTCTTGCGTCTGCGCGGACTGACTGGGATCTAGCCAGCCAGACAATGAAGGAGTTGCGACAAGTTGCGAAAGATCTGGGACACAGTCTGCCTGAGAGTATCCAGTGTCTTATGGAATATGCTACGGGGGCGATTGCGCAAGGCACTGGCGATCTGACAGCTGCTCTGGCCTCGTTCCGTTCTCCGATTCTCTCCCTCTCGCCGTCAGCCAGCAAGGCGATGCGTAACGATCCCCAGCGAGACATCGCTATCCTGGCGACCTTGAACACCGTGTTGATCTTGCGTGATCCCAGCCATCCGAATCATTCTCAGCTCCCGAGTATCTTGTCCACTCTGGAAGCTTTCTGCAAGAACAGTCCTAGCCGGTACATCCAAGCCGCATACTATCTTGTCTGCGCCACTGTCCAGACTGAGTCGACGATCCAGACCAAGCAATTCCTGCAGCAAGCATTGCAGTCGGCGACGTCTATTGGGAATTGCCAGATCACCTGCATGACGCTGACCTTTATGAGTTGGAAGTACTTCCGGGGTGTCGTGGGTGAGCAGTCCGAGAAGAGCGCTCGGGCCGGTCGAGCAATGGCGAAGAGGGCCAGCGACCGACTCTGGGTCAGTGTCACAGACGATATGCTGGCGGAAACCCTTGAACGACAGGGTAAAGGAGAAGAGGCAGGTTCAGTGAGAGAGGAAGCACACCGGGTCATGATGAGTTTACCTCCTTCTCTGAAGAAAGAAGTGGCTCACTGAGTCAATTTTCTGCTGCTGATGCGGCCTACTCATATGTTGGTGGATCGTCCGGGCATACCGGCGTTTGCATTCAATTTTCTATCGGATTGCCTTTACGAATCAGCGGAGTTACGGAGGACCAGGACAGGACAACGCAACTGGCATGGGAGCGGGCGCTTCTGATCTCAAGGGAAGTCGCCTGATATAATTTTTCTTCTCAGATGTCAATATTCAACTGCAAGCGTGGGAATGATGTGACTTGATGTATGTACTTTTCTCTCCGGTGACTATCTACGACAATCTCATGAGATACCATGTCATATTTACTTGGTTGAAAAACAAGCAAAATTTGTCAGTAGTTCCTGAACTGTCTTTTGAGATCAATGTAGATTGCCGGTGGCCGTTGCTATCTAATGTTAGATCCGGCTATATGGTAATTAATAGCTGCTTGCGCGGGTATTTTTATCTGTAACTGCGGGAAAAGAAGAGAGCAAGAAGAAAAAAGCAATGTCCCTCAAAGACACAAGCCTAAAAACGGCACGCGTCGAGTGCCCGCTGTTTCTCGACAAGGGGAATTGGGACAAACAATAACTACCGCAAACCCTGCGGCGCAAACAGGCTGGGAATATCCGCCGCAGGCCTGATATAAGAGGGACAAGCCCTTTCAAAACGCCAGAAACACCAGACCTTCGCTCCCCGCTCCCTGAAAACACCAAGATAAAAGCCCTCTCTCACACTTGTACAAAACGATATAAAAAAAAGGAAAGAAAAGAACAAGAATGGCTGGCCGTCTCTCCTTCTTTCTTTTCTATTTCTTCACCACCCCAATCTCAACCAAGCCCACCCCAAACACCACGTATCCGCCTCGCGAGCTGAATATCCTTCTGCATGATCGTAACCCTCTTCGCATGGATAGCGCACAGATTCGTATCCTCGAACAAATGCACCAGGAACGCTTCCGCTGCTTCCTGCAGGGCCTGAATAGCGTGCGATTGCCATCGGAGCTCTGGGCCCACGTCAGCGGGGAGTAGATCGAGGGCGACTTCGCGAACAAGTCGAGCAAAGGGGAGTTTGAGAAGGAGTAGATCGTAGGAGCGTTGGTAACGCCGGATTTCTTTTAGAGCGCCAGTGCCGGGTCTGTAGCGGCGACGACGACCGGTGGGGGCTGGGTCGCCGGCTGTTATGTGTAATAGTATTGATTAGTCGATTGGTTCGAGGAAGGTTTGTTATGTATATATGTATATATGTATGGGGTGTACTTACGTTGTACATCTGATGTTCTGGCAGAAATAGAAGAGCCAGCTGGTCGTTTCCCACCAGTGGTGGATTTGCGCGCGCCGCCTCGTGTGGGTTTTAGAGCGGTTGATCGTGATGGTCCGGCTGTTGTGGATTGTGCTTGTGCTTGTGCTGAGGATGAGCTTGGTCGTGCGACGCGGACGCCGGTTTTGGGGGGCATGGTGTTTTCGACTCTCTCTTTCTCTCTCTTTCGTCGGGTCAAGTAGAATTGGGGTTCAATTGGTTGATGCGATGGTTGTTTTGGCAGTTGATTGATTGATTGATCAGTGCCTTTCCTTCCTCTTCTTTTCTTCTTCTTCTTCTTCTTTCTTGAGAGATTGAAGCGCAATCGCACGTTCTTCTGTATGCGGAGCTCCCCGGCCACGAGGACAGGTGAAGTCAAGTCACGGGGTTGATTGGATTAGATGAGAGGAAAGTTAAGAAAGAGGAGAGGGGTGGGAAGAAAGAAAGAAGAAAAGCCTTAGGCTTGGTCTTTTTTCTTTTAGTTACTTTAACTAGTTAGAAGACAGATAGCTTATGAAGCATGAAAAAAAGAAAAAGAAGAAGAAAAAAAAAGAGGTGGCTGGTAAGATACTTGAAGCCGCATTGTTCCCCTTCTGGTCTTTCTCCCCTCAATTTAATGTCGTCTCGCTTTCCCAGCCGCTTCTTTTTTGCACGCGCGCGAATGACGCGCCCGGCGCGTCGAGGGAGAAGTGCGCTAAACTGGATTGGGGAGTTTAATGACTATGGTCATGTGATCTGGGTTGGTGTTGATGGTGAGAATTGACTGCGTAGTTGCTTACCTCGAGGATACCATTGAGAGGTAGTGGTGAGGTAGCTAGGACTGTAGAGACTTGCATCCCTCAGCGACTGAAATAAGATGTGATGATTAGTTTTCCACGACAGTTCGGAGATCTCAACGGCCTGATAAGTTAATCTGAGTCACGCCGCTTATGTCATCCGGCGTTCTGTCATCTTCCCCAGCGGATCCGCAGATCTGGCTGTTCCTCATCTGATAAACCGCTGATTGATAGCTGTTTCCTCGTCTTCTGTCACATCTATGGCCGGTTAGAGTTGTGATATCTTCTCCTATTTTGATTCGATTGGTCCCTACATCTCCGCTGGAAGAAGCTCGAGCCACAGAGCTGGTGTTGGCTCTTTACAGCTTGCGATAACGGTCTTCGATCCGCCCGAGATATCGCTGGATCTCATCCCTCCCACGTCGCCAAAGTTCACAGAGCTCTTAAAAATAGACAGAACCGTCAAATGGCCGCCCTCTGGGGAAACAACAATGGCGGACAGGCCGGCCAGTTCCCCCTCGAGCAGTGGTTCTACGAGATGCCGCCCTGCACCAGGTGGTGGACTGCCGCCACGGTGGCCACCTCGGTTCTCGTCCAGTGTCATATCCTGACGCCCTTTCAGCTATTCTACAGTTTTCGCGCTGTTTTTGTAAAATCGCAGGTAGGTGATGTGCTGTTCCGCTGCCGTTCTTGTTTCTTTTGAGTGAAATGGTCGAAGAAGTAGGCTCGGCGTCATGCGGGGAAAGTATATGCAGAGGCTGACCATGTGATGATGTTCCAATAGTATTGGCGACTAATAACCACCTTCCTCTACTTTGGTCCGCTCAATCTGGACCTATTATTCCATGTTTTCTTCCTTCAACGATACTCGCGACTCCTCGAGGAGTCCTCCGGTCGTTCTCCGGCCCATTTCTCTTGGCTGCTGGTCTACGCCATGACCTCCCTGCTCATATTGTCGCCGTTCCTCTCTCTTCCATTCCTTGGTACCGCACTGTCGTCGAGTCTCGTGTATATCTGGGCTCGTCGCAATCCCGACACCCGACTCAGCTTTTTGGGTCTGTTGGTCTTCACGGCGCCATACCTCCCATGGGTCCTCATGGCTTTCAGTCTCGTGGTCCACGGGATCGTTCCTAAGGATGAGCTCTGCGGCGTGATCGTGGGCCATGTCTGGTATTTCTTTACGGACGTCTATCCCTCACTACACGGTGGACATCGGCCGCTGGATCCACCAGCATGGTGGAGGAGGTTGTTCGAAGGCAGGCCGCGCGAGCCTGTTCGTGACGAGGACGAGGGGGCTGATACACAGGCTGACAATGTCAATCGCGACTTTGCAGCGGCTGCAGCACCTGAAGTTCGATGAATTGGTATGGCAACCAGGAATATGTATTGGTTGGTCAGTTGCGTATAAATATATCGAACTATTGGGTTAGCCGGGGCCGCGGTGATATACATGGTGCTCTTCAGCTTCGCACCTCATATCAGGCACCCCAATAGCGGTGGATTGACAGTGCAAGCTAACTGAAGGGAGAGAGGGCTGTACCATGAGGCTTTCAGACGGCCTGATCACTGCGCCAGGTGTTCACGGAGCCTACTTCTGCGGCACCTCACCAACCTCCCGTACCTTCTAAATCGAATTACGATGGAACTTGGAGATTCCATTGAGGGACTGGTCGGCAGAGATAAGCGATGTGTATGCAGACGCTGAAGGGTCGATCTTTTGCCCTGTTATTCTCTTGTGCGACTCTCAACTTGAGCATTTGCATATTGTCGAGTCCTTCCAGAAGGACGCACGAAGGCGTTTGGTTTTTCAGCGGAGTCCGTTTGGAACAACGACTATGATACCTAGGTCAGCGGAGCATATGTGGAGTTCTGGTTTTTCTTCTTTTTTTCACATCAGCATATCAAGGATAATCAAATACCATCTCTTTCTTTTATCCATTGGATTGATCTCGTCTCTTTTTTTTTGGAAGTCTATCATAGTCCTGTCGAGGATCATCACTCCGGCAAATCCGGTAGAAAGATAAAGCAAGAAAACAGGTTATTGATTCTACATCCGGAATTCACAATGCAGTTTTTTATCTTTCTCTACCGAAAGAAATAAACCAAACCCGAACCCGGCATCGGAAACCCCGCAGCCTGACGATAGCCCGGAAGAGGCGGAAGATACGGAATCGGATGTGGATGCAGATAAGCATTAATTATCTTTTACTGCTTCAAGGAAACAGGGGGAAAGATACCGATCTGATCCTCTGGGTCCTTTTTCTTTCTTTCAGGAGACATAAGTATTTCTATAAACCGATTAGGATTATAATAATAATAATAAGAATGATTAGCTAGCTAACTACTACTCCTGTAGAGAATAGTAAACCCTAGCAGTAACAGCAAGTAAATCGTTAAATCTCAATGCTCGAGGAAGAAAATCATTCCTATTTAGAAGAATTAAGCATAATTCTCTTTCTGAAAGAAACGAAAAAAAGAAATTTGTTGTGTGCGTATCAACCAAATGAAAGAAAGGAAACATTGTTGCCTTGAGCTTAGTTAGTCCGATCTGAACCGATAAACTAGATAATTAGTATTATTACTCGTACGGAGTACGCTGTAGTCTATTATTATTGATGATAATGATAGTAGTCAGGTAATTAGGCCCTAAGAATGTTATTTCAGGAAACAAGAGGCCTATTATTAGATGGAACCTAGATAGAGAGAGGATGGATACTCTATTTTAGATTATGGGATTCTGCATGAATTATTAACTGATGGTAGTAGTAGTATCCAGTAGTGGGGGGAAGCAGCGGACGATGTCTAGGCCTTGAGTATCTACATACCATAGTTAGATAATTGTGGCAGGCCTGCAGAAAGATTAGAGCATAGAACTATCTACATGTGGTATTACTATAGATACTACTCTGTACTGCAGAAGGTTGGGTTTTTGATCGATTCTGATTCGAATCACTCGAATTTACTTATTATTACTACTTTACTCAACAGTAAAAAAAAAAAAAAAAAAAAAAAAAAAAAAAAAAAAAGGAAAACTACATACGTAGCAATTTCACCCCGCTCCATTTATCCGAGATTGTTGCTGGGGCTGATATGACGTTTTATAGTGGAACCATAAGTAAAATAAGCTGAACCCGGCACACAGTGCACACACAAGTTACTTACAAGTTACAACAAGAGAAATGATAATATTCGATAAAAAGAGCAGAATATGACCTTCCTACGTAGCTTCTTGTCTTAGACTAGTCTACCGTCGGCTTATTATTCTTTGGGAGGGGAAGCTCTATCCATAACTGGATCCGGTGGCATGAGCGTCCAGTAGGGTGGCGGTCTCTATGTAATAATAATAATTCAATGGATCTATCTACTCCAGATAATTATGGTAATATCGCGTGCGTCTCCCCGCTGGATGCGTCGACGGAAACTTTGAACTTTGAAGCTTGGTGGAATCCAAGGAAAAAAAGAAGCTCAAAGTGTGCGCGGAGATGTCTCGCACGGTCGAAAGGGTCGGTGGATAATTAAGTATTAGATCTATGCCTGTCTGGGCTAGATAGATAGAACCACCAACCTTCGGCTGGGAAGATATGGTATGTATGGTATGTTATCGTGTATCGAATCGAATCGCGGCTCTTGGCATTCTTTCCCTGTCTTGCTTGTAGGCAAGGCAAGGCAAGGCAGATGAGTTCAACTTCTGTGTGACAATAATAATGATAATCAATAATAATAGATTGACCTTGTCAACTGAAGCGGTCCCGTGTGATGACGTCGGGAGTCGACAAAGAGCGTAATTAGGATGCGGTTCGGAGTTCCTGTACGCGACATGCCACTTTCCAAATACACTGGAACTGGCAATACTACTTGGTATCTAAGTTGTAACAGGCCTTGCATGCTGACGAGATGCCCCCAGCATGTTCCTACTCCATTGATCTGCATGTCGCACATGCACAGCCTCCATTTGCTCGATGCAATCTAGAGTATCAGCGAACCAATCGTTGCATTGAGGTTGTTGCTATTTCCATGGCAGTCGTCATGGAAATTCTGATCGAAGAACCTATTTTTGCCATAGACTAGATAGAGAGAGAGAGAGAGAGAGAGAGAGAGAGAGAGGAGACTACTACGTAAAGAACTGGCATCTTGCATGCTGACATTCTCAAGGAGTGGAAAAGAGGCAATTCCCTGATTGGATACCAACGTATTGAGCCCGAAAAGGAAATGCTGTTGCCTGTAAGAATTGAATCAATCCACGCAGGGCTGGAACAGAAGTAGTAATTATTATTATTATTACGATGGAGTTCAATTTTGGTTGTTTGGTGCGGCTTTTGACGAGTCTGCCTCGGTTAGCATCGCAATTTCATAGTTTTTTTTTGTTTCCTGCGAGCACAATCACCTCATGAGGGACTTGTCGCATGGAGAGAGAAATGGACTCGATCTAGAGGATGTGCGAATCTCGATTGGTCGACGACAAGTCCTCGAGGCAAGCCACCGCGATTCTCACATTGACTTAGGCACTGTCTGTTGCTGGAAGTTGCATCCTCTAGATAGGCTCTACCAAATAATGGCCACGGGGTTTGACCGCAGTCACACGAGACTCCAGATAAGACTTTTCTTTCTTTCACACTGCTGCTTTAGACTGCATAGAAACAAAGACTTGTTCAATACATTGCTGCCAAGAAGCAGAGAACGTGCGTGCAACGACTTCCGGGGTTGGTCCGAACAAATCATGAGGCCGTGTGGTTAGGTGCATTATTAGAGATAGTACCTAGGTATAGTTAGGCCACCTTCCTCACCTGGCCTGCTGTATCTCATATCTGGAAGAAGAAGAAAAAGCATCCCCGACGTATATTCTATCCTGTCTGTTTCAGACAGTATCTAGACTATCGAGCAGACATCGTGCGTGGTCGTCCACGCGTTCAGGCTGTCATCGAGCGCCGCTAATTGGACTTGACCCGCCACTTGAACCAGCCGCCGGTCTTTTTGTGCCTGGCGTGAACCTTTCTTGGCTCCGTGGGGGCGCGATCAACCGGTCCATGGACAAGCCAAGATGCCCCAGGTTGAAAATAATTATTATTTAGCTATTTGGGGCTACACCACTATTGCCACTGGTGGCAGACAAGTCCAACGATCCGTGGGTTCGACGGCTTTTGAGAATCATACAGTGGTCGAAACGAACACGGAAGATCAGACATCGGCGGCTCAATGCACCAACCCTGTTCTAGCGTCTTGATCTAACTACTGTTCTCTTGCGCACTCGTGGCGGCCGGCGCCGGTGCAAGACCAATCACCAGACGGAAAATAGGTAGATGGCGAGTGGGAAAAGGCGCAGGAAGCGTAAAATAAGAACACGTATGGCGTGGTGTTGCGCCAGAACTCCCTGCCACTGCTGTGCTCTTGTTCCGCACGCTGGGATGGGTCATGCAGGAGGCAGAGATGTTGAACAGGGAGTGGGTGGTCGATCAGGGAACGAAGGGAAAAAGAAAAAAAAGAGAAGGAAAAAAAAAAGGCCAGTAGACTAGGTTGCTAAGACACCGTGTTAAACTGTTTATTGCTTGGTGAGAGATCGGCCGAGGTTGGACGTTGACGCTGAGACCGAAACAGTTTGGGAGCGGCAGGGATACGAATACGGAGGTGTACAGGTACTTGCCGTGCCGCTCTCTGCTGGGCGTTGGGGAAGTACCGGTACTTGGGGCTATCGCAATTCCTGCTAGGCGATTCTCGGGAGTCTGAAGAGAGGTACAGTACATACCTAAGGTAGTCGAGCCAGAATAAAAAGAATAATACTTAGCTAAGGTATAGAATGGAATTATCACACTGCCATAATAATAATGAACTATTATTATCATTATTATTATTACTGTACGTACTTGCGATAAATCTCACAACTGCGCCGCTTTCGATCTACGGGCTGCGCAATCCCTTCCATGGTCAGGCCGGCAGACCATGATGCATGATGGCCTCGTATCGCGTATACCATTCCTTCTTTGCCCCGCGACCCACGGGCTCAATCCTCAGGAATGGCCACCGCGAGGCTTGACAACGACACGAATATTCTACTCCAGAAGAACAACCAACGGCCAACCATCGCCGCTAGGCCGCCACGATGGCGTCCATTTCGCTGCGACTTTGGTTGCCCTGGAGCAGCACTAATTGCGCTTCCCCGACCAGCAAGCTCCCCCAGAAACCCCCTTACACGGCGCGTTGAGAGACCCTCCAGGCACGCTATACTGGTCAGCGTTTAGTTCAGGAGCACAGCCTTCTTCTTGTCTTCCAACCTCCCCCTAAACTACACTAAGCTAGACGGCTAAAACACGCTCATCCAAGCCTGCGATAACTTCCCCTTCCAAATCCATGGGTCCGTCGACACGGATCATTCTCCTGAACGCCCATCTCGCGCTGTCAATGCTGCCATCGCCAGTCTCTCCTTTCGTGCTCGTTTTTCATTCGTCCTGGTCATTCCTTAATTCCTGGTCCTATCTAGAGTAAACTCTCTCTCTCTCTCTCTCTCTCTCTCTCTCTCTCTCACTGCCCCATCCTCAGTTCTGGCTGGCGTGGAGCTTCGCCTCCGGGTTTCTTCTTTGAATAAAACTACCTACAACGGGTCCCTCCTCACTCCTTTTTCAGAAACCCTTATCTCTATCTTACCCCAGGTCACGTACCCTGGTGACTGTCTTCCTCATACCCTGTCTGTGGAATTCAGTCTTTCTCAATTCAGCTACTGTCCTTTCCCTCTGGCCATCACATGCCCCTGGGCCTCCGTCGATAGCAGCTTGTTGCAGCCCGCAGTAGGGCTCCAGCATCGTCAACTCCTGTGCCCTGGAAAAAAGGACCAGTTGAGACCTCTCTCCTTCAATCACCAAACGAACCTTGCGACGACCATTTTACGACCATAGACTCGTGCTTTCTATCCCGTTTAATACTCTTCAACAATTTCACATAGAACAAAAGAACCACGTTGTGTGGATACCATCGATCACAATGCGGCGCGGTGTTGTCATCTTCATCTTGGTCAACGTCCTGATCATCACGTTCCTAGTCCGGAGCGTCTTCACGCTCTTGAGCTTGTTGGTGGAGGATGCGGCCGCAGATGCCATTCACCGTTCGGATATCCCGTCGCCCAACTCGAGTCTGATCGAGACCCGGCCCCAGATCATCCCCAAGATCATTCATCAGACATACAAGAACGAGAGCATTCCATTGCATTGGCAGGAAGCGCAGCAGAGCTGCATTGACCTGCATCCTGACTATGAATACATTGTACGTGGCTCTGCAGATGATGTGACGGACGCAATGCTTGTGGGAAGACACATGCTAACAAATGCCCTATAGCTTTGGACGAACGAAAAGGCTCGCGATTTCATCGCTGCTGAGTATCCCTGGTTCTTGGACACCTTCGATGGCTACGAGTACCCCATTCAGCGCGCAGACTCGATCAGATATTTCGTTCTGGCGCACTATGGTGGAACCTACATCGATCTGGATGATGTGAGTATTTGGACATGATCATACGCGAAGGCGCGCGCAAGAGAATCTAACAGATTATACTTAGGGCTGCAACCGCCGTCTGGATCCCCTCCTGGCCTACCCGGCCTGGGTTCGTCGCACCGCTCCTACAGGTATCTCGAACGACGCTATGGGTTCCGTTCCTCAGCACCCTTTCTTCCTGCGCGTGATTGAGACCCTGCAGGCCTACGACCGGAGCTGGCTGCTTCCGTACATCACCGTCATGTACTCGACTGGTCCGTTGTTCCTGTCGGTCATCTGGAAGCAGTACATGGGCGACAAGCCCAGCGAGTCGGGTCGGGTCCGTATCCTGATGCAGGACGAGTACAACCGTCACTCCTGGAGCTTCTTCACCCACCACAAGGGTAACAGCTGGCACGGAAAGGACGCGAGATTGATCTTCTGGGTGAGTTTGCGGTTCTCTTCGAATGAATTGCCTTGTACGGACTTACTAACGCTTTTTCCAGATGGGTGGACACTGGATGCTCCTGACCGTCCTCGGATTCGTCCTCGCTGGTGTTGTCGGCTTCGCCGTCTGGTGGGCATATGGCCGTCTGCTGCTGCTCGGTGCCCAGTACCGTTACCGCTACCGCAAGATCCCAGGCGCCGCCACGGTCTCGCGGTCCAAGTCTCCGCTGCGCATGCCCAACTTCCTGCGCCGAGTCAGCGCCAACAAGGATGAGGAGTGCGGCGTCATCGAAACCACGTACGAACTTTACAGCAGACGCGATTAAGCGCGCGCGCTCTGAGTTTTTGTTTTACATCATGTTTTGCGTCTCTTGGGAACGGCGATTGCCTTGATATTCAGTCATCGAGCGGATCAAGTGTGATTTATCATCTACGTCGGTAACTATTGGATGTGTTTGGCGCTGCGTGTTGTTTGAGGTTCCTGTTGAGATTCCGGGAGGACGTCTTCTTATCTCTTCCGATGCGCTCAAGGAAGCGGGACTGTTTGTGTATACTGTTTTGGTGACATGACCCCTCTTAACTACGTTTTTAGTTTGCATGCGAGGTGATCCGCAGGGCAGCGCACCCGCAGCATATCAGGCTTCTTGTCTTGATGGTCTTTTCTATATTTTGTGACAGATACTTTTTTCGATTCTTGTGTGTGGTTTGCTGGTTATTTCTTTTTAAAACAGCTATAGACTTACCTTCGCTCATCAAGGCCGATAACAAGCTGCCTAGCCCTAGCGGGCAACAAATAAATAAGTGGATTTCATTACATCTGAAGCAATACAGTAAAAGACGTGAGGAGAACAGGATTCTCTTGAATTATGCTATAGCAAGGTTTTTTTTTATTCCCTTGCCGCATTTTGTCAAAAAAGTAATCATCAAAATTGCAGATCGAAATCTCTCCAGAAAGTGCCACATGTCTACTTGTCGAGAAGCAAGTACCTACCTAACTAACTAATAAGCCCTAGACCCGAAAAGAAAACGAACAGCGAAAAGTCCAAACTCATTGTTTAGGTTCGATCCGCTCTCCGTTCCTGAGAAACAACTCTGGATACAATACGGGGTAGACCAATAACCCCCTGCAGTAGACTAGTTTGTCCGAACATTTCAGCTTGCATCCGAGGTCAAACAAGCTCAGAAGATAGTTAGTTAATGCTAGTAGTAACTTACTGACAAGAAACGCAGTGACGATCTCTCCTACTGGCCCGGGAGGGGGGGATGGCAAATCCTTCAGATGTTTCAGACGGACGTTTCAGACTGCGAGAAACGATAGACCAATGACGATGTGACTGTGCCTTGCGTGAAAGATGGTCTAAAACATAACGGATAGGTTTGGTTTTGAGGGGTAGACAGGGCAGGATACTGATTGGATTTGTCTTTTCACTCTGCTAGAGGTTTGGTGTATGCCATATGCAGGACTCGCCTCCTTCGAAGAGAGTAGGAACTCTCCATTATTATCTAGCTTTACCGCTACTATGCAGAATCACTGATAGGATACGATACGATAGGATGCTATATGCTAACTAGATAAGTTAAAGTACTGCATTTCACAACCATTTATCCATTCATTCATTCATTCATTCATTCATATTGGATATTCCCACCCACCACCCCCTTGATACTTACATGTGAATCAATGCAAGACCAACAAACCACCACCTAGACTACATAGCATAGTTTGATCCGGCGGGGTGAACCGTCATATGTGACTAGTATCGTGTCTTGGTCGGATGGAGCCCGTGAAGAATTCAGGTCAGTCAGTCAGTTTATGTAGTTTAAAAGGTGGTCCGGTCCATTCCCTGCGCCTCTGGGAGTCATTCCTCGTCCAACTGCGTCATTGTTTCTGGGGATATCTTTAGGGGATTTAAAGTCGTTCTTTTTCTTTTTTTCCTTCTTGGCTCTCGAGGTAGCTGAGAGTTTTAAGCTCCTTTTGAAGTTTCATCGGTGTTGAATCATATTACACTCGTTGCTTGGCTGTGCCATACATAGAGACAGATTCTGGATATACAGTACCCACGCGGTTCGATTAGATATCACCAGCGTGTTATTCTCTCTTTGTTTGGAATATAACAAAGAAACGAGGAAAGAAAAAGGACATCGTCATCTTCATCTTCAGCATCTTCTTCTTCAACCCTCAACGCAAAACCAAAGTACTTCTCAATACATACCACCAACCATGCGCTCAACCACCCTCACCATCCTATCGCTCACATTCCTCCTCACCTCCGCCAACCCCATCCCCATTCCTGCAGCAGCAGCTCTAATCGAACGCTCCACCAGCGCCATAACCACCTCCCAAATCGAAGCTATCGCCCCGAAATCCGCATCATGCGATAACGCCCCCGCGGCAGGGGAGTGCGCTACGGCCGCGCAGGCAGCGACACATATCGCCAACTCGTTCAAGACATACAAGGTGACGTCGGCGGCGGAACAAGCGGCGGTGATCAGTCTGATGGCGTTTGAAAGTGATGATTTTAAGTATAATAAGAATCATTTCCCGGGGGTGGCGGGGCAGGGGAGTGAGTATACCACTTTTTTTTTACTGTTTACTTTCCCATTTCATATATATATATATATATATCCAAACCAAAATGACTAACAATAATATAATAAACAGCCCGCAACATGCAATCCCCCACCTACAACAGCAAATACGCCTCATCACTCCCAGATCTCAAAACCAAACTTTCCTCCGTGACCAACAACCCAGCCGGACTCCTCGACCTGCTCCTCGCTAATGAAGACTACGACTTCGGCTCCGGCGCCTGGTTCCTCACGACGCAGTGTGAGGATTCCGTGCGCAAACAGCTCCAGACTGGTTCCGAGAGTGGTTGGGAGGCGTATATCTCGCAGTGTGTGGGCACTACTGTCACGGATGATAGGAAGGCGTATTGGCAGAGGGCTGTGGAGGCTTTGGGTGTTAGTTTGTGATTGAGTCTCACTGTCTGTCTGTCCTTGCTTTTGTCTTTCCTTTGAAGGGATGGGATATGTGGATGGATGATCGTGGGGTCGATTCGTGAATGAAAACGGGAACAAATTCATATTGTTTTTTCTCTTCTTCCCATGGGCTGGACCTGGGGATGTTGCATTTGGCTTGCTTGCTTGTTTGCATTTGATGGGTTGTTTGAGTGAGTGGATAGGAAGGGAAGGGACATGGTGTGGATATGAAATCTTCAATTGTACATATTAGGGAAACTTGAGAAATTCGATGAATAGAGTTCTATTCTAAGTTGAGATTGACGCTGCTCAGTTTTATCTTTCAGAATACCGTCGACGTAGTGATATCAAGAGTGATGGATTTATTTCTAGTCAAGCATGACAAAAGAAAGACAGTACGCAGTACTTGCTGGGTAGTCTATATTTTGCTGTTATGTATGTACATACAATACGTGGACCTGGTAAATAGATGTCGCAGACATTGGAACTGTAATGAAACCTCTGCTTCTTTTCTGGTCGACGACCTCGGTGAAAACCAAATTGCTGGGAATTTTCTATATATATAAGCATGACGAACTGAGCATAAATCGGAAATCGCGTAATCGTTCTGACTAAATTAACCAGCTCACAATACTCCCTTCGTGCTCACCACGTCGCCCGCACCGACTTCTCCAGCGGCTCTCCGGGTACATGCGGTCCTGATAGCAACCGCCAGCGCCTTGAAGGCGCTCTCAGCCCGGTGGTGGTCATTCTCTCCGTACAAGCAGCCCACGTGAAGAGTAACACCGGCTGCCTGAGCAAAGCTCTCGAGACCGTGCGTGATCATCTCCGTGCTCAGAGCGCCAATCTTCTCGCGGCGGAAGCCCAGGTTGATCACGGCGTAGGGTCGATTCGACAGGTCGATGACGGCCCACGAGAGGGCCTCGTCCAGGGGAGCATCACCGCGGCCGAAACGAGCAAGGGAAGTACGCGCACCAAGAGCCTTGGTGAAAGCGGTACCAAGAGCGAGGAAGGTGTCTTCGGTGGTGTGGTGGTCATCAACTTTGCAACGAGGAAATAAGTTAGTTACCTGCCATACTATTTCGCAACGCTGGATGACCTCGAGAGAAAGAACATACTGTACAGATCACCCTTGGCCCGGATGGCCAAACTCCATCCCGAATGTTTGGCCAGCGCATGCAGCATGTGGTCTAGGAAGCCAATGCCCGTGCTGACCGTGATCTGCTGGCTGGAAGTGAACTGCGTAGCATGGCCGGCATCTTTAGGCGGGACAATTCCGCGCTTTGCAGCCGCGGCTTCTTCAGGATCAGATGGAGCTGGGAAATGGGACGTCTCCTCGTAGGGCAGAAGAACACCTCCATCGAGAGAGAGCGAGACCTGGATCTTGGTCTCGTTGGTCCAGCGGGAGATGGAGACGGTGCGGCGGGGCTGCGCCATGGTGTCTGAGTATCTTTCCTTTTTTTGTTTTCTTGCTCCGTCTGACAGGCTGTCGCGTCACGATTTGGACAGAAAATCGCACAGGAGAGCTTCTCAGCCTGTCAATGGATCTTGTCGCGATAGCGGTTGGAGTCGAATCCGATCAAAAATCGCGGGGAGAAGGCGGCGTGGCAACTGGACCAATCATACCGCTGGTAATCCGTTTCTGCCGCTACGACGGACGGAGTTTGCGGTTGATCCGGACGAGGGAAACTTGACGACAGTCTTCCATCCATCGAGATAGCGATAATACCATTTTCCTTGCTCGCCTGTCTTATCGAATGTTCATCGTGATCATCGCCGTTCTGTCATCCTTTCGCCTGCATTCACCGGATCCGCTAGGCAGACGATCACCCGGAGCTGGTGGTCGCATGCGGTGCCAACTTTCCTCGCAGCATTGATTGGAGATATCCCTCGGAGATAGAAAGCTCAACCTGAAATTGAGATTCCGATCTACCGATTGACGCCTTATTGTTCAATTGCGGAAGTTGGATCAGGGACAGCACAAATACTAGACGTCACTCCAACTATGCCACCTCCCTCGAACCAGCGCGCGGACATTGAACCGCCAGAAGAGGTGACGACACAAGCTGTGACAGGATTCGCGACAGGTGCTCTGCGTGTATGCTCTATCCGTTGCTCCGCATGCTGATTGTATACCGTATTTGTCTCTGGTGCCGTTTATCCATTGTTGCGGTTAACGCCGGAATAAGCCTCCGGGTAGTTATCCACGAGGCTGGTTGAGCCATCAATGGACTTCTCTCTGGCAGTCTCATGATGGTCCTGTCGCTGACAATATTCGTTCTGTCTAGTTCGGGTCCCTCTCTATCATCGCGCACATGATCCTCTCCCTTCCGCATCCCTTCAACTTCGCCGGACCAACTCCTCCTCCTACTCCGCATTCCAAGGGCCCTCAGCCCGGCCCCAGACCGACATCCCCCTTCTCCTCATCATTTCTCAAATCAAGACTCTTCTACAGACCCCTGGAGGGTTTCTCGGAATGGCTGTCCCCGACGTCCCAGGTGTACCGTGGACTGACGCCCCAGTTCAAGGTATTCCTACAGATTGCCGTGATGACCCTGGGAGGATGCATCTGGGCTGAGAAGAGAGTGTCGGAGTACTTGGAGGTGATGAGGAAAATCAAAAGAGCAGAACGGGCAGAGGCGCAGCGCGCGCAAACGAGTAGAGGTTGATGCAGACATACTCAAGAGCTGGGGAGCAATCGAGCGGATCCTTGGATAATGAGTGAACATGCTGTTTGTTTGTATGTACTTGTACGTCTTTTCTTGTAGGAACTCCAGAAATCAGAAGCATGTCTTCATGGCACTCCCCAGATTGAACTCGAGCTGGGTAGTCCCTGGTGAGCAGCAGTGACTGCCGTCTGGGTCCTGACAGACCAAAGTGCAGAAGATCATCCGTCCCAAGGACCGTGAAGTGGACTTTCTCGTCGATTACCTCGCATCTGCCTTGCATCTATAATTGGAATCTTGGATTGATCGAGAGTTCGACGACAGAGCGCGGCAGCCGTCATCTTCGACTCCATCGGGGGCGGCTCTCCACAAAACGCGACGAGAAGCTTGTCGGCCAGATTCTAGAAGGCATGAAGAAACGAGCACTGTTGGTTTCAGGGCAAGACATGTGGGTAATTTAGCCAGTGGAGCTGCTTCAAGACTCCTTTCACCAGCGACGGGAGCGGCCTTAGCGAGATCAAAAAGAGTCCAAGTGGCTTGACACAAATCTCGATACTTGGGCCAAGTTTAGCCACTGCTCAAAAGGCCATTCAACGTCGTGGAAGAACCTCACAGAGGCGTCAGCAGCGGCTGGCGGCTGATGAATGTTCAATAATGCTGTACTGTAAGCAGCAGGATCATGCCATTGAGCTAGTTGCAACCAGTCTGGAATCATACGATGGCAAGGCCAGACTATCAAGGCAGCTCCGGGTCTCAAGATCGTCCAGGCGAGTTGGCGTCCTTTTGGTCGACGCTCTAGTGATTCGGAGGATCAACCGGAGAGCCGGCATCCACGGTCCATGACCCGTGCCGCAGTTTAGCCACAGGAGCTATTTGCGACCGGCTCGTGGGCTGGTAAGGGGATACATGTAGAAGAAAAAAGAAACAGAATCCAATTCAGATCAGATCAGATCAGAATGATACCGAAACAAGAGAAGGAAAAGGCTCACTGGCTCCCGCATCAAGAGGATGGCACTCTGAATCCAGACTGCATCGGCTCTGATTACCCTGTTGCTGTAATCGACGATAGCTGCCAATCCTGGAAGCTGGACGAACGAATCCGGTCCGATCGGGTTCCACCAGTTTAGCTGATAATACTAGAGGCAGCGTAGTGCTAGTTCACAATTATTTATTTGCCCAGAAGGCTGTGCGATCCCCGAGTCTGGTTGGGGAGAAAGTTGTCAGCTCTGTGGGTGACGACAGCCGGAAACGCACACTGAATTATGGTATTCTTCTTCTGTCGATCAATAATAATGCACATCAAATCAGGAGGCGTAAAGAAGTGCAGCCCTACCTCCAGATGGCGCATTAGTCTATTTGTTGACTCCATGATGCAAGTCCAGGAGATACAGACCAACGTAAAGGGCCCCTGGGCCTGGGGCCTGTGGAGGGCGAGAAGCGATAGCTAGTTAGTTATCGATAGAGGATAATTATGGTAATTCCAGCAACAGCTAGACACCAATTGTTGGCGCACGGCCTGGACGCGAAACCGTGAAGCGCAATAATAATAATTGATTATTCTTAGTTAGTGTAAGTGCAGAGAGAAGCAGACAGAAGAGAAGTCAATTCTCTTCCGGCTTCCATCCATCCCCAAAGCGAACAGCACAAGGACGGGAACGCACTGCATTCGGCCTTTTTTCCACTTCTCTCGTTTCTCCGCTGCTCACATTCATTCATTCATTATTATCTACCATAATTATTCTCCATTCTCTTCTCTTCCCTTCCTGTCCGTAGCCTTGCTGGATCGAAGCTCAGGCCTGGAAACTCCCCGTTTGCGTCCTCCATCACTGACATCATCCCCCACACGGCCGGGCTGTGCCTTCAACCAAACTTCCTCCCGTTCTTCTTTCTGAGCCGCGATCCAACCACGGTTGTTCCCCTGGACGAAGCCAAAAAAAAAAAGAGAAATTCTGAACTGGAGTACTGCTACTACTACTATAACCTTGTCCGTCCTGGGGTTCCTGGGGTTCCTGGAAGTTCCTGAACTTTTGAAGTAATCCGGAAGAAGGAAACTCGGCTGGCTCTTCTGTCTCGCTCCTTTTTCTCAGACCCAGTCAGTCCGCTTTCGTTTTTGTTAACTCTTTTTATTTGTCCTGTCCATTGCTCGCAATATATCTCCCCGCGGGTGGTTTTCTTCTCGTGCTATCTACGTCTACTGCGTGTTGCGTCAAACCACCATCAACTAGGCCGCACATCGTCTGCAGATAAGGACCCAGCTGGACAGGGACATTGTAAACCAAGCCACACCCACCAAGAACAAGACGAGACAGGAATCTCGTCCATTGGGTCCAGCTCGCTGCTGCTGCGACTACTACTGCTGCTGCTGCTGCTCCGGCTGCTTCTCATGGCGCCATAACAGAACTGTATGTGCTATGCCTAACACTATCGTGTCCACCTGCCTTCTCGTCCTCTCATCCTCCCACGGTTCTTATCTCGAGCCTTGCCCCATACCCCCCCTCTCCCCGGTGCATGAAACCGTCTGTCTGCTCATCCAATTGAGCTGCTGTCTGTCGTCGGTCCACGAAATGGTGCTGAGATAACCCCCGTCCAGGAAGACGACATCCAGGTCGTTCACGATCATCGTTTCCCCTCAGTCTCCGTCCTTTGTCTCCTCCACTCGTTCACCAGCTGTTCGCCCCGGACATCGTGGGCCAGTTTCGTCATGGCGGAGGGGTACAACAAGAAGGAACGGAGAAAGAGTTTCAGTGTGCTCAGTTCTTCGTTATCGAACACCGTCAACTCCCACGATCGGTCGTCGTCCGATGGTCTGTCGATGCTGCAGAAGAAACGCCGCAATTCCAGCTTTTTCAGCCGCAACCCGAGCCCCGTCAGAGCACCCAGTCCGCTGGCATGTCGGCGCCCGGATACCGCCGACTCAGAGGGCGTCGCCAGTGCGACTTCCATTCCCATCACGGCCCCGGAGGCCTTGAAGCTGCGGCGGAAATCCTTACAGAGGAACAAGCGCGCATCCGTCTTCGGCTCGTTGCGCTCCCTTCACTCACAGGAAGATGACGACAAATCAGTGCTCGGACGCTCCAAGCCGTCATCCGAAGACAATGACGACTCGTCAAGGAGGACCCTGGGGACCATGGTGCTGCATCACGGAGAGGTCCAGACGACGGGGGGCATGTGGAGGAAGAAGAACCAATATCTGGTCCTGACGGATACGCATTTGGTACGACTCAAGAACCAAAATAAGGCGGCCGAGATGTTCCCATCGATTCCGTCGTCCCATAGTCGCCCCACCGCCGTCAATCGCCAGTCGGTCGCCTCGATCCATTCCCTGCAGGAGGTGCAGATGTCCCAGATCGATTCCGCCGCGAGCGTTTCCCTGAACACCATCGTAGCAGTCTATCGCTTGGATGACAGTCGACCGTCAGTCTTCACCGCGGAAGTCGCCTATATCGATGAGCGAACCCATAAACCGGCAATCATGCAGATGCAAATGGCAGACCCCGAAGAGCTCAACCTGTGGCTGATGGGCGTCCGGTCCGCCGCGGAAACCGCCCGATCGGTTGATCCGTTTCCTTTTGACAAAAGATCAGTCGAGTATGTCGTGCGGATGCTGCAGCAGGAGCGGGACTACGATCCGGAGCAGTTTCATATGTTCCGCGCGATACAGCGGTCATCGAGCAAGTCGGTCGGGAGGGCATCATCCGACGACCTCTCCAAGTTGTCCTCTACGATGTGCTATGTAGCAATCGGGATGCACAAGATCCACCTGATCCCACTGCAAAAGATCACCAGCCGTGCCTCTATTGTGTCGCTGAATGATATGGAGCTGGGAACCTCGTTTGGACTGATGACTTTGGCTGGACTCTCGATGCAAGGCGGAGACGACAGCTTCTCTTTATCTTTCCGTGTCCCGCTTCGAAGCTCAAACACACTGTTCCTGGCCTCTGTGCACTTGGGTGACATTGCTCTATGGATACGGCAGATCGCCGAGTTCCTACGTCCGCTGTGGCTGAGACAGCCATTCGATTTCCTGGTTCCGCGCGAGCTGGACAACATTGATGCTTTCACGCCAGTGGAGGTCAACGAAGATTACGGTTGTTTTGATCGAACATTGATTGCATATTCCGCCAGTTATGATATTGATACATCCAACATCCGATACACGGTCGATCACGACTGTGAGGATGCCCCGTGTTTTCGACTGCTACCCCCGGCTTCTGCGAGAAACCCCAACTACTCCGCCTTGGAGCTCCTAGCGGTGATGCGAGCCCTGCGATACAACGAGTCCTTCCGGTCGATATCGTTCAGCGAGATCAAGCTTGACGTGCTGCAAAAAGTGCGCGACATCTATGGGTTCGACAGAGATGCGCAGCTGACGCGAGCCGGAACGCTCATCAAGATCCCAGGACAGGAAGGCTTGTCGCTGCTGTCGCAGGAGATTCGTGCCTTGGCACTGAAGAGCAAGTTTCTAAGACGGCTGGACTTTTCGTACTGCCTAAGTCGACCGTCCGCGCTGGACCCCGGAGTCCGCGATACCGGCTGCGGCATCCCGGAGGCGATCTTTCCCATCTGCAGACGCCAGCTGACCAACGTCGACTGGGTCGTACTGAATGGCATCAAACTCGGCGACTCGGATCTCGATTATCTGGTGGATGCTGCATCCGAGAAAGCGAGTCACTTCCGGGCTCTGGAGGTTAGCAACTGTGGGCTGTCAGTTCACGATCTCGACCTCGTCCTCTCGACCATCACCGCGCAGGAACAAACGCTGGAAGCTATCAGCATCGCCGGCGTACAGGGTCGCCTGAGCCCGGAGCTCTTTCAGCCACAGATTGGCTATTTCGCTCATATCCGGAAAATCGATCTGTCTCGCATATCCAGAACTTCTGGACCAGAACCGCTGATTGCCCCGGAAACCTTGCTGAACTGGAGGCTTGAAGAGCTCTCTCTGAGCCAGACAGCGGTTAACGAACAGACCGTCGATTCCATTGCCGCCTACTTAGCAAGCGATCAATCTCGACATCTGCGGGAGCTTCGGCTTGATCAATGTGGCCTAACGGCGACGGACGTCGCAGTTTTCCTGCAGTCAATGTCAAATCCGGGTGGAAAACCACGCAACCTACATTTACACGTCAATGAGAACAGGATCGACAGCGGGTGCTCGTTCCTCTTCAACACGATAGCCAGGAATCAGACACCCACCCACCTCTCGATGAGGATGATCGACTTCAAAAAGGAAGAGCATTTCGCAGAGCTGGTGGAGGCCTTGAGGAAGAACACCAGTCTCAAATATTTGGATATTTCCAAGGCATCCTTGCCTTATGATGCCGGTCCCGAGACTTGCAAGGCTCTGCAGCTGATGTTCGAGGACAATCAGACATTGGAGGAACTCGATATCAGCGGAGAATATGCGCATCTAGATGTAGCTAGGTTTGGTATCGGCCTCAACCTCGCATTGACGGGTCTGAAGAAGAACAAGTCTCTGAAGGTGCTGCGAGTGGAACACCAGAAACTCGGTCTACAGGGCGCAAACACCTTGGCATCTGTCTTGGAAGAGAACACCTCACTCCGCGAAATCTACTGCGAAAATAACGACATCCATCTACAGTCATTCACCGTACTTGTCAATGGCTTAGCGCGCAACAAGACTCTGCTGAATATCCCAACCATGGACCGAGACAGGACCTTATCGCTTGAGAGGGTCCGCCGGGAGATTGAGAGCGTCAATCGCGACTCTAGTCGCACACATTCCTTAACAAACAGCTCGCTCCGGCGTTCTCTGCATGCTGCCATGAGTGTCGGCCATCACGCGTCTGGGGTCAACAAGCTATCCAAGCAGAAGCACCATGAACCCTTTGTTTCACAGCCCCCGTCATCATCCTCGTCACACGCTAGCACCTCTCATCATATGATCGGCCACGACGTTCAAGCCGTGCTGGACTCCCTTAACCAGAAGTGGGATGCAGAAGTCGAACGTTTACGTCGGTATTTATTCCGGAACTATAATCTTGCCAATGGCTTGGATACTCCAGATACCGACGATGCGGCTAGTGATGTTCGCCCTACCACAGCAGCGAGCCTGGGGACAATGCTGCAGCAGATGAAGTTGGAGCTGACCGTGTCCGCAACTGAGCTTGCGCAAAACTCTCAGCCTGCGGCGCAACCGACGCTCAAAGTGGAGACAGTAGACCTGGAAGACAAGGATACCGAAAGCTCAGACAGTATTCAAACATCGCCATTATCAACCATTCCAGAGTTCAAATCCAACGTCTTCTCAGCTGAGGCAGGACAGAAATCCAACCATCGCCGTCCCCTGTCAGCAACATCAAGCACGTCTCCCCCCTCTCCCATAACGCCTTCGAAAGATTATGCGCCTTCTTCGTTCGGATCTCCTCGACTGGCACTTCCTCTTCCCGCCATTGCACCCTCTGCAAGCGTGTCGAGTAGCATCCGCAGTACGCGCAGCTCCAGCACCGTGTCCACCAACACTGGGGTGGGGGTCAGTAGCCGAAGTAACTACGGACTAGCTACTTCATCACTGAGGGGCTTCCTCAGTGGACGTGGCATGAAACCAGACAGCAGGAAGCTGGAGAGGGTCAAGGACGGCCAAGGGGGTCATGTCTACATCACTGGCGACCAACCGCCGCAGCTTGACTGGTCGCTGCCAAAGTTGGACGGCTTCTGATCCTCGCAGCCGCATCTATAGAGCCCGGGACTTTACGGCATGAAAGCCGGCTATGCAGGAGTGTTAAGCGTTCGGTACCGTGTACCGGTTAGGTCCTTGAACAAGCAATCGAGTCATGATATGACAATGAATTAACGACCAGGAAATGAGAGCATTGTCTCTTTGGATAAGGATCAGGAGGAGGCGCGTATTAGGAATCCGCTAGACGGATTGTTGATCATATCGAAGCTTCAGGATTGCCGGCGTCCTGACCGTGCTGATGAGTGGCACGTTATGATTACAAGACTCTTACAGCAATCTCCTTTTGGAGTCTGCCAGCCGCCGACCTACGTTTTCTTCTATCATTCGGTTCTCATCAGAGACTCACCATTCAGTCTCGGTGCCCATTCGCTTTGTTTTCTTGTGTATGGCCTACCGTATACATATTTCTTGTCTCTTTGTGTTTCTGGAGAACAGCGATTGTCCTCCTTGTCACGATGGCTTGACCGTCTCAAGAGTCCTACTTTTTTCCTTGAGTCGCCCCTGACGGCGTTTCATTTTCTTTTTCTAATAGCGGGACTCCTTCCCACACAGTCATCGGAGTTTATGTTTCTCTTTCGGCGCACGTGGGTTTTCTATCTGTCCAAGGGCGGCTAATTACGGCTTCGAGCGGGGATATCCACAATGGGTTTCGAGTAATACCCGACTTCACTGCTTCTGTCTCGTTTACATCTTGCATATGTCCGGCGACTCCGCATCTCTTTGCTCATTTGTTTCTTCTCAATCCTGGAACGCGTCCACAGCAAAATTCCCGGGGAATGGATGCACACTGCATCTGCCTGGCATCAACATCATCTGCATCAGGGGCGGAGGCTTATCTAAACGAAACAGCATAACTAATAGACCTTTTTTTGACGGGAGGTTATTTCCTGCAAATTTTTGTTCTCTCCTTCTACGCCACTCCTCACCCTGGAGCACAGGCTACACATATTCTCCTTAATCCAGAAGACCTAATTCGTGGAGAATCAACAGGAAAAAAAAGGGATGGCGTGCATATCTCGTTTGCGTACCATGTACATAGTCACTTTTGTTTGCGCAAACCGGGTACAAGTGTAAATAGCTTCAAGTGCGTGTATCTCCTTCCGGAGAGCGACTGTTCCGATGCTACGGCATATATTATCCGGTCAGGCGTGTTGTATATAAGACAAGGCACGTATAATCTATTACGTTCATTCCGGGGTTTCCTTCCCTCATCGAGAGCAAGCTTAACTAGGATAAAGTCGTTATTCCTGCGTAGTCTGCCAGATAGAGCTTTATAGATGCCATCATTTACCTACCATGGATACTTGATTTTATTTCTCACGGATAAGGACCGGGTATCTTGATCATGATCACATGTCCATGGCATTCGATATAACCCTACCATTGCAATTTTCAGAAATTGAATACACACAGGAAAAACTCAGATTTGACCATTCCATTTCCGAAGAAAAGTCCGTATGCATAAGAGCCACAAATGCGAACAAGTAGCTAATTAAGTGGGTATCTTTCCGAATTTTCTTTTTTTTTTTTTTTTCCTTTTATTCTCTTCTTTTTTACTCCGCAAACGCCAGCATCAGGTTTACCGTTTCTGAGAGGAATGACCCCGCATCTTCGTTGCTATATGTAGTCTCATTATAGCTGAGGGAGACTTCGCACCGGTCGCGAAAACTGTCGAGACGGAGGGACCTGGATATTTCCCTTGTTAGGGGCTGGTGACTTTTTGTGGTTGGGGGAAAGACATACATGAATGGCATGTATTGATTAAGCAAGAATCGGACATTCTGCACGGTGATTGCTTTCTCTTGAGTAATTGGGTTTGGAACTTCGCGGGGGATGAAGCGTTCGTTGATACCGTCGCTGGTGAACATCTGGTTTCGTTAGTTTGGGATTTGGTGTTTTATAGGCTCTGATGGAGGATGTGGTACTTACGGGAGTTGATGCGGGAACTTGTTGGTTACTGGAGAGAGAGAATATCGAGGTCAGCTTGTTGATAATGGTCACTGAATCCTGTCCAGATAGAGGATGGTTCGAGAGACTTACTTAGCCAGAGCCGTGGAGATGAGAGACATGAACGATATTGAGGCAGGAAGCAAAGACGGCTGGTTCATCCAGAAATCATAGCTCTCCTTGGTATGTTTCGCGGCACGGCTGATTTTCTCCCGCAGCTGTTCCTTGTCGCAGTCACGAGGTGCATAGGACTGGATGTCCTCGAATAGTAGCAATGCTGAGGACTGGCATACGGGATAGTATGTCTTTGTGGCTTTGGCATAGTCCTCCCGCAGGAAACGGCGGCTGTTCACGGGCATAGCCGTTGCACAGAATGTCTCAGGGGCATCAGCCGGGGGTGGATTGGTCTTCAATAGAGCAAGAAACACGGCAGCGTGGCCGAGATGGGTAACTGTGTATTTAGGCCCGAGACGCTCTTTGACAGCACGGAGCAGTTTCGCGCTCTCTTCGACTGTGAATGCGTGGAATATAGATCGGGGCAGTCCGACATTTTCAGACCGTGTTTTCAGACCCCAGGATCCCTAGAATAGGTATGGTTGCGTTAGTTACTGTTCACTCGTTCCTTCATGGCAGTAGAACTTACGCTCATACGGGGGATATTTCCCATAAGCCCCATGCGGGTAGCCTCGAATTTAGGGCCTGCGATCTCCTGACTGGGATCCAGCAGGGAAAGAAGAGGGGCGTCCAAATTGTTCCTCTCTTCTCCCCATGGGAGTTTACCTGGCTCCGTAGTCGAGAGCTCGGATGCTAGAGTACGGAAGATATCACCCAGGAGAACTCGGACGCTGATGCCATCGAGAAACACGTGGTTGGCGTAAAGAACCAACTCGATGGCCGTATCTCCCAGACTCGTGGTTTCATCAGCGACAGGAGCTGCCGCATAGATTGTAACTGCTTCTGCTGGTCCACTTCCAACCTCCCGTTGTTCCTCCAGAGCCGTTCTAATGTCGAGCGCAGTACGGCTGCTAGCTTCCACACGGATACGTTGCTCAGCCCACTTCTGCGCATCTGCTGCATCTTTGGGAGATCGATACTGGATCCAGGTATTTCCATCTTTCCAGGTCACTGTAGCTGCAATTTCGGGATGCTCGAAACGAAGTCTGAGCAAGGAGGCCTGCAGCTTCTCCTTCAACGACTTGAGCGTCACCTCGGGGTGGTGTAGTTGAAATCGAGACAGAAGGTAAAGGTCATTCGCTCCCATCTTGTTGGGTATTTCCATTCCAACGACGCACTCTGCTCCAATGGCCTGACGTTGCCAGATGGTGGGATCTGTTTCTGATGCATGCCATGCCAGCTGCTCTGGCACCAGAGGAGGTAGTTCAAGCATGTGTGAACCCATTTCGAGTAGTTTTGTTCTTTCTGGGATGTCTGAGATGAACAACTGAATGGAGAGGAAGTCGAGCAGGGAATGTCTCTGATTTATATGCCTGTCTACCGGAAGAGTTGTAAGTGATCGAGCTGAGGTTCAACTTGGGGGCGCACCCGGGGTCCTCTGGATGGGTCAATTCACTCACGCAATGCAACTTCAAGAATCTTTGGCTTTCCCTAATTACGTTTGGATCGCACGAACCTTGGTACAGATCGTACTAACGAGACAATGCTCATTTCTTTCTGGCGCGCAGCTACTATGCGCGCCATGTGGCGGTTTGTGTTGCTCTGCTGAGGGCCAGGGGCCGAGATTACCTGCAACAGATCCATGACACAACGCCGGTCGAGAGGAAAGTTGTGGAGAAAGAACGGCAGGCCTAGAGTATAGTCTACGCGGCATTGTTCTGGAATACTGAATACTAACTCGATCGATAAGTGATACAAGAGTGGAATCAGTGGATACTTACTGGCAACCCCGGCCTCCGCGGGCTCCAGGGATCGGAATCCGAACTCGCACGTTGAGGCCAGGGTGTGTATACACTGCCATGTTTGGGCATCTGCTTGGATATTATCCTGTTTTCTTGTTTACTGGGGCTCGGCAATCTTTGTCTCGAAGGGGATAATACTCCAGGGCGATGATCCACGCAAGTGTTCGTGCCGCAGCACTCCGGCATTTTCTGGCCACTGATGCAGAGGAATTGGTCTGAAGATCATAGGCACAGAGGCTAGTTTTATCTCATGCATGAAGGGTTGGCACCATACGGAGTAGAGAATTCCCGAATACGAGATTTGATACTATTGAAGTTCGAAAACTTCAGTGAAGCTGCTCTTTTCGTAGATAGCAGCCTCGAACGCTTCCCGATCTGGTTAACCGTGCACACCGCCTGCACGCCTTGGACCATTTGATCTCTTGAGCAAGTAAGATAAAACATCCTGAGGAACCGTGCAAGTCAGAGCGCGAAATTGGAGACTTCCTTATTGAGTGTTAGGCACTTATCGTCGCCATCCATGTCTACGGGCGTTTCACAACAGGAGAAAGATGGGTCGCCTCCCTCACTCACCCTCTGCCAATGGCTGCATCTAATCGGGAAAGTAGCGAGATCATGTACGTACCATCCTCTCTCTGGGATTTAGAAGGGGCTGTCTTTCTCACGCAAAGCGTACATAGTGTGTATAATTATCTTGAGATCAATTGCGGCACCTTTTCGGCTCCCCAAGGGCCAAACATGCTCCAGATACGTTAGATACGAGGGAATGCGAGTGTTTCAAACAGCGCTTTCCGCAGTCGAGAAGCAAAATGCCCTTCCATCCACCGAATCTACCTGTAGGAGATTTTCCAGGAAGCGTGGTCTTTCCCAAAAGGACGTCCAACTTCCCGATGGAACAAAGGTCCACTGGATCGGATCCCCTGACGCTCCAAGAGTGATAGCCTACTTTCATGGAGGCGGCTATGCCGCTCCAGCGCTAAGTCAACATATATCATTTCTCTACGACAATGTGTCTCGTTACCGCGATGTCTCTATCTTGGTCCTATCGTATGGTATGCTAAACTCCAACTAAGGAATTCATCTGCTTTGAGTTAACAGGATACTCTCTAGATCTGGCCTCTGAAACAAAGAACCACTATCCTCGACAACTGCGACAGGCAGTTAGTATGCTTAATTACCTCATTAATGAAGCAAATAAAATGCCTTCAAATATAAGCCTCGTCGGAAACTCAGCCGGTTGTCACTTGATGCTGGGTCTCCTGCTACACATTAGCCATCCTAGTCCTTTAGCACCTTCTCTCGAGATTCCTGGCCAGCTATATCAAGCAATACTGACCTCTCCATGGGTCACTTTCGATGTTTCCGCTCGGTCCATGGAAACCAACAAGGACAAGGATATTATTTGTCCTTCTGCGCTCGCCTACTGGGGGCAAAACGTTTTGAGTGGTGCAAAAGTTGACCCTTGGAACACTCCTTTGTCTGCACCAAGACAGTGGTGGAGCGATCTCAAGGTCGGTGATATACTTATACTATATGGAGGAGACGAGGTAATGCACGACGACGTGGCTGAGTTCTCTAGCATACTGAAGGTGAGATTGCAGCATTTCTCCCAGGTCTCTCTCGGATTCAATGCTTATATATACTAGGCTGCCCATCCGCGAACAACGGTGTATGAATTGCCTGGGGAGTGTCACGAACAGGTGCTCATTAATGACTTACTACATCTCAATATGGAACCTCTTTCCGGAAAGATCTTTTCTGACTGGATGGAAGAGCATTTGCGCGATGGAAAGTCATGAAGTCATGAAGACTTGTCGGCGATATGACTGTATATGATAGCGTCGACTACTCGAGTCACTAGTCCCGGCTATATATCTAGAAATCTAGACGATCGAAAATATGAGTCTTAAGATATCGTGCCGAAGAGATCAATGATCGGGTTTCACTTTATGTATGTATATCCGTGTAACTAAGGAACGTTCGCTGGCTCAAGACAACGTTGACATATATGCCCCAACTCAGATAGGACACATAGTAAAATGGGCATCAGTACTCGAATCACTTCGACACATTAACACTTACAATGGGAATCCGATTTAAGATTCGAGATACATGATTGGCCCACTACTCCATACAATAATATTGTCGCGGGGTGTATCTCCATCACGTGATCACGCGTTCTAGGAACACGCGCATCATCATTCAAGGTCAGTGATTCAGACAGAAGTCTTTGCAAACGAGTCTACGTAAATTCTACGCCACAAACACCGGTGTACTAATATGTGAGACTGGGAATGACCGTTTACTGAAAAATGGAGGTGTGGTCGGGAGACATTGCATGCAATGCTGAATCTTCGTTGAAAGGCGAGTTTACAGCCCTTCGGACAGTCATTTGTTCCCTGCTGACTGTAAGGCACTCACAGGCATACGGCTGCTCAGTTCCATATCAGACACTTATTATGATATTATACCTAAAGATGCAAAACTTTCGGTCCGCTCTCTTGTCAATCCAGCCTTGATACCCCTGTACGCGCGAGCGGGACCGAGCCTTGAATTGCACGCGACGAATGTTGATAGTTCGCAGTGGTTGAAGAGCAAACTCCTGAGTAATATTTGGCTCGAGGAAGATGCCATTGAGAAGGGACAATCGATACAATGCCCTATTGGTATCCTACTCCAAGTGCAGAGCAGCAGACGAGGAACCACTGTCGGACATCCCATCTCTGACATTCTGGTTTATGGGATCCTTTCGAACAGGGCTCCGCTTGGACGTCCGCCGACTCCTCCAGTCTCGTCGTCGCCCGATGTGCAAGAAGAAGAGGATGGTAGTGGTCTGGTGAAGAGAGAGCTCAGGGTATATGCCTCTCCGCTATCAGGCAGTCTTATTAGCAAAGCTCAAGCTTTACCTTCTCCACCGTCGAGTCCTGAAAACAGGTCTCTAGGCAGCAATGGGCATTTTGCAGAGTTCATCCCGGATCTACGGTCCCCGAGTCCCAAGCGCAAACGGGTGGCCACACTATTTGAAGTCGCTGCGCAGCACCATAAGAGAGTCCGGCAGAAAGGAGGAGAGGCTGTCTCGCAGTTGATGGCGCACGCCAATTCTCAGTCCATCCCTCCATTGAATCCTATCAAGATCAAGAAGGAACCAGATGAGATTGGAAACTACGCGCTGGAGAGAATATCTTCGCAGCGAGCACGGTCTCTTTCGTTAGGCGGCAGCCTCCGTGCCTCCAGACCTGCTGATAATCGTCTGGAGAGCCAGAGACCTAGCACGGCTAAGAGCCACGGCAGGAATACCATCAGCCGAGCAAATACTCCTAATCCCTTCCACGACTCCTCCAGTCTGCGAATCGAAAAGTCAGAAGTACCATCTTCTCAAAGCAACAGTGATCCCCTATCAGGACCGAAGGATGTCGCTACAATTATCTCTGAGAATAAAACCCTCATGACTAGGACGATACTCACTTGTATGCGTCTCTATGGTTACCATCGGAGCAACTCGCGATCGTCGACAAACAAGAACCATGCAGCGACGCAGGCCGATCTAGATTCATTCAATGCAGAAGAGCGCGACACGCGTACTCCTGCTCCCGAGAATGGCCCATCGACGAATTCCGCTGGTGGCTCCGATGAGGACGAATTCAGATCCATGTATCATGCCACCTACAAGGCTGCGACCTTTGCTCTGAGACGTTACCTCAGGGAAGGAGATCCTACAACTGTAGAATCTGGAACGTTGCCGCCTATCTTGGAGAAGGAAAAAGCAACAAATACTATTGACGGTCTTTTACGGCTTTTCTGTGAGGACGCCTAGCTTGATTGGCGTTGCATGGGCATGGGAGCATCAGCAGAGAGTTTCTACACGACGTTATGATATGGAGGCTAAAACTACTTTGCATATGTGGCGCTGGGCATTTGGTGGTTTTATATCATTTGGTTTGCATTTTGTACGGTGGGATTCACTGGCATGGCCGAGTTCTTGGGCATTAACTATATAGCATCGAAGTCATTTGCGAGATCTGTAATATCAGTTTCTGGACAACTGCACGCATGGTTATTTCAATTGGGGCGGTCGGTCCATGTGGAGCGTCTGAGCAAAAACAACTTAGGAATAGGGAACCAAAAAAAAAAAAAAAAAAAAATGTAAAATCAGACGATCTTCTTTTATTCGTCCAATGCTTCTTCCCCCGAGGGCAAAAAATAAAAACGCAAAAAGAATGCCACTTCCGGCGGGGCTCGAACCCGCAACCTTAGGATGGAACCTCATTAATAGAAGTCCTACGCGCTACCATTGCGCCACGGAAGCTGCTTCTATGGAAGGGCGATCTCAGCTCTGATTCTTCAAAGCCTAATGTAACGGTATCTATCGCCGTAGGCTATACAGTTGAGGCTTTTGAATCTCCAGCTTGTAACTCGTACTGTGAACATAATGGCCATTCGAGAAGGCGTCATATTTTATATGTCTTCTTGCTCCTGAGATCCACACTCGTGGCCGAGGGTCGATATCTATTTCATAGTTCCCTTCATTTCGAAACTATTTGTTGGCTGATTATGTCTTTATATATTTCGGTTCACCGGCGCATGTCAACGGCGAAGGGACGATCTGCAGAGAGTGCATTCAGGGAAATGATACCCTGCCACGATCACAGACAGTTGACCGGCATACTTGAACTTCGAAGGTTGCAAGCATTCATGGAGAGCTTTCCTGGGGGCGACAATGAAGTATGCAAGACATGTTGTCAGCATTGCAGGTTTCGAAGACACAGTAGTAAGGTACGCCTGAACAGAGAGTGAATGCATCTTGCTTATGAAGTGGAAAGTTGGAGACAGACAAAAAAACGGAGAAAAAAAGAATACCAAAGGAATTAGAATCTGCGCTGAGCGCATCTTAGAATCTCTTAGATGAATAGATCTCTAAGTCGCCTCATAGACAATAGATCAAAGAGGGTCGTTCACGAATCATAATAACGGGTTCACTCGAACCCATGGGAAATGACCACAGAGCAAACAGCTCTTCTACCATCAACCTAAGACTCCTGTATTCAGCAATGGTGAAGTGAATATACTAGTTGCATGTAAATGCCGATGGCAGACCAAGGCACGTGCTGCTCCCCATACTTGCGCCGGCGTCGCAGACGCCTCCCGTATCATCTCCGACCGACGACATCACCAGCTCCAAGCCATCGCAATACTCTAGCTTCGCGCCCAGACAAGCGCCCGCGACAGTTGAGTCTTACAAGACCGGAAAACCGAAAATTCGCATACAAACCACATCAGAGCAGGTCTCTGCAACATGGACGTCTCCAACAGCCGCCTCTTCCGGTTCTCGAAACCGGAATGGCTCAATAACTCCAGCGTCCGCACTGCTGGTGTCTACACATCCGGCGCACTGGCAAGCTTCCCTTTCAAGTCTGACAGCTATCCCGCATGATGCTGACGATGTATCAAACAAACAGTTCTCCATTGGGTTCTTCTTCCTGGTCGATGCCGCCGCATTCTCTCACAGCTCGCGCAACGGCTCCAAGGTGCATGTGAAGTTTGTCGACTGGATTCCGGGCATTTGTTCCGCGCTGGGAATGCTGGTCATCAACTCGATTGAAAAGTCCAGACTGAACGCCGATAGCTTCAGCTATAGTGGCAGCGGCGTGGCGTGGAAGGCCCGCTTCGTGCTGTTCCTGGGATTTGCTCTGCTTGCGGGAGGACTGGCGGGCAGTATAGTGAGTACATGCTCTCTGCGCCCTGTGTTTGGCGACGGTAATAGGCGATTTACGTTGTATGCTAATATATATACTCTCAGACGGTTATGGTTCTCAAGTACCTCATCAAAGACTATCCGCTCCAGACCTTGTACTTCGGAATTGCCAACGTGATCGCAAACAGCCTCGTTATGTTAAGGTACGCGCTCAATCGGTTTCTCTACGCTCGATTGTAACCTGGACAATCGCTAACTGTTCGCACAGCTCGGTCGTGCTATGGGTCTCCCAGAACATGGAGGATGACTACACCTACAACCTTGCCCTGTGAACGCGGGCACGATGAATTGGTCAGCACAGGCCAGTAACTATCTGATGAAGCAGCGCTGTTTAATCCCTGTCGTAGCTATGTTCCGTTTACGTTTATGGTTTCTCATTGCTTTCTTGGACTTTCTCCTTCGACTATGTTCAGAGATGGGTGTACCTCATCGCCTGTACCACTAAGTCTGCTGGGTGTAAATTCAGCTCAAGTAGATCAGCAAATTGGACTGCTAGTCGCCAATGATAATCTACGATCGTGCATTCATATTTCCCCAGACAAGGAGCGCAATGTGTCCATCGGTGGATTGCGAGCAGCCATAGTGAAGAATCGACACAAGCGTACAGTTTCTCAAGGGTTGTAAGATGGAGTTGATAACAATAGAGAAACATCTGATTATTCCGTGAATTGAATGATCTACTAGTGACAAGATATCATTAGTATTGGGGCCCAAAAGCTACAACAGGTTAATGCTGTCTCCTTAATATGATTATGGAGGACGCCTGGGAGACGGAATTCGGGGTGTGTACGTAGGTCAACCGACCGTCCCATTTTAGTGCACGACCAAGACTAAGCCTATTTAAGTAACCGAGACTTGGATACTATCATACTCATCATACTCTTTCCAAACACGCCCACATTTATATCTGCCAATCGAATGACCAGTTCGCCATCTTGATTCACCTTGTCCAAAAAGGGAAGTGAACTATGGATCAGAACGCACCGCCGCCTTCTCCCATTCCTGCACCATATGGCCATGCCTGTGTGAACTGCGCTCGTGCCAAGTGTAAATGCATACTCCTTAGCCTTGATGGTAAATGTGAAAGGTTGGACTTTGTTATTGAGAACTTCCTCTATGAATCAATTCATTATGGCATGTACATCATGCGCTAATATAGAGGGCCAGATGCCATCGTTTGAATAAAGATTGTTAACCGTCGGAGACAGTACGGAAGCGCGGTTCTAAGAAAAGGAAGCTGAGTAGGACTGCTCAGCTTGAAGAGAAGCTTGATGACCTTGTGTCATTGTTAAAATCCACAGCGCAGTCTGTTCCTCTTTCTGCGATCGCCAATACTACAGCTCAACGGGATTCCACAACCGGCGATAATGTTCAGACACAGAGCTCACTTCCTTCCGGGAGCCAGACTGTTAGATCTGCTGATGGCGTTTTGTGCGATAGCCTCTCAGATCGGACAATGCCTATGTCAGCGGCAGTTGGTTCGGAGCGAACTAGCAGTCAGTCACCCTCTGCGGCAGCATCATGCGAACTCGGGCCTTCCTTGGAAGAAGATGAGGACAATCTTGAGAGATTTCGTACAAAATTCCTGAAACATTTCCCTTTTGTCTGGATCTCGCCGTCGACGACCTCTCAACAACTTCGTCATCACAGACCCTACTTCTGGCTGTGCATCATGAGTATAATGACCAGGTCGTCCTCGCGGCAATTAGACCTGGACACCAGAATAAGGAATATTTTAGCACAAAAGATAACGCTAGAACTCGAAAGATCTATCGATTTGCTCCTAGCTGCGCTCACATATTGTGCCTGGTACGTCGCATGTTCAACGGGGACTCCTTTTTAGAAGCAGCATTGACCGTCTCATTAGGGGCCGTTGCCAGCGAATGATACATAACGAGATGCAAACAAAACCATATATGCACGTATATACTCAGCTCGCCGTGACGGTCATATATGGCTTGGGCCTCAATAGACACCCGCCAAAGGAGTCACATGCCTTTCATGGCTGCAATCCTACTCCTCATCTATTCCCAAAGGCAACACCATCCTCCGCCCGGACCATGGAGGAGCGGAGAGCAGTGCTTGGCTGTTTCCTTCTTACTTCGAAGTATCTTTGCCTCTTCCGCGGTAGTGAGACTGCATACTAACTTTCTCAGCGTCGCCTCCTACCTTCAGAAAATAGATGCGTTGCGCTGGACATCTCATATGGACGAGAGCCTCCGCATCCTAGCTGAAAAGCAGGAATGCCCCACAGATATTGTCTTGGTACAGCAGGTCCGACTGCAGTTGATCTCAGAGAAAGTGGCGCAGGGACCCTGGCAGTATGGAGCAGCTGAAAACACGAATTCTCATGAGCCCCCTCCCGCTTTTTACCTCCAGGCGCTTCAATCCCAGGTGATGGAAGCCGTGCAAAAGGCACCGCCTGAATTGCAGCACAACGGTGAGTGGGAGTTGGCGAGACATTCGCTGCATAAGCCACTGACAAGTATGAATAGAAGTAGTTCTCCTGCAGCAACATTACACGGAACTCACCATCCAAGAAATCTCTCTGACGAGAGCACCTATTATGTCAAGTACCACCAACTTCCAGAGGCTCGAAAGTCTCTATTCATGCCTGAGCTCAGCAAAGGCGTATACGGACATATTCTGCAACATCCCACCGGCTGAATTCTTCGGAATGCCATTCTCGACTTTCTCCCAATTCGGACACTGCTTAATAGCACTTTACAAACTATCTACTCTCGAGGATCCCGCCTGGGATAAGGCCATGGTTCGAAACACGGCGGATGTGTTACTTATAATAGACCGAGTGGTTCAGATTATGGGGCATGTAGTGGAGTTTGTGGCCGGTCCCGAGCAAGAAGACCGAACGTTCATTAAGGGAGCCGCACTGATGCGCTCCCTGCGACAGAAATGGGCGGAAAACTTGTCTACTGTCTCGGGTGAATCTGACGCGAGCCTAAACAGACAGGACCCGGAGGATATATTGAGTGCTTTCCCGCTGGAATGGCCTGATGATGCGTGGCTGAATGATATCTTTATGTGCTAGGCTATTAACGAATTAGACTGTATAACTAGAGAAGAGGTTAAAAGTATCATCTTCATGAATATTAAATGATCAAAACTGCGAATTTAATAAAGATAAAATAGGCATTAGGAGAGAATAAATTACAGAGATCGCCGTTTCGGATTTCGGATTTAAATGCCCCACGAAACCCGGCCGATCAGGCTATATATCGAAACATCTCTTATGGGAAATATAAGAATCAGGAGAAATAATCGTGAGAAGCCTTAGTTCATACGTGAATATTCGAATCCCAAGTCTTTTCTTGCCAGTCCGCACGCAGTCGACAAGCACAACAAGCTCCTCGGAAATGGGAGAATACACAACAACTCCCCCAGCTGGGGACGCAGCACATGAAAAGGGACAACAATTCCTCGAAAAGCAAACGAACCAAGCGCACGGCGAAGATGACAGCGCCGATACACTCGAAAACGACGCGAGAAGCAAAGAACCAGAAGGCATCACTGGTCTCCAGCTCTTTATCCTTCTGGGCTCCCTGACGCTGGTTATATTTCTTATGATGATGGATATGTCTATTGTTTCGACGGTAAATTTATGAATATTCGGATGGAAGGGTGCGCATGATTTGCTGACTGAGGATTGCAATAATATAGGCGACTCCCCGTATCACTAGCGACTTCAAGTCCCTTCAAGATGTGGGTTGGTATGGGAGTGCGTATCAACTTGCGAGGTATGATGCTTCCTGATCATGAGAGAAAAGAAAAAAAGTGTAATTGGAATATACTGATATGTCGTGATCAGTGCTTCTCTGCAACCATTGACGGGGAAGTTCTACACCTATTTCAAATCAAAGGTATGTATATTCCTTTTGAAACCCGATGTTGTAATTCTTAGACAATGATGGCCTGACATCTTGTGCCTAGTGGACTTTTCTTGTATTCTTCGGGATCTTCGAGCTTGGCTCTTTGATATGCGGCGTTGCAACTTCATCAAAGATGCTCATTGTCGGACGGGCCGTGGCCGGTATGGGCTCTTCAGGTCTTCAGAACGGAGCTTTGACTATAATGGCTGCAGCTGTGCCAATGCAGAAACGACCAGGTGTGTATGACCGGCAACAATTGAAACTTACCCAGTAGGAGGACCCACTAACAATTTATATTGAAAGCTTTGTTGGGGATGATGATGGGTGGTAAGTAGAAATCTTGCTCAGATGTTTGCGGATCTCCATCAATGATGACTGACCATGTATTTCAGTTGGACAATTTGGTCTTATTATCGCACCGCTTGTTGGAGGGGCTTTTACAGAGTATACAACGTGGCGTTGGTGTGAGTGGTCCCTCTTTCTGCTTATGTACAGACATGGCAGCTGTTTTGTTCATATCATCGAGTTCGTTCGATAACTTACACCCTATGCTCCTAGGCTTCTATATCAACTTACCCATAGGTGGATTAGTCGCAATCCTGCTCGCATTGATCCGTATTCCCAATAATTCCACCAAGTCCGAGAGTGGTTCGGTATTCCGGACTATCATCGAGAGATTCGATATTTTCGGATTCACACTCTTTGCACCAGCCGCTATCCAACTCCTGCTCGCGCTCCAGTACGGAGGGAACCGATACGCTTGGAATAGCGCTACTATAATTGGACTCTTCTGTGGCGCTGGAGGTACCTGCATCGTGTTCCTCTTGTGGGAATACCGGAAAGGAGACAACGCTATGATCCCGTTCTCGATTGCCCGACAAAGGGTTGTGTGGTGCAGCTGCATATTTGGATTCTTCCTCATGGGCACTGTGATGTGTACTTCGTACTATCTTCCTATCTACTTCCAAGCCGTCAAGGGGGTGACTCCGACGTTGAGTGGAGTATATCTTCTACCAAGCATCTTGAGTCAGTTGATGCTTGCTGTTATATCGGGTGCTTTAGGTAAGAGTTTGACTGAGTATGCGACTATCCACACAGACAGTATATGTTAGAGGATGGTCATAGTCAAGTTGCTGACTGTATGCAAGTTTCGAAATTAGGATACTACCTCCCGTTCGCTCTCTTCAGTGGAGCCGTAACAGCAGTTGGAAATGGGTTGATTTCTACATTCTCACCAGGAACTTCCACAGGGAAGTGGATCGGATATCAGATAATTCTCGGAGTCGGTCGTGGTTGTGGATTTCAGATGGTGAGTCCAACCTATTCTCTTACTCTCTCTCTCTCTCTCTCTCTCTATGTATCGTGACTGCGTCAAGTACAACTTCCTAACTTTCTCCTCACTACAGAGCATCGTGGCAATCCAAAATATTCTCCCAATGGCACAGATCTCCGTCGCCATGTCCGTGCTCATGTTCTGCCAGACGCTCGGAGGTGCTATTATCGTTACAATCGCAGACACGATCTTCAACAACAGTCTGAAGACTGAAATCCCTCGATATTCTCCGTCTGTCAATGCCGAAACGGTGATATCTGCCGGAGCGGCGGCCATCAGGGACGTGGTCTCGCCGAAGGATCTACAGGGAGTGTTGTTGGCATACAGCAAAAGTGTCGACCATGTCTTCTATCTGGCTGCGGGACTTGCTGTTGGGTTTTTCTGCTTTGGATGGGGTCTGGGATGGAAGGATATTAGGAAGAAGAAAGCAGTGGTGCCAGGTGAAGCATGAGATGGTTCTATTAACAACGTCCGCGGCGGTCCGTTTTTGACTAACTAGGTATATGGAGCTCTGTTTAAGAAGCAACTTGAGAGTTCATTGTTTAATTCTTAATAACGTACCATACCACAGAATACTAGACTACATATGAGAATACAATAGAAGCATTGAAATAGAGCGTGAAAGCATACCATAAGAGTGAGAGACATCGAAAACTCAAAAGCTATTGTACCATAGATTCCGAACATACACGATGTTTAATTACTTTAACCTTGGACGATATTTCACATGTTTGAAGGAGTTACTCTACAACAGCCTGCATTACGATCCAAAACAGGATAGATACAACATACAGAATTCCCCCAACAAAACACACTTGTGAAACTATACGAGGATCGAAAATACTACAAATGATCACATCGATGACGATAGGACGCCCGGATGTCTCTTCCCCGGTGGAGATAACATCCGCATCCACATTGTGTTAACAACATACAGTACCATAAGTTAGAAGAATCCCCTAAGTACCTAAGGTAACATGGGGTCTCCATCGAATAGTAGCATTCGACCATTATATCTCTCCAATTAAGGGAGGTTTATCTCAGCCTTTTTACATGTTCATTTTGAATATCTTGTTATGCCGTTTAGACTATGCAATGCTCCGGCTATGTTTTAAGCCTATATTAATACAGCGCTAAGGGGCCTATTAGATATCTGCTGCATTATATACCTAGATAACATTCTAATCTTCTTAATAGATAAGAAAGGATATAAATAGTATATCTCTAAAGTGCTAAAAAGACTCTATAAGTATAATTTATATATAAAGCTAAGTAAATATAAATTTTATAAAGAGGAAGTTTTTTTTCTTAGATTTATTATAAGATATAATAGGATTAAAATAAATCTCTCTAAGATTAAAATAATTTGTAATTAGCCTATATTAAAGATCTTTTATAATATTTAGATTTTTTTAAGATTTATAAGTTTTTTTAAAAGATTTATTTATAATTACTTCTCTATTATAATATTATTAATAGACTTATTTAAGGGCAGTAAAAATAATAAAAAAATAAGCCTATTAAAATAAATATCTAAAATATAAAAAATATTTAAAGATTTAAAAACTATATTTATTAAACTACTAGTATTATAATATTATAATCTAGAGAAGCTAATTATAATAGCTATAGATACCTTAGGATTTATTTTAGCTATTATTTTACTATAGCTTATAAGTAAGGTAATAGAATAATAATATCTAGTTATATATTTCTTAAAGAAATTTACTAAAATTAAATATTAATATAAAATATATAATTAGGAATTATTAGCAATAATTAAAGCTTTTAAATATTAAAGATACTATTTAGATAATAATAAATATCTTACTTAAATATAGATTAACTATATAAACTTACGCTATTTTTTTATAATAAAGACTTTAAATAATAAATAGGTAAGATAGGTAAAGTTATTAGCAGGCTATAACTTTTATATTAAATATAAGCTAGGTTATTTAAATATAATTAATATACTATCTTAGAGATTAGACTATAAATTTTTAAAAAAAAATAAGAGATTAAACTACTATCTACTCTATAAAAAAACTAAAACTATATATTTTAAATAAAAAAAATAATATAAATAATTATAAATATTTACTGCTAAGATTATTAATATTAAAAGTTACTAATAAGGAGATAATCTAAGATTTTTTAAAGCCTAATCTTCTAGAGTTACTTAAGCAGCTTTAATAAAAAGATACCTTTATATTAAAGAAGATTAATAATTTAAAAACTAAGTAAGCTAAAAGCTTTAAATAGATTATAAATAATAAGAGTCTATTATAAAGATAAGATTAGATTTATATCTTAAATAAATATTTATTAAAATAAAAATTACTATAAATTTATTATAATAATCTATATATTAGCTATTAAAAAATTAAAACTATAAAAGAATTACTTAAATAAAAGTTTTATTAGTTAAGTATATAAAATAATATATAAGAATATATAAAGACTTATAATATTTATAAAAGGAATAGAATTCTTAGATATAAGCTATATAAGCAGGTAAGCTTATTACCTATAATAGAAAGACCCTAATAGAATATATTAATAAACTTTATTATTAGCCTATTATTATTAACTTAATAAGAAGTTAAATATAATATAATCTTAGTAATTATAGACTAATACTCTAAGATAGCTTTATATATTTTAACTTAAGAAATAATTATAATAAAAGACCTGGCTAACCTAATAATAAAAAGAGTATATTATTAATTTAATCTTTTAAAATTAATTATTTCTAATTAAAGATTAATATTTATTAATAAATACTAGACTAAGCTTTATTAATATATATAAATTACCTAATTAATAAATACTGCTTTTTATCTATAAATAAATAAGTAAATAGAGCGCTAAAATTAGACCTTAGAATATTACCTTAGAATATATATAAATTATTATTAAGATAATTAGGCATTATTATTAAGTATAGCAGAGTATACCTATAATAATATAAAGTATTTTATTATTAGTATAAAGAGCTAGGGTAAGGAAGCTCTTTATTAGAGGTAATTAGTTAGACTAATTAAACAGAATATAAGATAAGAAGTAAAAATACAGGCAAGTAGCTGTTTATATATAATAGAGTTAAGGGTTAGATTTAATAATAATTAGAATAAATTGCTAATCTATTTAACTTCTATTTCTTTAGGGGTTATTTATTTATTTATTTATTTTACTAGATTATTTAAATAATCTAGTCTTAATAACTCTATTTATAACTAGCTAATTTAATTATTATATATAGATCTAATTATCTTATTATTCTTTATTATCTATTCTAGATTATCTATCTTAGGTCTTAGTAAGTCTAGATTAAATATTATAGCCTTAATTTATAATAATATCTCCTTTTATTAAAAGGCTTATCTTAAGCTATATAAAGTTTATTATATAAGTCTAAATATTTAGGTATAGCTATAATAATAATAATAAGTTATTATTAAAATATACTTATTATATAAATTTATTTAATATTAGTTTTATTTTAATATTTTTATTTAAGAGATTAAGAGTATTTCTATTTTTTATTAACTAACTCTTATTCTTCTACCTATATATTAAGTTATCTTTTTCTTATTTCTGTAGTTTATTTAATGCTATTTTTAATAGTTTAAATATAGAAATAGCTAATAATTATATAGGCATATTAAAAATAAGATTTTTAAGTTATTTTCTTTATAGGTCCTATATATATATTTAATATAAATTATAACTCTTTAAGTTTATATAATAATATTAATTAATATAATAATATTTCCTAAATATTTTAAGTATATTTTATTTATTCTAGGCTCTCTTAATAAGGCCTTTATAGCTAGCCTTAAGCTATTATAACTGCTAATTAAAGATTATTTATTTAATTATTAGCTTAATATAGATAATAAATAGCTTAATAAACTATCTTTCTCTCTTATATCTCTAATTACTAATATAATATTAGAATTAATAACTTTTTCTTTATAAATTATTCTATTTATTGCTATTAATAGTAATAATAAAATATCTTTATTAAAATTATTTATAGAGAACTCTTTAATAAAAGAGTATCTCCTACTTAAAATATATAGAGATTAGTTTATATTTAGTAATATAATTCCTCCTATATATAAGGAGGTATAAATTAATTTATTATATTCTTTTTAAAGATTAAAATATAATTATAATAATATTACTCTTACTATACTTATAATAAAGAAAACTTTTACTTAGCTAGCTAAAAAATTATAAAGGAGATTAAAAATAAAGGAGGTTTTTAGTATAAAGACTTAGGGAACTTAAAATATTATTATAACTTTTATTCTTAAAGTTAAAGCTATTATTAAAATACTTCCTTTTTAAATTAATTTAGCTCTTATTAAAATAATAATATTAATTATTATTATTAATATTAATATAATAATAGATTATTTTATTACTTTTAAGGCAGACCCTATTATAAATCTTTTTAGCCTAAAGAATTTAATTAAAGACTTTTCTCTTATTTTATAGAAGATATATCTTTACTATTTAAAGGCCTTAATATAAGATTTAAAGTAATAATATATCTATTCTTATATTAATATAAAGTATCTTTATTATAAGAGCCTTTATAAGCTATATATTCTTATATTGCTAATATATAAAGCTAAATTAATTTATATTTAAAGTCTTAGCTAAAAGGCTTATTTTTTAAGTAATTTAAAGTCTTTTAATAAAGCTATAAATATATATATATTTTTTATAAAGATATATATACAAAAATCTATATTTAAGACTATTAAATACTAGCTTAATACTACTATTATCTTATTAATCTTATTATATTTTAAATTAAAGTTATTATATCTCTTTTAAGAGTTATATTAAATAATCTATTTATTAAACTATAATATTTTATATATAATAAATATATTTATCTAATTATAAAGACTGCCTCTATTCTTTAATAAGAAGAAAGAAGATATTATTAAGGGGTTTTATAGTAATAAAATAGCTAAATAGAATAATTTTATAGGCTTATATTTAAATTATTAGCTAGGGCTAGCCTAATTAAATTAAATTATTTTTATTAAGATTCTTTTTTTCTATATCTTTTTTAAAACTCTTAAATCTTATAAAAAAATTAGAAAAAGAGTAATATATATAGTAATATATTTAATAATAGTTAAAAAACCTAATAGGAGAAAAAGTATTATTATCTATTTATTTTACTTTATTTTCTAATTTTTAACTCTTTTTTATCTTATTTTTATTTAAGCAGCTTATTTATATTAAAAGCCTTATTAAAGTTTTTATTATAATATTTTTCTAGAGCTTTAATTATATATATAAAATCTTCTAATATCTATTATAAGTTTTTATATAAAGAATATTTTTTTTATTTTATTAGGAACTATTTTTTCTTATAAAAAGTTTATTTATTAAGAATTTTTTTTATCTTTTATTCTTATT